GGAGGGAGGGAGGGAGGGATGGATGGATGGAGAGTAAGGGATGGTATATGATATACTTTGGCTTGGTTTGGTTTGGCTGGGTTATAATGTAGGAAAAAGGTGGGAGGGAGAAGGAAGGTGTTGTATTGGTATTTGGTATTTGGGGTTTGGTGAAAAGATGGGAGAGAGGAGAGGGAAGGGAGAAGGGAGATGGGATGGGATAGGGAGGAGTATAGGAGGAGAAAAGGGACAGGGGTTAAGATGCAGATGGAGATGAAGATGAAGATGCAGATGCAGATGCAGCTTGTAGAGATGTTGGAGGGAGGTATTTGGTAATATAGGAGAGAGAGAAGAAGGAAGATAACTGGCTGAGTAGGAGGTTAAATAATGATTATTATTGTTTCATCATCATCATTATCATTTAATCCTAACCTAAAACTTTATCACTCCCTCAAGAAGAGTGTTGTAATATGATGATATCACCTCACATCACAGCAATCCAGCATCACAGAAGCAGCTCAGCAGCTCAGCAGCCCACCAGCATCCAAGACCTCAAGAGCACAAAAAAACTCCATATTGAACCGAGCATGAATTCCCGCCTTCTCTGATCTGCTCTGAAAATTAACATACGGTTAATTATAATTAAATTCAATTTCAATATAAGATCTTATATGTACGTATATATATATACTTTATGCGTATAAATTTCTGCTATGTAATCTCGAATCTTGTTTTACTCTATATTTATTATATTGATATTTAATAATAAAGATATTATTTTGATAGAATATTGATAATCAATCAATAATATATTTAAGAAAAAGTTTATCTCAAATACTGAGTCGGATTTAAAATACATGTATGACTTATCTATATATTAAAGGTTCAAAAATCTCAATCTTTATTCTTTGTCTTTTACATACCTCTCCTTTTTGTTCCTCATTATCCATACATAGCTTGATGTTATAAATATCAATAACCTCCCAGGTGAAATCCTGTATTCCAGAACCAAAAAAATGATAAATATCAGGCTAGACTGAAATGAATTCCCGCTTTCTTCGACATCCCAGCAGCAAACTCTCTCGCTAACCCCTTCGAATTCCCCTTGACTTCCTTAAGCTTGTAGCTTCATCAACTCTTCCCTCCTCCTCCTCCTAGTACATCGATATTCAACTGAGCGTCCTTTAAAAAGCGATATCGATATCACCTTGCATAAGTCTGAAGAAGAAATAAAAAAGCACAACAAAATCCATGATTTTCTTACTCGCAAACCCGAGCTCGACATCGAATTTCCATCTGTATGCACTGCCGGGTCGTATGAGTACAGTACTTCATCAACATCAACATCACATCCAAACATGTGCTATGATTAGTAGTCATAATCAGTACCCGCGTTTTAATAGCGGTACACTATAAATAACATTAATGTTAAAAAGAGCAGGTAATTAAAAACACCTTAAACTTTCCAGAATCCAGATATATAGGTATATACTATACCACCACTCTACTGGATAGAGAGCCCGTACATACCAATCTGGCGAGATTCCACTAATTACATCTCTAGAACTTTGGGAAATAACAACTTCAGTATCGTCAATATTTTCCAAGAACAACACAGCGACTTAGGTTAGAAAATTATCAAGGAGGATCCTCAGAATCCTCAGACAATTTTGATTCTTCATTGTCAATTGCCAATTGCCAATTGATGAATTTGAAGCTTAAGGACAAAAGTGTTAAGATAGTAGTAGTAGTAAACTCATAATCGATTTGATCTAACTATAGCTAAGGCTATGTGGACCATGCGATAGGCCAATGATATGTACAGTATAGGTTGTGTAGGAAAAAGAAAATTATAAATAAACAAACAACCTGCAAACCCCCGGAAGATATCCGAGCTGCCTATGATAATAATAGTGTTAAGATATAGATAGATAGATAGCTAGATATCCCATTCGAATATCCAACTACAACAACGACTCCAAAGCAACTAACCAGAAGTTAATCATCCTCCGACAAGTTTACTGTCTTGCAATTGGAATTTGTGATGATATTAAGATGTGACTCGTTAATAGTTATCTATATCGCAAGCCGACAGCCTCAGAGAGACGGCAGGATGAAAAGGCTCTTAGCATAATATCGATATGAATCGCCTGCGATATCTATAAATGCTATATACGGGTATGCACAAGTGCATACATTGATGGCTTTGCACTTCCTGGAGGACAGGAAAGGGTGGTTAAAGAGTAGAATGCAAATCCTAAGAGTAGCTCTATCTATTCTTGTCCCAGCGGGAGAAAATGTCAAGTAATTCTTCACATAAGTAAAGGATAGTAATTTCGATGCTATTCCTACTCGTCGTAGCAGGCACGGAGCCTAGTCCTTACGTTACTTCATTTCTTTTTTATAGTTAGCTCCGGGGTGTAGAAATGATGTTACCTAGGTAGGCACTCAATCTTACTAGGTACTTATCGTATGAGTGCGGTAGATTTTGTAAGATGTTATTTTCGTTCCGGCATTTATGTAGTGCAATCAATTTCCCAGAATGCAAATCTCGTATGCATGTATAATGGAGGCTCAAGGTTTTGTTGACACAAGGATTGATTGCTTTTGAATATACAAACTGTATTCTTTTTATGTCCATGTCGCTACTGGAAATTTCTAAAACAAGAAGTCTCCTTTAAAGTTTACTTTATTCAATTCTTCCATGATGCACCTTGTCCTTCATCTCCGTCGTGTCCGTTCTATCAGAACTCTTTCATGCCAAGTACTCCATGCTGTACAATTCCATCCCATTGCATTTTTCCAACCTCATACCTTCCCCCAATTCCATATCCGGGTAACGCCTGAAACCCAACAGCACCCATTGATTAATTGTCCAATAAGTATGACCACTCTGGAATTTCTTTGATAAGACTCCACATATATTTCTCCACCTTGGTAGCACACTTTGCATATGGAGTCGAATCATTGTTGTACTTTTTACAATTGGTGTAAATCAACATTGCGTCTGCGATAAAATCTTCCGGCTTCTCATACAAATCCTGTTCAAGCTTCGTTTCCATGGTTTGAAAGTCCATCGGGTTCAAAATTACATCGTAATAATCGGCGACATCATTAATGTTGACAGGTGAAATGAATGGCCAAGATTGGTGATAATTTTGAAGAGAACTTAGTAGTCTTTGTAGTTGTGAGAAGTTTGGCCCATGACGAGGTTGACGAGCTAATTCATCCATGGCAGGTGTCCAACCCGAGGCGCGAATAGCTGGGATAGACATTGGATCTATTTTGCAAACGCCATTCTTCCATTGCTTCGGTGGTGCGTGAACTTCATCTGATTTGCTGAAGGCGAGGATCTTTGCATTGACTACCTCCTTTTGTTTCAAGATCATGCGAGAGTGTTCGAGGTAACGGACTCTTGGGAGCATCTCGCATTGCATAATTGTTCCACCTTCATAATCTTTGATGTAACCCATCCAGCGACTTTTCTCCAAAGTGATTTCTTTGGTGAATCCCTGCTTCTTAAAGTATCCAATGGCATAATTATCAGCGTAGGTGAGGAAGTACATGACGTTGGAGGAAGCCTTGACGTAGTCTTTGAGATGGTTCATGAGATGTGCACCATATCCTTTGACTTGTTGATCAGATGATATGGCACAAAAGACAATTTCCGCAAACTCGCGATCATCAAATGGTCGATATGTAATTCCTCCTATTACTTCCAGTGGTGAAACTTTTACCAAAGCAATAGATAAATGGTTTCGATCATAGACTAGACGAGCAATGTATTCCTTTGGCATCTTTGGCAATTGTTTTTGAAAAATACCTTTCAGTCCCGAGAGGATTACAGTGCTTGCATTCGTATCGTCATTGTTGACAACTCGAAACTCGATTTCACCCTCTCGCTCTTCAATTACCGCTGGCTAAATTATTGTTAGATAAAAAGAATGATGTGGAGTTGCATCAGAGGACTAACTTTTTCTGGAAAAGGTATGATGTTGATGGTGGCAGGATGTTCCGTATTCATCTTCTTCAAATGAGCAGTCAATTCCGCTTCATTCATTTTCATCCTCTTAGAATCAACAGGAGTACTAGGTGGCTCTTCTGTAGCCTTTCGCTTTGGAGGATTTTGGGGATTTGGACCCATGGCTGAAGTCAATTCACTGGAAGTAACTTGTGACGGGGTATCTAGAAGTGCAGTATCTCTTTCAGTCAAAACTTCCGGGCTTGAAATTGATAGTTGATTGATTGTGTCCTGAAGTGTTTGAGTATCTGAAGTTGACTCTTCTGATGTCGTATGTTCTCTATGATTAACTGTCCCCTCGATGCCGAGCTGTAAGCCCCGAGTTTCTGATCTCAGAGATTGTCTTGGACTATCGATATATTGATGATTGCCCAAGTCGATTTTTAAATCTTTGGAAAGTTCTTTTGAGGGAGGCATGTTAGCAATTTTCGTTGATATGTATAAGAGATGAGGATTGACTTACTTTGAGTCTTGGATTAATATAGATAGATGATTAAAGTTCAATAATATCGTTGCTACTTGCCCTTTGAATTGGTTTGTAAATTTAAATGTATTGTCGCTTCTGAATGTAGTGAGAGAGCGATGTAAATGGAATGGGGATGAGGATGAGGGGAAGGAGGAGGTGGAAACATGGAGAATGTTGAGCATCCAGATTCCCTGTATTATGTCATCATATTAGTGAGTGGCACGGTTGTACCAAGTGCATTAGTGTACCGTGCTAGTATCGGTGGAGCTTTTTCCGACGCTAAGCCATTCCAGGATGTGAAGCCAGATTTGTCGTAAGCTTGGAGTTGGGGGAGCTTTTATGGATTAATTGAATGCTGCCAGTGTACATAGCAACAACAACAATAACAAAGCACTCAAGTTTCTTCAAATTCAGATTCAATCTTTCGGCCAATCTCTCAAGTAACAATCAAACTTTTTCTATAGTCGATTCAACACTACCTACTGTCGATAACCACTCTCAAGCTCATCTTATGGAGTCCTCATTACACGGAGTTTGGGAAAGTGCCGTTGGCAATCCCTTTATCCCTACAGTTGGAAAAGATAGCCAGTTCACCTTGGGATTCTCTTTATTGTGTATAGGAGTTCTTCTTTCTGGATTGTTTGGACTCAGTACGCGTCTCAATATCATAATACCACGCTTAGACTAATCATTCGCTTTAGATCGATCAGCTCTTACTGTGCCTTTACTTGGACTCCCTGCCTCAGCAGCCATTGCGTATGTTATATTCGAAATGTACCCTTTTGTACATATACTGATATCAAGTAGGTTCGGCTCGGTTTACATGATTTGCGCCGTCGGAGTTTATGTTTAAGATACCCCTCCATCGAAACGAACATACTACTTTACTATATTTTTGTACAATAGCTGGATGATAGGAAAAGCAAAGGAATTTAATAAAATTCTCATATCAGTGATCTCGCAGAATCAATATCCCACTTTCTCTTCAATACCCATCCATCCATTTTATTTTCTTTATTTTCACAATGTCGACAACATCTGCTCATGACGAGCCAGTAGTGCCCATCTTTAAAGCCGTGTCCAGTTCTGCGCGGCAACTCTTTCAATTACTCAATACAATACGATTCGCACCTAAAGTTCATGTTCAGATTAGTACCCAAGGTATCCGATTCGCGGTTGAAGAATCAAGAGTAATGCAAGGTTAGCTTCCCTGAGTTCAATGGATGTAGTTCTCCTTGTAACTTTTCTTTTTAGGAATCGTATTTCTTGACAAAGCTCTGTTTACTACTTTTAATTGCACTCTTCCCGAAGCAGAACTCGAAGAGGATCAAGAAGATGCATCTTTGAAAGATCTACCTGCCTTTCAAATATCGCTTTCCGCCTTACTCGAAACTTTACAGATTTTCGGTGCAGCAGATGCCGCTTCACGATTTTTCAAACCCGAAAATGAAGGCTACAATAGTAATATCCGTCCAAATCGACCAAATGCATTCAGCAACCAAGCTCTGGGAATGGCCGGTGTATGTCGGTTTTCTTATGCAGGAACAGGATCACCTTTTAGTATTATTCTTGAAGAAGCTGGGGTTACTACAACTTGTAATCTCAACACTTATGAACCAGAAGACTCTGAAGAAATACCATTTCAACGAAATGCCATGCAAGTCAAAATCATTATGCAAGCTCGTTGGCTTTTTGATGCCATTCAAGAATTGAGTTCCACAACTCCAAATCGACTTGATATTCTTGCTCTACCTTCGAAACCCTTTATCAGCTTGTCTGCTACTGGTCATTTGAGTAGTGCTAGTGTCGATTTTTCTAAAGGAAGAGAGCTATTGGAAACTTTCGCCGTCAAAGAAAGGTGGTCTCAAAGTTATCGTTTTGATATGATAAAAGCTGCTGGTGAAGCTATGAGATTAGCGAGTAAAGTTAGTGTAAGGGGTGATGAGCAAGGCGTTTTGAGCTTGCAATTTATGGTTGAGGTAGAAGGTGGTGGTGTTAGCTTTGTTGATTTCAGATTTGTGCCATTCATTCGAGCGGAAGATGATGAAGATGATGATAGTGAGGAAGATGATGATGAATTTGAAGAGGAAGGTGATGATGAATAGTAGCAATTTGAACAATGACGAGCAAATTTCTGGCAGTATGATCATTTCAGTATTTGATATATCCCAGGCCTCAACCTAGCTGCCTTTTAAATGTCTCATCATCACCATTCGTGGTATGGATTCCAACCGTGCTACTGTCATAGAGATTAAGGGAGAAAATCAGTGGGCTCGGGTACACAATTCACTTGAAAATAGGTAGTGAATATTCTTATTCACGCCCGTGAATTCTAGGTCACAGTACTAATAAGCAGCTTACGGCTCGAAGTAAGATTTAAGATGCAAGATGTAGGATTTAAGAAGACATATCTCTTTAAAACAAGTTTTATTTCATCACAGAATAATTCATAAGCTCAACCATCCTACACATACACATACACATACACATACACATACACATACACATACACAACACTTTTCATAGTTTAGTGTTTTATCTTCTAACTTTGAAGGTTCATTAAACTATCAGGATCTGAGGGAAGATTAGCTGTCTTCTTTTTATGTTTTAGTTGGTCGGTTGGTCAGTTAGTTCCTTAGTCACTCAGTCACTGAGTCATTCATCCCATAATGGCATCTCGCGACAACCCCACGGATATCAGCGTCCGTGCCGCAGCCAATATCCTCGCATTCGCAGTCGCAGTCGCAGTCGCAGTCGCAGCCGCAAGCATAGCTCTTTTCGACTTCTACAAAACTTCATATAATTCAGGTATAAAAAATGGTGCAGAGTCAGAACGCAAACGTGTGGTTCAACAGTTGTTGAGATTGGGACCGCGGAAATTGGGGAGGATTTTGGGGGATGTAGGGGTGCGGTTTAGGGTGCGTGATGGGAAGGGGGATGGGGAGTTTGTGGGGTTTGATGGTGATGCTGGAGAAGATGTACGAATTATCGAAGAGGAAATTGTACGGGATATAAAAAAAGAGTTAAAGAGTGAGATGAAGAAGAAATTAGAATGGGAAGTCAGAAGGAAGTGGATGGAGTTGAAGAGTGAGATTAAAAAATGAAGACGAGAAAAATATCGAAAATAAAGATCCTGAGAGGAAATCAGAGAATCAGAAGAATGAAAGAGAAGATGGAAAGGATGTGGAGGAGGGAGGAGGGGAGGCAGAGGGAGAGAGATGAATTGGAGATAGAAGAAAAAGACAGGAACAAGGAGAGATGAAAGAGAGGATTAGAGTAGAGAAAGATCAGGAAAACAGCAGCGAAAATCTCACGAGGGAAAATGAAAGTTCGAGTCTCACCGGCAGCGAGGAAGTCATGATGACAACTACAAGTACTGCCGAGAGCGTCATCGCGAGAACGAGAGATTGAGATAGGCGGCTTGCGGAAATGATTGTTCAGGATTTGGGTGGTCTTGCTACTTAGGTAATTGTTGCTATATTCTCTATCAGGTACATGTTATGGATTGGGATGTCAAATTGTGGGTCTAGATGGAGTAATAGGTATTTTGAGGAAAATAGATGATACTATCTATCACAAGTACATAGATCCATCTATAAAGCTAAAAATAAATGTTATCCTCTCTTTTTGTACTGCATGTATCGCCAAAGTATGCTCGAGTCAACTTTACTTAGTCCCGCAGTCTGGGCATTCACCGTCAACAAATAACTCTAGTACCATGTGTTGGTCAACTACCGTATTTAGTAGTCCATGAAGTTCCCCAGTGGCTGCACTCTGATCTCGATGTCATACTTTCATTGTGGGAGACACCCTTTGAACTCCGGAAGTTTATTAAGAAAGAAGAATGGTGTTCTAATATCTTGAAGATAGCACACATCTGGCAACACTGCTGAAGGCTTTGCTCTGGCTAATACCTCATCTCATTCACCTTGTTTCTGACTTCTTTGCAGACTGAAACTGGCAGATTTACTCCCTACTCTCCTGTAGCATAGTTCAGCCAAGAATGGGTAACCATTCATAATAGGGAAATATTCTACCCTCTACTCACGGTGGTCTTTAGCTACACCAAGGCAATGTTACATAAAAAATGATCTTACAAGATGCCATTAACAACATTTTGGTCGTGTCTGTTAAGCAACAACTATTTGCTCATGTGAATATGCGAAACGGCCATCAATCACTCAATCGATCCATCTTTGTTGCTCCCTATCATACCCAATTACTGCCAAATCCACATTTAATGTTCTCAGCATCATTGCCATTGTGAATTCCTGTACTGTATCAGTAGTAGATCAAGTCAACCATAAAAAAACTTACATCTTCCTCTCCAGGATTCTCTCCAGTATCACCAAGACCTGGAGCTCTCTGTGCTTTTTCATTCTCCGTCTCAGGATCAATGCTATACTCTGCATAAATATCTCGTTTCTCTTTGACCTTACCATCCTCGTCATCGTCATCAGAATCGGCATTGTTATTGTTGTTTGCTTCATCCTGATCCCAATTATTTTGATACTCCTGTTGTCTCTTTTGCATTTCCTTCCAAGCTCTTGGTCCACCCATTCTACTCCATCAAACCCCATCAGCACAAGCCCTGTAACCTCAAGAGTAGAGTGACGTACCTATTAACCCTATCTCTAACCTTTCCAAACAACTCTTCTGCTGCTAATCGACTCGCTCCTTTCCACTTCTCACACAGTTCTATTAACTCTCCATCAATCTCTCCATTTCCATCCTTATCTTTAGCTTTACTATCCCTCTCAATCTTCTTCGCCTGTTCTGCCATGTCTAATTCTTCTTTGACTGCCTTCAGTTGTTTCTCCAATTCTCTTTGCTCTTTGAGTAGTGGCGCAATATCTGGATCGGCATTAAGAACCGCTGGGGAAATCGGTGATGTGAAAGATTTCTTGACGCGTGTCACTGTATTTCGAGATGGAATGCTCACGACCGGGTAGGAAATTGAAGTCTTGGAAGATAGAGGAGTAGAGGTTGCTGAGGCGGCAGTAGAAGCGCGAGTGTTTGGAGGGGCTTTAATGAGGGGTGATTTGAAGGGTGTCTTGAATGGTGAGCGGAAGGGTTTTTGAAGAGTATTTGCAGCTTCAATTCGACGACGTTTGGCTGCTGGAGTAGACATCTTGTGAACTTTGACTTTAGTTAGTGCTGTTGGTAGTAAGTTATTGATCAAAAATTGTGAAGCATTTTTAATTGTGAAGTCTTGGATTATGATTGCTTTCTGTAAGGTTCTTGAAGTTGCAGTTCATGAGAAGCCAAAGGTTTGAGGGAAAGCTCGGACCTCATAAAGTAAGTTATTGCTTGTTCCAGCAGAAACCCGGTGAGCCTTTTCCAGTGGTACCTAATAACCAGCTACTACTTACCAGGTGCGTCAACTTTGACATAGAAGGAGCAGTAATCTAGGCCATACCATTATTGCGTGTTTGTCACCAAGACCTGGATTACAATTATTTCTTGATATTTTACATTTTAACATCTTACATGTAGCGATGGAGCAGTGATGAAAACACACTCCTAAGCCCCGAAGGATTAATAGTCAACGTTTTTAACTGTTCTTCCCATGTCTTGCCATCCTCAAATATGAGATCTTTACCTAAGAGCTGCCGAATATCCTTTCCGCCCTGTGGGATACCTGATAAGTCAACTGTGACAGTATTGTTGTCAACATTTTGGTTGCCTATGACGATTATTGCCCCATAACGTTTTCGTTTTGCTTCGGATATCTTCTTTTTGACCGATCTTGGACTATCATCTAGCTCAATTGGAATTTCAACGGCGTGGCGCGATCTTGGGAATAGGTTGTGATGTGATTCATGTGCTAGTTGGTTTTTGACCATTTTCGCGTATTTTATAACTACTTCAGAATCATTAACCGTGAGGATAGTGACTTTAGAAGGGTTTAACCAAAATGGCCAATGACCATTGTAATGTTCTATTAAAAGTGCCATCATTCTTTCGACAGACCCTAAGATAGCTCGATGGATTAAAACCGGCGTCACCGGCCCTTGCTTAGCCAACAGAATAGGGTCATGTGTAATCTCTCCCTTTGCCTCAATCTCTGGTGCGGGGGCTTGATATTCTAACTCGAAACGTTTTGGTAGCTGAAAATCAAGTTGAATCGTTGCAGTTTGATGCTCTTTTCCATCAGAATCTTTCAAAATGATGTCAATCTTTGGTCCATAGAAGGCTCCATCCCCTTCATTTATCGTCCATTCTCGACCACTGTTATCCAATGACTGCTTTAATGCTGTCTCAGCATTATCCCATTCTTCCTTTGTTCCAATGTAGTGATCGCTTGGTCGAGTAGACAATACCAATCTATAATGCATGCCAAGTCCCAATGTCGTGTACGCCATTTTCAGAAACTCCAATGTATTAGAGATCTCCTCCCCTATCTGTGAAGGTCGACAAAAGATGTGCCCATCATCTTGGTGGAATCTTCGTACCCTGGTTAACCCGCTCAACGCACCAGATATCTCGTTCCTGTGCAATGGACTGAAATCAGTATATCTAACAGGCATCTCACGATAACTCCTTTGTTTTGATGCAAATATCAAACAATGACCCGGACAATTCATTGGCTTCAAACCATATTCTTCATTCTCTCCCTTTTGACCCCCCATTGTTTCTCCTGACGCACCACGGCCAACCACTGAATACATATCTTCGGCATAATTCTCCCAATGTCCCGATTTTTCCCATAATGACCTTTTGTATATTGTAGGTGTTATGACCTCTTCGAAACCGAAATGTGAATATTGTGCACTGAGAAATTCGGTCAATGCTTTGAACATGCGCGCACCTTTAGGAAGAAATAGAGGTGAGCCAGGACTATAAGGAGAAGTAGTAAATAGTTCTTGTTCGATTCCTAGCTGTCGATGATCAGCTGCTGGAGTTGGAATGGTTGTGGTAGGCTTTTCGACTTTCGAGGTTACTGATGGTCTTTCGCAGGATGCACATGAACGAGTGAGGATAACTGTTGCATGGCTGGACTTTTTCGAGGCCCAATATCGAGAACATTGTGAGGTTGATGTGACATTCAATCCATTCTGGAACAATCGTAAGGCTCTAGAGGAGACCATCACGATAACTGTGACTCAAGATCCAATCCTGCGAGTTCCATATATTTAATCAGTTTCTTGAGAAGGTCGATGAAATCGTGGTTGGTGGGGTTAATCACGAGTTGACGCGTCACAATGCTACAATGCTACAGCCTGCAACCAGGATATATATAAGTAAGATCTTACATTTTGTCGGGCTACGATAGGTGGGAAAGTCGACAACAACAAAATCATGAGACAATGCCATCTATTTATTTATTTATCCATCCCCAAGAGTAACCTTATGAATCAGACTGAATGAAGTTGCTTTCCACATTCAGCTCTTCTAAATCATTTCTTATCAGGTTCTATGAACTTCTCGTCGTCCCACTTCGTATTTGCTATTGTGCTACATATATCCTCCCGGTTACCAACATAGTTTAACCTCACTTCTATCCCTTTCATTGTTATTACCTATCGTCGCCAGCGATACGATCCAGAGCAAACCTAAATTATCAAACGTGCCTCGCACAATGCGTGGTGGGAGACCAAACTTACAACTTGGTGAATCATGGGTGGTAGATGGTCATGACGAGGAAATAGATGAATATTTGCCACCAAACGAAGAAGATTACGATCACCAAGCAAGAATTTCTACTCCACGAAGATCCCCCAGAGGTAACAACCGATCCCCGGATCCTGAGTTTGTGATGCCTCCTCTAGACGCAGAAACTTTAGAAGCTTCTTGGTCTCAGAGTGAGAGCACAAGTAGAAGTCCCAGGCGGTTCCAGGAATCCAAGATAAGGAACTCGCGACATGATACCAGTCATGAATCCCCAAACGTACGATTAAGGACGCAACCGTCTCGTAATAAATCCCCTTTCGCCTCTTCCACTACCGATTTTAATACACACCATCGACCAAATTCTGACGTCAAAGATATCATCACTGTTTTCTTTGATCATACAATTATGGCTTTTACCTGGATCCTAGAAATTTTGAAAGGTGCCCTTAGACTTTTGCGAACGCCCCTATCTTACTTACTTGCTATATGCATACTCTATGGATTTTCTCTAGTTGCTAGAAACCTGATTACAAGTTCCATCTATGCATCATTATCTCCTATTTGTTTTCTCCCAGGTTCATCATTGTTAAACTTACCATTCTGTTCTACCGACAATGGCGGTCCCGTCAATAGAGCAAAAGTGCCAGTCGAGTTTGAACAAGTGATGATGGTTCAATCTCAGTTTGAAGACATCTTAAAGGAAAGCGCTGGTGGTGTCTCGCTACCATTAGATATGAAACGTGGGGAGAGTTTCCTTAGAGATCTACGTCAACTTGTACGATATAGCCAACTCAGGTCAAGGTAAGCGATCACTCGACACTTCTAACTAGACGAGTCATTCCATTACAAGTCTTGTAGCCTAAAGGAATACCAAATAAGTCTCGTTACAAGAACTGAATGCTAATACTTCCAATTTTAGGAACGAGCTCGTGCTGGAATTCGATGGATTCATCGACACAGCAAAGATTGCATCATGGGACCTTACAAAATTCAATAGTCATGTGGGTAGAGCGGTAGATAGTGTCATATCTATCACGCGTTGGACCTCACGAGTTCTTGATGGTATTCAAGAGCGTGAAAGTTCTCGTGGTTTGATCGGAGCCTTTGTTAATGACAAATTACTTGCACCATTCCAGCCTATCAAATTTTCTGAAAGACTCATTCTTGATCAGTATGTGGAGCATACTCGAGCTGTGGAAGAAGAAATTGCCCGATTGGTCGTCGAAGCACAAGCTCTATTGCTGGTTCTAAATAATTTAGAAGATCGTTTAGAGATTATCCATGGAATCACAGTAAGAGACGGTGTTCAAGTACAAGCTAGCAAGGACGAGACCTTGTCGGAATTATGGGCATGGCTTGGTGGTCATCGAGGCAAGATTAACAAACTCAATGGCCAACTCAATTTGTTGAAAGATATTGGGGACAGACGTAAAATTGCTTTAGCTCATGTGTCAGGAACTCTGATCAAGCTTCAACAGATTGGTTCTGGTTTGGAGGATTTGCGAGAAAGGGTAGCCGCACCAGAGCTTTTACGTGACAAAATCGATATCCCCTTGGCAGTTCATATCGAACACATTCAGCAAGGAATAACACGCTTGGAAGACCAAAAACTTATTACACAAAAGTCAAAGGATGATATCATGGAGAGAGCGAGAAATCGTAATGATATGGAGGGAAATCTTATCGATGGATGACGTGTTTGGCGTACGGTTGCTAATGCGTAGCCGGAATATGCGTTATTGGACAAGTCATGTACATTTGATACTTGTTTGGCCGTTTGAAGCTTATGACTTTATTTCCGTGGATTTCGAGTGTCGGTGTCATTTTCAGTATGATGGGCGAGCTAGGAAATGCTTAATGATTTGGCTCCTTTTAGTATACTAACTACGATAGTGGATTGCAGTTCAAATGGTGCCACTAGTAGCTGGGGAAATCCAATAGCCCCACATTATTTTCCATATCTATATAATCTACACCACTTCCCCGATTCAATACATCGAACCTTACCCACTTAGTACGTTCTTACATTTCCATATCTTGCCATCCCAACTTTCTCGCCCTTTTCGGCTATTTTTTCTTTTGGAACTTTTCTTTTCCCTCGAGTCTCTCCATTTCCCATCTTCCTTTTCTTCGATCTAGTCATCTTCCTTGAGCTTATCTGGAATGATGACTACCTATGAGGACTATGGATCAGAGGAAAATGAAGGTGGTATCTTGAGAGATACTCTCCCTTCCCCCTTTACTCCTGATGACTACATATTACCGGGACAAAAACTTCAAAGACTTCCTGTGATTTCAAGTGTAATCTCACCTTCAAGCCCTCGAGCAATCATTCCGGAACTTCAAGTCATTGCCTCTGAAATCCAAGTACTCGACGGACAAATTCATCTCGGCCCCAAGACCTCAAAGGAACTCTCCGAGCGAATCCTATCCGAGGTACATCATTTCGAAGAAATGAAGGAGATTTTTGATCATCGAAAAGAAGAGGGCGTCAAATTTCACAAACCAGCTCTGGCATCATTGGTTATAGAGCAAGATCTTCAAAAGGATCTGGAGCCCGTTCCACCGAACCTGAGTTTTGTCCAATCCATCATACCTAAATATAATCATCAATCAGAAATTCGAAAACTCAAAAAGACTATCTCGCAAACGAAAACCGAAGATGGTATGAATTTCGTATATGTCCATGCAAAGGATGATCTTTATCCTCGAAAGTTCCACGGGTCAGGTGGGCGCATAAAGTTAATACCCATGTTTCAGTTCCCAGAATGTGTCACCAATTTTGATGAGATCACTTGGAAAGAGACAAGGATGGTACTTTCTAAAGATCTGTCACGGGATATTTTGAACCACTGTGTCCTGCAAATTGATCATAACGATTATTTACTCAATGACTGGAGGAATTTTGCAGACCTACCCACAGATGATCAAAGTCTTGGAGTTACCGGATTTGACTTGGTTAAAAATCATTTGCTTAATGGAAGGTGGGTATGGATCACAAAGGAAAGTGATGTCTGTCGAAGGAGCATCATGGTCGAACAGACGGCTCATCTTTACGACGCTCGAATGATGTTCATTTTTAGCAAACATACCGAAGAAATGCCTTATCGACCCGAACCCCTCAAAATTTTTACTACGTCCAGTGATCGGATCTGGGGTTGCTGGGAAAGAATGAACTACGGAGGCGATATCCCGCTATTGGGAGGAGTACTCATCTGTTGGGTTTATAGTGAAGGTTATAATGAAGGTGAAGGGGGACCGCTCGCATGGATAAATCATGCGGATAATAATGACTTGGCCAAGTTTCTCCGTCCGGAGAATCATAGTCGTCACAATCATAGGGCAGTAATCACACTCGGAAAGAGATCAGATCGTACTCCACCTGTCCCAAAATTTCTCAGGCAAGATTCTGGTTACTGCACCATGGAACCGCTCGATATTCTCGGTGAATTAGATTCGGAGCTTTTGGTTCAGGTTCGACCCAACCCAATTGATGAATCTAGTAAAATCCGTTATGTTTCCCATCTGAATCATTTGCCTTGGTGTGATGAGTACGGAACCCCAGGATTTCACTGTGACTGCCCGGGCCCTTCTCGAGAGGAAGGTCAGGAGTTTAGGGAAGACGAGGAAGAGGATGAAGAAGCATTCTGCAGAAGACGCAGAAAGTTTCTGGATTTACCTGAACCAAATCCGAAACCCGGCTTCAAAAAACGTTTTTCCAAACCTTCATTCTCAAATAACGCTTTGAAAACATGGAAGGGAAAACTTGCTAGACTTGGAAAGTCGAAGGATGTGTCCCATTGCACCTCAAGGCCAACATCAATACATTGTGTAAATTGAAATTGGTTATTAGAGAAGTGTTTATTGAATTTGTGGAAGGTTACATTGAATTCTTAGTCAAAGAAGAGTTGAGAATCTTCAAGTTGTTGATATTAATTTCTAATTTTGTAAGTGAAGGAGTAGGAACCATTTTGGGTTTATTCCAGAGGGATTGAGATTCATGCATTCAGGACTGGGGATAATTGTATAGCTGCATGGTATACTTCGTAGTAATAATAGTCATGTAAGTTTCATCACCTCGGTTATTCAAGATTCACAAGTTAACAATGCATTTTGAGCTATGAGTGATTTTTACAACTGAGACATATGCCACTATTCGCACGGAATTACGAATGTGGTAATGACTTCTACAATTGAGACACATGTCGCTATTCGCATAACATAGATGGAGTAAACATCAAGTCAAGTTTGTAGGAATTTACCCACTCCGGGGTGGGAAAGAGAAAGTACCTGCATTTTTAGCCATAGATACCAAGGTTTACTCTAATATGATCTACATCACCAGTAGATCAAACGGTCAAAACTTAGATTCCTTTCTTGTTGTCCATTTAACCTTGGCATGCCAATGTCGATCTCCCCACCCTCTGTGAGTAGTGGAAGGTACTAGTAAGCAGCTAAAAATGTGGGTTATGCAAATCATAAGTTTGTTTGTAGATCCTGTCTATCTATCTTGCTGTAAACACTTCCCTGCTTTTCTACATCATTTCTTCTTGTTTATCAGCACATAGTATTGCAAAAAAAATGTATTGTAGTGGGGGGCTGGGTGGGGGCCTGGGGGGAGGAATACTAGCTAACTAGCTAGTTTAAATTTTTACACTAGAAAATCGTGTCGGAAGTTGGAAGTTGGAGGTTTAGAACTAAACTACTGTCTGTTATCTTGAAACCTGCATATCGGGACATTTCATCATAAAGCTAGAGAGTTGGTGAGGTTATAACGGTTGATATTAGTCTACTTTAGTCTTTAGGTGTTTTGGTGGAGTCATTACAATTTACCTTGTATACTAGTATATGAATTTGGAAACTTATTTCTTGTGGTTGATCTGCGGTATTTGTTGCCAAGGTATTGAGATTCTTAGGTAGGATGGGAATGATGTATCTGAAGGGATTAGTTCAACTATTCAAGTACTCATACTTACGATTTGCTGCCAGGCTGTGATGAGTATCTAGACTAATTAGCTCAAATATTCAAATACTAATACTTACTATAATGACAGCTCCATATACTAATAGCTAGAGAGGAATCTAGACCCGATAATTAGATAGATTAATAGGAGGTTAATCCGGTTAATCTTGGGAAGAATAGTTATTGTTGCGTGTCTGCTTCATATGCGATTGTTGAATTATTCATCTCTTCTGTATACTTTCCCATTCTTTGGTATGGGATTGTGATTTCATGATGTGTTTTTGATGGGATGATTGATAGTATATTGTATAAAATTCTCTTAAAACTTTATTAGAATATTATTGTTATTAATATATTAAAAAGATTATTATAATATTATTATAATATTTATTAAGTTTTTTTAAAAAAGAATTTAATTTGAAAATTATTATTATATAATATCATTCTAAGGGTTGCGGAAATTCATTTTTAGATACAAAAAATATTAAAATATAATTTATTTATTAAAATCTTTTAACATCTATAAAATAAATTTATAATTGAAATTATTTTTTTTATTATAATATTTTATTTTATTATTTTATTATTATTAAAGGGTTGCCGAAACCCTTTATAATATTGAAAAAAGAGTTTCTGTAACTCTTGAAATAATATTATTATTAATTTATTATTATAATATTAAAAAAAGAGTTTCTGTAACTCTTTAAATTATATTCTTTTAATAATAAAATAATAATAATAATTCTTTTATTGAAAAAGTTAATACTAAAAAGAGTTTAATTATGCTATCATTAAAATAATTACAAAAATATTTTTTCTATATAAATAATATTTTTTATATTTCTTTTTAATATTTAATATCTTAATAATATCATTAAAATCTTTTCAATATATATTTAAATATATATTATTTCATCTTTATTAAATTGTTATTTTAATATATAACAATTTTGTAGAATAATTATTCAATAATATCTAGACTACCTAGAGTAGATCTTATTCTTTGTCTAAGCTTATATATAGTTTAAAACTTAATCTTCTTTCTAACCACTTTAAATGACCTCTATTCAATGTTACAAGGTAACAGTCAACCTGTCTATATGAGCTTGGGCCTCATCGAAAAGTAAGGCAATTTGTATACAAATTTGTATAGTAATCGCCTCATATGGTCTCCCCACCCTCAGCAAGCTCGGACTTATAATCTGATTCAAGAGGTTACGTGATGGACCCTACATATACAAGGATACGAATCGTAGGTCCATAGGATTCTACAGGATACGAAGATCTATATAAACCAGAGGGGTTTCCTGTATATAGGAGCTTCGTGCTCAAGATCAATCATTTAGTATACTCTACTATTAGTTACGAATTGCAACCATTGATATTATTTAAAGCCCCTGCTTGACGCCTAGTTATAAACCCTTCGAGGATCCAGGCCACTTCCACGTGATCTAGATCGCATCCCTCGTAACATTCAGCTGTCTTTCCTAGTCTCCCTTTCTAATAAACTCCACTCTTATATACTTCTATCTCAACGTTATTTTTCTCCGATTAGACTCCTTGGAAGACCTAGTGTAATTATCACTAATATGGAATAGAACATATAGAGCATGGTCATTTATGATTATAATAAATTCCAGTCCAGGAAAGGTACTGATACAAATCACTTCACACAAGATTATATTAAAAGGAAGATATTTCTGTCGAAAATTGGATACTATTTACACACCACCTCAAGGTCATATCATACTCCCTTCAATCATAAGATTCTGGGTGGATATAGTTTTGAGTATAATAGTATAGCCAAATTATTTTGGCCATGGCTTCCCTCCACCACGACCTCCACCACCACAACCTCCTCCACAACCTCCTCCATAACTTCCTCCACAACCTCCTCCACAAACTCCTCCACCAACCTCCATCCCTCAACTCTTTCCTTTACATCATACCAAGTTCATCCTATTCTAGGAAAAGTTTTTTCACCGCTTTAATTCACATATAAGGATACATCAATATCCTCCGATTCAATTTATAAAGATCGAAAAAAACCCACCACTTTTTATAAAATTGAATCATTTACAACTTATATCTCTTTACAATCTGAAATCTTTTTTTGAATATAAAAGAAGCATTTTAATAACTCTTATTTTTATTTTTAATAATAATATTTAGATTTGAAAATACAATTAACAATAAGTGATTTCTTTTTGATTTTATTAATTGATTTTTTATTATTGTTTGTGCTTTGGCTGCTGAGGGTGCTGATATTTGAAGTGTGGCTGTGGATGTGGCTGAATTTGTGCGGTGATGATATTTCTGCTTGGTGGGCGGCCGCTAGTGGTGATACATTCACATAGATTTGTAAGCAATTGAAACAACGTTGAAAATTACCATTATTGAAGCATCGTGAATAGAAACCAACTTTTTACATTATACCTTCAAACAAACTCTTTATTCTTTGTATTTTCTCCATGAATGGTTTACTTCGAAGCAAAAATGGTTGTTGGACCTGTCGTTTGCGCAAGAAGAAGTGTGACGAACGAAAACCATCACCATGTTCATTATGTGAATCTTTAGCGATTACATGCTATGGGTATGGAGCAAAACCGGAATGGATGGATAATGGGATAAAAGAGAAAGAAATGGCAAATAGTATCAAACAAATTGTCAAGCACACATCACGTCGAAAAATTAGGCCAGCTGTGTCAGACACAGGTCAAGATAATGGTGAGAATAGAGAGTCTTCTATCTTCAATCTCGCACAGAAGCCCTCAACTCTATTCTCAAAAGGGAGTCATAAGAAGGTATCTTCAGAATATTCTCCTGCTCAATCAACACATACTACATCAGTTGATACTTCCATGGTAAGATCAAAGAACAGTGAGCATTTATGAATGATTAACAAAAAATAGGCTCTAACTCCAGGCAATGGAAGCATTCTTCTAAGTACACTGCCACCTGCTGGTGGTGAAGCCGCTTTACTCATGCATTTCTTGGATAATGTCTTTCCGCTGCAGTACCCTATATATAAGCCTGAAGTGGCCGAAGGAGGACGAGGATGGTTACTTTCGCTTCTGTTGAAAACTAAACCATTATATCATGCATCGATTGGTCTCAGTGCCTATCACCGCGGTGTTGTACTTCGTGCAAAAAGCTACGGTGGATGTACAAAACCTAGTATCGCTGAACAAGAGGGGCATCTTGCGATTTGCTTGAATGAATTTCAGAATGCAATCAGATCTGCTCAGAATAATACCGATTGTGGCTCGGCTGTTCCGGAAAGTAGTCTTGGAATCATGGCTTGTGTTGTTCAACTCATTTTTTTCGAGGTAAGTTTCTTCTTTGTACAGTGCATAGTTTAGTCAAGCTTTACTGAATCTCACAAACAGCTTTTTGGTGTACGTAAAAGCTCTTGGCAAATTCATCTACGTGCTGCTACGGAATTTCTTGGTCAGAGGTACCGTAAACATGCCACCGAGCTTGGCTTCATGGTCAATGGTGAATCAACTTCCAACATGCTACGAACGGCATGTGAATTGACGAATGGCGAAACCTCCATAATATTCTTGTTTCTTTCGGGAGTGATTATGTGGCTAGACATAGTATCTTGTCTAAGTACAGGAAAGTCACCACAACTCCTTGATCTTCACCTCATAGTACTTGGCGTGAAACCTCAGATTAAGTTGGAGAAAATTATGGGTTGCAAGAACTGGGTCATGACAGAAATAGGTCGTATTGCTGAACTACATGAATCCAAACGGAACGGACTTCAAAATGGTACTTTTGATGCTCATTCATTTAAGACTCAGGCCGATGATATCAGACAAACCATCCGACGTGGACAAAATGAGCAGTTCTTGTCAGAACTTCGTATTACAAGTCCAAATTCGACTTCACACGTCAATTCACCAATCGGTCCTCATGAAATCATTACGCGAATGTTTACTCGTGGTGCTCATATATATTTAGAACTTGTCGTTGGGGGCTTTAAGTGGGTTGAAGAGAATTCGGACTTCTGTGTTATTGTCGATGAAGTGACAATGATCCTTCCGAACTTACCACGTGGAGATTTGCTTCGCGCCATGGTTTGTCCTTTATATATCTTCGGATGTGTGGCTAAAGCAGAAGACCGAGACATTTTCCGAAACATATTCTCTTCTCTACCATTGAATGATCCTTTCATGCATCATCGCGCTACCATTTTACCTCTGCTGGAGAAGGTCTGGTTTCTCAGAGATAACCATTCAAATGATGTGAGTTGGGAATGTGTCCTGCAACTTTCGGAGGATAAGATAATACTTATTTGAGTTGGAAATTTTTTGATTTCACCCCTTAATTTTAGAAATATAAACATGTGAGTGATTAATTGAGTGACTTTTAGTGTATCAATATAAAGTGAGTATGATATTTGCCAGATGATTGAATTTTGACGCCTGACCTGAAAACTTCGACCTCGCTACCGCGTAGCCACACGGATAATATTTCCAATTTTCAATTTCTCGCTTTCAAAAAAACAACAAACTACCTACACTGCGGAAAAATCCAGCAAGATGAACAATTTCAATCGAAATAATGGCCGTAATGGCAACAATTACAACAACAGCAACAACAATAACACATGGAACAATCACCAAGGACGCAACCATAACAATGGTGGCTACAATGGCGGCCATAATTTCCACCAAAATGGTGGAAACGGCTGGAACCAAAGCCTGCGTCCAAACTACCCTACCAACGATGAAAGTTGGTTTGGGGAAAATCAGATGTATGGTGATTATCGAGGCCCATCACAATATGGTGGATACCCACCATTCACCTATGGTGATTTTCAAGGTCCAAACAATCAAGGAGGCTATTTTCAATTTGGACAGAACAATGGCCCACCGATGGGTTATGATTCACGCTACTGGAATGATAGTAGACAATACCAAGGCCCTCCTCCAAATGGCTACTACTCTTCACAAGATGCTAGATCTGGTAATGTCCCACCGATGAACCAAGATGGTGGTAGACAGAATCAGCGGAACAACAAGAGAACTCGTGATAGCACGAGTGATGTTGCTGAACCAGCTGCCAAGAAAAACAGGAATCTACTGAAAAAGGAGACTACTTGTGGAAACTGCTAGATGATCGGCCATCGTGTCGTACACTGCATTGGACCAGTTTCAGCAGCAGGGTTTATTATGGGTTGCGGATTTTGCAATGGTGATAACCACATCAGCGAGGAATGTGAACTTTACAACGTCACAAATCCAGAAGACCTAGACAAGTCGGCGAAACTATGCCTTGAAGACAGAGAAAATCTGCCACCTTTGGCTTGCTCTATAAACCCATTGAGGCACAGACTTGCCGGCGAAGGGCAAAAGTACGAAGAGAAGCTTCCATTGACTACGGATACTGCCATTGAATACCAGATTGCACACCCAAATTACTGGCAACATCACAAATACAAGGAGGGAAATAAACAAAAGGAGATAATTTGTGAGAAAACAGACAACAAATGGGGATATGAGGCACAAACTGCTGAAGATAGTTCAGAGTTGGAATACCCCAACTTCTGTACTTCGATTAGATCAGTCAAATTTCCCGCTGCTTGGAAACCCGCTCCGATCACACAATCCAACCAGGAAGGGAGAGGCAGACGAGATGATCCAGGAAACAATAGACGTCGGGATCGAAGCCGGGGAAGATCACGAAGCCGGGGAAGATCACGAAGCAGAGGAAGAAGCAAGTCAAGGAATCGCGGAGACGAGGGGACTCAGAGTTCTCGAAAGTCGATCAGAACCAAGGAAACCGATACGAGTATGGTCGACGCCCTCCCGCCAGCTCTAGTATGCACAAACTGTGGGAACTCTACGCATGGCGGGAAAGAATGCGCCGCAGCCTGCGGCTGCTGTGGTGAAGCTGGCCACCAGCTGGACGAATGCCCTCGAATAAGCATCAAATGCGTTTGTAAAGCTGTACCAGGACATCTCATCATGGACTGCAAGCTACCCTGCAATGGATACTTATGCATAAACAACAAGGAAAAATCCCATCATTATTTGCTTAATTGCTTGACCAAATGCTGCGTCTGTGGTGCTAATGGGCACAGTGGGAAAAGCTGTCTTAAAGCAAGAAATGGCTGCAAGGTGTGTAGAAGTCATGACCATGTCACAGCGATGCACACAAAAGATGCCAATGACTTGCACTGTACGTCAAGGTCATGCCCTATGTTCGCATGCAAGGAACACTGCCAAAAATGTGGCTTTGAAAACCACCACACAAAGAATTGTGCAAACAAAGTTTCGGGAAATGTTGTTACTTGCACGGGCAGACATAGCTCGAGGTTCGGCATTGCCACTCACTGCGCTGAGTGTGCATAAAAGCGGGCGGCGAAGAAAGACAGATCGTAAAAAGAACTTAGGAGTTGCGGAAGGGGAGGGGCTTAGGGATGAGGCTTAGGGATGGGGTTGAGAGATTATATTCAGCGATGGGAGTTAGGGACGGGGTTAGGGATGGGAATTCTGGATTGTGTTGAGGGACGGATCATGGAGGGTGATGGATGGGTAGTGTAGGGTTAAACTGTGGCATAAATGTAATCATGACCTCATTGGAAGGGTGGCTAGGTTGTGACAATCACGGCCTCATGGTGTGAAGATGATTCGGGTTTGATGGGTATATGCTTACTCTATTTTCCATCCATCCCGTCTTTCCTTTGGTGTTACTAGATGAGTCCGCACTTGATCGAATATCCCGAGTCCGCTAGGTCTTCCTTACTCAAGATTATTACAACTGCGAATTCACATCACCACAAGTATATAATAACAAAATTTCACTTCCCTATCATCTAATACTCCCACCACCTTCACTCCCTTGTCATCCAACACTGCCACTCCATGTCACCCACAATGGCACTACCTTGTCACCAGGCCTCCCACTTATACTCGATATATGCTCAAAAAAATTCTGGCTCATCGTCTTCATCTGTTTCATCTAAATTGACATTCGGTAAAACCAATTCTAGTGCTCCATCGAATATTTCTTCGCGGAAGTGGCATGATAATATCTTTGGCATACATGACCAGCACATGACATGGCGAACTTTCTGACAATAGGCTGTGGATATCTTATTATATACCCAATATCAGAATAGGAGCATTCATGTGCTGCAGGATTTCATTTGCGTAAATGTCTGTAAGCATCATCTTTTTGGTTTGCAACCCATTTCCCTATGAACTACATGTCTTCGTGCGCCCTCGAATCTCTTCATTTTGTGAGTGAGTGTATTATATTCATCATCTCGAGGTCTGTAAACTGTATATATTACTATGCCACTTGGGGAATCTTTGTTTAATGGAAACCAAAGATGTTTTTTGGTATCTAAAACCCCTCGAATATCATTATAATGATTTGAGCCTGGCAAGGAAGAAGCCCTACCGCCTGCCTACATTCTCGGGTCTTGTATGAGGATAGATAAAATGGAGTATTGCAAGAACCACCTCTGCATTTTCTGAACCTCTCCCGTCTCCTGTTCAGTCTTGCTTCCACAGGGAATACACTTGGAAGTACAAAGAATTTCTCATGTCTATACTATTAATACTTGACATAATTTTCCTTTGGGAACTTCACCTAATTTGCATGGTGGAAGCTATTCCTGTAGTCTGATCATCTCTATCCGAACCCACCCTCAACGTACCGTTCGCTTCACTTTTACATAAGGCTTGTAGATTTGTAAGGCTGAACAAAAAGTATTCTAGTCGCAGCTTTTCCTCCATACTTTATTCCTAACGCAACTCCAAACGAAAAAATGTTTGAGAAAATGGCGTGGAAGACCATGGGTTGGGTCCGCATGGATGATCATCTTATGAAAGAAGAGATCATTAAAAAATTGTTGCACATCGATGCAGTCACTCCAGATATCATGAAAGGAGTCGATCTAACATTTGAGGCACTCTATAACAGAGATGACCTGAAGAATCTCCTCAAAGAGAGCAAAGTACTTCAGGCAATAAGCCGAATTTATATTACGAGGCCAAAAGATAACGCCCAAGCGATCTGGGAAAATGGCATATTGAACCCAGAAGATCTCCGACGAATGAATAATCTCAAAACTGATGGAGAGGTTGGAATTCCTTCATTACTCCACAATATATTTCACCAGGAGACGGGAGATAAAAAATTGAGGTTCTTCTTCCACCTACCAACCCTCATATGCGTCAAATTTGAACCAAAAAAATATAGCGACTATCATAACCATCACAAATTCACTATCAACCACCAAGTTGTGATAGAGAAAGAGGATGGCGAGCTTCCGGTGCTTGTAACTAAGCAAGATTATGTTTATCAACTAATTGCTTCAGTCAGGCTAGCTGGCGAGCGATACGACAAAGAGGGCATGAAGGTTGTCGATGATGTCCGGACATACTGGATCGACGGCCAACCTATCGACACCCGAAATGTGGCTATGGAAGGGAATGAAAAAGAAAAGCATATGGAAACAGAGTATAAGGAAGCTGGGAATAAGATATGGAGTATCGGAGAACCAGGTCGATACCTTCTTTTCTATACTATCGTCATCCTTGCTGAAGGCGTACCAAGCTCGGTCCATGATAAGAAGTTTCCTGAATTCATCCCAATGTTCCAAGGGGAAAAAGCATAAAAGAAAACAACAACTCAGCGCGGGACGCCGGATAAAGTCTGATACGAATACTCGTCTTCCTAAATACATTGTTCCGGAACTTTAATCCGACGAAGAACTGGAGTTTCCAATCCGTGAAGGCGGCAACCCATCCAAGTTGGTCAATAATCGCAAGACCGCGTAACTTCACTATCTCCACCATAGAAAATCATGGATAGAGGAGACATAGCTTTGAGGGTCCACAGCCAGAACCATTTTACTGGAATCAAAACTCTCAGAACCACCAAATTTTCGTTTTAGACGTGTGCTTGAAGGGTATCGCTGGCGTGGTGGGCGTGGTGAGGGGAGTAGCGGTTCTTCCTGCTCTGATTTATCGTAGGATGCAGGATTTGTTGCGCATGCATCCGTGCGAGTGGTCAGTAAATGGTGTTGAGAAAACATTTTGAGCAAACATGGATGGGAGAGAAAAGAGTACATTGATGGGTTGGTGCATGAAAGGAGTATGCTCTTAGGTGTCTGTATTTCCATGAATTCAAGCCCTGTCACCATAATTTACTCGTTTGTGACCTAAGGTTGTTGAGTGGCATAATGTGAAGTTCTTACTCTCTTATATCAGGTATGTATACTCACCATAAATCTAGAATGGAACTTTTAAGCATATTTATGATTAATAATTTCTACAGGCGAGGATTTAACCATAAATGATCATTTTGGATTTTGTCTCACCAGTGATAATTGTTCGAGGCACGGTCCGCCAAGACTATACACACAAATGGCCATATCTGCGATCTGTTGTGGATCACTCATTAATCAATTTGAATGAGAAATGGATGAAATTTCTATGATGGATGATGGAAGTGTTTTAATGGTTAGCGGGGAGTAAGTTGCCGATCCTAATTATGGAAACGATCATGGTGATAACTCTTTGAATAGCCAGTATGTTGTTGCAATGGAAGGGGGGGCTTTGGCCTGATGGTAGGAGGAGAACGTAGCGATGGTAAATGATGATGGAGAGGAGGGTAAGAAGGGGCAAAAGAGAAGGAAGAGAGAAGAAAGGGAGGAAGAAGAGAGGTGATGATTGCTGGTAAAGAATAAAACGGACGTATCGATGGCCAGATGGTGAAGGATGTTGAAAAGAGGGGAGATTGTAAGATACAGGGGAATGCTTGGGCAACTTCCATGAAGTTCAATGCGGTGCTCGTGAACCAATGCCCACCAAAACACGTGGTCATCGAGACTTCGTTCGTCCGAGCGGTAGTAATAAGGACAGGTAGTGCATGCAACATGCAACATGCAACATGCAACATCCCGTCTTTGCTTCTTTGCTTCTTCGCTGGGAATCGTGTTTCAAATGGAATTGGCAACTTCAACACAAATCACGAAATACATGGAATCTTTCCGACTTTTGGAGGGAATTCCCATGCAATATACTTTCTTGACAGGTAAATGCCCATTTCGGATTCCATCGTTCAGCTTATTATTCTGAGTTCTAGACGAAAAATCAAAATTTGATCCGAATTATTCATCATGACTAAGAAAAGGCCAAATTAATGATTAGCGTTTACCAATTTATTGGAGTTGGTCATCAACTATGCAGATTTTAAGTTAGAGAACACTATGGAGTACCCAAACCTTATCAAAGGGCTTATCACGAGTCAATAAAATGACTAGCATGTGTAGATCACCACTGCGGTATGATCTCTGATTGGCTTCCACCCGTGGCACTTCTTCAATACGTCAAACCTCAAATTTAACTTACAAAGCACTGTCCTTCTGCTTTTCGACGAGTATGGAAGAGATATATAGGGGGGGTCTCATATTCTAGATTGCGCCTTCTACTCATAATCACAGCACTCCCATAACCTCATCTCATCCACACTTTATAGAGGAGCATCTTTATCTCGATTCACAACTCACACCGTATATAATTTCTCGAAACTAATTGAAGCTACCACATTTCGAGATAATGGCGAACCTTGTCAAGAATATTCTCATCCTCGGCGGATCTTATGCCGGAGTTAGCACAGCACATCGAATCCTCAAGCAATCAGCCAAAGCCGGACTCGCCATCAAGATCACATTAGTTTCACCAAATACCCATGTATACTGGAACCTTGCCTCCGTACGAGCAATTGTACCTGGAGAAGTGCCAGATGAGAAAGTTTTCTCTTCCATAGCTACAGGATTTAAGCAATACCAAACCGATAAATTCGAGTTTATTGTCGGTACAGCTGAAGGCTTGGATGTGGAGAACAAAACAGTTGTTGTTTCGAGCGATAGTGGGAGATCGAGCTTGAACTACGATACACTTATCCTTGCCACTGGTTCAAGAACTAGAGAAGATTCTCCTTTTAAGAGCAAGGGTTCCTATCAAGAAACGCTTGCCTCGTTACATGAATGGCAATCCAAGGTGAAGAATGCATCTTCTATCTATATCGCTGGAGCTGGAGCCACAGGTATGTTCTTCCTGTACGATTAATCAAGATCTTTAATTCTCACATATGTGATTAGGTGTGGAAACAGCTGGTGAGCTAGGTTTTGCATACGGATCATCGAAGAAAGTTACTCTGGTAAGTTGTCCACCGGAATTTGGACCTCAGAATCCACTCAGATTACTAACTCTTAATCCCAGGTTGCAAGTGGCCCGATTGTTCTTGAAGGGACTCCACCAAGTGTCTCAAAAACTGCCACCAAACAACTACAAAACCTTCATGTTGACATCATGGTCTCTACCAAAGTTTCTGGCTCAGCAAAGACACCCGACGGGAAATACGAACTCACATTCTCTAACGGCAAGAAAGTCACCACCGATTTGTACATTCCAAGTATGGGTCTTGTCCCAAATTCTTCATATATTCCAGAAAAATACCTCAACCCAGCAGGTTATGCAATCGTGGACGAGTTTTTGAGACTCAAAGGAACTAAAGATGTTTGGGTGGTGGGTGACGTGTCAGCTGTTGAGCGACCACAGTATGTGAATACCGAAAAGCAAAGTGTGCATGTTGCGAAGAACATTGGATTGGCGTTGAAGAATTCCCAGCCAGTGGGTTATAAGGTTGCCGAAAAAAGTTAGTTTGCTCCTACTTCCCCTTAATCTCGACTTGAATTACCGAGAATAACGATATATTGACTCTACTTTAGATATGATGGTAGTTACAGTTGGTAAAAAAGTCGGCACAGGTCATATGGGAGGAATGAAACTCCCTAGCTTCATGGTCAACATGGCAAAGGGAAAGACATTGTTTTCCGAGAAGTTGGTGCCTATGGTCAATGGATCTTCATTTTAAAATGATTCTAATAGTGTTCATCGCGCTCTTCCTTTGGAAGGGATGAAGATTCAGGCGTTTTGGGAGATGGAGAAGGGAGATACCATTTATTTCTTTTTTCTACTCATTAATATTTATTTAATTGTATTTGTTCGATTCTTTAACTATTGAATATCCCTGAGTCAATAATATTTTTATAAATGTAAAAGATATAAAATATTTTCAAGAGATTTAATTTGATAAAAGAATCATTTAAAAGATAAAGAATATATTCTTATTATTAAATATTATTAAATATTATTATAAAAATTAAAATAATATATACTTTTATAACTATAATATAATTTTTAAAATATATTTTATGATGCTGACTTCAATAATTTATTGAAAATTCTATAATTATAAAATATTATATAATATAAAGATTTTGTGGTCAATTTAACTTATATATAAATATATTATGTTCAGAAATGAGTTATTTTGTCATCATCATTTGAAGGATTATATAAGGCGAATACCCCTCGAGCGGCTGGTGCTTGAGACTGATTTATATACCTGTAATTAGTATATATAAGATCTTCAAGACTATTAATCTTTCAATCATTAGTTGTAGATTTTGAGAGACGATTGAACCCTGATCTTCCAGCAGTTTATCAAAATTGCGTCATATAGTTGATATTGAAATAGGGAAAATTGAGAGTGTTTTTATATTTGAAAATTATCACAATATTGTTACACAAACTCCCAATCCCATTCGATCCGAACTCAAGACATTCCATCTCCAGCCTCTCTAGCCTCTCCGCCCTATCCGCCCTATCCACACTTCCAACCCTCTCAACCCTCCACATCCTCCCAATCCTCTTCAACCTCTCTATCCTCCACATCTTCTTCAATCTCTCCATCCTCTCTTCTCAACGATCTCAACCTCAGTGCTTCAATAGCTCTCTGCGGCCTCATGACACTTCCGAAATGATCATTGCCAATAATAGGCCGTGTATATTTACACAAATTCGGTATCAGAATGAGGAGTATTCACCGCAGTAAGATTTCATTTGCTTAAGTATGTATAGGCTTCAGTTTTAAGTATCTTCAACTGAGTCAAATTTAATCGAACCATTGTGCCTAATGCGTTTTTTCCCATTGGCTTATTCGATATCCGAACGAGAGTATTATCTTCTTCATCTAGAGACTGTTGAATTTCGTATTTTGCTATAGCATTTGGGAGTATAGTTGTATGTTGGCAGCCATGAACGCTTTTGCTGTCTATAGCTTCATCTGGAGCAAGGAAATCCCGAAGAGATGGGATATTCGGAAGATTCCGACATTCCGGACCAGCAAGAACTTCCAATGGTCCAATTATTTGAGCTTCTGAAGGTCCAGGTGGCGTGGGAGATCTACTCCCTGAAACCATGCCCATACCAAAGGGCTCGTCATCTACCATAAGCGGGTCATCATTCTGATCTTCCTCATCATTAGAAATTCTGCCATCATGGCCTAGACCAAAGCCTGAATCTTCAGCGTCATCGGATAAAAAATTATCCTCAAGGATTTCATCTCCAAGAGGATCCCTCAGATTGGATTGTTTCTCCGACCTGAGTTGCTGACGACGTTGTGATAATACCCAATTCTTCTTCCATCATTTGATTTGGTCAAGAGAAGCGTCCCCTTTCCTATTTTTCAGAATTTTATTTTCATCAAAATATTCCTTCATAGATGGCAAGCGGTAATGGGAATTCTTGGGATCATTTCTATAAGAGTCCCATGCTTTGATAATATTATTCAAATCCCTGGTACGGAGTTGATATGTATCAAAACCTTCATCTTCATTCGCACTTGCATTCTTCGATGCCTTTTGTGGTTTCATCCCAGAATTGGCTTTTACGAAGTGCTTGAGATGCTTGTGAAAATGGAAATGTTCCGGGAAATGTTCACCAAGGCTATCTCTGAATATCCGCTCTTGTCCACGTGTAAGGTTCCCGATAATGCCTGCGTGTCTGAGGGTTTCAAGTAGCTCGGTTATATCCATGTCCATAACGTGTGTCTCGAAAGATTCAGGAACCGTACATCGATCACCACACCTGAGACGTAAAGCTTTTGTCAATAAATATTGAATCAAACTCCGTCTTTTCGCCAATAGTGGCAGAGATATGATATACTTGAAAGTATCACAGAACTTCGTGGTCAAGTGTATAGTGTTGGGTATTTCACGACCCTCATTGCCCACATAATCTGGGAGGTCTGCCCTTGATATGGTGACGTTGGGAGGAAATAATTCCTCGGGACCAACGCCAAACAACCTCATTGATCTTCTCCATAGAGCAATTTCTGCTTTGGGTAGACTATCCAGAAGAGTCTGGTCATCTTCTGACCAGCTCATTACAAGGTTTGACTCGTCATCCAAAGTCCAGAGGTCATCAAATACAACGTCCCCATCTTCACCTGGAACTTTCTCAGGTTCTTCCGATGGGATCTGGTTGCTTTGCTTTTGCCTTTGCCCTTGCCCTTGGTCTTGGTATTCGGCTTGTTTCCTTCGGGCTCTTCAATGAATGGATCATCACTGCTATCATCATCTCCTTCTAGTGGAGTGTAATCATTGGAGCGATCTTGATCAAATCGATCTTTCTTGCGACGTTTCGCACGGTTCTGCTCTTCTCCTGACGATTCTTCATCATCTTGGTCTGAATCCTTTGGATTCGATCTTTTATTCGACATAGGGGATTTCTGCCTCGATGGAATCTGGACGGTCAACCGCCGCGTAGAAGGTTTTGATGGTTGTTGGTGTTGTATTTCTCCATCCGAGTCTGAAATTTGAGGAGAACTTGGTTTCTCTATTATTTTTTATGTCTTTTTGGGTCTACCCCTGCCTCTAGGCTTGGAATTGGACGAATTTTGATCCATTGTGAAAGGTTATGTGGAGTTGAAAATGTCCCGTTCAGTCCCTTGATATTTTTTTTGGTTTTCTTTTGGTATATCGAAGTTGTCCAGGTAACGTGATTTATTTCGCGACGCATTTCACGACGCCCTCTCAGCTTTTCACCTTATTCAAGAATTTTATATTTTACAACTTACATATCCCAAACATTCCAAAAAAAAAATGGCGACCTACATATCCAGAAAATTGACAATGACAAAGAAAGCAGCAGCGCAAAACAAGTTAAGGTCTTTTACTGCCTTATATAACAAGATCACAGAGGAGTTCGACTCCGACAGCACGTTCGACTCTCAGCCTGGCGAAAAGCTTGAGAAGATCGAACGTGCTGTTTGGGGCAAATTTTGTACGTACGACCATAAACTTTTTTAATGGATAGCATGCTAACGTTTATATATAGTTGAAGGAGAATTTCCTAGTGCTGCTCAATGCGAGCAACCGAAATTGCCAACGAATCGACGACGGAGAACATTCGGACAGATGGGGTGGAGCAAAAGACTCCCAATTGAAACTCGTCCATCCAATTCTTGGGCTGCAGGTGGAACTTCTACAAGTCAAACTGGCGAATCTGCCAAGCCTACAGGATCCGAAGAGGTTAAGGGGAAATCGGCTGGACAATCGAAAGATGCGCCAGAACCCCTTCTGAACCACCGAAAGATCCTTCAAAGTCGCACAAGCCAGTGTGCACTTTCTTCTTCAAGGGCGCTCGTCGTACCTAGTACTGGATCTGCCGAAGAAAGAATTCGAGCAAGAGGCGACAATTCTTCACTAGCATGCTTGGCGGGGGGGAGGGAAGAAATTGGTGGATGGGGTCTTGGAAAAGAGGGAAGCAGGCCGAAAACATGGAGCGACTGCTTGATTGTACAAATAAACTCGAAGAGATGGGTGCCAAACACCCCACTAAGAAAAGTATTTGGCACCCTCTTTTCATCAAAGCTAGCAATCCCAAAGTCTGAGAATTCTCTCCCCAGCCTTCAGCGAAACTCATTCGATACTTGTATATCTGTGATGATTCTCCAGGAATGCACTTTTAAATAACTATCCCCACTGTCTGAATCTTAACCTTTAATGACAATAGGATGTCCTATGGGCCATAATCTCTTCTCAATTGACCCCATTGATACAAGAATATAGTGTTAATCCCTTTCGCAAGTTCGTAATAAATATTGAATAGTTTGATATACATTGCAGCAATCTCGATCAATCAATGCTTCCTGGCAAAGAGATAAGCCCTAGCAACCACTCTTACACCAAAAATAATCAGGGAACCCATCCAATTTCCTCAATTGCCCCCCTAATCCATACCCGGTGTTCGGCGTCTAATAATCCATAAATCTGAGCAATCAGATACTCAGACCAACCTTTCATCCACCAATGTGCATCTAGACATTTCATTAAAACTGCAAAATATGCATAGACAACGAGCGCAGGGGCAGTCCGCTGTCTAAGAAGCGACGTATAATGATCAGATACTCGATATGGCCAAATAAACAGATCGGCCGATTCAAAATTATCACGACCCACTTTCAAGAGAACTGCGTAAGACTTTTGAAGTTCATTTATGCTTTCAATGTATGTTTCCAAATCATGTGGATCGGAAATAGATGCCGTCAAAAATTCGGACAAGTTGACTAGGTATTGATTTGGGGGATAGGAACTCGATTCGCGTCTCAATTTATCACGTCTTGCTCCAGCACTGAACATTGGCCTTAGACTTCCTTGATAAATTTTTTCGTGTGCGTGATCTGCTATAGCTCTCACTCCCTTCAGCAGTGTTACCCAATCCGATACGTCGTTCTCGCCGACCATTATCAAATCCAAAGATTTCCGAGGACTTGCTAGCGAGTAAATTAACGTTATCGAGGTAAATATATGTAATGCAGTACAATTGTCATCATTAACATCATCCATCATGGTGATTGCACTAGCTAATGCATTTTGATGATGAGATACGGCTGTCGAGACGTAAAAATCTCTTTTTTCAGGCTTATAGTAAGCAATATGAAGAGCCGCGATCGACAAAATACCCCGCATCACAATTTCATGAGAGCAGGCAAGCTGCGGGATATTGATCCGCCACAGAGTTGCAAGAGAAGGATTCGAGACCACAGTCATGAATGTGGATGTAGTGTAATGGTGAAGTAGTTCCATGTCAAGGAGAGTAAAACTCGATCCATGACCATCGAGTATTGGAATTGAAGGTAGCGGTAATTGGTGAGGAGAATGTGATGGTCCAGTAACACTCATAGGGCTGAATGCGTTCGTTGGTGTTCCATTGAGGCTAGGATTAGGAGACGGGGCTAACGCAGTGCTAGTTGTCATGATGTCACATGACACGGAATGTTTGATGCAATTATTACCTATAGCATGGTTAGTATGAAAAGAACATCCAGCCAGTATCCAATAGTCCAGACTCCTAAATATCAGGGACATCATTATCCGGAATGCCTTACATGATGGCTTATTTTCATCACACTAAAGCAAATATTAGTGACATTCCCTTAGATTGAAGGAAATAGGATAATGGGTACTGTACCTTAATTTTTCTGGACTTGCAAACACGACAACCTGTTCGAACTTTCCTATGCGGCTTACGTGATGTCGTTTGCATGATAGGATAGGATTATACGAGATCTAAAGATGGTTCTTATCTTATCTTATCCTGTATTGCTTTGGAGCCCGAGTACGAAAATAACGAAGCAAAGGCAAGGCAGGCAGCGGTATGAGGTCCGAGAACGCGGAGCCTTATAAGGTTTTCTGTTAGCTGTCGATATATTTGGATGCACAATAAGGAGATTCGGGCTGGAACCTCAAGATTGTCGGTACTTGATTGATTGGAAGAAAGTCGACATGTAAGTTATTAGCTGGGCGGGAAATGAGGTTGGTTTGATGATGGAATGAAGTTGCCAATCTAGAAGCGAAGTTATGCGAGAGTGCGAGATCTATGCGAATTTGTCGAAACTAGTGTGTGTATGTACAAGGGCACCATTAAACGATCCAGTTAGACAACACCCTTCTTTCCTCCACCCATGGATCCAGCCGCCTTTAAATTATTTATTCTAGAATATTAATAAGTACTAAGTGGACCAGAAAAAATCATGCGAAGTCTGCAAAATTGTACCGTAAATCGACAATTTAGGAAATATCAGAGAAGGAATTTGACACGCAAATATACCTTCAAGTTCTTCCAGGAAAAAGGATTCCATCCCCAATGCATTTCCAACCTTGAAATACCCATAGGCGGAGAATGAAGGGTCGGTCTGTCTGCCAAGAATTACATACCCACTCTTCAAAGCTCCGCCTTCCTCGCATGCATATGCGAATTTCCGAGAGCGAGAAAGCGAGCAAACGATATACGAGTGCGTGATTACGCGAATGCGAGTCCAATCGAGAGCAACGGAATACGAGACTGCAGTTTTTCAATTAAGCTGCATTTTTCAAGAACCACGTATATTATAGCTCGATTCCTTTTCTAAAAAATGGATTTCTCTTCTTCACTGCATTCTCTTCTACAGATCTTTTCCCTTTAAAATAGAACCAACTCAAAGTGTCTAAATTCGATATTTCTTTTTTAGTCGCCTCAAACTTCGAATTCATATACGACCTCCTAACAAACTCAATACATCAGTTATCATGTCAAGCGATGGCGTATATCTACTCTACCACTACAACCCTTCATCAGCCGCAGCCATCATTTTCATAGTCTTATTCGGTATCAGCGCTATCTTTCACATTTATCAATTATCTGCCAAGCGGACATGGTATTTCATCCCATTCATCATCGGAGGATTATGTAAGTTCCCATTCGCTAAATCTTCATCTTTACATACTAATCTAACCCCAACAGTTGAATTCATAGGGTACTTGGGCCGTTATATGAATTCTCGGCAGGCCTATGCGAAATGGACTCTCGGACCCTATCTTTTGCAATCACTTTTCATCCTTCTTGCACCCGCCTTCTTCGCCGCATCCATCTACATGGTACTTGGTCGTATCATTCTCCTCACAGATGGCGAGCAATATTCCCTTATTCGAGCTCGATGGTTAACCAAGATATTCGTCACCGGAGATGTCCTTTCTTTCCTGATGCAATCATCTGGTGGTGGAATACTCGCTACAGCCAAGACAGTTTCTACTACTGATATGGGCAACCATATCATAACTGGTGGTCTCGTCGTCCAAGTTCTCTTCTTCGCCTTCTTTATCGTCACGGCTGGAGTTTTCCATTTTAGAATTAAGAAAGAAAATGGTGGATCGGTGGCTTCTGCTGTCCCTTGGCAACAATACTTGATGATTCTATATCTCGCTAGTACTTTCATCATGATTCGATCGTTGTTTCGTATCGCTGAGTATGTTCAAGGAACTGATGGATCTCTTTTGTCAACGGAGACATATATCTATATCTTTGATGCTACCCTCATGTTCATCGTTATGGTTATCTTTAACGTTCGCCATCCAAGTGCTATCATTCAAGGAAAGGGTCAGCAATATCATGTAGCAGCTCCCACTGGAAGCAGGGATGGTTACGCTATGGAGGATAGAACTGCTTCCGCAAGCAAGTATCACAATCGTCAATATACTCGAGAAGAGGTTTAGGTTGGGGATTTAAAGGAGGGGGGAGTGAGAAAAAAACACCTGGTGGGATGGTCTTGACTTGGCGCTCGGCGATATTGGGGAAGGATGCTCACCACCCATACAATATGATGGTAGCCACCAATTCCGGTTGAACATAGAGGGGTTTATTTCTTTTGTCATTTATTTCATTTGTGGTTTATTCTTTTTTTTTCTTTTTGTCACAAACTATTTGCAACAAGGCGTTTTAGTATGGGATCGATATAGGATGTAAAAGTAGAGCAGGACTTAAATAGTATGAATTAAATGATAGTGATACCAAAACATAAAGAACCGTCAGAGCAATCACCATGGTTTTACTTGTTCTAGTGAATCTAGACCTTGAGTCTGCCTCGTTAAGCATTTGAACCCCTTAAACGGCTTAAATGTCAAGATCTACAATAACAAGAGGAATTTGGACAATTATCTGTAAGTTACACCTTTATAAGAATAAGACGAGGCAACGGGAATAGTTCCCCTTCTACTCAAATACAATTTTCGGCATATACTGATACTTCCACCTAACAAATTTTGAACCGTTCAAGCGACAGGAGGATATGAAGTTAAGGGCATTGTGAAAATTGGATGCATGATCCGCCATATATTTCTTTTAAAATAACCACAGCACGTCTCAAAGAGTCGATACTCGAGTACAATCTAAGGTCTACAAACTACACAACTAAGAACAAAATCACCAATCAAAGTACAAAGCAAGACCCAAGCAAGTTAACGATCAGATACAACCACAGCGCCTTACAGAAATTAGCACTATAACAAACACACTTTAAGTTTAAACTATATATCCAATGCCCCTATAAAAGAATTAATGCTTAATAAAGCTTAAAACGTTTTTAAACTTTATAAACTTTGTAAGTGTAATCAATTAGAGTTATTATTAGCATTAAATGCATTCGATACATGCATGGTAAGGTCTTAATTAATCATATAACTAGACTTTCTTCGTACTTATTAGCTGGTCCAAATATGAGATTACAGGGCTTTTATAGTAACCCTATTAATAATGAGCCCTACGGATGAGTTTCTGAAGAGGTAAGATCTTATTATATATAGAATGCTTGTACTTTTCGATTTGGGAACCATTCAATTTTAAATTGTATGTATATTAACCACTATAAGTAAATTGTTTAGGCCTTTATCTAAGCACAGACATAAAGTTTCCAGGGACTTGCATAACATGGAATACCCTGGAAGCCCTATAACAACGTTTCTTTTCAAGGGGCAGTCCGTAGATTCGGTAGTAAATGCATGGATGGATGGAATAGTCCATTTATAGGTTTCGATGCAAAGCCGAGTTATTATTTCGATATCTTTCTTATTTGGTTACTACCTCATACTTTATAACTACTCACTTCTCACTTCTCACTCTCACTTCTCACTTCTCACTTCTCGCTCCTCCCAAAATGCTTCAATAAGACCCGCTACTTCCTCCGGATGCGTTCTAACAATACCATGACCCGCCCCGTCCACCAGCTTAACATCTTTCTTCCAACCCAGAGCATCTAATTCACTCTTCACAAATTCCGATGGAAACACACTATCGGTTTCTCCTACAATCACCAGAATCTTAAGATTGTTATTCGTCAATTTACGATACGATTCATGTTGATCGAAAACATTCCCATATCTGAAAATGCTAACCACACTCGCTTTATGGCCAGCATGATTTTCTCTCTCCCATATTTCTATTGGTTCGGATTCGACTTTTCCGTGCTTTAATCTTTCTTTCCAACCTTCCTTGGATGGATCATTTCCTTCGAGCTCATCAATTATAGTGTATTCACTACAGTCATCTAATATCCATTCTCCATCGCGCCGCAACTTACTCCACCAACCACTTCCCCTTTTTCTCCAAAGCCCTGCTCCAGCTATGATTGTTGCACTCTCCACGATATGCGGATGTATCGCCGTGAACGTGGCAAGAATGCTCCCTCCCAAGCTAAACCCTATGATATGCATTGTGCTCCATCTCAAATGTGAGAGAAGCTCAAAGATTTGCTCATGCATCAACGCCGGGGTATGTGTTTCTAGCGGAGTAGAAGAATTACCATGTCCCCATAGATCATAGATAACAACATGTGATCCAGATACTGTGAGGCGATGGGCAAGTGGTGCCATACCGATAGCGCATGTTCCGATACCATGAATCAAGAGAACTCTTTTTGCAGTCGGTGAGGCTTCAGGATTGAAATCATAATAATGTATTATTCCCCTAGATGACTGGATATCTTTTCCTGGAGGAAGTATCCCGACGAATTCTTCTTCGAATGCTCTGGCTGATGGTGGTGAAATATAGGAGAATTCATCAATGAGAACGGGGGACGATAGTGAAAAGCTCGCCATCTTGGATAACTCTGTTCCGAAATGTGATGATGAAGAAGAGCGAAGAAATGTGCAAGGTCGAGAACAAAAATGGGGGCCATGCCACTAGTGTGTATTCCACGTATTCGTACAGGAAGTCTCGTAAGTGCTAATCCCAGCACTCAGAACTTCCTAAAAGATAAGTATTCCTCATAAAACCATAAGACTTGATTGCAAAAGTCATAACCCAGAGTTAGGAGTACTTTATGTCGATAAGGTATCAAACTCTTTTGCGAACCAACATAGCGCAAACCGCACCAAATCTATTCTGGAGAATCCTCTTTATTCAAAACTCCAGAAGTTTCTCAAATCGTCGAACGATCGAATATAACAAGGGACGATGAGGATGATCTTGAGGAGTTACTTCAAATGAATTACGCTCGTCGAGCTGTCGAGAACAATTACGAGTCTGGCCACGTGATGGAGGTATCTTTAATTTCTTCATTTGGAATTTCCATTGAACCCAGAACAGTTGATACTGATGCTCATACTTTGCTTGAAAAATCGAATCGAAATTATACTTGTCTCTGTCCTCAAAATTGGAAGATATTTCTAGTAGCTGAGTGTGGTTCTGGATTCGACTTTCTGCGTCATCTTGTGCGCAAGTTGTTTCGTGAGCAGCCAAATATGTAAGCCCATCAGTCCTCGAATCATGTCTTTCAACCGATTCGAATGACTGCATCATTGTTTCGTATGGTTCATTTCCCAAATCCTTCCATATTGTAACGAAGAACGCATATCCACGGCTGTCGAAATGTTTGAAACCAAGACAAAATTCCGTACGGCATTCGGAACATCTCCCTTTTTGAACAAAATCCCCAACGGTGATTTTTTCCACCAGCTTTATATGTGGACAAATTTGAAGATTGGAGGGTCCTACTGCGAAAGTTGCAAACGGGTTGGTGCTTCGGCCTTCGAATGCTGAAGCAGACAAGTTCTCAAGTGACATCCATACCCATTGGCGACGATGTATCAAAGATTCACCAATGAATCGAAAAACGTCATGGCACATTTGTACAAGTCCTTGTTGACTGGTCATAATGACTGGTTTGAGAATGCACCTGTAGTACCGCCACCTTAGTTCAACACATGTCGGCGCTTCCTTAGTAGGCGTGAAGTATTTGGACACATGTTCATTTTTAGATTCCAGAAACTGAGCTAGACGTTTTACTTCCCTTTTTCGTTGAGATATATTAGTCTTTCGGCCATCATACTGATATAGATTCTTCACCGGACGGAGTCTATGGCAACAAGAACAAGCAACAACACCTGACAAATCGGTAGCTACCAATTTCAAAAGTGCATCACGTTCCTCGATTGACGAGAAAAGCTGTGGCTGCCAGACGTATTTATCTCCGAACTGGGTTTCGAAAATCGTACAGGTGAGAGAAAAAGCGGCGGCGGCGTGCGGAGGAAGGTAGTCCAATATACATAGTAAAACGTCCGATGGAATGTTTTTAAAACTGGACGACGATAACGCATCTGGTCTTTCGGGCTCGCGCCTTGAAGAACGAGGGATTATTCTCTTGAAGTATTTCATGATTACTTTGCTCGATTGCCCTTTCATGTTTGTGGATGTTGACCTTCGAGGAGGACTTGCGAATGGGCAGTAGAAATAGATAGATATGAATATATTGATGCTCTACGTATGCATAATGTCAGTGAGGTTCTCAATTAATTTAAACAACGCTCATCGCATTTGAGGATGATAGGCCTTACATATTTTAGCAACCTCAAATGGCTTTAAAAATGTGAGATATTCTGCTAGAAGGAGATCCAACTTTTGAGGCGGATAAGAAGATTCAGAATTAGGCAAGATGTAGTATTTGAGAGAGATTATGATGAGAGAGAGAGATTATTATGAGAGAGAGATTATGATAAGGAATATAAGATCCGAAGTGAAGGAACTGAGGTCAAAAGTTCATGAGTGTGATTTTGCGGGTGTATCAAGATAGAAAGATGCAAAGTAAAAAACCGACATGCATATGGGAATTGGACACTTAAACGCAAAAAAAGAGAGAGGTAAGGACAAGTATGAAGTAAATCACATCAGTAAACGCTAAAGAAACATGACATCTGCATTTGATCCAAAAAGTCCTCTAAAGCTGGCAAGCTAGACCTCAAGCCAGATCTCGATCTCTACCTTGACCGAGAGGGGATAGAGAGCTCTGGAGCTAGATGACGAACAACTTAGATCGTGATACTAGCTATATTCTTAAAAAATAAGCCTCTGTACATGACAGTTTAGGATTGGGTAGAAAGTAAGATGGGAGAAAAAATGAGAGTAGGAAAGAATCGTATCACTCATCCCCCAATCTCAAATCAGCAAACATGCACTATAGCTACCTTCCTAAAGCTCTGCACTTACTAAGTACACCCCGAGTCAATCTTGGATCGAGGTCGAGATAGTGATAGCTATTATCAATATATTGACATTAGGTATAAACTTAAGATATACCCAGCGCAGCACCGAACGCATAGCATGGTTAACATAAACGTTCCTACATTAGTAGATATATATCAATCTTGAGCCTATTGCTTACTAAATATATCCATCCCTTACAAGTAAGTATGTCACACTCCACTTTTAAGCACATACCACAAAATGGTAAACTACAGGGGGAATAGTGGCCCATATTTAAGTGGAGTGTGACATACTTTCTGGCAGCACGAGTAGGTTAGTCATCAAGCATCAAAGACGTAAGAATACAGCAAGTTGCTCGGTACATACCAATTCAAGGAAATTAAAAGCAAAACCAAAAGGTAACCTTAAATCATTGGCTATCAATATCTAAAGTTTGGCTAGTCTAGGTCAAACCGTTTTTCGGAATCGGATCTACTCCATAGTTCTACAGTCACGACTCATGAGCACTTAGCTAGCCCCACCACACAACGGTCGACGATCGATAAAGTTTTCAATCTCCAACCTCCTACCACACCCCACCCCCAAAAATCTCTCTTCCTACTCCCTCCCGCCGAAAAAAAATCCAAACCCGTCAAACACCCCCAAAAAGCAAATGACCAGACTGGGGCACGATCCCAGGACCTTGTCCGTGTTAAGGACACGTGATAACCAACTACACCATCCGGCCTTTTTTGATTTCATTTCTTACTTCCATGCTTTTTAAGGTATATATATATTACTATTTGTGATTTGGGGTCGGTGGTGTGGAGAATGAATTAAGCGAGGCTGATGCCGAGGTAGGTAGAGGCAGAGGCAGAGAGGTAGGTTTGGGGATTGGGGATTGAGGATTGACTGGATGAGACATCGATGCTTAAGGGTAGAGTATGAGTTGAAAGGTACTATGTACATAAAGTCTGGATTTAATAGATTACTTGATTGATATGCCTATATGCCTATTCATGTTAAAGTAATTTAAGGTAAAGGTAATAGAGTTCTACTTCCCTCATCAACTAGGAGGGTGTATACTAGATACATATGTATCTATGTACTCCTTATGTATTCCACATCACTGAATCACGAATCACTGAGCCAAAGAAAAAAGTCCAGTAACATAATTTTAGAAGAAAAGGCTTCTTACGATAATTGTTTTATATTTCAAAGAAGTAATTAGAAGAATGGTAAAGGGCAGTGTAGAGCCAGCCCCTGGTAGGTATCTATTATATAAAAAAACACATTTTTTCCTCCACACATACACCCATGATCATACAATTGCCAGGTTCATATCCCAAATCTCACCTCGAATATCCAATTAGAACTCAAAACAATAAATCTCATCATTTCCTTCCCATTATGCTTCATAGATATTTCAAACTATAAGCTTCAGTCGTAGTTGTAGTTTCACTGTCTGTTTGTATCCTCATTCTCAATTCCCGGCTCCTTAACATTGATGGATTTTCTGTTCTCCCTTAAAATGTTCACCTCCGAATTATTCTCCCCCTCCAGTTCTTCATTTCTTTCATTCTCCTTCTCTTTCTTCTTCTCCATCTTATGTATAGCTTCCTTGGTCAAATCCTGCTTAAACATCTTCTCCAGAACATCCTTCTTCCTAGTCCTATGATCTCCAACACTAATAAGTACACCAGCTGTAATATTCACTGTAATACTACAGCATAGAATGACCGTTGTTAATGCAAATGGTCGAGTCTTATAACTGATTGCCCAAGTACATGTACCAAGAGCTATTTGAAGAAGAGAATGACAATCCAAAAGAACGACAACAGCGACAAGTAATCGAAGAGGGAATGCGTGATGGGTTGCAGTTTCGTGAGGTTTATAAAACGTATGAGATCGATTGAATTTCTTTTGATGATGTTGAAGTTTTTTTTGTTGAGCTGGGTTGAGGACTGATACCTCATCTTCGACAATTTGATCTTCTAGATCTTCGGGTAATATGGCTGGTAGGTCATTATGATCTTCTAATTTTGGTAGAGCCTTTTCTTTTCGGAGTCGCCACGTTAAATGATGATAATGAGCTATATATATCATATGGTAAGTGTCAATAGCTCGAAATGGAGCAAGTCCATCACCCATAATAGCAAAAAGGGCGACGAGAACATTGTCAATAACGTTTATCACGTAAAGACGTTTACTTCCAAGGTTAACCCAACCAATTAAGAAAAGAACCCATGCTAATCCAAATAAAGTAATAAGAATTGCATATATGGTAACGAAAAATCCAAGAGCTGTAAATGTTAGTCTAATGTATATCATAAATAGTTGGAAGATGAAGAGACATACGCTGTCTAACATATTGTCCAAATCCTTTCATTGCTCGCTTAAATCCCTCCCTCCTTGAATGTAACAAATGTCGTACATGATCATTCAGTTCTTTTTTATCCTCTGGTGACCATCCATCCAGATTAATGCCTTCCGGAACTACTGCATAATGTGGGGTTTCATCATCTGGATGTGATATGGATTCAGTGAGAGTAAAAGCTCCAGTATCTCTACTTTGAAGTCCAGGCCTTTCTGGTCGAGGGAGTGTTTGCCTTGATTCGTTATTTATCTCCGGCTCTTCAACTATTGGATGTTCAGCCAAGTTTGTTGGACGACGTGAAAGATCATTTGTTGGACGACGGGCAAGGTCGTTTCGGGAAAGATTATATGTTGGATTACGATTCAATAACTTCCCAAGTGATGGAATGAATAAAGAGTTCTGAATATTGGTAAGACTGGTCAAGGTAGAAATTTCGGGATCTGGAAAAGGTTAGAGATATTCATTGGCGAAGTTTGAGAGATACGAACCAACAAGGTCAAGGAAATCAACAAGATCAGTGTCGTATTCGCTATGAGTAGTTGGTACTGCATCACTGACTGTATGAGAATGGAGTAAAGGACCAGGAGCCTCATTGACCGTTCTATTTTCACCTGGACGGGTTGGGTGGAGAATCGGACCCTCCTGTCTTGTAGCAGGTGCCTCTTCAATGATATTCGGGATATATGAACCCGCCCTCACTCGTGGCGGACCAGCATTCGTGGCTGATTGAGTACTTAACCATGCTGGACGTTGTGGCTCAGAACTACTCCGACGCCTGTTTGATGTATCAATGGTATTGCTGGCGGAAGGTAGATGGTTGTCGATATGTGGAGTCGAACTATTATTGATCTGCCAATCTCTCCGGGATGTGTAATCATAAGGTAGGTTGCTCTGCGAATTCCCACCACGAAGATTGTTTGTTGATGATAATCGTCTAATTCGAATACTTGGTCGCCATATTGCTGGTGGAGGTCTTTGCAGTTGTGGACTATCGTTCGTTGCCTGGGTATTCGGAGTGTTCTGTTGTGCAAGTGAATTCGCCGATGTACGTGCTGTAGATGGACCAATACTTCCTCTTCTGCTGTTACTTCTCGAGTGGTTTTCAGGTATTCCGGGTATTGATATCGTTGGCAATTCTGTTCCGGTTGTTGTTAAAAAGTTTGGATCCTCGTTCGCGGATTGCCGGCGCGATTGCATTTTTGCTTATCTTTTGTAAACAAAGGAACTCGAGATTGAAAATACTCCCAAAAGTTCTCCTTCTCTCGGCCTTTTTGATGTTAAAAGATGAATCATTAATTCAGGGACTGCGGCACGACAAAGTGCTAAAGAAGGGTAGATAGCGAACTTCTCGAACTGGCCTTATTCTTCTGCCGTTCTCGTCCTTTTGGCGCAGTTTAACGGAAGAACCAAGTTCTGGTGATGGAGCTAGCTAACCCACCCTCGAGCCACCAATTGATCAAATTCAAGTAATTATTAAAGTTAAGTGGTCTGCGAATCTGCGATGAATATAAAAATGGGTCTAAGAATGGGAGATCGCATACGACCGGTCGGTACGTCATTTAGACTCTAGAGGGCGAAGGATGAGGGCGCTTGGTACTGAAATGGGGGAATGTTTATGGAGTTCCGAATTGTTCCACCGCTCCCTCTAATCAAGATAGGAGGATTTAAGAATTATGCCCAAATGTACTTCAGAATCATAAGAATGCAATGCCTATGCTATGATTCGAGTAGATAAAAGATCAAATTAAATTTCATATTACTCCCTTTTGTTTGTACTCTGTACTCCGGTCCCCAAAATCACAAAATCGAGCTGAATAATCCATAAGCTGATGAGCATACGACAAATACCAATCATCATCTTCAACACAATCTCCGGATCCCCCGGATTGGAATGATCAAAGATCGTTGGGACCTGATAAACTTGTCGTACCTCCTCTTAAAATTCGAACCAATCAGACTCTGAACTTCCCATGGAAGGCGTGGAGAAGGCAGAATATTGGAAGCATTGTTATGGCTTCAAGGGAATCAAGGTCGCTGCTGGACCCTTATGCAAGGCTAAATGACTTCAACAAGGCTGACGAATGCCCTCTTTGCCGCGAAAGGTACCATGAGCCTCCTAGGTAGTATAGATGTAGCATATATATTGCTTATTGGACCCTATATTGTCTTGCAAATCTGGGGTAACTAATTTCCTTAGTCACACGCCTAATATTCATGATCTAGGATCGGCTGGGTTTCAAAACACCATCTAAATATCTAGAATAACCAATGGAACCCTTCGGGGTTGATCGAGTCGAATCTTTTGTCTATGTGAGACGATCCTTTTGGTATCTAGAGGTTTGTGTCATGAAATACTTCAGCAAACACCCGCAGGACTATGTCTTAAAAACATCCTTTTCGGTGATGGCCGTGTCGACAAATAAAGTAGTCTCACAGCGAACGGGGTGGATCGAATTGGTGGCACGGTGCAGACAGTAATCTTAAGGCGCGAGGAGTGAGAGGACAAACATGATATCACTTGTACCCGATCAACATGATCTTTCAATCTTGTACGCTCAGCCATGATAAGAGCAAGACATCAAGATGTGTTGATGAGGCGTGATGGCATTACCTTTTCATTGCCAGTTGAGTTGAGGATTTGGGAGTTCTTTTGCAATACATACCAGCAAACTTGATCTACCTCGTGATCTGGCCATCATTCTCATGATACATGATCCTGGAGACCCAAACCAAGTCCATTAGGAAGCCTTTGGGCTGAAATACGTGGCAAAGGTCTTTTCGCCGTTTGCCTTCTGATAAGTGTTCAAGGGAAGATTCGTACCTGCATAGTAAGATATCAGATGAAGAATAACGGCGAAAGTTGATGAATAGAGGGGAAGACTGGAAGTAGTTTGATGGATCAAAGCCGTACCGAGTAGGGAGGGAAAATGAAGGGAAACAAGTGAAATGGCTGAAATTCTAGAATCATTTCTGCAATTTCTCTCCACTGTGGACACAATAATGGTTCTACACTTAAGCTCGATTGCAGGACTAGCAGATATCACCACTTAAACCGGTTGAATGTGCATTGAGGCGTTGAGGCGGCATTCAAAGAGTATCCTCTTTTACTCCATATAAAATAGGAAGGAATGATCAATATTCTGACAATGATGTCAATAATAAATTCACAGCAAGTCTTCTCTTCGTCTCGTCATGAGAAATCTCAAAATTTCTTCCTCTTGAGATGGCCTATTGGAACATATTGCCTCCACCACAGTCAACTTCCTCGAATCAAAGGCAAGGTCGAGGCCATTTTGAGGCTATAAACTTTGAAAGTATTGGAAGAACGTGTGCTTTAAAAAATTCTTGAGGTCTACGTGTACGGCCGCTGGCAATAAGTATCCACTGTTTAGTATACCTGACCGAGCAGGATTCGGAGATTTATATCCAATGGATAAGATGATTTGTTGAATGTAAGAACTGGAGAAACAGAAACACAAGCCCAAGCGAGATCTTGAAGGGTTGTGAGACGTTTTAGCAATCGTAAATGGGATGTCGGAAACAATGATATGTTGTGTGTTGGAGGATTTTCCATGCCTGTAGCTGAATGAATGTTTGAACTTTGAACTTGAAGCAATTGTGCCTAATAGAGAGGAAACCCATGATTATCCATGATTATCCATGATTACCCACTGTTGATTCTCATATGTACTGAGTGTATCATGTCATGTCATCTACAATCATGGTTCATTCCACCTTGAAAGGTATAAGGTTGATTTTTTGGCTGATTCAAATGTAAATGAGAGGATATAATTCATAGGTGGGTAGATGAGGTAGCCGGGTATCTACCTAGTGCATTCATTTGATGTAGGTTTGATGTAGGCAGTGGGTGTAATTGCTCCTTTCTGGTCTATACACGGGTCACACATATGAGTAACACAGCAAAATGTAAAACCTCACTATTCAGGGAACGAATGAAGCTTTTCACAGCAAACACACTCTCACAGATGAATGTGGCGGTGGTAAATGTATGTGGTAAAGGTTACATGGAATAATATATTCTGTACGGAATTAGTGAGTGATGGGCATGATGGACGTGATGGACATGCATCTCCATCTCCATCTCCATAGTATACTCCGTAGGATAGTATACACCTAGTACCAGGTAGGTGCAGTGCAGTGCAGTACCATCCCATCCCATCCCATCCCATCCAGACCCGCAGGGATAATAAAATGCGAATGACCCTTGAAACCCGAAACATCCCCCCTCAGTCCCCCCAAAAAGAAGATGGCGGCGGATAACTAACTGCATCTCGGGCTCGGCTATCATCGAGTTAGACTGAAATAGCATCATTATCAGTCTACAATACGGACGGAGAGAGGGTATGGTGATGTACTTACTAGTACTAGTTACTAGTACAGTACACACAGCATACCCATTTACCGTACCACATAACTTCTATGACTGCAATATATTGATCTCACCTCTCCATCTCTCCATCTCTCCATCTCTCCATCTCTCCGTCTCTCCATCTTTAATCTCTCAGTCTCTCAGTCTCTCAGTCTCTCAGTCTCTCATTCTCTCATTCTCTCTCCAACCTCTGGAACCTTCTACAAAAGGCAGATAAACAAATCTTTACATTGATAGATATTTGATATCTATTCATTCTTAAACTCCATATGCAATACATCATCATGGAGAAATTGAAACGTCATTCTACTACCAGTGGGAAAGCTACCTGCGAAACGGTTCCTTTTTCCAAAACTAAAAGAGATGGGAATTGGCAATCGGCGGCTCTTACCACCTGCTTACCCTCCGATGGTTCTATCATTTATGATGAACATCAAAATATCTTAACGGGTAACAACATGATACCCTGGACAAGTATGCACTCCTGCACTCTGCACTCTGCACTCTGCACTCTGCCATCTGCCATCTGCCATTTGTTTAATCTAAAGATAATCCATTAACATCATCTCCCAGGTATCACTAACCATGTCACACCACGATCTGCGAAACCGATAACAATCCCAAATCTACCCACCGAAATTATCAACAACATTATATCCCAAGCCGACGACTTACATTCGTTAAAGGACTGGGCGCTAGTTAGTTGGGCATGCAATGATATTGCTGAACGAATACTTTGGTCAAATATCACTATCAATACCTCACAATTTTATGATCCAGCCTACCCTTCAGACGGACAAGACCCTCTTCAAATCCTTCGTCATGAAAGTTACGAAAGACGAAATAACACACATTTACTGCCGGCATGGATGGGAATGAAAAGAGGAGATCAAAGAGTACCTTCAATTGTTTCGAGGCTTTCAATGGTCAAAAACTTCGCTCTTAGGACAGTTTGGGATGTCGACTCGCGAGATTTGCCTCAAGGTGGTTCGAGAGAAGATTGGAGGATTCAAGAAGTTTATAGAGATTTATTCCCCATGATGGATAATCTTTATACGCTACGAATTGACGGTGAGGTCAATAGAAGAACCTGGAATTTACTACTCGCATTACCATCTCTTCGAGAATTAAGGATATGGCGAACGACGACAGTTGACTCTCAAGCTCTTCTAGACAGGTATCATCCAGCAGATGCCATCAATCAACTCTCTCAGAAGGATAAACAAGAGCTAGTAGAAAACATGGTACTAAATTTCCAAGGTTTATCAAGACTAACAACTTTCGAGATTGGTTTGTTATCACCTTTGGAATCGGCAGCCTTAGGGGCTGCAGTTAGGGAAAGCAACCTTGAAGTCCTTCACATTGCTGTCACTCGTGATAATAGATCCTTTAATGATCAAGGAGCACTCACTTTGGCAAGGTTTTGGGAGAACCTTGTACCCAAGGAGATCGATGACACTTCGCCAATTATTCAGAATACAAATATTGGTTTTCCATCATCTATGCGTGAACTGGTTCTCGAAGATGATGCACACCTGTCAGTCCAAACTCCATTCTAGCGTTTCAGATATACTAATTTTATATGATAGTCCTATTGCTCCTCCAAGGATCGTCCAACAATCATTCCGCAGATGCAGGAACAATTTGACAAGATTTTACTTCGACTTTTTAGACGAATCTTTACTCACTCACGTTCTCAGTTGTTCTTCCGAGAAAAATCCCCTCTTCCCTCGCCTAACTCATCTTCATTTACCTTGGCCCGAGTCTGAGAAGCATGAATACCGCCACCCTCGTGCCATGAGCAGAGTCATGATACCTTTTATCGAATCACACAAGTCTACTCTTCAATCCTTTCAACTTCTTAATGCAGCCGAAGATAACCGACTGCTGAAATATGAAAATCCATTAAACAAAGTGCTTAAGGAATGGATGTCCATCAAGGAGATTCGGCTGGATTCGGAACATACTGCCGATCATTATTCCAATGTCCCTAGAGGGCAAGAATGGACTCGACCCGCAGATTTTCTATCCGTCGATGGTGGAGGTTACTGGGGTGACGATCTTCGCCGGGCTAGGCTTGACCGGTTTGATCTTACTAACATCGATGTTGGTTTTAAATCTTACCGAGCATGGCATAATATCAAAGTTTTGATCCTTAATCCTGGGCTGTTGTGGAATTATGGCCTCCTTCCCGATCCACATGATAGATCTAGCCCCCGACTCAGATCAATAGACCAAGATCATCTTTTGGGTATGAAACATCTAGCAGAGTCCGAATGTGAGAATTTAGAACTTGCAGAGAGAATTTCTCGAAAAATGGGGCCGAATCTTCGTGTACTCTCAATTCGTGACTGCAGATTCTGGATTGAGAGATATGGTGGGCCAATCTGGCATCTAGGAGATGCTCTTGCGGATCCTGAACAACGTCGACAGATTAGACGTACTTTGGATCAAAGGGATTGGGACTTTCTATTGGAAAGATCTACTACCGATACTCAAGAAGCTGCCAATACTGCTACGTTCCTCAGGAACGACATTTATTCTCCACTTCAACCACCTGTAGGATCCATTCCACGTCCAGTCTCTCCTGCCTCCATCATCAGTGACGCTATGACCGAATCGGAACACGGTTCAGAAGATGAAGATGAAGTGATGAATTTCGGAAGTGAGAATGGAGATGAAGATGATAGATCCGAGGATGGATCTGTAGCAGCGGAATCGGACGATGGAACAGGTTTTCATGCAGATATGCATTTGTTAACTCACACAAACGGGCCGGTTGACGATATAGGGCTTGATGCAGATATGGTTTTGTTCACACACACAGAATTACCATTTTACGTTCATAATGGAGTTATTAGGCAGTCTTTATCTGGACATTTTATATGAATAAACGATCACGAGGATACGAATACTGGGCGGTAATTCTTGACAGTTTTTGGAGTATGAAAATAGAAGCGCATAATATTTTCTATACATGGCTAGGTAGCTTTAGGAGGGTGTTTGGGATAAGGAATAGGAGTTTTGGCATTTTACTCGAGTCTATTCTTCAGACTCGTCAGATACCCAAATCGGTTTCGCGTATTGCATGGAGGGATTCTGGTCGGTCTGGCTCGACTTTATCTACAGTGTGTAGCTTCGGGTTATTTGCGAATATATGCATTTTCTTTGTACATAGACTTTATCTACACTTTTTAGTGTAAATTTCATAATCCAGTAATGGTATTGATTTAAAATTTATAGTAAAAGTTTTCTTGTTTTGTTTTCGAGAATATTTCTCCCCCTAGAACCCCACTATATGCGTGCCCTTTAAACTCTTTCTTTTTTTCTTTTTTTCTTGCAGTTGGCTTTTGGCTTTTGGCTTTTGTCTTTTGGAAGAACAAAGGGGTGGGAAATATCATGCTTTTATGTTCATGTGTTTCTCATACCCTTTTTCTTCTTTTAGGTCATATGGAGTGCGGGTGAGTGTAGTAGTTAGTGTGTGTAATAATTATGGTACTTTCACTACAGGTGGGTAGTAGTTAGTTTAGTTTTAAGTGGTGGATGAAGTGAGAGGAATAGGATGGGATGGGATGGGATGGGATAGGATGGGATGGGATGAGATGGGATGGGATGGGATGGGATGGGATGGGATGGGAAGGGAGAAGGAAGGGAAGATGGGGAGACGGGGAGATGGAGAGCTGGAAAAATTGGGAGATGGGGAGATGGGGAGATGGGGAGATGGGGAGAGGGAAGGGGGATGGATTGGGTGTATGGACTGAGTGGATGTACGAGCAGGAAGTACACCCACTTAGTATACCTAGGTGGTAAATCAAATTACTAGGTCAATATTAGAGGGGAACTAGATTTCGAATTTGAATTAGAATCAGAATTTGACAATAAAGCAGCATATCTAATACAAATAACAAGTAACCGACCGGTACCATATATACCGTATACACCATATAATTATACTAAATAGATAAATAGAAAAACCCGACATTTTCTTTCTCTCGCTAAATACCTAGTCATTATGCTATACTAGGTACCAGTATATCCCCTTCTCCCCACCCTATTCGTGAGATTATTATATATATTTTAGGAGAAGGTAAGATCTTAGGAGAAGGTAGAGATTCTAATAAGTAAGTAAGCCATCGACGGAGTATGTGGAAATGGTAAATATAGATTGAGTAGGTAGTCTATGAAGGAACTATTGGGAGTTGTAAGCTATTAAATTGATGTAGGAAATCCGGAGTTTTCATTTCATATATTGTATATTTGTGTTTCAGGTAAGAATCTTACTAGGTATGTATATAAGCTTAGGTATGTTATAATGGAGGAAAGGTTGTGGTTTGGAGCATTGGGATGGGATGGGATGGGAATGATCAATAACGAAATTATAAAGAATCGACAAAATCAAGAATTGAGGGAATCATCTGTATCTCCTGGCCCTTACAAGTTAGAACTACCACTGGGCGGAAAGTAAATAGATAAGATACCATGGAAATGAAATGATCTTACAAGATCTGCCGAATAAGATTCTTACCCCCAACAAAAGAGCATTCACACTCCGTATATAAAGTATCCTCACTATCTATCCATCACACTCTCCCATTCCACCTGCAAACCCACTCAAACCTCTCAAGAATCTCAAACGTCCCACGACCAGATACCCGCGTGAAGAAGCATTTTGTGCATTAAGGATTGTACGACCTGTATCTGCCAAAAAAAAAAGGGCATATTTATATTGTGGAATTAGGACGCTGCAAGCATAGCTTCGTTTCTCATGATAAAATGAACAGAACTTCGCCTCCTGAGTAAACTAAGCTATAGGTATGGGATTATGAAAAAGTAATAGTCTACTAGAGTAGAACCCAAACATTTTTGGAGAAATAGACAATAATTAAATTATTAGAATCACTTGAGTCTACTCTATTCACGTCGTCACCTTATACTACAACGTAATTCGACTTAACAGGTTTAAGTCAAATTCCCTAATACTGTGTATGTATGCTGCAACTCTCACATCATATTTATAGCATAAACAAATATAGGTTCAGAACCAAGCTGCATTAACTCCATCTCCAGACCAACTATGTCATGTAGAGTTTTTTATGCTAAGCTCTAACTAGCAGCCGAACGCCTATTATACAGTGTCATGTGGAAATCGTTACAATTCTTCATCAACATCCATGTCCTGTGGTGCGTGCCCATTTGCTCCATTCTTCTCCTTTGGTGCAGATGCCTCCTTGTCAATCATCTGTCTTGAAACTGAAACAATGTTGTCTTCAATAAGTTTTTGTCCAACATCCTCCAAATGTTTCTTCGGATCAACCTTTCCAACGTATCTAGTCTTCAATTGATCTTTAGTCATTTCAGTTTCTTCCTTGACACGCTTCTCATAACCTTCAGCAAGTCCAACTAATTTCTGTAATCGTTCGGTGTTTCGAGTTCCCTCAACTCGGAAATCATCCATCTGCAGGCCTTCAGTCCATACATGTTTATGCAAATTCATCAACATATTCTCTTCCAAGGCAGTTTTGCGGTAGTTGATTCCTATGCTATAGTAATGTCTGTTGAGGCCGTGAATAAGCGCTTGGATAGAAGGTTTATTAAGATGCCCTAGATTGGATGTACTTTGGCGAGGTTCTTGTCCGAGCATGAGAGATTGTGGATTGATTAGACGGAAAGCATCAATAACGACTTTGCCCTTGACGGATTGAATAGGATCAACAACAACGGCAACTGCTCGAGGTGTCAATTGCTCGAATGATTGTTGTGTGTTGATATCTACAGATGATAGCCAGCAGCCAAAACCTGGATGTGAATGGTACCAGCCAACGACAGTTTCGGGTCTGCAGAAGATAAATATTAGAACCTTGGTTCGCAGGGAAGAGAAGAGTGTACGAACCGTCCTGTCTGTCGCAACATATCCATCATTTTCGTTTGGAATACTGGATCTACTGCCTCGACACTGACACCTGTACCACTTTGCGGCATTGCAAATACATCCACAACTCGAACTGTGAAATCATCCACGAACTCTCCCAACATCAGACCCATAACTTCCATAGGTACACCAGCTCTGCCATGTCGCAACATCTTCAGTAGCGCCAACGAAGAGATATATACGGTTTCGGAGTTATCGATCAGATTTGAGTTATCCTAAAAATTGTGTGAGGTTAGTATCAGTAATTTCACCAATATTCGAGCTCAGTCTGCTGAATTTGGAAATAAAATAGCTTACAGATCCAGGTACAGCAGAATTCATGCCTCCCATACCTCCAGCATTGGCCAACATGCGATTTAATCGGTCCATATTGAATTTGTTGATCTGTTGTTAGATGTGAGAGGGTATCTTGAGGAGAACAGAGGATGAGGAAAAAGGCGAAAAGTGTCAAAGTTTCAATGGTGTTGTGAAGCTCCAACTCAAGGCAGCTTAGAACGCGCATGAGGTTCAGTGAATGGTAAGGGTATTACGTAATCAAGATTTTAACACATGACTGTTCAGCCTTGTCATCATCTTCAGCCTTGTCAAATTCTTTGGAGACACTCGAGTAATGTAGAATCGTCGCTTTAATTCTTCCTTGATAAGCTTAAGCTTTGACAATCTGGATGTATTACATACTTCGGGAATATCATGAGAATTGAATTGATTATCCAATTCTGATGATATAAATTATCTTCTTGAGTTTGGTTGTCTCAAACAAAGTTGTTTTGTGATGTACCTTATCCTTCATCCAATGAGCGACAGGGCGTGTTTGGAACATTCGATCATCATTGGTTGACTTCTGGCTCTGTTCCAAGCTCTCTTGACTTTCCTCGCTTTTATCCTCGTCCACCTCCGCCGCCTTTCCCAATTATTCTTTCTTCCTCAGCCTTCACCCACAATTATCTAGTTTGACCAACATTTACTTCAATTACACAAACCCATCATCGATTCTTTTTACGGAACTTAGGGTACTCGTTACTGGCTACGATCACAAGTTTATCCAATATGTCGAATTCCTTCGCGCCTTTGGATCCGGTGTCGAATGGGCCAAGCACCAAAAAGAGGGTGGCATACTTCTACGACTCAGATGTCGGAAACTATGCCTACGTTGCAGGTCATCCTATGAAGCCTCATAGAATACGATTGGCACATAGTTTGATCATGAACTATGGAGTTTACCAGAAAATGGAGATATACGTGAGTTGCGATTGAGCAAGCCCCTCTTTTGAGATTGTTATCTTGTCTCTTGCCTACTCTGCAAGTGCAAGTAGAAGAACAAGTATCAAAGCATTCCAAGGGACTAGTTCCTGATTATATATTGACTGTACTGGCAGCGAGCTAAACCAGCAACCCGGCACGAAATGACACAATTCCATACCGACGAATACATCGACTTTCTTCAGAGAGTTACTCCCGACAACATGGATTCTTTTGCAAAGGAACAGGGAAAATACAACGTTGGAGATGATTGCCCGGTCTTTGACGGATTGTTCGAATTCTGCGGAATTAGCGCTGGCGGTAGTATGGAGGGTGCAGCCCGGCTGAATCGTTCAAAATGCGACATCGCAATCAATTGGGCTGGAGGATTACATCATGCAAAGAAAAGTGAAGCAAGTGGCTTTTGTTATGTCAATGGTAAGGAAATATCTCCTTCGTAATTACATACTTGTACTGATTTGGTTTCAGATATTGTTCTCGGAATAATCGAGTTGTTGCGCTTCAAGAAGCGAGTTCTCTACATTGATATTGATGTTCATCACGGTGATGGTGTCGAGGAAGCCTTTTATACCACGGATAGAGTGATGACAGTTTCATTTCACAAATATGGCGAATACTTCCCAGGAACTGGTGAACTACGAGATATTGGTGTTGGACAAGGCAAAAATTACGCAGTTAATTTTCCACTTCGCGACGGTATCGATGATGTTACTTATAAATCCATCTTTGAGCCTGTCATTCAAAGTGTAATGGATTACTATCAGCCAGAAGCTATAGTTCTTCAATGTGGTGGAGACAGTCTTTCCGGTGATCGCTTGGGATGTTTCAATTTGAGCATGAGGGGTCATGCAAATTGTGTTCAATTTGTCAAAAGCTTCAACAAGCCCACTTTAGTGCTTGGAGGAGGAGGTTATACTATGCGTAATGTTGCGCGAACTTGGGCATTTGAGACTGGTGTTCTAGTTGGCAAGGAGATGGATCCTGTACTTCCTTACAACGAGTATTATGAGGTATGTTTCCTGCCACAGCATAGTGAAGTTATCTAACATTGACATGTAGTATTACGGCCCCGATTATGAGCTTGATGTTCGAGCCTCTAATATGGAGAATGCTAATTCGAAAGATTACCTCGAGAAGATAAAAATTCAAGTCATCGAGAATCTCAAGAGAACTGCTCACGCCCCATCTGTGCAAATGCAAGATGTACCCCGCACTACTTTAGCCGGAACGACCGACGAAGATGATGATATTTTAGCTGATGCTGATGAAGACGAAAACATGGATGTTCGTCATACTCAGCATCGCAACGATAAACATATAGCCCGGGACGATGAGTTCGATGAAGCTGATGAAGAGGAAGCGAACCTTGCAAACGGAGCATTTGTTCAAAATGGCCAAGCAAAACAACGCAATCACACTTACTCGGATGTTGATATGGATAGTGGTGTTCCTACTCCAGAGATCGAAATCCATGACGAGATTGAAGATGCTCCAATAGCTGTCACCGAAGCCAATGCACAAGTAAATGCAGAGCTCATGGAGAAAAAGACTCAAGACGCAACTCCTACCGATACTCTTGAAGTGGGCCCATCCAATGCCCCATCTCGCTCAAACTCGCCTAATGCGGTTGTTGACAATGAAGGCGATATTGATATGACGGAGCCTCTCGATGTCCGGGCAGTCCCAGAGAAATCCGAAAAATCACCTGTATCTCCAGCAGCCTCGGTCAAAGCCAATATTGCTACGAACATTGAGGCAGTCGCTAGTAATGCTGAAATTGTGCCTGAGGCAGTCGCCCTAAAAACAGAGCCTGTAATATTGAAGCAAGAAAGCGACACTGAAAGACAAGACACCGATATGACGGCAGAAGCAAGTGAGAAGGTTATCGAGGAACCTCGTTCATGAATAATTCAAGGGCATCGACGTCGTCCCAAGCACGGTTTTCTTTAGTCGATCATGGAGTTTTATTGGATTTGAAGGGGGTTTCAAAATGACATATTTGCTTCTAAGCCTTTGTTTGGCTGTATGCTCTTTCGCTAGAGGGATTCTATATGGAAACATACACATGCCCAAAGACGATCGCCGGTCCATTCATTTATCGTATGAAAACGGAGCTGTCGGGCAATTCATCTTATAAGAACTTGTTCTATTCGATGTCCTTGATGATTGTCCTAATCTCGGTGCGTTTTGATCTTGGACGATGATCCTGAATCTACGGAATAATTTACTTTTCTAATTCTTTACTCGTTTCTCGAGGGATGGCAAATTGAGCATGGCGTACATGGCGTACATGGCGAATGAGAATAAGGGAGTCGTGGAACCTCAAATGTTTTATGCAGATGGGATATTTCAGCTCAAGGCTGGTAGGTTTTCTGGATTCCGTTGCCTCTACTCCGGGGATATACCAATACTCTTGTGTAAATAGGATTAAAATGATTTCAAAATATTTGATTGTAATCCCAGAGCTGTGCATATACGTCAAGTGGCAAAGAAATCATAAAATTGTGAAGCAAAAGGGGACACTTTGAGAGCTGATGATTTCCGCTGTAACATATTTAGTGGTTTATTCGAGGAAATCAATTATTGTAGACCAGAGAAATAAAACTTTACTGTCCATAGAGCAATAACATTTCGAAAGTTGCAGCTTCTCCCTTTACTTTCACGAGATGATGAGGTTCCTGATATTCCTACATTCCTTGCTCGTAAAAGAAATAGTGGGTCCGAATTTTTTCTTCGCTTATTCAGATTAGGGTTTGCACCAGCCAATTTTTCGCAATTCAACCTCGAAATAATATCAACCCGACGACAACCTCTAATTCGACAAATTACATTTTCGACCCTTTCAGCATACCGGAAGAAACACCGTCGAGATGGCAAAGATTTCGTGAGTCTGCTTTTTACACAATTATAGCGGAGGGTGGGGTCGATTGGGCAAAAGAAATGCGCGGAACTTCAGCGAGGGGAATGAGTGAAAGGAATTAAATTTGGGAGGGGCCATTGAGAATGGGGATTGAAGTGTTAAGGCTATATAACAGGATTTGGAAAGCCGACCGGATTGAAAGCTAATGTGATGTTCTTCATAGACGTGGAGCCCCTGGTGGCAAGCTTAAGATGACTCTCGGTCTCCCAGTGTGAGTTTTACTCCAGATCTCACGCCCAACAATCTGCGATACCGAACACACGACAACGATATTATTTCTGATTCTGCGAACCTATCCTTATTCAAATTCGCAATACGATGAAGCTCAAAATACTAACTAGAAAATAGCGGAGCCGTCATGAACTGCTGCGACAACTCCGGTGCCCGTAACTTGTACATCATTTCCGTCAAGGGTATCGGTGCCCGTCTTAACCGTCTCCCAGCCGGTGGTGTCGGTGATATGGTTATGGCAACCGTCAAGAAGGGAAAGCCAGAATTAAGAAAAAAGGTTATGCCAGCTGTTATCGTTAGACAGTCAAAGCCATGGAAGAGAACCGATGGTGTTTTCTTGTACTTCGAGGACAACGCTGGTGTTGTAAGTACAGGATTTTATTCTTTCATATTCGGGCGGGTTGTGGGTGGTGAACGAGTTAAGGGAATGGCTTTTCATGAGGATTTCGCAAACGATGGAGGCTGGAGAATAAAATTATACAATTTCAGACATGAGGGTAGAATAATGGCTGACAAATTTTCCACAGATTGTCAACCCCAAGGGAGAGATGAAGGGATCCGCCATCACTGGACCAGTCGGAAAGGAAGCTGCTGAATTATGGCCAGTAAGTTCCAACGTCCCAACATCCAACTTCCCTACCCTTCATTCTCGGAAACTAACTATACCTACTCAGCGTATTGCCAGTAACTCTGGTGTCGTTATGTAAAGAGGCTGTTATTTTTTCGGGGTTCTTAACGTCAAATGGAAGGAAGTCATGGATGAATGGGAGGGCGTTGCATCGTTGCTTCTTAAGCCTACTTCACTTACATACCTAAAGACCTGGCGGTCGATTATGAAAAATTGATTCAGCTTCCTACCAATACTACGAAACTATGGACGAATTTGTGATGATGTACTTATGATTGAGTTGGAACTGGAAGGCTGCAGGTGACACCAGATTCAGATGCGAATAGAGTTGGATGAAATCACAGGACGATATTCGAGTGTCGATAGTGTGAAAGATGGGCCAGTGTCAATTTCGGTTCAAAAGTTTTAGGAATATGGCAATAATTCAGCTCTCGGAATTTGGATTCAATTCTACACGGGCTAAGTTGGAAGGATTCAGCAGTACCCCTATCTAGAAGATGGCTTGATTAAATGATGTTGATTGACTGCAACTTGGCTTGCTGGGAATGCCCCAATTCATAGAGCACCAAATCATGAAACGGATATCAAAGGCGACAGTGAGGTACAGTATATATTTTGAGACACTGTATCTTGTAACCAAATCTGCCATCAGTTTATCTCTATCCCAAAACCTCTACCCATGCTGCGCCCGGCGGCCTAGTTCTTCCTACCCAAATCTGAAAGAAGAAAACGCTAGAAATGCAAATGATAAGAGTAATACTGGTACAATTCACAAAAACCTCCATTCTTCATGAGACACTCATCCATTTTTTATGCCCAAGCCCCCACCAACGCCATTAAACAACTCCCACCCAGAACCGCCATAAAAGCCTCCCATCTTCTTCTTCCCTTGAGAATACCATAACTCTTATCGCTCAAAAAGTCCTCGGCCAACAATTGTACCAAGCCCGCGAATAGCAGCAACCCACTGCTGATGGCATTCATGAACCCCACCATCAAAAGTCCAGCCGCGGAATGCGGATCGTACAAATTATGCACAATTAAACCAATTGCCTGACCAATGGGCGTCGTAGTTCCATATGCAAGAACCATGAGCCAGGGGCGTGGGGAAGAGGTGGGAAAATTAATCGCGGCGATGCGAGATCCGAGGGCGAGTCCTTCGAAGGATTGATGAAAAGCAATGGCGACTAGAAAGACGACGAAGGGAGGACCAGTGGCGACGGAGATAGCCATTCCAATGAAGATGGAGTGGAAGAGGATACCGGCTTCAAGGAGGAGACATTGTAGAATTTGTCTTTTTTGTGAGTCCTCGGCTGAGACTGGGGAGGAGGTAGTAGTTTCAGGGTCGTGCGGAGAATGGGTAGGAGTTTTTGTGAGGGGATCATTCAGTTCATCGAGTTCAAGGTCGAGGTCAGAATCGTCGTCTGAGATATTCGCGTCTTGATATTTTTTATGCTCGGAGCTCCCGGTAAGACCAGCTTTAGGGGTTGACACTGGAAAAGGCGATACTCCTGCGACGAGACCTTCGGATTCTCCCATATCTTCTAATGCGATATCTTGTGGCCGATGATTTAGACCTAGTTTGCCTAATCTGCCATTCGACTGCTTCCCCTTCTTCTTTGCGCTTCCATTTCCTTGCATCGCTTCATCTTCCCCTCCTGGCACAACATCCCAATTCCCTCCATGTGAATGAGAATGACCTGCCCCTCTAGTCGTTAAAAACATCTCCAGCCCTACGACTACCAATGCACTGAACATGGCTATAAGACCTGCTAAAGGATGATATCCATCGCTGAAAAAATACGGCAGACATGGATCTGTCAAAGACATAAAAGCCGTTGGTAATAAATGCACGAATGCTGTAGCTATCAAAACCCCAGTGCCGAAATGTTGAGAAAGAAAAATAAATCGATTCGGGCCATCGGATTTCGAGGAACGCCGAGAAATCAGGGGAAATCCGCATGCTGTTAAGGAAGATCTTGTTAGATGGGACAAATAGAAGAGGATGTGATGACATACCGATTGTACTCAGGACGAGTATTAGCACAAGCGCATATACATGCGCAGACGTATTATAACTGCCCTTAACCCCAGATCCGCAAACAGGTTTCTGGGCGATCGTTCCAGATTCATCTTCTTGTTGTTGTCGTCGTCTTAGTTCGGCCAGGAGATGTGATGTAGACCAGGACGAAACTAGGTCATTTGTTAGTTGGTCGCATAGTAGGGAAAGGGAAGAGGATATTTTACCATCGCGATTGACGACCATCTTGAGGGTTTCAATGTTATAATATCAATATAAACCGCAAAATCATTGTGTGCGGAGTGTATAGAGCATGAAGGTTGGTTTTTGGTTGGAGGTTCGAGTACTTTTTGGTTTGGTCGGAGTCAATGATGTTCCGAACGCCAAGGTTAGAGAGTGTTTTGTCTGGGCAGGGGGACAACAGGTCTTTGCAGTTGGCTTTCATCGAGATGTTTTGCTTATAATGAATCATCAATTCGAGTGGCTTGAGTGATTAATTGCAGTAAACAATTGTGCTGCGGTTTTATCTTGATATTCATGGCAATCTTGAGCTGGGTGGCTGCGATCGCAATGTCGTCCTGGAAATACGAGTTTGTGTTGACGGGGACAGCTGCATTGCCTCCGTTCAAATGGATGAACGCCTGCTCATAGGATGTCTATCAGCTCATTCGTATACGCTTGACCTGCCTTGAGCTGGGGAAATTGCATACTCTCGGCACAAGTACCAAGTTTCCTCTGTAAGTTGAAGGCAAGATTCAGAAAAGCTAGTTGAGGTGGGAGAGGCGCCTTGAGCCTCGAATACTTTGCGGCACCAGTATGTGAAGGGCCTCATACACTCCTCAAAAAGCACTTTCATTCAACGGGTACTCAACTTTTGTATAAGTAAAATTGGTGTTATGACCACGGCGCCTTTTCCGTCGGCAGCGTCAAACCTACTGACGGCAAGATACATCAATCAATGGAACTGTATTCCGACACCTCACATACAGGTAATTTTTTACGCCGCTTCTCACCTTTGGATAGAGACTAGAGAGACAATAGGGCTGAAGTTAAATATCATACCCCGTGTGTATTCACTCAGTCTAAAGACGTGCCTTACCTACTCCCTCGCTGTCGCCCTACTTTCCATTGTCAACTTCCCTTCCCAACAACCTTCTTTCTGTCGAGAATCTCTATTCCGATCGACAATGACAGTAAATCACTTAAATACCTATCCCTACTCCTAAAGCTTCCATGGCAAATATAAAGTAATACTCAGATTATTGAAGTACAATTCTTCAAGTTCAAAATCCGAGATTGAAGGTCAACAAGTTCTTCAGTTCGATCTATTCTTCAACAACCTCACCATCCCCCTGTAACCGTTGATAGCATCACTATCGATCAATCCCTTCTTTTTTTATCTTTAATCTTACCTAGTATCTATATCCTTAGCCGTTTCACGGCCGGTCTCATAGCACGCAGACGTATCTCCAATATTTGAAACCCACACTTTCACCAACCTGAGTTTCTTCGGGCAACCACCTGGCTGCTTAAGAATGGCGGCCTTATTATCATTTTACAAGGTCAAGAGCTCCGAAGTTTCGATTCATTACCCCTCACAACATCCCACAATACCATTACCCATCTTGCGAGCGTAGTCTCAAAACTGAGCGTCATCGCCTGGCTGATGAAAAAGTCAATACACGATCATACCAGGTTGACCGACAGTGTTGAATTTTTTACCTGAGGCATCCTTATACCGCGGGACTAAATACACAGTTGTCCAATATGGCTGACGAGCGCCAAGATGTCTTCGAGGAGGTAGATGCAGTGGAACTCAATGAAGGCATTGATATTTCTCAGTATGCATCTGCCATATGTGATCCAAATATTGAAGGTAGGAGTACGGCAATTTCTGCTTTGCTAGACTGGAGCTGATTATGTAAATCTAACAGTGACTGGTGGCTTCTTTGATGGACTGGCATCAGACATGCATATGAATGTGTCAGGTGAGGATGCGGATGCTCCAGGCGACCATAGGGACAGCGATGATGCTCTCAAAGACACAGAAATCTCTAAAAAGGGTAAGAAGACGATACTTTGGATACAAATGACCAGGAGACTGATAACCTTACTGATGTCCAAACTCAATATGCTGGGCTCAACCAGAAAAAGCCTTCATTTGCAAGCAAGTACTTATCCTGCAGCATTGAATCACTCATCGAATTCTTGCGAAACCCTGTTAATCTAACTCCACAAGAACTTGATTTCATCGCACAGCTACTGAAAAGGAATAGGAGCTCGGTAGGTTATGGCGGTATTCCAAAAAAAACTCGCCAGAATTACCGTTCTGGGACAAAGGCATATCATCCAAAAAGTCCGGCTGGGCTAGACAAACTCTTACGCCGTACGACATCACAAGCAGATTATATCAATATCCAACCAGAAGAGGGGCATGGATGGGCCGTCCTAAATCCACAAATATTGCCTCGGATGGACACGAAAAATAAGGAGTTCGTCTGTCCGGGACTTTTTCTGCGACTATGGGACAAGGCCAGCAAGTCCAGGATAGATGACCATGATCATGGTTTTCTTTCAGCGTCTCCAGACTTGCCTCTCCGCACTGTAAAAGAACGGTGTGAATTTTTTCGTGATCATACATACTGGAGACACCGTGGTCTTACTCAGGGTATTTCGATTACAAGTCACCTAAGTATGCTTACTTCTGGTCACATTCTCCCGCGATTCTATGACACTCGAAAAAAGACTGAAATGATTTGTGCAAATCTGACTCTCATCAATGACTATGCGCAAATTGCGGCTGGAATTCCCATCTTGCGAGTGGTAGATGAAATACATCATTACGATGTGGTATCTCTCTACGGCGATCAGGGACTGTACGGCATTAACTTTTTCGAGAATGAGTACCTCGTTCCATATTGTGTCGTTCCTGACGCCATCATCCAGACATACAAGTGGCGTGATATAAAAAGCTGGATGGAGAAGAGAAAACGCAGCTATACTGATTGGTACAAGAAATTTGCAGTTCCGGCATACCTAGCACATGAGGAGATGCGCTCGGGAATGCTTGAGGGGAACCCAGACATGTACGTGGGTGTTAAGTCAATTTTCGTGGACAACAAGACGGTCGAAGAATTAGAAGCCTTGTTCACTACGCCTATCCAGAACCCGCGTGCTCCAAGAGCAGTTCAACGGAAGCCTGGATCGAAGGACGTTGACACATCTGCTCCTGACGATAACCTTGAATCTAATAACAAGTAGCGACGCTGGGTCTTTTTCGGAGAGCCCTTCGACGCAGCGACTTAAGAAGCATTTTTCTACACAAAAACTTATTTATTTCTGCAATCGGCGACCGGTAATATCAACACTATTTTTTATTTCTGCGTTGGCGCAGTGGTCATTTTGCACCGGAGGCTGGACATATCATCGGGCGGTTTTGATCTGGAACGTCAAATCTTTGAAATTTTCACGGGCATCTTTATCTATGATTTTAATTAACCTAACTGGAAGCTGGGCATACTATCATAATGGCACTCATTTTTACATAAGACTTCACACTTGTGCAAAGAAATACCTCCGAGCAGCTACCATATCTGCTTATGCTCTAGGAGTAAGACATCAGAATTGTAGAATAGTTTTGATGATCGACTGATCAGTATTCTAGGCCGTTCATAAATATATTTCAGTTGCTTCAAAACGTGGTTATCTAAATATTCGAGCTTACCATCGAAAACATGGGGGCAGTTTAGCCATTGATATTGTATAATGTGATTGTGTAGATGTGATGTGCTGCACGTTGGATATATCTTGCCATCAGTCGGGGCGTTTCTCCCTTTTATTTTCATTTTTCCTGACATCAATAATCCCCACCTCACAGATACACTCATATACTTTTGTGATACTCCTGGACTCATGCCGACTACATGTCACGTTGAGGAGGAGCTTGACAACAGAATTTGCTCGTTCTTCCTTCTAATTTCCCAGCACAATGGCAAGTTTGGTTGATGTAATTCATCAAATTATGACGAGGAAACCAAATTTATGATGAAATTGCGCGATGCCATCAATTTCATTCCTTAAAATTATATGTGCCTCAGACGGTAGTATTGAACCATATTCCTATGCCAAGATTGTGAGATTCTCTAATAAGTTATTAAATCACTTAATAATATTAGCCGAACCAATGATCGGAGGATCACGTGATATATTAATAATATTATTATACATTATCAAATTTTATTATCATATAGAAATTCGATTATATATTATATTGAAATGATTTATAATGAAATTAAATAAAATGGAAACATAGAATTTTTTTATTTCTTGAGTTGAATATTACTGGTTATTATTTCTTTTTGTTATAAAAAATGATTTTATAAGATTTGATTCCCATTGGTTTTATTTATAATTATAAAATGTATTAGAATTTCATTAAATATTATAAATATAAGGGTTTTCTTCAAAGAATCCTTTGAAATATTAAACAGAAAAAGCAATCAAAATCTTATTATATACTATTCTGACTTCAATTAATTATTATATTCAATTTTATTTTATTATTATTATTATTATTATTATTATTATTATTATTATTATTATTATTATTATTATTATTATTATTATTATTATTATTATTATTATTATTATTATTATTATTATTATTATTATTATTATTATTATTATTATTATTATTATTATTATTATTATTATTATTATTATTATTATTATTATTATTATTATTATTATTATTATTATTATTATTATTATTATTATTATTATTATTATTATTATTATTATTATTATTATTATTATTATTATTATTATTATTATTATTATCATTATTATTATTATCAATATTATTTATCCGATTAACCTCCTCCAAAAAAGTTGAAGCTTTCTCCGAGCCCACTTCCAATCGGCCACAACTCAACAGAAGCGTCGTCACATCCCGGACCTCAATATTCAAAAATACAAGAACTTCGAATCTATTCTAAGTTCCACATTCAATCATCTTACTCATTGTTTGTTAGTTTCCTTTAATCCCCAGAACTATAAGTTGGTTTGATCGTGGATGACCACCTTGAACCAACCCCTCGCTTTGCTTAGCAAAACCTGGTCGCTTGAATTCAATCCCCAGCATCTAATTTATATTCATGTGCGCTGCATACTGGGCCTGGTGAACACCATTATCCCTACTTTGAGGATTGCGGCGGCCAATTTCAGCCCAGATCAGGAGCAAAAACATGTAAATACATCTGGCTGCTGAAACTGCGCAAGTCACTCACGTGAAGAGAACAGAGGAAACGAGGTGGGCTGTGTAAAACTCGGCATTAATACTAGCATCAGAAGATTCATTGATAGAAGTTCATCGATTGTTGGACCCCTTTGTCTTGAGATTCTCGGATAATATCCATCCTTCCATCTACATCTTTCAATCTTTCAGCTTAGCGAATACAAAGTTTCCGAGCCTTCGAGAGATATTCTAGAACAAATCAAATGGTGACAAATGGCATTCTCTAAGTAGAACAATAGAAGAAGTTACTTTATGTCCACCGAGCATCTGATATATCTTGATCAAAGCATCATTGTTCCGGACTTCGGCTACACATGCTGCTTTGGATGATATTTGTTTCTAATTATGCCTGAGTAAATCTTTCTCATATTTTAGTAAAAGATCCATCTCATAATGCGCCAATGATGGGTGATGCTACCTCTCATAGGCCGCCACCGCCATGGAACGGACCTCAATATTGACTCATGAAGGATGTTTCTATATTCATCTCCTTCCAAAATGAGAAGTCTCGATCTTAATGGACCTCCCTAGAATCTCCCTAAGATGTATATAGATTGGATAACCTCCCACTGATTCAACATCATTCTACCCTCACCAATATCTGTTCCGGCTATTGCACAGATCAATTCACGAAATCGCTTATTTCCTTCCCCCGTTAAAAAATCTTGTCTTCAAAGAAATGATCAAGATGTTCAGCACACTTTACCCTTTTTGGAAACAACTAGTCCCAAGCTCTAAGAATTGCTAACGAAGTAGTTCCATTTCTTACATCCACCTGTAAGCGAATTTTAACGTGGGTGTGAAAGAAGCAAACTACAACTCGCCTTCTCCTCGATAAATTCAACGGCTTCTATTAATTCAGCGAAGCTGTTCTGGCCATTCAAAGTTCGCCACGCTAAAACTGTACTAGGAGAGATTATCAAGATACAATCAGTTTATTGCCTCTCAAAATGCCTCTAATAAATCTAAGATTTGAACGAACTAGTTGATGACGCAATATAATGCACCAGTTTGGAAAAATGGTAAGGCTATTCGCAACTGAGCTAGTTCACTCACAAGTGTTCTTGAAAGCCCCATCATACTATTTCAAGGAATAGATAGGGCTTACAGAAGATTGAACTTTTCAAGACGTATAGATATTCAAAGTCTATCAGAGAAAATTTCAATATTATTATCCGTGGAATTTTTATAGTAATTCTAACTATGATTTATATATTAGCAGTTAATAAATATCGAGAAACGTATCATCATCAAAAGAAAAATGCAATGATAAGGTTTAAAATGGCGATGGTAAATTTGAAAATGAAGGCAATAATAGGTTTTAACTCTCCCCAGAGGAGGCAGATGATTCATTAGGACGTTCATTTTAGTGTGTATACTTGCCTGTTGTGTAATAAAGTTGAATGGTATGAACTTAGTTCATATGTGAATGCCTCCATCTTTACCATTTTAGGCATCGACTAGCTCATTTGGCAAACAAGTACATTTCGGAAGAAGCTAGGTCGGTCCAAGTATGTCAAATTTTCTCAATGGCCCAGAACACAACTCAACGAATTCCTCTGGTCTCTTTGTGGCGTCCCTTTGTGACTAATTTAGCACTTACGCTCTCTCTATTTAAAGGCTCTCCTCCCCAAGAGTCTCTTTTCACTTTTCCAGTCTCTCCACACCTTTGCAGTCTTTCTACAACTTTCCAATTTTATATACTCATCATCAATATGTTCTCCAAAGCTGTCATTATTGCCATTGTTATGGGGTTGGGCGCCTCCGCGGCTCCAACCTCGGTTACAGAGTCTACTGCTGGGAGTCTTGTCGGACGAGATGTCCCTTACCAAATGTTCACCGGCGATGGATCTCACTGGCCTGATATGGGTGCCTGGACCAATTTCGATACCATGTATGTCTCTTTCTTTTATCAAAGAAAATAATCTATCCCATACTAACACAATTTCCAGGTGGGCCAACTCGCAAGCAGTCATGACTACTTCTTGCACACAATTTGGCGCAGCCAACAACTCCCCTGCCGAGATTGCTGATATCAAATATACCATCAGCTCTACCTCTGCTTATTCGGGCATTGACCCCCGCTTCATCCTTGCAATCGTCATGCAAGAATCCGGCGGCTGCGTTCGTGCTCCCACTACGTTCGGGGAAAACTCGAACCCGGGAATCATGCAAGGCCACAACGGCTACCACAGCTGCAACCGAGACGGCACGATAATGAACCCATGCCCAGCCTATATGATCGCCGGCATGATTAGAGATGGAAGCACCGGAACCTTGGGACAGCCCGGCGGCGGTGATGGACTGCAACAATGTTTGGCACAGAGCGGTTCTCCATACACTGCTCGAGGCGCCTATACCGCGGCTAGAATCTACAATTCTGGCTCTCATGCTTGGGGAACCGATCTTGGAGAGCCATCTTGGGGTACTAGCTGTTATGCTAGCGATGTTGCCAACAGACTTTTGGGATGGGCTGGTCCGGCCACTCCTTGCACCTTGTCCAACCCAATCCACTGAGAGCTTGATACTTTGTACTAGGTGATTATGACATTACTATATTATTAGATTTGTTATACTGCCTGGTACTATAGCTCAGTCTTCGGATTTCTTCCTCTTTTAGCGGGGGTTTTTTTTTCATATATATTTCATTTTGGGTTGCTTTTACTTGTTTTTAATTTTACATCGGGAATAGATTCTATTAGATTTTCTTGCTTTTGGTATTACATTCCCAGAATGGGAATGCAATGGAGGGGAAAAGTTGATTAGAGGCATGTATACATGTATCATAGACATCTTCTGCGAGAATCCTTATATGTTTGACTCTGTTTTTATTGTTGCTATATACTATACAGGGCAGCATATATCATAGAATAGATGTATATAAAGGGAATAATAGGGATTTATAGAATGAGATATCTTCAGTCTGAATTTGCAGCGCTAATCCACTTTTGCTGGTATGTGATATATCTGTGGTGTTGCCGCACTGATGTCTCTTTTAATATTCCAATAACTTTTTCGGTGCAAATCCTCCATGCAGATCAAAGTTATGTGGTATGAAACGGTGGGAAGACTTAGAAATTCATGGCACCGTATAGACGAGTAAATAGGTAATTTTGTATTTTTTGTCTAGCTGGGATGCATGGCATGACTGGCGCAAATCAATCCAGGTATACACCTGATATCTTTCTAGTCGCATACACATTTCATATCTCTAATCTACTTTTTCAAGTACGCTACTTTATTATTTCGTCTGTATCTGGCGCTCGCCTAGCATAGGATGAGTAAATTTGTACAAGCTCCACCAGCATTCTCACCCGCTCCGGCACCTAACAAATGATAAATGGCCATGGTAAGTTGTGAGAATATGTAAGTTGAAAATATCTTTAAACGCCCATCGCAACTATCAAACACTCATACAACACCGCTTTCAATTGCAAGATCCCCCGGGCCTGGTTTCCTTCCATAAAAGACAACTCTAGAAACACGTTAGCCCTTTCATATTCGCCTCCAGTACGAGACTAACATCCAAGCCAAAAGAAAAGAGAGAACTTACACATCAATATAAGAATGAATTCTCCTATTTTTCAAATCTCTCCTAACATCCACCAGAAAGAGCTCTACCTGTTCGGGACTCCAGCCCAACCCTGCCGTCAAATTTCGCATCGTAATTCCCTGAATACCATCCAACACATTCTGCTGCGTCCACATTGCCAGCAGTTTCTCCTTTTCCCCCTTAACCCACGTATTACAAGGCCAATAAAAATGTTTCTCAACAATATCTACGAATCCCGCTTCGGCCATCCATCGGCCATAGTGTTTTGAATTGGTTAGTTTACGACCGCGACGCTCGGCCGCGAGACATGATACTCGGCCCCATTCTTCAAGGGCGGTACCGGTTATGGAGGAATCAATGCCGAGGATAGGCATTTGTGGATCTTGCATTTCCAGGTAGCCGCCTGGACAAAGAAATTTGTAGGCGGAGATTATTAAGCGGGCGGGATCGCTAAAGCAGCTTAACATGGCTCGACCGTGGATGTAGTCGAATTTGTGAGAGTATGTCCAGGGTTCTTCAGCGTCATTTACTTCGAACCTACAGTTTGGAGGTACGCTGGGAACGTTTGTTAGTATTGGATGTATAGTGGTGAATTGAGGTGGCTCATTACTAGATTGGCTGAATGGGACTGAGGTCTGTGCCGATAATTTGAGCTGAAGGATATTGTTCCGCTAGAAATGACACATTCAGTCAGGGAGTTCCGTCTTCCACAAAATAGCAGATGATAACGACGGAGTAGGCTTACCAAACTCTGTTGCCCATAAACCGGTTCCAGTTCCGATATCTAAAACGTTGTGGAGTTTAGAAGGGAGAGGAGCAAGATGTAAAGCCCCATCAAACGATAAGGAAAATAGGTGATGTTGTAAATCTGAAACATTAATTAATGCATCTACATCGACCATGTGGTATGCCATGCCATGAGGACTTACCCAATCTTTCTTGCTCCGCATCGTCGTTGGGGAGAACATACTCTAAACACATGTCAGCCGCCGGAAAGCTGAATCGTTGCAGACACTTTTCAGACTCACTCCCCGATTTATAAGCATGATACGTCCGACCGTTTTCCTCGACATACTTATATATACTTTCTTGAAGAGAGGCAGTAGAACTTCTGTATCAAGTATCAACTTTTCATGTAGGTCATTTCATTGTTAATAGGCAGCTCTACTCACATAAACGATTCACCCATAGTAGAATCTGCATCGCTATTATTTGCAGACTAATCACAAATCAATGAATATGTCGTGCATATTGGAATCTGGCTGCTCACCTGTGAACCGGTCTGGGAATCTACCTCTAGCTCTGGCGCATCGGCAGTTTCTGTTTCTGTTGCAGCACTTCCATCATGGTGATGTAACGATGTGTGTATATCATTCGTATTATTTTGATTGGAATGCATGTTACTAAACGGGAAGTGGCCTCTTGACTTCACAGTGATTGACGGTATTGAACTTATATGATGCTCACCGGGCCCTAGAACCACTGGTTTCTCGTTTGTAGAGTTTGGTCTCAATTGTTCACCTTCGGTATCATTAATTGGTTGTGATTGTTGATCATGACTCAAGCCTGCATTTGGCTCCTTCATATTTCCCAATAGGACGCTGTGCATATTATCAAATATCTGCTTATGTCATTCCGTAATCGAACGATTTGCCCCAATATCTCAAGTATCCCCTCAAAATCGACAAGATGGTATAGTACCGAGAACGTATCGAAATCAGATGAGCCTCCCAAATTCAATCAACTACCTTTTACAATAAAGTCTCTTGCCTATCTTTACTTCAAACTTTTGACAACTTGTCAGAGCCGCTCGAAGTAAGCGAAACCGTAGGATTTGGCTATTCGCGGTTGGACGAACCAGTAATCCTTCCTTGCTTATGCAGCCAGTAAAAGCCATGGGTACTTGCCCGGCCACATGCTCTTCTGACACGAGCTCCTGCAGTGACTGAATCAAATCTTTGTGTATCTTTGCATTCTGAGATTAGTATGTTGTGGAATACCGGTTCAGCTTTTGCTTCTACAATGTTTAGCTATAGGGGCTCAGGTCAGAATCGAAAGTTAGAAACAAGAATCCGCATAAGTGGTATTTCCAAAGAAGACACCTGAGCAATGACATTAACGAATCAGTTTGGGTGCATTTATCCAGATCTCCACAGTGTCACATGACATATTGGCAGTATTCTCATCTACTTTCACTAATCAAACTCTTTACCGAGCTCCTTTCACACCGTCTCAACATTCGCGGGAAAGTCATCAATATGTAACCTACCTAGGTAAGATCTTACATATACTTCACTACATCCTATACTCAGGAATTACCTGTTTTATCCCACGGGATTTCTTTTGAACCTTACAGATGAAATCAGATACTGGAAGGTGTTCCTTGCTCGAGTTGGTAAAGAGACCGAAATGTAAAGTTTCCAACCGAAAATTACACATTAACAACAACAACCTTGCAATGTGTATTCGACGACAAGCAAATGGCCATGGAACAGGAAAAGTCCACCACTAGGATAAAAGCACGAAAAGTTTATACGGCTTAGGGGATATCCATGCCATTGTTGGACGTCAAGTCAATCAAACTGTCAAAGCCTCAAAGGTAACAAAGCATGGTATTGAATATATACAAAACTAAACTATGTATAGAAGAAGCTTAAGCTTTTAAAGTCATCCATTATTACTCGTACAAAGGTTTTTTCTCTCGATGATTGAGATGAACAGGAGTTATGTACAACTTCCATACTCTTTAATCTTCTGATCCTAGTTCGTTTCGCGCAATCTAGAGTAGATCCACGAACCATATGAGCTTGATTGTATTCGAATGCCATCGTAGTTCCATTGTTCGACCACATGAGGCTCAAATGCAAAGGGCAAATTCTCTTGTCTGCCCTGGAATTCTCCTTTGAGCACGGTGGCATTGAAAGTAGTTGGTGTGTTGTCATTCTCGATCGTGCCGATTAAGAAGGCGAGATTTGTTTGAGGGAAAGATGCATTTAGTTGGTAGGGATTGATATCGCTATAAGCTCTTCAGGGACAACGAAAGGCCAATGCCAGTTGGCAATTCCTTCATTACTTTCATTGAAAGTTATGTTGCATACATGATAGAGCGGACAGATTTGTGATGATGGACAGACGAGGCAAGAGGGGTCCTGTTGTCTGCCTCACCATGGAACTGGAGGACTTTGCCGCCTGCTGCACGGAATGGTGTAATATCGCCCCACGTAGTTTGCAATGTATCCTCATATAATTGCCATCCAGCGTAGATCCAATCCCCAAGGGTATCGTAGGTAACGTTGTCGAAGGCACCAGCAGCAAGGGCACTGCTATCTAGAACTTCAATGAAGCGTACTGTGAATTTGATTTAAAGTCAATGACAGATAACTCCCAGCTATTGGTTTCGTCATTGTATGCGGTAGCCGCATCATAACAACTTGTAGACAGCTAAGATACGTACGCATGACGACTCTGAAAGTCGTGGAGACTATCAAGAATCTTGGCTGCAACTGCAAATAGCTTGAACTGACACGGTACCATCTGTACCGGAGTTGCAGGCGAAGAAGACTCGCCTGCAGAAGTGGCAACTGCAGGACAATAGTATGGCTCGCCCGTGGATTTCAGAGGTTGAAGCTCAGCTTACAAAGGTTCATGATCTTAGCTGAATCATACAGTAGAGGCTAGTACGGGTTTTCTCAACCACATTGAAGTAAGTTCTTCAAGGTCCACTCAACCTACTGGTTGATGATGATCCAACAAGCTAACATGCAAAGGGTCTTCTTGTCATATGATTTTCGGACGAGGCGACCAGATGAAAGAGGAGCAGCCATTGGCAGATATCAGTACCAGTAATATCATATCCATTATTTTCGCTCCCGATCAAAGGATGAGTGGAATCTGTCTTGGGTACATGTTGAAACTCGGACTAAACATCTGGAATCTGAAATCGGGGATTCGAGAACATCATAGCAGGGCAGGTATGAACATTAGTGGTGTGGTCAGTGTCTATACTCCGTCGTTTATATATCACAGATACAGAAGAGTCGTCGAAATACGCCATATGGACTCATGCCGTCTATGCATAACCTACAGCAATCGCCAGTCGATCATCAATAGCCTCAGGCCATATAATGCATTATGGATAGGCCAAGGCAGAAAGACGCATATGCAAATCGAGAATTAGGATACCTATTTGGCTCGGGGTCAACGTTCGAGGGATTGTGACTTCAGTGCATGGTTTTTCTCTAGCGACAGCAGTTCATAGAGCACCCAATACGATTTCGAGTGTTACGCTGAGGTTGAAGACGAGGCCGCTATCGGTGGATCATGCATGATGGCTTTTAGACTTGATGCGTTCCGAGCTCTGTGGAATATAACCATGTGTAAAATTTAGCTCTGCCGTAAGTGCTAGAATTTCTCGGTCTCAAAGCTGTTATAGAAAATGGATTTGCCCATGGTTGATTTCTAGGTCTGATTCGTATGAATGACGTCTATATATACTTGAACAAACTTATTCTGTCCATTTTGAATGGCGCCGCCCGTACGGTATGTACTACTTATGGTGCCGGTGGAAAACGGGGCACCACCTTCAGTGAGAGGAAGTCGATGTCATGTGCAATTCGACTGTGAAGGCTTTGCAGGTCTTGCGGCTAGAGCCTATCAGTGTATCCAATAATTTGGGTTACAGGATATACTAAATATTTTAGATTAAACCGTCAAGCTTAAATCTATTGAAAGGTTACACAGCCCATTTAGGACCATATGGATCCACGACAAACTAAACTGCAATCCGAACGAACCGGACTTTTGGGCTGAGTGATGGATGATTTTATATAATAATTAAGGTTAATAATGAAGTCTATCCAGTTCAAAAGTCCGAATGGCAATCTAGATTTTTAACATTAGATCATCTAGTTCGGAAAGTCTAGAATTTTTTATTCAAATATCCTTTAATTATCTATCTAGTCCAATATAATCACAGATTAGCTGTCTAGATTGCTGTCCGGATTTTAGACGGCATGCAGGACTATTGAATACATTGGAACCAACCTACAGACGATACAAATCGTGGCTTATTTTGTGGCGCAGAACAAGAGGACGGAATATAATAAGTAAGATTACACCTACCAGGCACAGATAGCTTGTCCTATCCTATATTTCATGGCTATGTCATTGAACTACGGAAAATCTGAATGTATATTTCGCGAGAGCATGCGCAAACGACGACAACGACCATACATATGACATCAACCATGATATCAACTCGTCAGATATATAGACACCAAGTCTCTCTTTCATTCATATAGGCCATTATCTAATTTGGATAAATATAAAGACCAGATCTTCCTTTTGCTATTTTTTGGCGAGTAATTCTTTTTTCTGTTTAAACCCGCTTTTAAATATCACTTGAGCCTATTATCTATCTGCATCTCTTACGATCACCGGTACAGGGAGGGGTTTACAGTCTTTTCAACTCTCACACAGGTTGAGTTGCCACCATGAAAAGCGTTAGTATTAGTAGTGCAACAAGACATAATGCAGTTGCTTCCTCCGAAGTTCCTGTATTCCGGACATCCCACCTGAACTTTATAACAGATGAATAATCACATATTGCCGACATTAAATCCCAATGCGATAGAACAAAAAGGCCACTTCCAAGTTCCATCCCGTCTTTCTTATTACTAGATAACCATCGATCTGGGGGATCAACTAATTAGCTCACCGGTAGCTAAACCCACTTAGCTCGCTACGCAAGTTGTTCCAAACTTCCCATGTTTCCACACAATAGAAATTAAGCGGTGCAGGGTCAAACGGTGTTTAGTCCAGCGTCTCAGACAATCAGGGATAACCTCGATGCAACAAGGTGTAACTCGAACTTTAAAGCTTAGGTAAAGTTAATTAAAGCTTAATAATAATCGATAAAGAGAAAAAGGTTAAATGAAACTTTAAATTTCACCGTTTGGAATTTGGGAATTTGGGATGATGTCCGGTCCGAATTGTTGGTAAGGGGCTCAGGGTTTACTTTTATGGTGTGTTTATGCAGGTACGGTGAATGTCTTGGATGTGTATAGTGGCATTTACACTGTACTGAGAGGTCTGTGGTTTACATTCTGTTGACCCCTAGAACTTGTATTCATACTCATGGTCTCCTCAGTACGTATGGAGTAGAGGAATGAATAGTGATTAATTAAGTGAACATTATTTGTATGCTTGTAAAATTGCTGAGAGATGTGAGGGTAAAGATGTGAGTGTGTAGAAAGCAATGTGTGATGGAAGCGGCGAATACATACGACTGTAGTGAGAATGAAAAAGAAGCCTGAAAACCAAAATGTAACAAGGTGAATATGGTATCCAGAGAGTGATGAGCAAAACGAGGTCATGATTTCACATTGGGAGAAAAATATTGATACATTGTATCTCAGACAATATTGTACAAATTCTGAACATTAAATTTCGTATCACATCTTCTAGTTATACAAGCAACAAAACAACCATCAAATCACAATATCCCTCTACACAAAATCCATCACACACCATCCCCTTACATAGCAAGTTAACACTCTCCCCTAGTTAAATCCCTTAGGAGTGTTGTTGCAGGTAACATCCAAAGTTGCGTTGTTAACATTGAGACAGTAAGCCTCATTTGTTCCCTTTGGACTCTTCACATTAATGTCGGTTGCCACAATGTTGTTGCAAACCGAAGAGCTAGAGCAAGCAAATGTACCAATCTCAGGGCTGTACTTTGAGCTGGTGGTACCAGTGAAGTGCTTGAAGACAATGTCGGTGATGGTAAGAGCAGATGGGTATTGGAGACAGAGGGTGAGGTTCTTTTGACCGTAGCATTGGTCAATCTCGATGGCGTAATCGACGTTTTCGACGTGCATTGTGTCGTAGGTAATGTTTTGGACTCTGCCACTACCACCGCCTCCTATGGGTTTGTTAGTTATAGACTTTGAATTCAAAAAAGAGAACATATTTACCTTGGAGATCACCACTGAGAGCTGATGCGGTGTTAGGCCAAGCCTTAATACGTGCACCGTCACTGGCGTTGGTCAATGTGGCATTGTAAACGTATACGTTTTCGACGATGTCGAATTCTCCAGCATATTGACCGAGGGATCCAACAGAGATTCCGTGGGAGCCATTGCAGGCAAGATTTTGAACCAAGATGTTAGTACTGTTGGGCTTGAAAGAAACACAATCTAGAAACTGGTAAGCAAATTTTCCAAATACAGAATGAAAGGGTATTTACCATCTCCATTGTTGATGTTAGAGTTCTGGATAACGATGTTGTCAGATCGGTAAGTATCCCATCCATCGGTGTTCTTTGCAGGGTTTTTGCTCGAGCTTCCACCTGAGATGTTGATGTTGTTGTACACAACATTGCTGGAGTTTGCAATGAAGTTGTAGTATTGTGGTGAGTAACGGAGAACCAAATCGGTCAAGATGGAGTCTTTAAGTCCATCAATTCCAATGAGAACTGGTCTGAGTGCGTAAATGTTCTCGGCATAAAGGTCATACCAGACTTGACCGTTTCCGTTAAGAGTTCCACCTCCGTAGATGAAAACGTCCTCTCCTCCGAGTTTGAAGAATGAGGTGGCGTTTTGGAAGACGAATGGGAAGGAATTGGCTTGCCAGTAGGTGGTGTCGTTCGAAAAGAGAAGTTCTCCCTGAATGTCTGCAATATCCATTAGCAAAAAAGTACATCGATGTGTTGATGCTACAAAGTGACGTACCAAGATCAATGTGCTGAAGGAAAGTCCAGTCCATGGCTGTGCCAATTGAGTATGTAACACCCTTGCTGAAAACTACATGGCCACCATTGTTGCACGAATGAAGTGCACTCATAATGGCTGAAGAGTCATCTTTTCCATTGCCATTGCTTGGCACAACGCAAGTCTTGGTTCTTGCTGCTGGGTAAGGGGGAGCGACGGATGGGTTCTTGGGAGAGTATTGCACGACTGGTCTTGTTGATGTTTGCTGCTTTGAATGACCTCTGCGAGCAATAGCATCTGAAGAGTCTGACCCGACTGGGTTTGCAACTGCGACTGCGGCAGATGCCACAGTAAGAATTGAGCTCAATTGGAAATGCATGTTGAGGTAGGATCCCGTTATTTTGATTGTCCGAGTAGTTTGAATGAGAGCGTGGCACTTTCTTCTACACTTGGGATCCGGCGCGACTTATATATTGTCTACCTGCGAACTAAGGTGGGCATGCAAACCTTCACATATTGTATTGCCAGGGGCGGCGGGGAGGGGGGAGCCAACGAGCACCTGTTTCTCCGAATTTCTTGCCTTGGCCTGAGCTTTTGACGAAGACGGTGAGTTCTTGCTTGAGCCTGTACATCTCATGCTTGAAAGCTATGGATAATTCATCCCCAGATTATCCAAAAATGTCTACGGCATTGAAAACCCGCATTAATCTAGAACCACAAATAATCTCAATAAACTTTATTGGTCCATTCTATTTATTCTGGAACAAGAATTCTCCATGCTCCATTTAGGTTTAATTATTGGTGGAACTCAAGGACGTCCTCCACCGAACCGGTGAGACGTACCCTTGTGGTTTATTCGACCTATCGCCGACCGCTGGGGGCCGCAATTGGGCTCGAAAAGGGGTTGCTACTTAAATCGGAACTTCGGAGATATACAAACTCCAAAGTGGAGATTCAAATAGATGAAGCGTGATGTTAATATGCCATCACGTGATTACTTGCACGTGCGACATCCCACTCCGCCTTTTAGGTCAAACTTCACTAACTTCGGCCCTTAAGAGCTCAGATTCTTGGCTACTATGTGTTTTGATCACTTGATGACAAAAGCATATCGTTAGATAAGATGTCTCTTAGCTCACCTAGAAGAAAGCGGGCCTCCAAATTAAGCTTCAGGGGTAGTCACTAGTGGATGTGTCAATTCAAGTGTTTGCTTTTGACGGAGTTTTCCCAGAGGCATCAAAGTACAAACCCTTTCAATCATCCAAGATTGGGCTGTGAAAAGGGGAGATTATCTTTCGATCCTTGCTGAAGATGGCTGGTTGATTTTGGTGGAAGCGGCGAACACCGATATATCTTTCATATTCTTCAATGCCACTACGTATCTCAATTCTCATCTGATCCATCTAATCGAACGGTCAGGCAAGCCATCATAGAAATGCGCAGAAGTTTGTAGAGCTCGCGGATACACCGATTTATTTGTCACATCCTTACCAGACAGACCACCTTTCCATGGTAAAAAGCATTGACGGATCCAGTCCGAGTCGCTGAAGGGTTCGATAATTACACATTTCAATTGTGTTATGACGGGAAGTTTGCAGAGCGGCAGAGAACTTTTCTATAGCATTGATGCCTGCGCTCATGTGTGCCATCGAATTGCTTCTGTTGGCAGGATGAAGCAAACAGACATATATTGACAGCTCGCGGCCTTTGGTGCATGTCGAGTCCAAGGCAAAAGACGACAGGGACATGGATATTCAGAGATGCGCAGAAATTTCGAAAAATGCCGTTGTGGCTGCCTTCTGCCGGGCCGCTTTCTCAAGTGTGTGGACTTGGCGTATTACTTCTTTTCATCATAACGATACTATCGGAAGGATTTTTCTTTGCCCGGTAGTTATGGAGATGCCGGTTTCGCTCTTCTCAACATGCATCCAGATCGATCAGGACACGGGAGACGGCTTGTCTATACGTGTGGCTTTCTTTGAATCTGTTCGCAGCACCAAAAAGTTTGGAACGTTTGTTTGAGCAGCAATCGGTGCTTACTCTGTTAGAAATATTCGTCTTGCTACATGATGATCTTATATCTGCAGTCAAAGTTCATACTATAGTTGAAATGTTCTAGTTCATACCATCGGATCTTGTAACAGATCTCGCTCGTCTTTTGTTTGGTCGATATTGTGGGGCATGGACCAGCAGCCCGGCTGTTGGAGTTGGAGCACGATGTGAAAGAGCTATTGACTGACATGTTGTGTTCCAAGAAATGGCCATTTCTTAGAAATAATCCTATGATTCCGGCGAAGAAGTACCATGGTATATTCATGAACTACCACAAAGAAGAATTTCGATCACGCTCTCAACGTCTTTCAAGCAAGGTGTGGTTACAATCTGCGGACATGGACAAGGTCCTCTGGAGACACTAATGACGCTGATGACCATTTATTGGACTTTGGAGAGTGGAGTATGCTGCATGATTATGAGTTTAATGCATGTCCTTTGAAGTTACTGGATCGCTGGATAGCGCAATATTTACCTCCGGCGTGGGGCACCGCATACAATCTAACCAACAGAATCATTCCAGGATATTGGTGGGGTGGTACATCTCAACCTCATTTTAAACACGGGACACTTGATGGGCAGTCTGTTTCGAGAGATTGATATGCCACATCCGGGGATAGATCGCAGGGTGTAAAAGAAGCAACACTAACCAATACTACCTGTTCCTGCAAGGCAAAGGATCGTACGGGACATATAGCCGGGGCAGGATAGGATGGGGAACCACTACCTGGAATAAAGATTCAATTTCTTATGACAGTCACACGACATTTTAAAGGTTGAAGAAAGACCAAGAATGTGACCCATCATAATGATTATCAGCTTTGGGATATGCCTACATACAAACGCTTACCATCATTGAGATTTTGCCGCTGGTGCCGTTGATCAAAGAAATTAAAGATTCTTGACATCCTGCGTGAAAAGCTATAGCAAATAGACAACGGGATCGCAGCATAAAATCCTAGTACAGACAATAAACCCCCCAGCGATGCAATATTTTGATTACAAACGAAACTTGCATCTATTCGATGTATCGAAGCAGTTCTTCCACCCTTACAATACATAACAAACACTGCACTAAATTCTCTTCCATTAACCCCTCATTATTAGGATTGGTTATTGGCACACATCGGATGAACTTGCATGAACTGTGGATTTTGATTGTCCATGAAGAGTGGGCCGTGATCATCAGGGAGCACTCCTTGGCAATCTTCAAATCTGTAGAGATCGTATGCAGGATTGTAGTTTTCCTCTTTGATAACGGGGCTGTAAATTCCACGGCACTCTGGAGTTGGCGTTGGAGGTGATCTTCGTGGAGATCTCGATACAGAATTAACATTTGAGGCGTGAAATTGGCTTCCTGGATATCTGGACGATGTTGAAATCATTCGTCTTGGACTTGGATCTTCCCTCCCTCGTTGACGTAATAACTTTCCTTTGCCAGTAGAGTGAAACGAAGGTTTTCGCATCGCATTGTAATTGTGCCGACTTAGATGGTTTGGACTTGGAGTGCTTTCTGCTTTGGCGTATTTCTTGCTACCTGTTCCCTTGCGATATCGAGTCGTAGACTGAACTCCACTCCTGATTGCAAAATCTTCCAAAACCCACTCCGTAGACTTTTTGGTTTCTTCTCCAGGAATTTTTCGCTCCGTCTTTTTAAACGCCTACGTCGAACATGTCAGCCTCAGTAAATCGCAAAACATACTTAATCATAGAATCTTACAGCGTTCATTGATAGATTGTGACGGATGCTGTTCATCCAACCTTTGGTGTCCGAACTCCCTTTAGTAGTGTTCTCTCGGAACCAACGATATATCTCCTGTAGAACCATAGAATGGTCTGGCGCACTCATCAGTGCTCGATAGATCAATTTTGCGTACGGTTGCTCATCCGCACCATGACTATCAGCATCGACATCCATTGCGGTAGGCTCGCGCGAGCTATGCCCATCTTCCTCGGAGCATAAGCTGGAGGGGGTTTTAGAGTTGAGGGGCTTTTGAGCTGCATCCATCATGACGCAATCATCAGATCTTCCGCCATGGTCAGCCCTCGATGATACCATGGATCCGACATTGTCGCTGGTATCAAAAGGATATACTGGTAACGTCATGGTCATGTTGGCATAAGGTTGTTGCCATGTAGTTCGAGGGATGTCATCGAAAGCTTTGAGAGAATGTTGTTGTTCAAGACCAGAGAGATCAGTTGGACAATCGTAAGAGTAACCATTCCCATCGTCTCTAAAGCCAGGAGTTATTGGCGCCTGTTGACCCCAGGAGTTGAGATTTCGAGAGACCGGCATTTGGGATGTTGTAAGGTTGTAGTCATTATTGGGCATAGGGGATGATGATGGACTAGCCATGAAGTACTGATCTTGACTGATTCGAGGTAGACCGTCAAATGATGGAAATATAGCATCAGCTTGCGCTTGTGCTGTCGTGCCAGTATTCTCCGAAGTTTGAAAGTCCCAAGGCAAGTCGTGATGTTGAGAATTCTGCTGAAAGTGATCGGAATCCATGTTGAAGGCCGACTGAAAACAATCTACTCAACTTCGCTGCTGATGATGTGTTTATTGAACGGAGTGATACACTTAGAATGGATTGCTCTATTGTAAGACGATAGTGACTTTCTTCTCGGAGAATTCAAAGAATTTAGATAGCAAAGGACTTCGGGTGTAGTTATTCAAAAAAGAAATATAGAACATAAGGAGCAGTGAGAACACTGGGGGCTATGTGCCTATGGGCGTAGAGTCCTGAAAAGACAAGGCCATAATGCAGGAGAGCGAATGCCAGCACATGGATGCAAGCCTTTGACGTGTGGTGCAAACAGGCTCCCCGGGCAGCAACATTGTGAAGACACTGTGAGCTCTACAATAACCCTTTCTTGAATAGCAATTGCTTGTTGTCTGCTGTAAATAGGTAGGCTGTAGGTCCGCATATCCATGTCATACAGGGAGAGGAGGAAAACGGGAAACTGCATAACGCTAGAGATTGTGCCTAGGAGAAGCATTGTTTGAATTTAAACCTAGAAGGGTATACTAATGTTTCACCGTCAGCCTCGAGCGAGCACAGTCACAAAGAATTGTCTGGTTTAATTGTTCTTGAAATTTATTCTAGAAGGAACACAAAGTTGTTTTTGTCAGAGTTAAGTGGACTATGCCGAAATCAGCCACCCGTAAAACCGTTTCGACCTGCTTAACCAAAAATCCCAATGATTTGCACGAACGAAAGCCGATCCGGAGAGTTTTTCTTAATAATTAACGTCGCAACTACCCATGTTTGAGAAAAAAAGGGTTAGTGCTACGGATCGTGGCCAGCAGTCCGGAATCACTGCTAATAAAACTTTGCAGGTGGGTTATGAGATGAATAGAGGAAGTTGATAACCTCAGCTGCATTTCCAGGGGTTAATGCTTCTCTTATGCATCGAATCGTTGCCGTCATGTAGGTAGTATTATTTTTGACGGATGTACAAGGTTCCTTTGTGTGACATAACACACGTGGACGAAATCTGGAGAGGTTTATTTGTGAGCTCAATGATTGCTAAAGAGAAACCCAACCGATCTGATATTTACCAAACTCCGGTGTCTTCTCCCACCTCCATGACTTCTGCACTTCTTACAGATGGGATCATCCGCTCCTTCAATGATCAGCAATGAAGAATCCCTATTACATTGATTTACAAAACCCCATGTGTATCCTCCACCTTCCCACCTCCATAACCCCACGCTCCTTGTACACAGAGTCATTTAATTGCTTCAAAAATTACTTGGGAAGAACTTCCACCATTTTGATATCTGTGAAACTCCACTGTATCCAGATAGAATTGGAATATTCAAACTCTTTAGAATACTGAATTACATTCAAACATTCAAAGGACTTCAACCATTGAAAGCTTAAATCTACTGCCAGTCCGGACTGTTGGACACCCTGACCGTGCATAGATTGCTCTCTGGAGTTCGGCGAGAGGGTTCATTGTTCGGAGTGGTACTATATTTTAATTCATCATCAGCAAGTTTTTCCCCTAAAAACCTTACATAATTTATTGTCCATACTTGATGAAGGATCATCAGGATCAACATGTGGGGTCACTTCGTGAAGCTATTGTGTGTTTAATGATTACAAAAATCACAATAAATAAATACTTACTATAAATCCATGTTTGGATTGTTCTTTGATAAGTGAAATAAATCCAATTTAAAGTTCTGTGTGAGAATAGGCAAAATACGTGAAGGTTATGTCTAAAAAGTAAGATTAGACCATACCCGTAGAATAGCGTATGACGACTATGTTAGCCCAGTGATATCTGTTCTTGCCTGGCTGCAAGAGACAACCCGAAACGATACGATGAGTCAAGAAGGCATCTCTCGAATCGTGATTACTTTCGGTAGTATATCTGAATGATGATAAATTAGCTTGGGTTGAAAGGTGGTAGGTATTGTGATAATTGTTACTGACCTTTTTGAATTGGAAGTGTAACTGAAGAATACCCTGTCATTGAGTGACCACATTAGCTAGGGAACAGGCTTTAAAGAAATATTGCGGTTTTGAGGTTGTCGCTGCATGACGGGTAGACAAGGTGCAGAACATTGAAAGATTGAAGCCACACACATACCTTGTCGAAACTACTACGAAAGCCACGATCCCTTTTCGCGGAATAATCCCATTCTTTATCGACAATACGGAAGGCAATATCCTCATAAGGTGGTCCAGCTATGAAGCGGATCAGACATGTATCCTCCTCTCCAGCGGCTGCAAATGACTCTCCTCTCTTTCGACCATGTTCACGAATAATTCGAAATGTTGGCGCTTTAGCTTTGTCTATTAGATCCGGATAAAATATGTTAAATTTGTAACCTTGGACGACTTTCGGTGGAGGGTTATCATGATCATAATGGGTTTGATTATATTTGTTCCACTCGTAGCCCATTTGCACTCGATTGAAATAACGGGGCTTCCTTGGCCTGTATTTGTCTGCCCATTGAGGAGCCGAACTCGTCGTAAGGCTTTCCTCTGCCGCGAAGATTTCCTCATTCTCATTCACACCCCGTGCCACCTCTCTGTCGTACAATGCTTTTGTAGCTTGAGAGAAATCTTCGGAGACTACGGCGGAAAAGCGCTGTGTACCTGGGGGTGCATTGCTGATAGATGTGCTTAGTTTGCTGACAGAGCTGGGCATACTCTTCTCGGAGGCAACTGGACGTGAAGGTACGTAACCTAACTTTAAGACTTTGCGACGCTCGGCCACGACCTTTTTAAGGAAATCAGATTCGTCAATAATCTCGCTTGATTTGTCTTCAGTCCGTAGTTTAAGTAACGGTTCCGGGTCATGCTTCTCTGAGTAGACAAAGTGAGGCTGACGACGAGGTGTTTGCGCGGCAATCGAATTTGGTCCGTCAGACCCCTCTTCAACCACTGGTGTTGGACCACATAACAGTTCTTGTAACTTCTTTTGAACACCTTCTGCATCCTCCTTTTGTTCTTTTCGTAAGGCGTCAAGTCGAGCATCCAGCACAGATTGATACACCTTCTTTAATTTAGCCTTTGCCTTCCAGATCAATAAACTCTTTAAGAGTTGTTCCCAGTAATCTGTATCTATCGGTTCGTTCGAGCGGAGCTTTGCTCTAATTTGTCCTTCCAAACTTTCCAGTTGCTCATATGTTTTTGGTCCCAACAGTTTGTCCACATCTGCGGCAACAGAGCTTACAGCACGTTCATCAGGACCCAGGGGCTTTAATTTCTGGCGACGATCATTGCAAATGATTTGCATCGTCTTCCAATAGTCCTGGTTTTTTTTGTTCTTCTCCAAAGCAATGTAAGAATCAATGTCGGCCTCCAATTCTCCTAGTTGCACATCGTTGAGTCCTTCGAATACACCCTCTGGATCTACCACATCCAGCTGAACCTCTTCTTCATCAGCATCAAGGAGATCTCTGTCGGGATCTATCACTCGAAGAATAACCGCCAACCAATCAATTGGTTTCGCTCGTCCTTCTTTAACTCGGATATCCGCTTTCTTCTTTGCTTGTTTTAGAACAAAAGTATCCTCTTCTGCTACCCATTTTTTTGATTGTTCGTCTTCGAGACTCTGGTTGTTGCGGTAAGGTCTGGAATTTGAGTTCCCTGCTGATCGTTGTGGTTTGGTAATTCGATTGGTTTCGTCGCGACGTGGAGATGTAATATCTCTTCCCCTAGGTGCGCGACCTTCCAGCATAGCTCTTCGTCCAGGATCCATGGTGCCAAAATGATAAATTTGAGAGTATGGGATTCGTACTTAGGTATTCGTTGACTTTTGACGCGCTCTAGTAACAGTTCTGTTCTGCCTGAGGTTCAAAAAGATCAGGTAGCGTGACCCCGCGTGCCCCACTAATCGTGAGGAGCTTCAAGCCTTGTGGAGACATAATATCCAACAACTAGTTACTTGGTATGGAATTCAGCTAATTGAGTTATTCACAATTATCCCCAAATGCAAGTCCGATAATATAGAACAAAAGTAGCCGAAGATGAAGAAACCGAAGTCAACCCAAAAATCTAGATAGAAAGAGAAAGAGGAAATAAGTATTAGCACCAACATGGTGGTAATTTACCAGACCCATCACAAAACTCACCGAAAAAACATTCCATTCATACAAAAACCACACCATCAAGAGAAAACGCAGAGCAACAAAGCAACAAAGTAACGACATGCAACAAGACAAAGCTAACAAGATTTCGAGTTCTCAAAAACAACATAGTATCAACTCCATTAACACTTTTAAAAGCGAATCCTACACCATCTCTCACGCAATAAAGACTGCTTCCGGAAGCTCCAACGATCTTTTATGAATACCATCATCTCCGAGCTAATAAGACTCTTCACCATTGACAAATATTTCGGATCTAGTCTTACCAATTACCTCGTACTAGTAGTCCCACACCATTTTTATTTTTCCTATCTTACAATATAATAATTCGGTGATATAAAGTAATCTTATGCTTTACTGGTAGAAGATAGGTATCCAAGATCAATTTCCTGGACTTTCGGCATTAAAAGGACCTCGGAAATAGTTTGGCTAGAGGAATAGTCAAATCCCATGCACGATAAATAGAAAATGGGATTCAACACTGAGGACTTTGTGGTCTTCATTCTTTTTATGTGATAATCGTAGTAGAATATTGTCTTATTGTCTCATTGTCTCAGTCTTCGCACTCTGTACCCAGAACTTTCCTCGACGATAATCTGCTCAATATATATTGGGATTAAGGAGGCGAAGCGAGAATTCGATCGTTAGTACTCCTTAGGTCATGGAATGGCGATATTATCACATTCAAACATCTCGAAATATGTTTCTCCACGCCATGGTCTTTGAATTTTTGTTTTTTCATAAAAGAACCTTCAACTTTTTTAGGAAATCCTACTCTCATAAGAATGCGAAATTGGAATCTTTATAATACACTCAATCTACCTCCTTTCCACAAGGCCGTCTTCGTAACCCCATATTCATCCCCCAGTGTCTCCAATCTATACCACCCTAATCCTCCAAAGGCGGAAAGTTCCTCAAAAAATGACTTGGACATTCATAACCGCCGGGATTCTTGTCCAAATACTTCTGATGATATGTCTCTGCATCCCACCACTCACCCGCCTTCAAAATTTCTGTAACTACCTTTCCTTTCCACCATTTCTCATTGACCTGCTTAGTAATTTCACGCGCCTCTTTCTCTTGTTCTTCATTGTGATAAAAAATTCCAGAGCGATACTGTGAGCCTGTGTCTGGTCCTTGGCGGTCCGCAGTCGTAGGGTCATGCATGCGATAGAAATAGGTTATTAATTGGCGGTAGGTTATTTGTGAGGGATCATAATGGATTTGTAAAGCCTCCGCGTCTGTAAAGAAGTTAAAAAATCAAGTGGTTGAAGATTGAGGAATGGAATAGAACATACGACCAGTGTTACCTGAACACACAGCTCTATAATTAGGATTCTCGGTATCACCTCCAATATATCCCACTCGTGCATCATATAAACCTTTCCCGCTAAATTCTTTGCGATACATGTGTTCGACGCCCCAGAAACAGCCTGCGGCAATGGTGCATTTTTGCGCCGATTCCGGAACGGAGACTTGGGATGCGGCGGCGGGAGTTACGGAGAGAGAAGATGAGGATGTAAATGGCCGAATAAGACGGTTGAGGAAATTGGGAATGGCTGCCATTATTGTGAGGAAAATGAGGAGGAGGAAAAGTTTAATAGAGATAGGTTGGAAAGGCAGATTGTAGGACTTGAGACTATTTCAAGATCTCTGCTGTAACTTTTGTGAAGTTTATCGGGGTTTTGATGAATGAATCTTTACTGAAACTTTGTATATTCTTCTGCAAAGACAATCGAGGATAAAAGTATCAATATAAGGTAATCTGAAGTGGCAATTATATCAAGCCGTCATGATCGATGGAGGGGTTAAACAATTGAAAAGCTTGGACCATATTCAGTGAGGTTAAATCTGACAAATCAATATTTATCCAATGGAAGAGCTTAGAAGCTACAATTGATTCCACATGCGAGAGCAAAAAGGATAGCTGTGCTGTATAACTCCGTAAGCACGCAATTATTCCAAATCTTGTGGCAACCTTCCTTTTATGGCTGACGGCAATGAAATTTTATTCCAATGACAAACCTGTGAGTATCCCTAAGATCTAAATAGGCATGCGAAATGGAATCACGATAACCTCAATGAGAAATTGAGGATATCCAAAGAGCCTAAGCTCCACCCAACTGGACTAGAACAGAGGAGTGTAGAACAGAGGAGTGAAAAGGGTAAAAAGAGCACTCAGCATCTCTAGCCACATACGTCAAGATATTGTACCACCCAACTTCAGGTGATCGATCAGCTCTTTGAACACAAAGGTCCCCTCTCGGAAAGCTACATGTTGATACGAAGAAGACGTTTCTTACGAAGCCCATGCTAACACGAGACTCTAGTATCACAAACATGCCACATGCAAAAAGCCTCACTCCGATCTCGCCATGACAGTTTCTACTCCATCAGCGCAGTAGCTTTCCGCTTTGTCAATTTGTTCATGTGGTGAAACGCAACGGGTTGAAAAATTAGAGTTCATGGAAGAGCTATCGAAGAATATGAAACGAAGCGATAATAGCACTTGGGGGACACGGTGCGCAGGTTCGCATTATCATTTCCACATGGCATGCTAAAGAAACGGGTATTGACATTAATGAGGTAATAATCTCCATCAGACCAGGAACGGTCCGAATCGAACTCCCTTATGAGTACCTGTAGATCTCCTTTAATATCTTTTGTTGCTAGTGTGTAGACCAATGAAAATACACATTATTAGATTTGTCAAAAGCACTTGAAACATTTCTTCTCGTGCGGGAGAGCTCTTCTGCTCTGGAGTCGTTTGAAACATGATGGATGGGGGATCTTTTCCAAATAGGTACTTTGATTGTAAGAAGAAAGGTAATCTCGTACAGTATTGAAGCTCCTCCTTTCGAAATCGGCAAATTGCTGGTTGGGGTCTGAACGGATATGTATACTGAATGAGGGAGTGGGATGACCGTTACATGTCGATGCGCATGGAAACGCATGCGAACATGATCTCAATGTAGTATCACTTCAAACGGCTCTTATGATTGATATCTGATGATATAAGGAGATGGTGGGTAAAAGGGTCTATTTCTGATGTTGCACCAAGCCCTTTATTGGTTTGGAGGTACACCCGTAATAAAAATAGGTGATGTGCTGCGGCATGGATTATTTAAAGCTCATCGTCCCCTCGGAAGCATTTATTAGTGGACGAGAAATGTTAATCCTCAGGTACGATAACATGGCTAGTACCACTACTATGCATGCGGAAGAAGAAAAAAACCCATCATATCTTTTAATCTCTGATCTATTCTGCCTGATATATGCATGAACGCTCAAATATTCCCGGTATTCCAATCTCAGACAATCATGTATTTCGTATCATCATCTGGTAGGATTCCCGGGAGAAAGCTGTGTACATATGTAAGGCTGAAGAACAACTGGCTTCAAGCTTCTAGAAGATGGAATGGAAGAAGCCAAGCTACTTTTTTGAGCGATAGATGGATGCATGGTAAGCGATTCCGGCTTACTTTTCTAGAGGCGGGCCATGGCTTGTGATGGATCCCTGAATTCATTCGCTCGATTTTTGCACTCTCACCGCGAAATGCATCGAACTACTCCGTATATTGTATGAGGTGACGAATGACGAGCTGGAGATTGATGGTGGGAGGGAGGGATAAGAAATCTATGGGCAATGAAGGACGAAGAAAGGGTTTTAGGGAGGAGGCGAATATTTCATCTATTGCATATATTGTACTTTACATAGACATAGACAGTTAGTATCTATTAAGGTTGATGATGCTCATATGAGTTACAAGTAGGTTGGTTATGTATGACAAGGTAATGAATGCTATTTACTTCCTTCCCTCCACCACTCTTTCATTCTCTACTGGTTTTATTTGTAATGCAGCTTAACTTTAATAAAGACCTAGGCCTGGGTAGTATTGAAACATGAAATAGAGTTATATCCAACTTGATGTAAGATCTTACAAATTATTACATAGGAGGCAGGTACTTGATCTATTGCCAGGGAATCCATGGAATGAATAAGAATTGCTCCATATCTCGACTGGGCCCTCATTCCCTCCCTCCTGTCGCAATTCACAATGTACTGCGTACACCGCATTCCCCACGGAAGACCTAAAAGGACTACCTGGTAGACCTGGGAGACAGCAGTAGCTTTGCTTAAAGATGAATCATGATGCTTGAAAAAGAAGCGAGGATAATCGTCATAGCGCGCAACAGCCCACCACCAAAAAGCAAGCGAGAAAAGTTACAGTGCCCATTATGTCTCCCACCATTCGCCCACCACTCGCCCACTACCGGTGGTAGTTAGCTGTTGTAGCCGTTGTAGTCATTGTATTTTGCAGAGGGAAAAAGCGAAATCTCCCCCTTTCTCCCTTTCCCCCCACAATCAACTCTGAATTGCCCAAAGTCAAAATATTCCCCCAAATACTTGCAGACTTTTAAAGGGTCGTCTCGTGCTAGGAAAAGCCACCGAATGCTCCATTTCGAAGCTCGACGATCATACTGCGCTCCGTGCATTTATACTTCCATTCAGAGTGCTACCGTATAGTAGGTCTTGTATTTCCATTTCCCTCACCGTGATTATTGTAGATGAGCTTCATTTCTATTTCTCACCTCATATTCTACTCTCTATCATCTTGTCGTGCGTTGTCAGCTTTCATTGAGGGCAAAAATTCTTAAAAAAGGAACCTTCTCTTACCCCTCCAATTATATGCCCTAGGAGAGAAATAGTAAGCCCATCTATCTATTCTGACACATTGTGCAGCTTATCCACCCAGCGTCTTGGACCTCTTTTATATATCTAATGCCTTTATAATGTATGTAATAGCTGACTGAGTAATTCACAGACTTGTCGCACGATACTTTTACGCGTTATATTATCTGCAGACAAAGAACTTTTCGATTTGATTTAAACCCTCTGTACATATCGCAATCCCCTCACGAGAACATTTACAACTTGAGCTGCCCATTTACGAATTTCCTTGACCTCACTTTCCCTGTGGTGCTCGAAACCAGTGAACTTGTGAATTGCATAGCGAAATTTCTCACAAGTAGTCAAAGCCGTTTTAATATTGCCCACATTGGCAAATCTACATGCAGAACGGCCACTAGGCCGCAAGGTACCCACATGAGCTTCTGCGAAATCGTAGCTTGCTAAATACACATACAACATCATGAGTAGGAGTCGACGGGGAGCGGGCCCTTTCAGGGCCAATGGCGCACCTATTCCAGACTCATTATCCTTGATACGATCATTCAATATTGAAACCAATCCCACTCGACCAGTACGACCTTCTCCCCTCACAGCTTCGACCATCCCGGATATGCCACTCGACCTTCTCGATCGAATACGCTCCTTTCCTCTTTTCCTTTCAGCTCCTGATTCATTCCTTGCCGCAATCGGAAAACATCTTCGTCCTCAGGTTCATTCGCCTCATGATCATATATTGACTGAAGGAGACGATGCAAAAGCCATGTACTGGTTAGTACGTGGGGCTGTTGCGGTCACATCTCGAGATGGAGAAGCTACATACGCAGAGTTAAGGGCCGGTGCTTTCTTTGGCGAAATTGGAATATTAATGGACGTACCTCGGACTGCGACAATTATAGCAAGAACGAAGTGCTTGTTGGTGGTGTTGAAGAAGGAAGATTTGAGAGCTGAGCTTCCAAACTTCCCAGAGATGAAACAAGCGATTATGGAAGAGGCACAAGAAAGATTGACCATTCTTAATAAAAAGAGAAGGGAAGGTGGGTTTGGCCCAAAACTGGTTTCAACTGAGCTTGTTTCCAGAGGTGGAAAGCTTGCACGAGAAGCTGCGCCAGGTGAAGTTTCTACTGGCGAGGTAGGGGTCATCGAGAACGGAACAGTCATCAATAAGAAAAAGCGAAAATCTCCAAGTCCAGGCATAATCGATGACCCTTCGGTCGGCAGTGCGCTGGGTAGTGGGTTGGTTAATGTCAGGAAAACACTCAAGGAGTTACCTTTATTCTCAACTTTACCGCCAGAAATACTTCATTTTCTTGGTTTGAGCGCCACGCCAAAGGCATACCCACCATTTACGGATATCATTGTACAAGGTTCGACTGGCAATGAGATTTATTTCATTGTGAGAGGTGAAGCAGAAGTCATACACGAGAGTTCCAATGGACATAATGGACAGGCACCTCAAGGATCAAATGGATCATACATTAGACCGAGATTAAAAGCTGGGCAATATTTTGGCGAAGTTGTCAGTCTATCTTTAGCACCGCGGAGAACAGCGACTGTACGCTCCATCACCTCTGTAGAATGTCTGATGATTAGTGGGGAAGTGCTTGAAGAATTATGGAGAAGATGTTCACCAGATATACGGAAACAAGTAGAGGTGACAGCAAAAACTCGGATTGGAAGACCTGAAGACGAAGATGTCATTATGAGTGACGCCAATTCCCCAGCTATCAACGATCTTACCATTAACAACAGTCGCCCTAGACATCAGAGAAGGAAAACATTACCCCAAGTCACATTTACTCCTTCGAAACCTGCAAGCCCTCATAAACCTAGTCGTGTTGAGGATAATGGGGCGGTGATGGAACCTTTAGATCCAGATCCTTTCCTTAGTGTGGATATGGATAATATGAGGGCGAGATCACGAAGAGGTTCATGGGCACCTCCTCCTCCTGAGACTCCACCACCGGATGATAGATCCTCTGGTCCGAGAACTAGATCTAGATCTCAAACACCAACACCTGTGAAATTATCACATGCAATCACTCCCCCAGAATCAGCTTTCCGACCAAAAAGGCCTAAAATTTTCGAGAGGCGCCCAAGTCAATTTAGCCAGGGTATATTACCAGATGCAATTTTAATCAATATTTTCTCATTTCTAGACATTTACCAATTGATGAGATTACGACTCGTATCTCTCCATTGGTCAACCTTATTAACCTCTTCGCCAAACGTTTGCCAAAACCTTGATCTATCACTATACAACCGCAAAATCACCAACAAAGCTCTCGTTGAATACATTTGTCCATTTGTTGGGCATCGTGCTCGAAGCGTCGACATTAGCAATTGCTTCCACATAACTGATGAAGGATTTGGTGCAATTTATTCACAATGTGGCCCTAATATCCGTATGTGGAAAATGAAATCAGTCTGGGACATTACTGCCAACGCCGTTTTAGAAATGGCCAACAGCGCCAAAGAACTCGAAGAAATAGACCTTTCCAACTGTCGTAAGGTATCAGATAATCTACTAGCCCGCATCGTCGGTTGGGTCGTGACGGAACCCATCGCTCCTCAAGCTTCTCTTCGTCAAAAAGCAGGAACATTTATCCCACCAGTCGGAACTGTCGTCGGATGTCCGAATCTAAAACGTCTTACCCTATCGTATTGTAAACATGTTACTGATCGATCAATGGCGCATCTTGCAGTTCATGCGCATCAAAGATTACAGAGTATCGATCTCACAAGATGTACGACAATTACGGATAATGGATTTCAGCATTGGAGTATTTACAAATTTGCCAAGTTGGAAAAGTTGATTTTGGCAGATTGCACGTATTTAACAGATAATGCTATTGTTTATTTGACGAATGCGGCGAAGGGGCTGAAGGAATTAGATTTGGTAGGCCGATCTTTTGTATCTGCCGAGCTTTCTTACTAACTTAATATCTAGTCATTCTGTTGCGCCCTTTCCGATACAGCAACCGAAGTCTTAAGTCTCGGTTGTCCGCTTCTTCAATCACTTAAACTCTCATTTTGTGGTTCCGCAGTCTCAGACTCCTCACTTCGGTCCATTGGTCTCCATCTCCTTGAATTGAAAGAACTTTCCGTGAGAGGTTGTGTAAGAGTTACAGGTGTAGGCGTAGAAGCTGTAGTGGAGGGATGTAGCAAACTTGAAATTTTCGACGTGAGTCAGTGTAAAAATTTAAAGAATTGGTTAGACGCGGGTGGAATAGAAAGATGGGCATCGAGATGGAGTTCCATACAGACAACTACTGGTAGGAGGAGTATGAGGGGCGCGGCTAAAAGTGCGGCACCACCGAGGAAAGGAAAGGGGAATTTGGTTTTTTGGGTCGAGAAGAGAAGTGGACCCGGGGTTGGCTTACGATGATTTGATTTGATATGATATGATATGATATAATTTCTCGCAAACCAGTTTTGATCAGAAGAATAATGGTGGCGTGGCACATGGTGAGCTATCACATTATTTCCTGAGTCCTGACGAGAGATGAGGAAAAGGGTTTACAGAATATGGGAAGGTAAGAAGGAGAAGAAGAAGAAGAAGAAGAAGAAAAAGAGCAGGATCTCTATCTATCTATCTATCTATCATCATCATTTTTATATGCATAAATCCTTATGCGTACACGCATACATACATATCCTCGATAAAATCAAAGATAAAGTCAAAGATAAAGATGATGGATGGATGGGCTTATGATCTTTTGATCTTCTCTTGGTTTCTTGTGTCGAAGGTACTCAGTGTCTGGTTTTGGGTCGGGAAGGCTATCTTTTTTTGGTGCTGGCTGGGGTTGGTGTTGGCTGGGGTTGGTGTTCGTGCTGGTGCTGGTGTTGGGGTTGGTGGTGTATGAATGGATGGATGGATGGATGGATGGATGGATGGATGGATGGATGGATGGATGGATGGGATGGATAAGGATGATACTGGTGTAGTTTTAGATTTTAGATTTTACATCTTAGATTTTATATCTTATGTCTTGATATTTTATCTTACATCTTATTTTATCTTGTGTATGTGTGTTTGTTTTTGGAGGTGTAGTATGTATGTATATACGTATTTAATAATATCACCAGATGGATAGGCTGGTGCGATGTGGTCGGTGTGGTTTATTGACTTGGGTTATTTGAGTGGATGGTTTGATTAGTTTAGTTCGATAATTTGTAGAGGTTTCGAGGTAGTTTTAGATATATGTATATATGTATGTTGTATGTTGTATATTTGTATAGATATTTGTATAACTAGTTAACTGATTAAGTGATTATTTTTAACGAATATTTTCGAAGAGGAAAAGGAGAATTTGATTATTTTATATATGCTAAGTTTTCTGAGATGGATTGCATGAAATGGGATGTGATGGGATGGAATGTAATAAAATAATTAGAATAAGATGATATTATTCGTGCGGATATTATATGGGTTGGGCTGTTTGGGTAGGTAGGTTTAGATAGGTAGGTATGTACTTATGTATTTAAGTAGTTAAGTAGTTGAAAGAATGATAGTTAGGTATGAAACGAGATGAGGTCTTATGGATGGGTAAGTACTTCGTAGAACTAATCATACAATGCTAAATTAGGGAACCTAGATGCCGGGTTAGAAGATGGAGATATGTGAATACGGTAGCTATAGATAGATATAGATATGGAGAGATGGGATAGATACAGACGATATGAGTATAGATATTGGTATTTTATTATTTTGATGTTTTACTATTTTAATATTTGTTTCTGTTTTTGTTTTCCCTTTCAATTAATATATGTTACCCGCCCACTAACAGGCAAATTCCCAGTATCCCAAAGGAAGGAGAGGAGAACTGTAAAAGAAATAGTCCGTAGACTTCCCTAACCTAACCATCATCTCATCCCAAAGAGCAGAGCTATTTTTTAGTAAACCTCATCCACTGCATGTATCCTCGCCGTATCATTCTCTTCCTTATTCCTTCCCCTGTGTGACAAGTCCCAACTTGATAATCTCCATCTCTCATTATACTATTCCACAACCAACCCAGTCTACTTCCTCCTATTATTTTGCATCATCAAAATTTGCACCATCCTAATGAAAATATTCAAGAAATCCAATTCCAAGGAAATACTCTCATTAACCGCATCTCTCCTCATCATGCCTCTCTCCGCCATCCTGGCATGTGCCAAAATCTTTTGCACATCATAGAGTGTGAAACCACCGAATACAGCAAGACCTCCCCACAAAAAAATGTTTTCGGTGAAAGCTAGAGTTCTAACTGCTGTAGCTGGGAGGACAAGGGGAGCGAACCCGGAAACAGCAACGAGGGCTACACCTGCGAGTAGAGGTCCACCGAGGTAGAGATATTTTTCTTGTTTGGCGGTTGCACCGACGAAAGAGATACTACCCATCATGGCGACTGTGTAGAGACCTGCGCGAGCGATGATGGCGGGTGGTGCCATGAAGAGGAGAGGAGCGATAAATGCGGCTTGAGTTACGTTGAAGCCAGTCCAGAGAGCGTATTTTTGAACATAACTATTACATATTAGTTTTTTGCCTCTCTCCCATATAAATTCGAAACATCCAACAGTCAATATCAAAAGAGGGATAAAAAATAACTCACTTGCTAGGATCCGTAGCTCTAGTAGCCATCATAGTACCAATACTCAAACCAATACCACCAATCATCACCACCCATGGATTAGTAGCCATCAATCTGTAAATAAAACCACTTTGAAACATTGCGCGCGCAGATAAACCGATGATTCCAATGCCGATTCCTGTGTGCATAAATGTATCATTTAGGTAACTGCGTTCGTATTCGGGCATCCCACCATCTTCACGGGTTTCGCGGTTGAAAACCTGCGGATTGTTAGTTTCTTGTATTTAATTGAATAGAGTGATGATGAATGAGAAAGAAGAACAAGATACCATACCATATTGATAGCAAACAATGTTCCTCCAAACATGGCACCACCCACGAGTAATTTCTGCATCAAAGTACCATTTGGATTCTGCACTGCAGCTGGTTGCTGCAGATATGTTCTCGATCCTTTGAATGCATTTCGAGCTTTGACAAGAGTGCTGGTGGGAGATGCGGTGCGTGAAGTGAAGAAAGAGGTTGTTGGTTTGCTGGAATGAAAAGCTCGCGCGGGGGTGGATCGAAGGGCAGTTTTGGAAGCTATAGCCAGCGAACTGGTTAGTTTGAAAGGTTGGCGCATGGTAAAGGCCATGATTATGATGCTTTTGTAGTGTTATCAATTGATAGTTTTACAGGTACTGTTGGTTGGTTGGTTCTTTGGTTGTTGAATGTTGAATGGTGATTGTTGTATTGATTGAAAATAATTTATAGATGGCAAAGTTATTAGGTTGGTGATGTTGACGATGCTTATGACGTTCGGAGTTTGGGTCCGGAGAAAAGAGGGATGCTCAAAGAAAGCTTTGGAAGCGAGTCGGCAGTGCCATTGGACCGTCAATGCCGCCACCAAATCATAAAGAACAACCTGGACTCATTTCTTGACTTGTTTGTTGACTTACTCCTGCACAGAATTTACCTCGAAAGTATACGTGCGCACGTGTTATTCTACTGCACTTGTTATCGAGGTAGGTAAGATGTATATTGTGGCTAGAAACACAACTCATGAGTTGGAACTTGGCTCTCCAGAACTCCAGATTTCAAAGCACGAAAACCCATACATTCCAATTCGTGGAATTAATCGCCAGATTATACCTGTGCCAATCAGGGCCTTTCCACTGGTCTACAAAACGTAGAGGATTAATTCCTTCCTCTATCTCTCAAGTTTTGGTCTATCTTTCAGTTACATCGATCTTTTGGATGGGATACATAACCGTCATTCCACGAGAGCATTCACAATATGAGCCGATGCCGTGTATCAGTCAATGCATGGCAAAGAGAAGGTTTTCCAATTAGCTATGATGATTGAATATCTACAAAGCTGTCAAGTGCAATACGACATATTTTGAAGCTTCCTCGCTAGGAGAAATGTCATTCAATTTCTGTGATCTTGCATTACAGCCTGCCCCTTCGGAAACGTTTCTGGGGTGAATCTGCAAGACAACCTACAGGTTCAATACGGCTCTCCTCGACTTTATTAAGATTATTCTTTGCTGTTATGACTAGCAACAATGTACTATTGGCCAACGTACATTCAAGTCCGCATGGAGAAGTTGCCGGAGTTTCAACTCCAAAGGATTTTATGCTCCTGAATATCTGCCGAAGAAGAGACAGAGCGGATATGAAGATTTCGTTCCCCTGCGGCTTGCTTGAAATGCCTATTACCAAGGTGGCAGCATTAGGAAGTACCATCTTCGACCTATCGCAATCAAGGCACGGGTTGAGGCAACAAACCCTGGAGATTTGGTATCCGCCCATTCTGGCATTGCTTCAGATAGCCCACATCCAAGTCTCGCAATGAGTTATCCCAAGTCGTCCAAGCAAACGTTTGAAGATTTGGCAATGCATGAAAGAAATGCTTTCGGGAACATTCGTATATGAGCCTAGTATACTAAGCCACAACTTCTCGCGATATGGGCTGCAGATTGGACAAGCTGGAAAAAATTTCTCACCCTTGGCCTTGCTTCGCTGTGGGACGTGACGCGAGAGGGTTACCATGATGCTATCTCGAGCAAATATCAGTTTGCTAGAGCTGCACTTCACCTCTTGGTCGATCTACAGTACATTTTTAGCAAATGTTGTAAGTCTTATAACTCAAAACTTCGTTCCATTGCACGAGGCTGCATTGCAGACTACTTCTTTAAAAACAGCAATATTTTTCAGATTAGATGATCACATCGCGCAGCGAGTTTATACGGCATTCGTTGGTTGCGAGGAGATCTTTCACCATTTCATCCCAAGATATTTACATTTCTTGTGTAAATATCTTGGAGATGTTCATAATGACAAACTCCAACTATTGCTTATTACCGCAATACCTACAGCTTCCTTTGACGACGGCAATAGATTTCGTCCCTTCCAAAGCCACAAAATGTTTCTGTGGCATTTATGCTCCTCAAACCAGACAATAAAAAATTCCAATTTTATCAATTTCAACAAGAAAGGAATCTTATCTCCTCACAAGAGCGCAAAGACCTTTTTAATTTCATTTTAAATCCTAGCCATGTATTTCCTTTTTGGTTTTGATAAAGATACAGCTAATAGTAAGACTCTGGTACTTTCAACAATAGTTGGCAATAATAAATAGCCTTACACTTACTTCATCGTCCACAAAATTTGCCAATGTTTATTTTTCGCTCTCCTGCATCTCTTTCACAAACTTCCAACACGGAAGAAAGACATTGTGTACAAAGATAAAGATATGCTTAAAAGGTGTTTGTAGAAAGCCTTCTGCGGTATCGACGAAGATTGGCACACTGGGATTACATTAGGAGGATTCGGATTCATGAATAATCTAGACAAATAACCTGAGCTTGAGTATAATTGCAACGAAGTAATGAGACTGGGGGTCTGTGGCCTTTTCCTATTTATGGTTTGCGGTCGTTGCTGTGCTGCACACAGTTAGTTGGAATACCTTGAAGTAAAATATTCGAGAAGTTTTCATACTTTAGATACATACAGTACAAATATACCAAATGTTTTTAATATCTTTAATGTGATTGAAAGATACGTCGACCCGGTCCTCCTGCTTAAATAAAGTCGTGAACCCGTCTATTGTTGTATATAGAATGAATAATTTGCATACTACGTACGAACTTGGGCGCCATGTTTGGTTGAATATAAACTCAACAATACTATTGGTAAGTAGTTCAAGGGCAAACAAAGTAGAAGTATCTCTAGGACTGTTAATAATAAGTATCTATAAATTCATTGTCCTTTTTATCTATCACTTGGAAAAACGTAGAAAATATCGTCAAAATTCCCCGTATATAAATTCTAAGATATTCTTTGCATCCGTCCGATAAAGCCGTCGCGACCACTCCACACATCCAATCAACTAAATAAATACAAAACAAAAACACAAAAATTATAGCTATCTATCTCATTGTTAAATCTCTCAGGCACAGTAAAAGTAAAAAGAAAGGGCCTAATCCGGGATCGAACCGGAGACCTCTTACAATTTAGATTTGACAACCCAAAGCAAGAATTCTACCACTAAACTATCAGGCCTTAATCACTTCCAAGCCATACTTGGCTGATTTGATGCTGAGGAATGAACTATGCCGGTATACATTTTTACAACTCCATTGTGGATTCTTGTGAATGTTTCGTTTATCACGTGATGGTCAATTATTTGCTTAAAATGACTCGCGGATTAGCTGGCATTTCACAGTCGGTGTTAAAGATGATTTATCGACCGGTAATTCCGTGGTACTTTTGTGCTTCGGTTTTTTAGATCAATGTAACGCCTAGGAGCATTAGATACAATACTAAATTGAGGATTGGTCGGAAAGTGTACTGCTTTAGAAGTGGGGGAGAACAACATGTAGTTCCAATGGAGGGAGGATTCAAGGAAATTGCCAAGTTGCAACTACTCATAGAGATACGAACAATCTGTCTATATCCGAAAGGTATGTTCGGCAAGAAGAAGATTCACATCTGATACGATAGTAAGCGCCGGAAGAAACTTCTAGGCTCCTTGGCCCCCAAATCCCTCATGTATTTTACGCCCTATGACCCTGGTTGAAGAGTATGTACTTGCCATTCAGCAGATGACTCTTTCGTGACGAAACATAACTAGTACCCAAAAAATGGATCTGACAATTGGCTTCGGGAAGGTATAAGTATGACTATGATGGACCCTTTTGTTTCTCCATTGTTCTTTCAGAAAAAGCAAAATGGCATCCATCGACCCTGCTAACACCTCGAAGCCCAAAGTCGAACTAATCCCTTGGGATCCCACCTCTCCTGAACATGTTGAACGACTAGTACAACAACGCATTACTTGCGGATGGGATTATCAATACGTCGAATCATGGAGGGAGATTCAAGAGAGTGGAAAACTCAATATTCAATGGATTGTGAATATGCCTGCCCACATCAATTCCTGTTTACGTATTCTAAATCTTCCAGGTTCTTGCGGATTCTAATCTCGAAAAAGATGCCATCTTACTCAAGCATACTGAGAAGCATCCCAAAGAAAAAGAATCGCTAGTTGACTCTGCAGTTTCTTTTGGGGGAAAACCTCGAGACATTCTCTCACCAAAGAGATCTTTCATTCCAATCGGACATATCTGTCTAGGTCCTCCAGCCGAAAATTATTTGAACCTTGGATATGTCCCAAAGACCGAGGGATTTTACTGGATATCAAACTTCTATATTTCCCGTGCTCTTCAAGGAACAGGATTAGGAAAGGCAGCTATGGATACTGTTGAAGATTTGGCCATCTCCGAGCCATTGTGCGCGAAGACATTAGGCTTGAATACGATTGATAAAGTTGATGCAGGAAGGGAGGAGAAGTACAAAGCTCTAGGCTTGGAAATTCCACCTGTGAGTATTTCTCGTAGTTGTTGTTTGAGAGAGTGTTGTAATACTTACATGCTAACTTTCATCCAGTTCTCCAATCAAGAATGGTATGAGAGAAGAGCTTATAAAAGTTATAGGAGTGTGGAAAAATTGTTCGGTCCAATGGTTGATTCTACGGGAAAGTCATGGTATTGGAATGCTGTATTCCTGAGGAAGGAGATTTAAGTAGGCAGGAGGTACCATACCTACCTATGTCTTAGTAGCCATACCATACATTTCCCACGCAGAGAGTATGTGAGGTATTATTTATACAGTATCCACGACGTCGACCACCTTACAGCTTACAATCTTGAACTACAATATTTAGAGATCACAATCATTAACAAATAACATTATCTCTACTCTGATATCAACATCCTTGGAACGTTATCATAAGGTACAGCCGAATGTCCAGAATGGGTGTTGAGACGACTACTATGGCCGGTGATCCCGCTTTCGTAGAATCTTCAATATTGTTCTACATACTAAATAGACAACAATATCTTTAAACATAAGCATTCCAAAATGTCTGATTTTATCCGTTCCATGACAACTGTGGGCTTTTTTCATAACCATAAGCTACAGACTCAATTGAACTTATGAAATCTTCATGGCGACCCTATACGCTCCCTCTTGAAAAGGCCGCTCAGAACTTGATTCAACATTTCTGATCTGGTATGGCGGAGGGGAGCAGGGAGTAGGTGAAGCTAAGAGCTAAAGTGCGGGGCTTAAGGTTTGTTGCGGATACTTTGGATTGAGGGTTGAATGTTTGTATAGAAATGTCGAACTTTGAGATCTCCTCCCTGAATTGAATAGAGAGAGGGAACAAGAGGGGGTAAGAAAGAGGGAGACGGGGAACTTAAAAGGTGAAGCAGGCCTTGCGATTTTGATTGTGGTAGATTGTATTGTTCTTGAAATACCTATTTCTTTAGTCCTTGGCTTATTAGGGGTCTATTTGAGGTGTTCCTTTTGCAGTTCATTCCTTCAACTTTTCACATTGAAGGGATTCTTCTCTGGACCTAGCATTTCAACTCTCAATCAGCTCTTGAAAGTTCCCGGGCTATGTACTGGAAGTTTCTGGCTGGCGAGCAAAGATTAGCAAGGAAACAATTTTTTGATGCGCTTGAAAATGAAAATGGTACTAAGTGGAGGTTGAATTTTTGATGATTTGACTTGGCTAGTTAAGAGTCGACAAATCAATTACACTGTAGAAAATCATCTTTCTGGTAAATAAAGTCTGCACGTCATCCTATCGGGTAGTAGCATTTCTTTTAGATCGAACCATGTGGAAGGCGCATCCCATTCATTGTGTTGATGTAGTCTGGGGCTTTCAAAGGGTGTCAGTATTCATTCACCAAAAATATTGCAGCTATACCGTCAAATATTACTAGCTGACAAGATTCTAATTTCTTGCACATAGTACATCAATAGCTATATGAAACTAGGCTAGATATTGAGCTAGATGTTGAGCTAGATGTTGAGCTAGATGTTGAGCTAGTCAAAACTAGCTTCTAGACTTGAATAAATGTTAGCCTCCCATTCCCCCTGAGTTCAACTTCTAACAAGAGTGTCAAAGAAAGATCCGTAAGAAAGATTTGTTTGATCGTTCAATGCTCTCCAGTAAACTAACTTTTGAGTGTGACCATTCGATAAATTACTTTACAGCATTTGTCTTCAATCATCCTCTTTCGTATATCAATACATAGGTTGACGTTGTCGTAGCGCGGCGCAGATACCACCTCTGCCCCTGGGATTATCGTTGAAAATGGCAGATGTAAGGACCACCTCAATTTTCTCCTCGTGACTTTTTGCTCACGTGTATTATAGTCACCCTCTTCAAGCAGTGCAAGACCCGTTCTCAGCGACACTGTTGCTCCAGGATATGTCGACAATGCCAGTTTACCTGAGTTTCCCGCTCCCCCTGCCACCAATATCCAAGACGAGAGAACACCTGAGCTCCCAATGGATGCGACGGATAAGGAAAAATCCCGGAATCAGATAGTAGTTATTCTCCAGGCCTGTATATTAGCGAAGGATGGGTATTGACAGGCATAGATTATACCGAATCTCCCGATCCCTCTAGGCACCCCAATAGTCTCGATAGCATTGAAGATGACGGTGACTAACTTTTAGACAAGTATCATGAATACGAGATTCCAGACAATCCAGAACAGTCGATGTTCCACAGACAATCAAACAATAAAAACTCCACGTCTCAATTCCAGTGTACCACCTGTTGCGAGCAAGAACAGGATGTTCAACAAACGGCCGTTCTTTTGTACGGTTGCGTATATTGTAGCTCTTATATCAAAGCTCGTTTTACTATCGCCATACACGCTGAGTACTTGTTGCGCTAATACGGATTGTTTGGCTTTCATTGTTAAGGAGAGTTATCCAAGTAAAGAAAGCCCTTTGTACCAAATCACCGTGAGATACAGTGACGTGTGTAAAGTGCAAGGGCAAATGACACGAGGGAGATTATCCCGCTAATGAAGCTCTTGAGTTGGTGCTTGCGGAAGCTGAGAAGTATTCGTGGAAGCGCTGTGCCAAATGCGGTGCTTTGGTTGAACATTTAGAGGGGTGTCTCACATGAGGTAAGTATTCTCCGTTCTATCCTCACTCCCATCGTTCCAAAATATACTGATTCTTTAAAACCCAGATGTTAATGCGGTTACCAGTTCTGCTACTGCTGCAACGCCACAAGACGAGCTTGATCACACACTCGGAATCGCCCACCCATATGCAAACAACGAACATCATACGGGTAATGAATTTATGAATTCTTCTGCCTCGAATGCTCCGCCAGCAAACATGGAAGTATTGAACGCTTTGCTCATGAGTAAGTTCCTAGTGCGAATAGACATCAGCAATCTAGCCCCTCTTCCAGTACAAGCGCACCACGTATTAGTGAGCACAGTCGACCTACCATTGCCACCTTATTCCTTACTATGTCTCAAACTGTCCAATCCACGAATAATTCTACTCCAACCCACAAGATGCAAATCTAATGTCCAACAACCCGTTTAAAAATGATACCACTCAAACTAGTCAACAAAAAACGGGACTTTTAGATGAACAAACTGACGAGCCATCGATGGACGTTTTGGGTGCTCATTACAACAGGGAATGCATAGATTGCGGGGAAATATATCTGCCAGCCATGATATCCTTTAATTCTTCAACTTGATAACCAGGGCAATGCAAACTTTGGAAATGATGAATAAGTAGTAGTAATTCAAACACTAGCCATAACCAAGCGGTTAATTTGGCTGTAAATGTATCACGTATTATATCTATCTTTCAAGTATTATTAATAAGCCAATAGGCAAAAGTAGCCAAACTCCCATCCCTGTCAGCGCCCACGATCAATTACACCTTGGAAGGCACTTTTGAAGAGGCACCATCGATCAGATGGATCGTGGTAGTCGTGTTTGAGTGCCAGAGCAGTGGCTGTTTACATGGCAAATGTAAATTTGGAGCGCCCTGAAGGACAAAGGATGGAGTGGAACAAAGCCATGCTTACATTTACGGAGAGACTAGTTGAGAAATTGAATGAGGGCAGCAGCTAGATGGTTTCAGGATTCCATTCTTGGGAATTTAGGTGTTGATGCATAATTGGGATTGAATTGACTACTACACACCAAAGACAAAAGAACTGTTGGTATCACTTCGGTGATACTGTGCTATGCATAGTAGTATTTCTGTATTTATTTATGGATGATTACTATCTATCTAGAGGAGAGAGACCTATTTATACTGAAAGGGGTAGAGGCTAGAATACATTAATCGTACAGCTCCTTTTGTGTACGGCTCCCTTTCGAGGTTGATCATATGATGTACCGACAAGAACATTTGCATTGCTAACTGTTCAATCTAGGTCAGAAGCGAGCTTTAACGGAGGTAAAGCGAACTAATTGATCCTAGAGTTCTTTTCATTCTCAAGTGAGATACTCGTAGCAACTAGCCTCAATTCCTGGGGACAAATTATCAATGTCGGGGCATACCCTATGGCGTATGGTTCCAAATTTCTCTACTAACTGACCAAAACTGTATGGAAATCCGCCACTAGCAATTTCTAACTTTTGACCTCATTTCTTTTAGGCTCCGTGTCGAAAGATGGAAAGTACCTATCGTATAAACTCAAGTAATCCGTCCTACCGTAAACCCTTCTCAGAATAGGGTTATCTCTTATTTCCTATTTCCAGGTAGAAGAATTTGTAAGGTGGATACAAAATTTCTACCGATCAATCCATTTCTTAATCCACTTGATTCATCCATCTAATTATGTATGCAGAACCTTATTCCTAAAAGGGTTTACGGTAGGACGGATTACTTGAGTTTATACGGTATTCCTCCACTTTTACATTCAACAACACTATTTCTGAACTTTAACTCCTCCATGGCATGACCTATTCCTCAGCCTTCTTTTCAGATGCTATCACTTCTTATCTTAGCTCCGCGTTCTAGATAGTTTTGACTGTCTCTTCTGTCTCTATTTTTTCACTATTAGTTCCTGCCTCTTTCTCCTAAATGCGGAGCCCAGCTACTCAGCTTGAAGTTTCGGCAATGCCCTTCTTGACTTCGGCTCTGCTGCATAGTAATAATTTATCCCTCGGCCGTGGCGTCGACTTTAAAATAGCAAATGAGCTAATCTTTATCTTTTACTGCCAAACTACTCTATTTTTGCTGACGACTCTGGATGACAAGGAGAGCCCTTCCTCATTCGTCGACTTCAGTCCTCAGATCACTGATGACTTAGTCTCTATCCCAGCTCCCAGGCTCCGTATATACTATGCACCTGATACATATTACATGTTCTGTGCATCGCTCTCTGTTCCTAAACCTAGACTAGTGGTACAACCTGGTCTCGATTGGAATCCCAAGATCTCATCTGCCCATCATCTCAACACGGGCAACTCGGCACAATTCGACTGATGGTGCATAACTTATACCCGCTCACTAAGGCATCATGAGAGAATAACAAAATAGGCTACCGTTACACGAAGAACTACTCGTACGATCCGTATCACTTCCTTCATGTCAAGTCGAACACGGCTCACTTTGCCATAGTGCGCTTAACAATTGGATAACAAGCTTCCCCAGCCCCTTTCCAATATTTGCACGCACACAACTGCGCACTTCAGCTGTTTTGCAGGTGCATTATTCTCATTAAAACCGCTCCTTCGCTCTTAAACATCTGCACATATGTGACAAGTGTCCTTCAACCTCCTTGAGGTTTCAGATACCACCAGCATATGAAAACAGCCGTCCACTTTTCAATAATATGGACCCGTCATATATTGAACCTCGAAGGATCTGATACCCCAACCCCCGCCACAGCTGCATTCCTCTTCCTTCGTCGGAGACCAATCCGGATATATATCATATCATGACAATCAAATCACATGTCTTATCTCGAAAGCAGACTGCCAGGTTCTTCGTATTTCGCAATCTGTCGATCGTGTAAATCCTATGCTTCTTATGCAATTTTCATCTCCTGATTATGTATCTCCGAGTGACGATATCGGTATGTAATCAATCAACAAGAAATTAGCAATCGAATTAATATCGAGTTGATATCAATACCTCGGTCTCCGTTCCAATATGTACTTCAAAGTGATTGACCTTTGAACGCCGCCGTTAATTTGACCGAACAAAAAGGCAACAACCACAACCACTGATTCTAACAAGCCTTGAAAGTCCTCGCTTCAACCTCCTATGGCCGCTCTTACCATATTTCCAAAGGAAATCTCCGATCCCCCACCGGCCGTACGGCATGACCCCGGTCTCATTACACACCCAATCATAATATCTTAAAGCTTGCGCCTGCACCTGCACCTGCCTGTCTGCATTTCTCCCGGCACTTGCTCCAATCCAGACTCCACAGCGGTTTGTGTCCCCGCCTACTGAATCCTAGTCCAGCGCGCCCCACCACGCTCCCTGGTTCTCAGACTCGGACCACCAACCAAGTACTGACCATCGACCATGGAGGATATTCAAAATTAAACTTTTCTCTTCACCCCGGCCCCTGCTACTCAGGTCCCACCATCTGGCCTCTTTTGCAGGTGAATGTGCTCGCATGCCGAATTGGCTGTAACTTGCTTTGTTTGCCTTATGGACGGTGGAGTATCTTTCTTAGTGCGCTTCCAAGGACCAGGATCGCAGGTTCATTGATCATGCGACTTACCATGCACTATGAGATCCTAGCCACAACTCATGAATTTCCACCAACACATGTCATGATACAAGCGACGAAGTACGGAGTACAGATAGACCTCATATTACACCAAGCCCAGCCAGCTCCGGTCCTTGTATTGTTGTCCCCTCACATTGGCGCTTAACAATTTTGACAATTTAGTTCCGCTGAGCATAAAGAAGGACTAAGGAGAGACCCTTAATTTAAGTTGAAACTTTAAGAAGAAAAAAAAAACCCTAAAGCTTGGAGCTTGGAGCTTGAAGCTTGAAGCTTGAAGTTATTAAAATGAGGGATGTAAAAAATAAAAATCTATCCATACGTACATGAATGATGACACTAATGATGCCCAAACTAAGCGAGAAAGCAAGGCAGCACTCGGTAAGGTTAAGGGAGTTCCATTAAAAAAACTATGGGGCGGAAAAACAATCGCCGAGACCCCCACTTAAATATGCTACGGAATATGTTAAGGCTATGCTTGTCACTTGTGCTTCAAACACCGGATCCTTTCTTCTAGAAAAGGGATCGAAGGATAATTCACATTTAGCCTTGGGCAAAACCCTAGTCAAGGAAATGAAGGTGCTGCAGGAATTGACAAGCAAGGCCAATCTAACCATTTCCTCCTCCTCAACTAGTCTAACTCGTCTAACTCGCAAATGTCGTTTTACATAGAATAAGCATGCATACTCCTTCCAATAACTCAAACTACTCGGTATGCTACATTGCTACTTACTATGCTCGCGTGCGCCAAGTTTCGTCCTTGGTTTCTTAATATTTCCTAGAAGGTCGCATAAAAGGCCGCATGTCATGTCGAACATGTGCCCGCTCCTATGTCTACTTTGTGTAACTAGGTCCTATGTATATGTACATACTATATAATTTCTTCACACCGCCTCATTATTTCCACTGCTCATGTACGATTACTCCTTCATGTACACTGGAATAACGACAGTGCATCATGATTTACGCAGAGAAGACTCAATTCAACAAATCTTGCGAGAAATATCCAAAGGAAGTGCCACTCGAGGATCCTTTCACCATGGGTCTATCACTTACAGACTACAGTGCATGTAAAGTTAGCAGTGATGAGAACCAGCAATATGCAATGCAATGTCATGAACGGCAATACATTACACGCACATGCCTGCCGCCGATATAAATCTCGTAACGTAACACCAATCAATCATTTTGGGATACCCATCGCCAAAAGCACCACCCAGGGTTCCAACCCCCGCCAAAACAATAAATTTTTCATAGTCCTCCGTATATCCCTCGGTGCGTAATGGAAACCGTAACAATCGCTCTAAATTACACATCGTTACCATAACTTAAGATTTACATGCCTCCCCGTTACGAAATGACTTAAGTAGAGCCCCATAATAAAAAGACGGCTGACTAGGTTATAACTGGTTGTAACTGGTCATTACTAACGGAATTGAAGAGTTCCGCTCTGTACGCCAGCGGCTCATTACTCAATCCAAACTCCCTTTACTGGATCTCTCATGTGGAAACTTCCTTCTGCCGAATAAACCATGGCTAGTATTCTCTACCGAAACGCCTTTACCGAGATCTAATCGTCTACAACTTTCTGCGGTTTGTGGAAATGATTTTAGGATATGAGTACTAGTTCTTGCATACTACGTATTAAAACAATGGTAATGAACCAAGAACGTTGGATTACCAAGCTTGGCCTGCGGGAAGAGAGAGAATCTTGAGATTCTGGAATTTCTGGATTGCAAATGTATGTAACGGAGTGATGTATTCTAATTCTTGGCCTCGAAAGGCAAATACCAACATATCTTGATGGCGACTCTCGAGAATTCAACTTAGCTTATATAGGTAGAACTAGAACTTTTAGTAAGGAATCCGCGGGTCGTCACGAACTCCGATTACATAAATAGCCTCGGAGTGGCATTTGTTTGCCGGGAAGAAACATGAGTTCCACGTGTAATTCTGCTGTTGCCGAGTGGCAATTCCGTATTTTGGTACACTACCAAGCAAAATTTATGTGTGTGTAACGAATGGTGTGCATATTGATTTTCGAACGGAGATTGGATGCAGGTAAATCTTAGATCACGAAGTGGATGAAGCGGAAAAGGGAGAGGAAGCGAACGGAAACCTATTCATTGGAAAGCTATTCATTCGCCATCGAGACTTTGCGAGTCTTTCATCGTGAAGAAATTAATATAATAATAAACAATAAATTAAATTCATATATATTTATCCATTTCGTTGCATTTCAGTATGACTTTCTAGGTACTTGGATGTTTGTCTTCTTCAAAAAGATTCCCATCAAATGCAGGGTCCTGCACCATACCAGGATTTCCCTTTCATCTTCTTTTCGACAACTCATTCATTCACCTCCTGCTGACGAAATAGGGTTCTGGCGCGAGAGTGGAGACTCCTTCACACTCCTGAGATCTCCATGGAAAATCTATCTTCCACCACATCACACAAAATCACTTGCTGGCAGCCCGGCAGTCTCATGTCGATCAACAAAACATCCCACCTTTACGGGTATAGTACTGGTAAGTTCCAACATATGAGGCTGACAGCAAATGGTAACATCATTTGATGTTATGTAGGGGGCTCTACAAGTACGAGCTGTCATCTGTAAATCATTCAACATAGCATGAACCCGACGTTGAATTGGCACCATGCAAATGCACCATGCACCCTCAACGTGCAAATTAAAGGTCAAACTCAAAAAAAATCCAACAGCAAGATCCGATCCACTCATCTAACTCGCATTACCCTTCCTGTCTCGGGTTTTATTCCGTAGAGTAGTACTCATGTATGGAACCCAGCGTTCCAAAACTCAAACCTTAGTAAACGAGTAAACGTTAACCCATCTATCAATCATCTATTCGAATTTCAAACACATCAGAATCAGATAAATAGATAGATAAATTACCGACAAATAAAGCACGTGGCATGGGATAAACAGATATGAAACAACAAGCAAGCCATCATGCTTGAATGAATACCTTGTAACATTGTAAGACTTATATGATCTAAAGTCAAACCCTACCATTCAACACTCATTATATTCACCAAAATCCACATGTTCATGCATCCAGGGCACAAAGATGTCTCAGCTGTATGATATTGCTCCTCTAAGTCTAAGCACTGCAGCTCGACTTTACAATTATATGCATGAGGACTCTGTATATGATTCTCCATGCGCATACATACCCAGTACATACCTTGCAACTTGCAACATCGCATATAGGATGATAATGTACTACGTTACAATAGGTAGGAATAAGGTTAATCTCCGCGTTAACATCGGGTCTCATGAAGCCCTTTCATTTGCTATCATTTACTATCATTTACCATTTCATCAAATCACATCACATCACACAATACATTATGCATCACATCATGACAGGTAGATCTCACCCACCACGCACGCACGTACGCGCGCCACCAAAAGCAGAATCTGGATCCTCGATTTACGATTTCGACTTTCGACTCTCTAATCTCGATTCTTGATTCTCGGCCTCTAAACATCCCAGCTTCTTCCCAAAACATAAACACCGAGAATCCAACAACCACCAACATATGAAGATCCGATAACACCAACATATGAAGATCCGATAACATCACATCACATCACATACATTACATCACATCACATCACCTCCAAAACTCCCATCCTTAATCCAGCACTCCAAAGATCTTCATCATCATCAAGCATCATCAAGCAACCCCTGGAACGGCAGGAACGTCATATGCGCTACGAATGATCGAGTAGGCTCTGGGCATGCTGTAGCATGAGGTCATTCATTATATCACTTGTTTTGTAGATCCGTCTATCCATCTATCCATCTATCCATTCATCAATTCATCCATCCATCCACCCATCTCACCGTTTCACCCACTCCAGAACAGACGTGACGACGACAAAAAGATCTGAAACTAAGGGTCCTGTCCGAGACCAATTAGCTCTCCTATTTCCTAATTTCCACTAGTGATGGGTGCAAAGTACACTTGTAGCTCTAACAGTGTAAGTCTGGAACCCATACACCCATGCATACATTAAAGTCGCCAGAACACCGGGGGTGCGCAGAGACATAGCATCATAAAATCCTCCCTCCATGATGCGCGAATGCTGATCCAGTAAATTCTCGACCACGATCGAAATGAGTTACTGCAGATCATGTGCTCGAGAAGGTAGTAATTCAATGATCTCAACAAGAATCAATATAAATGTAATCAACTTCCATTCTGATACTAGTAACCCTATCAAAAACAAAGCAGTGATTTCACAAAGTTCAAACGCCTCTAGCTAATTCAATCCGTTCCAATCCCATTTTCTCTTCCATCTTGCAATAACAAAGCAATTCATCCAACCACCCATTAGAAAATTTTCCATCCCAAACTAGAACCCAACTCCAAACTCGTTATCAAAAGGAGATTCGTCTTCATAGCGTCATGATATCCAAAATGATATTCAATGATTAGCCACTCTAAACCCACAGTGCATTCCCATACATACAAAAACAAATTGAATCCAACCAATCTATTGAAGTGGCCTATAACTTCCGATTTTCGCTACTAATGAACAACGCCTGCGAATTCCCTACGAGAGAATATCTTTAAGAAATGCAAGAAGAGCAAGTAATCAGAAAAAGAAAAAGAAAACGCGACACTTTTTAAAATCCGAGAATATAATAAAAGGAAAACAGAACATTAGAGTTTGTATTGTACGGAGAGAAGTAATGATGTATGCAAGATTCAGCCAATGACTGATCATTAGTCCTTCCGATAGGACTTCGAAGAACAGCAAAAATTTATTTGCGGTTTATGAAGTTATTTTGTCGTCGGCTGACAATCATCGTTTGACTCTCGCATACTGATTTCAATCTGTGTCGGGGTATAGTATTTTATACTCATCTGCATAATGCAAAACTCCACCCAATGTAAGCCTTTGTTTTGAAAACGCCTGTGAGGTATTTGAGAAAGGGACTTCTGAGAAATTCGTCACTCGTGAGATGGCAATTTACCGAGATCAAAATAGCGTAGTTCGGGAAATGGTCGGTGATCCGAATAGAGAACAGATCTCACATCATACCTTCCTCACCAATGCCGGGCAAACCCCCCATTGGGACTCCGAGACCACCTAACCCAGCAGCGGCTAAGTGGTTGTTTAGCTTGAGATCGGGATCGCAAGGGGTAGAGTGTTGTTTATGCTAAGCTTTGTTAGACAAAATTCACATAATTCTGAACAATCGATGATACTCACATATTTGAGGCCATTCAAATTTTTATATCTCTTGCCGCAGTAATCACACTTGTATGGCTTCTCTCTTTCCATACCTTCGTTGCCCGAGTATGGAATTGAAGTTTCTGGATTGACAATGGAAAATGTCCCATCACCGTTTTCGTGTAACTGTTGAGTTTGATGTCCATGCGTCTTGTGATACCTGAACAAAATTAGCATAGAAAAGATTTGAAGGGGGTGGAAATACTCACTTAAGACCATTTTGATTCTTGTAGGCCTTTTCACATCCAATCACGGGACATCTGAATGGTTTGTGCTCTTCTCCCATCATTAATCCTGTAGGATCTCCCATTGCATTCATGCTCGCCATCAATTGTTGTTGCTGGTATGCTCTCATTAAATCTGCATTATTTGCAAATTGTGCTTGCCCCAAACCAAATTGAGCAAATTGTTGTTGAAGAGCCCTTTGATTATTAAAACCACCACCGTTAGGGCTATAGAGACGCTTAGCGGGCTCGTCGATGCAAAGTTCCAAGCCCAAATCATTTCCACCGAAATTGAACGGAAAATTCATATTATTCATGTTCATATTTCTATTTCCCATGTTCATATTCATGGGCATACTTGTGTAGTCTCCATCCATTTCCGATGGCGTGCCGGGGGCCGAGGTATCTGGTGAAAATTTCTGTGATTGCTGCATGGGTTGTGCTGTCAAAGTAGGGGTATTAACAGAAGAAACAGTCGGGTTGTTGTGAATTCCAAAAGAGGAAGCTGCGGGAGTGGCTGGTTGAGATGTACGGAGTCCAGAGTGTTGCATGGTGGAGTTGAGATTAATGGTGGGTCTTGGTTGCTGACCGAACATGGACTGTTGTGCTGCCTGCACAGGCTGATGATTATGAGAAGCTTGAACCGGCGTATCCGGGGTCGAATCCATAGGTCCGATAGCATCGTCCATTTCCATATCTTCAACGCCATCCATGTCATCAATAGCACCTTGGTTAGATTTTTGTATAGGAGTAGCTGGTTGTGAACGTTGCTGTTGGCGCATCAATTGAATGCCTCCAACGCTTGCACCAGCTTGTGGCATCTGCAAGCCCGAAAGCCGAGGTTGTGATGGTTGGTTTTGTTGCTGCTGAGCATGATGTTGTACGGCAGATGTATTTGGTGCTGCCATGCCTGCTCTACCGTTGGGTATTGCGTTTTCCCGAGCTCGTACAATAGATGAATTATTTCGAAGTGATGCTGGGGTCTGTTGCGCATGAGACTCCTCATAATGTTGTAGAAGGTCGTGTAGTGTTGCTAATGTGTTGCCACAACAGCTGAAATCTTTCATGAAGTTGGCTTCGAGCTTAGGAAGATAGGAGGAAGAATGATATGATGGTGATTGATATGGGAATGGTGATGTGCCAGCCATGATAATACTATTCAAAAATGTCATGTCAGCGCCATGTGAATTGAAATTGTGTGCCCCGCACTTTCTAGGACGCTGAAACATTTTTGTTTGTCGTCAAATGTGGTGAATGAGGCATATGTTTTTTGAACTACGAAGTGATTGAGGTGAATATTGGTAAAGATTGGATTACACGTACTCGTCACGAATCCAACTTCCAACGGAAACGCCTCCCCAACTCATACCTCCCACGAGGCTACCTGCCAAACTTTCGCGACGAGGACGATCATTATTTCTGTTTGGATTGTTCATGGATATGGGCTTTGCTGCTGCAAATGATTCTTGTCTTGAACGACCCATATGATCGTCGAATCCTGTACCGGTTGTCATGATTCTGGCCGAAGTTCGTGAATCTGGGTCGAGGTAATTTGAATTATTTTTATTGCCTTGAGATGACGGCGATGACGAAGAGTTTCTGGTTGGTGTGGCGATATTTATAGGTGAAGAAGTTGTCGTCATATTAGACTTGACGTTATTAGTAAAATGAAAATCTTCTAGAGTACTGGATACCGAAGAAGAGGAAGAAACAGAAGAAGAAGACGAAGTGATTGAATGCGGAGACGAATGTGAAGATGTTTGTTGTGATTTAGAAGAGTTGGAGTTTAATAAGTTGGAGTTCAAATCAATAGCAGCAGCACCAGTTGCATCGATAAATGTTATCGAGTCCGGGTATGAAGCGGCGTGGGATTGTGTAAACCAATTAGAGAGAGGCATTAAGTGGGGTTTATCTCGGTACTAGGATTCATGTACCTAGTAGAATTTATCGATTTTCTAATTAGTCCAAATAAGGATTAGCTCCGAATTGAAAATTATTAATGGGAAGGTAGGCTGGTAAACTACTCTGCACTAGGCACTACTCCGTACGTACTAGGTAGGTAGGTAGGTAGGTAGGTAAAAAGCCACTAGCCGATATAATAGCATTATAGCACGAATGCTTGGTGCGGACTGTGCAGAGGTGCAGAGGTGCAGAAGGTGCAGAGCTGCAGATGTGCAGGAGTGCAAGAGTGCAGAAATGCATGTGCTAGCCTGCTAGGAGTGGGAGTGGAGTGGAATCGGTGACTGGGAACATTGAACATTCATGGTGTACCGTGTACGAAGTATGGGTGCGGGTCGGACGAGTGGGCGAAGGTGGGTTAGGAATTAGATAAGTGGAGTGAAGGTTGGGAGAGATGGATGGGATAATGGATATGGGTTGTCGGAGGAGGAGTGGGGTCAAGGTGTGTGTACTCTGTACTTGGGTTCCTTTAGGTCCCCAAGCCAAAGACACCAACAAGTAACAAGTACGTACAAAGAAGGAAACCAAAGCACAATTCGGTAATTGTCAAGGAAGGAACCTACCTAATTGGGATTTGGTTGAATTTATTTCTCACAGAGCCGCCACTTGGAAAGGAAAGACCCGTCGAATATTGCAATGCCGGTAGTTAGGTGAACTTTTAGAACAAAAGATATAATCGATGTGTGATGATTTGATTCTACTTGTGCAAAAAGCTCTTACTCGTGTAAATTGGATTCGGCTGTAGTCGTAACGGCGGGTGTAAGAGGTTTGAGTCTGCTGGAAAGCGATCGATTGTTGTTAAGGTCAGGTGTATGTAGATATGGCTCTGACAGTTTCGTTTCCGTCAGAAGTTCAGAACCAATATTTACAATATGGTACGAATATGGAGTACCAATCAATGACTTAGTGATGCCGGGGTGTGACACACACCAAATGAAGGAGGGTAGTATCGTGGCGCGAATGGCGAACAGTGTATGGAAGAAAAATGGTAGTTGACGGGATGTGCTGCGGATAGGGCAATGAAGAGAAATTTACTTGTGGTGCATATGAAAGTACTGTTGATAAATAAATGTAAAAGTAGCTTTTCCCATGGGGGCCCATGAACTGTATTTAACAACTACCACGGAGTAGGTACTCAACCCAAGATGGTTATCATCTTAAATCAAGGCAACAAACATGTCAAAAGGGTTGAAGCTTGTTTTTTAAAATTATGAAATCTCAAGTGTCAGACTTTGAAGTGATGGATGGATGTTTCGTTCGGACTATCATAGACCGGGTTATGCATTAGTGGCCAGTAAATAAGTGCTCAAGCACTTCGTCGGACGTTTACGAGGCTCAAGGTTCTAATGCATTTGGTCCCAACGCTTCGGATGAGACAATGGGGATCCGCATTTAATGTTTCTAGAAGCTTGGAAGATTCTATGATTGATGATGTGTATTTCTAGCAGATATTAGAATACATTTTTTCTTAGATATATTTTTCTCTAGATTTGTGCACATATATTGCCGGAATCCTTCAATATGATAAATCATCCATCCGATGAATATACGGTGAGATGAAACTCAAACGCTCTCCTTTTTCTCGTTCGCCAAACCCAAGCGGTGTGTCCTGCCAATATCTGCCGATGTTGTGCGATGGCGTTTTTCCTCACCAATGGAAATTAATATCCTAGAGAAGTTGGCTGTAGTGCTGAACCGAGACGAGTTCTAAACCGTTGAAGGGTTCAACGAGGCTCTCCTCCTTGAAAATGCATCCTATTATCAGGATGTTGTCGGATCTATTTTGCTATCGTGCTTTGTTTAGATTATCCTTGAGTCGTGTTGCCTTGGTCCAAGACAAAGATTCAAGACAGATCTCGGAGCCCTCGAATCGTATAGCTTGCTTTTCATCATACAATAAGGTTATCCTTATTCCATAATCATCTTCGATGCCATCATGATTGTCATTCGGTTGCAGCTTCCAGACAATTTTAACAATTATAACTCGGGTAAATATACGAAGTTCAATATCAAGTCAAGAGATATAAGCCTTGCCATTTTGAACATTGATGTGGACTTATCCGACGTGCGAAGTTGTGGATTTGATGTTACAGCCATGATCCTAACTGTTTGTACACGAATCATGTCTACACTGCAACGAAAACGCCTAGAGCTCGGCAGCTCAAGTTTTGATCACTATGAGTGGTAAATCACCAAAGAAGATATTCTTGATTTCGTCAACGTGCCGCTGGATCAACATGTGGGAACTGAAGCAGTGATGTCAAAGAGCACAGCTAGTTTCTATGCCCTACAGACTACTTCGTACTTCGTGTGGATAGAAAGTTTAAAATTCTAATCGCTAGGGACTAATTGTTCTTATTGGTCAAGCTGCCACATTCTCAACGTTTACCTTGCTTGTTAGTACCATCCCCATACTCTCTGGCAGCACGAGTAAATCTTTCAGCATCTTATCGACGGGACGGGATGCTGATAACTACCAAAGCATACCATTACGTGTGGTATACGGGAATGGCGGTATTCCCAACTTCATCTATCTATTTCTTATCTACGTATCAATCCATCTGACAACAACTCGAGTCAAGTTCAAGCGTGGCCTTACAGACTGACTACGTGACAATGCTGACTCGCAATTCCATGTTGTAACATGGTAACCGCATCACGTGATGGTTTAAAAGAAAATGGAGGGGTAATTCACTCACAGTCCATGTGTGGCTTGTCAGGCACATTCTCTAGCCACAATCATGTCGCCAATCATGAGTATACAATTTACCATTTAGCTGCATACGCGGTCTAATATTCATCCGTCCGAATTCAACGAATGGCGGGAATTTTCTCGGAGATCGTAATTCGGCATCTACTCCGTATGTAACTATGGACTAGGTATCATACCACTTTTTTTGACTTTACATCATACCACACGACTTATTTTGGCTGCAAAGAGCTTACAATACACGCATCATGACAACATTTCCGAAAAATCTCAAAAAAACCCGGGCTTTGAAAAAGGGTAGGGAAAGTAAATAAATAAATAAATAAATAAATAAATAAATAAATAAATAAATAAATAAATAAATAAATAAATAAATATACTCCCATCAAAGCATTGAAATGAATCTCTTGTGAATTTAAAGACGAAACAAAATATACTTTTAAACTCCTGGCTATTTATTTCTACCATCTATCTAATTGATCTAATAAGAAATTGATATAACCAAACCATTTCTCGGGCTTTGATCACAGCTCCCCCACCCACCTTGAGAGAAAGAACTTCTGGACGACATCATCGACTAACTGCCAGCTTATTAACCCATCCAATTCCACGAAACGCAACCAGTCAACAAAAATATCTGAATCAAACACCATCAAATCTATTGCTCAAAAGTCTTTGCAAGAATCAGATCTCAATAGTCACCCCTCGGTTCGACTTGCAACCTACACAAGTACATCTATCGATTGCCACAAAAAGACTCGTCTCACAACCTCCAAACGTACACATAAGAAAACATGAAGATTCTTACCAAGGAGGAAGAAGCCGCGCATTACAATGCCACTTTGAAAGGTGGTATTACCGGAGGTCTTATTGGTCTGGCAGTGGTAAGTATTCACCCGCGACCTTAAGTCGCCAAATCAACAAATGAAGCTGATCAACCTCTTAGGGCGGATCAGCACTCTACGTAGCCAACCGTCGATTCCACACCATTCGCAGTCTCACCATCCCCATGAAGAGTTTCCTCGTCTCATCTTCCGGCACCTTCGCTGCCATCATAAGCGCAGACCGCGCATCTCGCGCGTACGAGTGGAATCGCGACCCCTCGCGAAAGTACAAAGATAAATCCACGCTCCTGCTTGAACAAGAAAGGGCCAATGAAACAACCGCCCAGCGTCTCAAGGCATGGGGAAAAGAAAACAGGTACTCGATTGTGACTGCATCATGGGTGGCTAGTATGGGAATAGCGTTTGGGATTGTATCAAGAAACAAATATTTGACGGGAGCTCAGAAATTGGTCCAAGCAAGAGTTTATGCGCAGGGTTTAACGCTGGCGGTATTGGTTGCATCAGCGGCATTTGAAATGGGAGATGCGAAGAAGGGAACAGGAAGGTGGGAAACGGTTATGGTGCTGGATCCAAATGATCCGGAACATAAACATTTGATCCAGAAGAAGATTCACCATGAAGCTTATGAGGGAGAAGATTTATGGCGTGGTACGTCTCTACTCACTTCAGTCGTCTGGTTTTATGGAAACATGCTAATGAATTTCTATAGATATGGTAGAAGCGGAGGAGCGCCGAATAAATGATCGCAAGAGGATAGCGGGAGAAATTCAACGCTCCAAGGGCAAAGGAAATAAAGAAGAAAAGAACCAAAGTTAACCACAACTAGGTACTCTGTGGTGGCATAACACACATAACCCGCGACTTCCCGTATTGTGTCCTGGATTCAAATTGGACATTATTGACATATCTGTACTCAATTAGCTTAAAATCAAAATAGTGAATTAATGTTATATCTTACTCAGCTTCAAGTTTCAGAAACTGGGCGCAATCCTCCTCCTCAGCCAAGGTCTCCGCCTCCCATTAACAGGAGCATTGCTTGATCATGAAATCCCCAAATCTGGGATTGTGAGTTTGTAGTCCAAGGTCATGGTATAAAAGTCCCAGAGCGTCCGATAGTCCGGACTGGAAGACTAGATTTCAGATTTTAATGATTGAAATTCTTTGAGTGTTTGAATATAGTTCAAAATTTCAAATAGTTTAGAATACTTTTATCACATTTGATGTTTTAATATGATTTATTGTTTGAATTAATCCCCATGTCTCAAATAGATACAGGAATCCAGAAGCTTCTCATTGTTAGACTGCAGTCCAGACTATTGGACACCCTGGCCGGGTCACCGTCACCGTCACCGTTCAACTTTCAACCTTCAAAGTCCTCCGTGAATCGTAAAATCATCCGTCAAAACTGCTGTCGGATATCCAATTTTGCTACTTCTTCGCATAGAGCTACGCCTACTACCTGACAGTTAGTTTGCCAATAAGCACCGGCCGGTCTATTTGGCTACCCAGTCGAATCCCATGTTCTATTCGAAAAGTTTTGATGAAAGAAAAGATTCACTGTTCTTCAATTCTAATTCCACCACAGTAAAAGTTGGCGAAATCTGAATACTCAGAGGACACTAATATCGGAGCATTGATGAGATGTGCTCACCATTCTTACAACCTCAAGATCAAATGTAATGTTTCGGACATTTTCGCCTGAGGAAATCCAAGTATTATTAATAACTTGAGGAAGTCAGTCTTTCCAAATTAATCTGATATCCCCTCCCCATACGTTCAATATCCAACGCGCCTCCAGATCCTAAACTCCTATATATTCTCACCCATCCAGATTATCCCAACATTTCAACTCTCATCATAAACCCACGCCCTCTCCGTGTCAGCTGGAAGGAAGTACTCAGGAGAATCTGTCAGATCTCGGCTGTATAATTCATCAATTCCTGGATATAATTTTATATCAAAATATTATCCTAAACTCAAGCAACTCAGATAGGTAACGAACAGTTTAACCTACCATTTCTGTTTTTTGCACTCTCCTCTTTCAATTCAGTTTTTTTTTAAATACATATCACTTTTACAGATTCGAGTTTTGAAATTTAAAAGATAATATTATTATACTTAGTCAAATCATAAAGAAAAAAGTGAATTTGAAAAATTGAAAAACAACCACGAAGTAAACGTGTGAAGTCTTAAAAGGAATATAGAAGATATAATCTTACTTAGATTTCTTTACTTAACCGATAATAAGTCTAATACCCTGCTTTCGGATCACTTTTTTATATCAAAAATAATGATTTTTACTTATTAATATTTCAACAATTAATGAATCAAATCAATCGAAATTTTAATTATAGATTTATTATATGATTATTAATTGATTTTAAAATTTTCAAATTTTTAATAGTTTTATTGATTGAGAGATTGAAAGTTGAAATTATAATTTTCAATTTATATAAGATTTATATATAAATTTGAAAATTTTAAAAATCTTGAATATCTTTTTAACAAAAATAATTAAAAATAAATTAAAAATTTTTATCGAATCTTTGAATCATGATTAATCCAATAGATTAATTATTTTTAAAAAATAATTTATAGAAATTCTTTGAATCAAAATATTATAATTTTTAATCTTTATAAAAATTAAAAATATTAATAAAAGTTTTTCTATATAATTTAAAATTTAAATTCTAATCTATTATATAATATTTGATTTGAAGATTTCTAAAATTTTTATAATTTATTTTTAATAAATTTTGTTGAAAAGTTATTTACGATTTTCAAAGGTTTTAAATTTGTATATAAATCCTATACAAATTAAAAATCATAATTTCAACTTCTAATTTATCAATCAATAAAACTGTGAAAAATCTAAAATCTTCAGAATTCATTAATAATTATACAATGAATCTGTAATTCAAATTTCATCAAATTCTATCGATTGGTTATAAAGTTATTAGTAGCTGAAAATCATGATTTTTGGTGTAAAAGGTGGTCCGAAAGTAGGGTACTAGACTTAGACCAATGAATATGAACTACAATATAATCTGCTTCGCCATCAGATTGTTGATATGAGATACGATATTAGTTGAGAATCAGATATATTGTAACGGCATGTTTGGGTGATTCATTTTTAACCCAAGTACATCTGGGGCAATACGTTCGAATAACTTCAAAGTGCAGATTTAATTGAAATATAAGTTTAATTAATACTCTGGCAATCATCTAATTGAGACATGGCTCCGAACAGTTTTAATGGTAAAGAGGTAAATAGCATTGAGTACCGAGCCTGTCTTTCTTCTTCCTTGAATTTGACGGAACACCAATGGGCGGACAGATACGCTAATGTATATATTGTAAATTGTAATGTCAACCATCGAGCAGCAAATAAGCCAAAGTGGATGATAGGATCAGGACGCAAAACACATTAAACATCAGAATAAGTTGAGTTAAATACGAGATTCGAGACTTTAAAACTACCATTCATTGAACTTGGGGAACAGTGAATATTTCAGTCCCTAGCCCGCCACAAACCCAAGTCTTTCACATTGCAATTCAAATTCTATCTCCCTGTCCGGAACATCTCTCAGACCTTTGCTTATTATGAGTCCTACTCTTACGCAACACAAGAGTATTCTTGGCGTCCTCCGCTAGAGCTCGTACCTTCATCATACGGGAAACATCTTGCTAATAAGTTTCATTCCAGGCCTGCTTCCTACTTTCATGTTCCTCCGATGTTCCAAGTCACTTTATAGCTGCTATAATCTTAGCTTTTCTAGCATTTGCTACCGAACTTTCCAATGCCTGTCCACTTTGGAGACGAGCAACTTTTGCTCTAGACTCCTCCAAATCAAACGCCACTCGTATCCTGCCGATAGAAATCTTGACGAATAGGGCATAAAGAGGATGAAGGCTCAGACTGGAGTGGAGATATGATGTCGTCTGTAGTATAGGTATTCTTTGGACAAGCTCCAGGAATGCATATCTAGGCAGTCATCGTAGGTGGGAAGGCACAAGGAGTTATGGATGGTGGTACCATATGGTGTCTAGTCTTGGTTTCGGAGGGAAGCATGGGAGGATTTATGATGTATTATTTCTTGTCGTATCACAATATGCTGAAAAGAGGAATTGTTCGAGTTTTGTAAACGAAAGAAGGATTTATAATATGGATGGTTTGAACTGACAACTTTGGAAGGAATACGGACCCAGAGTCGTACTTGCCATATTAGGCCCAACAGCGAGTAATTGAAATCAGATATTGGAAGACTAATTACTAGGTATACTCTAAATCAATTCTAGCTTTAAGCTTAAATTCCATTGCTTCATCAGTAACGCGCACTGCAAGTAAAGAGCAAGAATAAGGTTCAGAAATAGAGTACTAGATTGTCTGGTGTTTGCATAGACATTATATGACGTGCTCATAGATCGCGGGGTAATTAAATAGGGGATGCCACTGGCGGTGTTTGTGACGAGGCGTAATTCTGTATTAAGACCCGTACTTGTGTTAATGGGATGACGAACAAAAATATCTCTCACATAACTTTGGTGTGTTCCATCGATTTGTATCGATATGTATAATGATTATTATCATAAACTGGCAAGTGTAGAAATATATCAGCTCCACACCTCGACCGTTATGCTCATTCACTATGGAAGTATGAGATCAGTGAATAACTATCTTTGTTATCTGTGCCGAGTTAAAACGATGGATGGTTCTTAAATCTCATCCCATTATGGTAAATACCAATCCATATACTATTCCGAGTAACTATTAGAGGAGTTTTAGGTTGTTGGCGTTCTGGAAAGCTTTCGATTTTCCGACCGTTCAACCTTCTAACTAAGGAGCTTTTCAGGTTGAAAACAGTAATAGGGTTACTTCAATTCCATCGAAATTCGTCTAAACGGAATAATTAAGTATATTCGAATCGAAGATAAGTTATAGAAAACGTAAGCTATGAGAAGGATGAACTTGATTACTAGAATGCTACGGAAAGTTTAAGCTTCGAAAAGCTCGCTTAAATGAAGCTATTCCCATACTACAGTCCCGGGCTATCAGTCATGGTTTCTGTCAATATCACTCCGGTAATACTACTTAGATAGTACTATTATACCATTTGTGGCTATTCATTCTTGATTGCTATACTATGAAAAGAGCGGGTTGTTTTATTGAAGAGGGAGGGGCTGGAGTTCGCTAGTGGTTCTGCTCTCCGACAGGACCGGCAGCGTCGAAGCCAGATCTAAATAGGGCAGTGCATTCAATAACCCGGATTATAGAATGTACTAATGGCTCTGAATCAGACAATCAAGCTGAATCTATTGAAAAGATAAATCAACTACTCAATAAGAGGCAAAAACGTGAAGTAGGTCTTCGGATTCAGACCAGGGTATCCAATAGTCCGGACTGCAGTCTAATATGAAAAGCTTTGAATTTCTGAATTTATTTGGGACTTTGAAATCAATTAAAATAACAAATTATATTCAAATATTTGTAAACTTTTGGATATTAAGTATAAATAAATATTCAAAATATTGAATTACATTCAGATATTTAAATTATGTTCAGATATTGAACGCTATTCAGACACTGAATTATATTCCAACATTCCAAAGAATTTCTTATTGAACGCTTAAATCTAGACTGTCGGTCCGGACTATGAGACACCCTGGGTCTTCCTCAGTTACCGTCTAGTCGAATCCACCAAAGCAAGCTAGCACGGCACGTACAAGCATTCAAAACATCAAATGGAGCCAAAAATACACACAGCCGAGAAACATTTTATTGCTTCTAAGCAAACACTCATGTAATTCCATGGTGTGTTATCATGCAAACCCCTGAGTGAGCCAAAGACAGATAAATAACAAAAAAACAATTGTATCCATGCCACCCCAACCATCACGTTCATATCCCGTATCGACAACGCCCTATTAAGCAAAAATGAAAACCCCCTAGCGCGAGACCCCAGCGCTGTTTGATCCATGTGCCCTGTTTGCTAAGATGAGATAGACAATCAGAGCTACCTAGACGAACTTTGAAAAACACCTGCATGCACATGAATATTCTCGGAAAAGAACGAGTCCGTATCCCAAGAACCCTTTGCTGAATGATTGTACTGGATGAGAGGAAAGAAAATCAAGCCTTGACCTTCTTGGGACGACCACGACCAGCGGAGGCTGGTGTAGCAGCGTCATCAGATGCCTTTCTCTTCTTGCTAGCAGGAGTGGCGGATCCTGGAGCAGCGCTAGCATCCTTTGCAGGTCTTCCTCTCTTTTTGCCTGAGCTTGGAGTAGCTGCAGTAGTGTCCTCTGCAGGAGCGGCTTTTGCTGGTCTTCCTCTTTTTCCAGGAGTCTTCTTCTCGGCGTCAGCAGCTGGGGCCTTTGCCTTTGGAGACTTGGGAACCTTAGCGGCTTTCGGTTCTTTAGCAGCTTTCGGTACCTTGGCAGGCTTTGGTTCCTTGGGAGCTTTGGGAACCCTAGGAGTAGGTTTGGGCTTGACGATACCGCTGGGAGGTCGACCACGTCCACGTCCCGATGGAGCCTTGACTTTTTTCTCACTATCAGGCTTGGTTGGACGACCGCGACCACGGCCACTTGGGGCAGGCTTCTCCTTTGGCACGAGAACTGGTTCGGATTCCTTGATGATGACGAAAGCAACCTTCTCGATCTGAAGGGGGTTGACACGAAGACGAGCTGCCAAGGTCTTTGCAGCAGCGTGAACTTTCTCGAACTCGGCAAGATTGTATTTTGGGGTTGGTTTGTGCTCGCCATCATTGACAAGCCATTTGAAGACCTCATCACTGAAGAATGTCACATGATCTGGATCATGAACAGAGAGGATGAGAGATGCAGTAGCCGGCCCAATTCCCATCAATGGATCCTTGAGCTTGCTGATGACGGTGCCAATATCTGCGGGATTGGCCTTGTAGTGCTCGAAGGCATCTTTAGTAGCAGCCTCAACCGCCTCATTTGTGTTCTTGCCAACCTTCTTTAAGAAACCTGGACGGTATGCACCATGTCGACTAAATAGGAATTAGTATCGAAATAAATCCAAAAGATATTGAATGGAACATTTAGACACTAGAAATCAACAAAAATAAGATGAATATTTTTTGGATAATTTTTTGGTGATGGAATAGAAAAGGAAAAGACTCCGAAAGCCGATCTTTAAAGCTCAGAACACGGGCATCGACTCCACCTACCGATTGCCAACCAAATATCGCGAAAAAGAAAACAATTGAAAATAATACAAATAATATGAATAGAACAAACTTACAGCTTCCAGTCAACCAACTTCGTAACATCTTCAATAGTAAAAGTGTGTGATCCATCTTTAAATCTTGCTGGTGCTTCAACATATCTATATCTATCAAGCTCTTGAAGCGGAGTAACACCTTCCCGTGCTACAAAGAATATAAAATCAACCACGTAATCTTTTGCAAAGAGTCTAAAAAAGATTGAACGCACCGTCATTTGCATACTTATTGAGTAAAGCAGGATATCTTGTCAAAGTTTGGTTGAACTCTGCAAGAGTAATATCATTCGGTGAAGACATATTGATTCTATGAGCTTTCTCTCCCTCAAAACGATCTGAATCCGTCGATTTTTTTGGACTTCCGAATAAAGGATTGAGAGAATTTGAAATGGTACGAAGCATTCAAGAATGATTTTGATACTTTACTGATGAATTTGACGAAAGTTTTTATTTTCGAAAATAAATAAAAGTAAAATAAAAAAGAGAAGAGGGAGATGCGCGACGCGACGTGAATTTATGTTATGAGGAAAATGTTGCTACCATTTTAGGATTAGTTAGTGATTAGAATTGTTACTCAAACCAATCTAATTTGTATAAGTAAGCGAAGTTCATAAATTAACAATAATTCTTTGATAAGCGCAAAATAAAAATTAAAAGAAATATGAAACCAAAATAAAATAAAAATTCTATCTATCTGTTATACTGAGTAAGCAAAAAGCAAAAAGCAAAAAGCGAAAAGCCGAAAGCTAAAACAAAAAGTTGTTTGATTGGTACACGCATAAGTTCTAGAATTTCTTCATTTCTGCATCTTCTCTTCTTCTGCGGTCCGTTGAATCTTCAATCTTCAATCATCAATCTTCAATCATCAATCATCAATCATCAATCCTCAATCCTCAATCCTCTACACAATACACAATACACAATACAATATATAACTTCTTAATTCAAGTAAAAAAACATCTTTCAAAATGGGAGGAGGTAACGTAAGTTTGATCTCCAGTTCTTTACCTTATCCTTTTATCTCTCCAATTTCTTTTATGCGGTCAATCAATCAAGGAGAAGGAGAGATTCTCCACCTCGGGCGTCTCTCAACCCAGTTTTTCGACCACGAACTATGATCATCGCATTTAGATAATGTAGGCCTGACCTTTTTACAGGGCGCCAAAGCAGCTTCCAAGCGTGCACGAAATCAAAAGGATGCTGAGAAGGGTGTCGCAAAGTCGCAACTGAAGGTCAACGAGTCAGCGAAGGATATTCAGTGCGAGGTTTGCAAAACCACTTTCTTAAAAACGACTAGACTTCCTGCGTGAGTGCTCTCTTTCTTTTGCGATACGTTTATATATATTTACGATTTGGCATAATTGCCAATCCGAAGAGAAGATGCGCATATCTGGGAATTGTGCGGACCGCGGGGAAAATCCCGAAGGAAAGAAGAAAAGAAGGAAGGAATTTTGAGAACCTGCAATCATTATCTCCTTGAAAGATACAAGCCGAATCCAAATTGAATCGAAACTAATATTGATATCCCAACACCAGTCTCACCGAACATGCCATGAACAAGCACTCAAAAGGACCAGAGCTCTGCTTCCCCTCGTTTATGGCCCAACAGACTGCGGCGCCTGCTAAGAAATAGATTCTCGAGACATCTTTGTGCGACGCACCTTACGATTTCGTACGACGCAAGTGACGAAGACACGATATTTTACGGTTGAAAAGATGTGCCAGATGAGATTTTTGGCTTTTGGTGATCAGAGAATTTCAATTTGCGAAGACGAGCGAGCGACTGGCGCATGGGAGGGGAGAGATACAACGGCGTTTTAACACAAGCTAGCAGACTAGCTACTTGAGTCAGAAGAATCTGCTTCTTATCTACAAATGTGTGCCTTACTTCGTGATAGGTAAGGATCGGGACTATCCTAAAAGCCCAGACCGCAGTCGAATAATGAGGGTCCTAATTTCTCAGGAGAATTCATTTGGAACATTAAATCCATCTGAAAAAAGAATCTCTCTCTATCTATGTTTCGGCGGGTGGAGTGACTGGCAGATTCTTTTGTCTGCGTTCCTCCTCCTGCTCTACTCTTACATCTGCAAGTATCTCGGGATACCATTTCTCTCCCACATCCACATGGCTTTTAATCCTATTTCTCAGTGTTGCCTCTCCTAGCGTCTCCGCCTTTCCGCCCCCTATAAAAGTAAACTCCACATCATCCAATCTACCCCCCACACTCTCCAAAACCCTTCGCCTCATTTCTCTTACCTCCTCCTTCACCTCCCCTATTCCCACCTCGTTCAACTCCTCAAACTTGGTACTCCCCCTGACCCCCTGAAAAAACGGCACACTATACCTCGGACCCTGTCCATATTCGGGGCTCAATACCCTATGCGTAGTGCTCATACAGACACCCTTCGTCAACGCCTCCATGCCCTGTCCAATAGCCACTACCACTGTCCCTTTAATCGGAGGACAATCAATCCACTGCCCTCTCAAATTCTGCACCTGTAACCCCTTCTTATCACCCACCTGCAACAAATACGACGTCAACATCGCATCCTTATGCGGACCTACACCCTGACCCTTTTGTCCAGGCGAAAGACCCAATTCCTTCAAATCCGGATATTTAACCACTTTTAATTTATGCTGTTGATCTATGTCGAAGAAACGCTCGAATGCATTGGAGGGTAATCCAATAGCTTCTGCGATCAAAGATGTGAAGAATAGAGATACATCGCCCATTTGCTTGATGTAGGTTTCGAAAACAGGACGGAAATTAGGAAGATGCGTGGGAGAGGGCCAGAGATTCGGTGCAAGTAGATTGTAGTAGAGGGGATCGGTGGGAGTGGGGATGGGGTGAGGAGTCGAGAGATCAATTTGTTCACGCTGATCGATTGCATGTGCGGTGATTTCGGCGGAGAGGGGTGAGTAGCCTAGGAATGAGGGTGCGTTGACCATTTGGATTTTGGTCCTAAGGAAAGTGAGCTGAGTACTAGAATTGAACGAAAAAACAAACATACTTTTCCTCCAAAGGGAGATCAAAGAATTTCACTCCCTCCCCTACTACATTATCTATTAATTCCTGAGCGATGCCAATATTCTTCAGATATAAAAATCCTACTTCGAGTAAAGCATGGCGTAGCTGATTCAAAAACTCGGGTTTAGTTTTTGATGCTCTGGCCAGTGAGAGGTCGAGAATTGGGATGTTGGTGAAGGACATTACTGTACTCTATGAATAGGTAGATAGGTGGGTGGACAGGTAGGTATTTCTTTGTATAGGATGCGGTGTTTGTTGGATATTATATTGTAGAGACGGAAGGTTTTGCTATGAGATCAGATAGATAGTTAGAGAGATAGTATTGTAGATAGTGTTAGGAATTTATTGATAACATAACAAACATAATGTAAATACTTCAAGTACTGATTCCTCAAGTAGTGGATAATCCATGAATGGAATGTGGGGTGCGATGGCAAGGACGATTGTGGGTCTATATAGTCAGAAATCATAGCTCCAATGATAAGAAAATCCTCTTCACACCTACATGATATGGAACCATTTGGCGGGGTGATTCCGTGATATGGCGCAATATGATGAAAAGGCCCCTGATAATATGACAGGTGTGCACGAGATGTGTTCGAGTGACTGCTGAAGAGTCTCACAAAGAAAATGAATCGCATGGGTAATACTAACAATCCATTCCAAGTCAAGGAAAACTTGCCAAAGTCTGCAAGGTATAAGTACTTTTATGCTCTGTACAGCCATATACAAAGCTCCCTAACGCTCCAAGGTTTATAACCCCCCCTCGCTATGCCAACTTAAAGTATGGAAACCATTATAATTTCATTATACCATCTTTTCCAAAGGTTTACTAGAAAACAATCCTGCCACCTGATAGAACATCTCCTCCAAAGGTGGCAATGCAAACGCCGGCCCAATATCAAATACACCTGAAAGTTCTTGTTGTGTCACAACAGGTGTATCATCGTCATCCTCCATGACCGCGGGAGATAAAGCTTCAGCTTCTTCCGGCTCATCTTCAACGTCTTCAATCATCTGGAGCAGATCACCAGTTGCTTCATCCGTAATTGTATCTAATTGAAGATCAGAGGTTGGTTGAGCCAATGCAGTTATTGGTTGCGTGCCCTTCTTCATCACATTTCGTATTTCAGCAGTTCCGTCGAGGACCAGGAATCCTTCTGAATCTTCGATGGGTATGATAGCCGAAACTGCAGTCTCGAAACACTCGGTCAACAGTGGCGTTTGACTATCCTGGCCAAAGACTGCGAACCCAGAATACGTTGGAGGGAACGTTTGCTCTCTGAGCTCTTCTGCGGAAGGAGGAGTGAGTCTCATTGGTATCGCGACCGCAAATGTGCGACTGCTTCGATTGATTGCCAAGTGCATCATTTCAATCTTCTGTATGATATGCATTCCTGTGATAGATTTGTATAGCTTCAAGCTATATCTTAGTTGGTCCGAAACCAAATCATGTACACGAATTGAATCGGACAAGGTTATAAGATCTCTACCCAAGATTTCCATAGCCACAATACTACCTTCAAATAAGCCGTGCTGTGAAGCTGTGATGGAGCCCTGTTCCGGATCGATCATATGAACTGTTCCATTTTTACCAAATGCTGCAGCTAGTATTGAGCCATCATCAGCGAACGCTACAGCGCCATTATATGGCGTGCTACGCAAGTAGTCATCTGTAAGTTCAGACTTCTCGAGTTGGATCTCATGCTGGCAGTGCCAGTTTTTGAGTGCATTGCCCTTCCCATCCTTGACCGCAATGCCATCTCTTTTTCGAGTCTTTGGAACCCATGTACGTACCACACTGTCTTCTCCTATTGTAGAGAATCTCAAAGAGCTGGGGTCTGTGGCGAGGCCTAGGATTTGGCCTGCTCCAGGTGCGGCATCACTTGCCGTGTGGGGAGTATTAATTCGCGATACCAATTCCCATAACTGGCCTTCTTCTTTCCACTGCCAAAACTTCAAACAGATTTCGCGTCTCAGTTTGAGCTCGGCAAAAGGATTTGTAGCTTGATGCTGAATGAAATCGAGGTCGGCATGAGACGGTGTCCACTCGTCGACAGTAGCTAGCCAAAGCCCATCATGAGACTTTTGAATATGGGTAATTCTGGGTTCCGACATTGGACGTGCATTTGGCGTCTCATTTAAAGTTGTGACATTCGTCCTTGCAAGAGCTTGCTTTGAAACATTATGCCCGGCACTGAGATCATAAGTTTGTAAGAACGAACAATTCCTGATGGGAGCTCCGTAAAACGGTACTTCTGGATTCTCTCCAACACCGAGTAACAGATGCGAGGGGTTTGAAGAACTAATAACGGCAGGTGTCCGCTGTACGACATGAAATTTGTAGATATGAGATTTGGCTCTCTGAACTTCATCTGCTTGAGGTTCGGCGTACCGGACGACGCTGGATTGGATGCCAGCGAAATTCGCCGTGGGTTCCAGTTCGGCGGTGGATAATACCATCGCAGAGTTGTCGGCGAGCTGGACACCGTATGATGATCCAGAAGGAGACACGACCACATTAAGAATAGTTGACGTCATGTGAGGCAAGAATTGCTTCTTTCCAGTATCCAACTGCCAAAGTACGAGCACTGTTTCGCTGCCTCCGGATATGATGTAGTTTCCTGTTACCAGGTTAGCTCATGCAACGTTAGGTAGTAAAGCACAACAAATAAACGTACCATCCAGTGACCACTTCACTGTCTCGACACTTTTTCGGTGCCAATGAAATCTTGCTGGTACAAGGTTGACCATGGAAGCGTAATTTTTATTTTCTGATTGTATGAGATTGCCCAACAAGTCACGATGTATGAATATAAATCCTTTCGCGTCGCCAACAACTACGTCAACCACTGGTGTCTTTTTCGATATATTCCTGTCATCAGTACCGGTTCTAGGATATACTCTTGCATCCAATGACATGATAGGAGCAGTCGAATCAAAGACACGGAATACATATTTGATCTTGTCAGTAGTATCAAAGTCCAAGTTTCGGACATAACCTAGTAAAATGCTTTTACCAGAAGCTGCGAGGAGTACGGAGCCTTCATTGGCAGTTTTCAAGTAGTTGATCGGTGTTTTTGAAGTATATATGGTCCTTGCGACTGTTTGTATCGGCGAATCAGGCTGAGTCAATTCATTTGCAGTAATTCGCCAGCCTCCATCCTTCTTGGTTTCAGTAGTGAATACCACATCTCTTCGTCGTCCAGCAGATACCATAGAAGCAACAGTCATATGTATACATCCAGTTGACGAAATCTTCCAAGATTGATCATTACCAGCTCCCGAAGTCCAATCTAGGCGGTATATGGCGCCGTCAGATAGGGCTGCCCAAACAATGTTAGAATCAGTAGGTGAAAGTTCGTATGCAACTATATGAGCGAAAGGATGTTTCGAGTGGTCAAATTTGATCGTTCGGGTGAGTAGGGAGTCGGAAGTTGAGTAGATGAGGAGGCTCATTCGGTTTGCTAAGATCAGATATCTTAATTCTAGTCAGCAATTGAGCTTGTCACGAAGAGGGAATAATGCCATACTTCTCATCCTCTGTGAACACAGGATTTGCATTAATCATACGGCCACCAACAGGCTCGGATATTCTCCAACTTTGGTCTTTCAGTGGTTTCGGTGCCTGCGGAATTTTCTTTTCCCATATTTCCTTCCTTGGCTTCAATCCTCGTTTTGCTTGCGAATCCACTGACTCGAATGGCAAATCCTCGAAGAGATCCTCAAAATCAATAACCTCCGTTGATTCAAATTCGTCTTTGACATGCGCACCATTGACCTGAGCCAATTCCTTTCCATTTCCCAGCGCTTCGAAAATATCAAATCCACCATTGCTCTGAGCAAATTTCGTGGAGGGGTTTGCTGATTCTGACGTAGGTTTGGATCGTTTTGGAATATCCGCTACCTCTGTCTGCGCTCTTTTGCGCTTCAATATTGAAGCCATGGCGTTGTCAAGAGTTTTTGAGAAGTCGAGGAGTTCACGGTTGAAATTGGCAAACGTGAGGCAGAAGCTCCGAATGTTTTTTATTTTTTATTTGATAGCCGAAGATCTACCGATGGTTGTACCAGCGATAAAGAAAAAAGTTCTCGGCATCAACTCACGCGAAGAACTTCAATTCAAGTCTTAGCAACCAAAACATCATCGCAGACCTTTACATCAACGTCTACATACATCAAAATGATTATTCCAGTTCGTTGTTTCTCTTGCGGGAAGGTAAATTACATTAAACACTTTGCGCCAGAGTCATGCGCTGACCGCTAGAACAGGTTACCGGAGATATCTGGGAGCGATATGTCAAGCTCATTGACGAGGGAGTCAACGACGGGTTAGCCACAATACTACGCAGTTCCTTCCTCTTCATATATTAACTTGTTATCATAGTGATGCAATGGACGAGCTCACCCTTAAGAGATATTGCTGCCGTCGTATGATCATGACCCACGTCGACCTTATCGAAAAACTTCTCAGGTACGCAGCATCGTCCCCATTGTGGCAAAGAAACAGAGGGATAGAATAGAGTTTTGCGCTTTTCTCATTTACTGACTAAGTTGCTAGATACAATCCTGCGGAACGAGATGCGAAAAAGGCCGCTTTGAACAGTTAAGCTAAATTGACCAAACTACCTTCTACTCGTATACACCCCGATTCCGAATTGATGTTTGATCACCATGAAGCTCAATTGGAAGAAGCGCGATATGCGATTTGACGATATTATGGTAGACAAGTAGATAAGGAAGCAGATGGTATAGGCGTTGATTGGAGGTTAAATCCAAATACTGCAGATTTTGGCGTGGGCGTTTTCAGGACTACATCCAACGGTGCTTGGTGTGGTGGTCTTTTACGAGCGGTGCTACTTTTCTACACGGAGAAATGGGAGATAGTATTCGGGATGCGCAAAATCAAGGATCATCTCTAACATATCCAACAAATTACAAAGTGATGCATTGTTGTTTGTTTTGGGAATCCTATCAGACGCTCATCAGACGCCTAAGGTAATACACTTGATCATTACTGGGAAAAGTTGTCCCAAGGAACTGGTTCCCTTATTATGCATGTACAACGCATACAGTTTGGGCCAGTCCGATGTATTGATGTGGAGTGCACTTAAATCTGACAAGCCACTAACGAGAAAGTCCAACATTTATCCACGGCAGAAGCTTGCCATACTAAGCAGAATTTGCAGAATTTTCGATTTTCATAGGATCGATAATCGACGAGTGACATCTTATAGCCTCATGCAATGCAGAGAATGGAAAAAGCTGGCGTGTCTATAAGGCTAGAAGCGGTGGAGCAATGTTGGCGCAAACTTGCATCAAACTTCGACGCGTACTACTCGATTCCGATAAGTCGTCAGAGTACGAGCAACTTCTCGGGCCGGAAAAAGTATGGAGAGCTTGGAGTCTCACATGGGTTAAATCAAGGCTTAGCAATCGTCTATAGAGATAGGAGATTTTTCGACAGAGGGATCCGTCCGATGTGGCCTTGGAGAGTATCAACAAAGACTAGGATACAATTTTACTTTTATCCCTGGAATGGACCACCAGATAGAGAATATACCCCTTCTAATCAGTTTAGATATCCGTTCTACTCATGCTAATGCATCTCCTTTCTCAACGAGGATGAATGGTCGACCTCTCTGACTGACCTAGATGCCATTCCCGTGGTCTTGGACATGCTCATTAGTCTATCCCGAACAGTCCAATATTGACAGCGATCTCCGTAATATATCTAACTTGAGTAATAAGTGAGGCTATCACTGTTTGATGATGGACCCGAGCGTCCGGTCCGCAACTGCAACTGTTGGATTTATTGTCAATGTTTTTTTCCTTCGCAATTGACGCAGTTCCCTGCCCAGTCACTCTCCCACGGCGACTTTGAAGCTTGAGAAGTTGAGACATGGAACACCATGAGATACTTCTAAGCTAGCAAAAATGTTACATTCTATTTGAAGAGGGAATGGTCTTCCGATGTACCGAATGTCTGACAATCTCGAATTAGTTACCGTTTTGTATATGCTGTGGCTTCTCATGTTTCGAATTGAGATAACTCCCACTTTTGCGTATGTTCAGGATAAAAAGGATGAATCCTAGGGATGTCAGTTGAGCATCATCACTGTACGTAGATACAAAAGATACCTAGCACTCGGCATACTTCAAGGTTGTGTGTGTTCACTTTGTCGAAGCCGTTAAAAATTCCAAAATACCTGGTAATATAAAGTTATAAAGTCGTAAGCGCCCGTCATGCTTGTAACCCACATATATGCGGGCGGGGGATCAAAAGACAGGGATTGATAAATATGACTGGTTAAAAATTTGATTCAATGATCATGATGATAAGTGAGGTACCTGGTCATTTTCTCGAACCGTGTTAGGCTATTTCATGAGGTTGATGATATCAGCCTATTGTAGTAGTTGTTTTTGCTCATTTGTCCCGCTTGAGAAGATGTTGCAGTGCAGTGCAGCGCATTGCATTACAGATTTGTACTCATCGCGACAAGAGAACCAAAGATTTCATTTGTTTCTTGTACCGGGCGGGACACATGCCGAATATATTTCAGCTGTTCGCGACCAAATGATAATAATAATAGTAGCATTTTTGTGACACAAGAAAAGGGAGATGGAACAAAACAAAACAACACAAAACAGAACAGAACAGAACAAAACAAAATAAAACAAAACAAGACAATACAATACAAACAACAGGTAAGTTTCATTTTCTTAATCCATACTGGCTGGATAGATATCATTTGATATACTCGCATCCTCACACCCTCATCCGCACACCCTCATCCGCACACCCTCACATCCTGACATCCTTTGCATCTTCGCTCCATCTTTCCCCCACAAGGAAAATCATCCCCCCTGCCAATGCCATGCCCAGCGCGAAACTCAATAACAAAGTGCCACTTTTATATTGAAATCCTCCGCAGGAAACGGACGTGACTTTGCGGCACAGCGCTTTCCTAGCCTACTCTCAAGGCTCATCGACAAGTACGGAGTACCTTCAACCCCTACCAATTTAACTATCTTTTATATCGGAGCGTGCAAAGTCTGTCTGTTTGTTGTTATTATTTTTGGCTACACGCATCCACTCATTTTACTAAACTATTTACGATTAGAGATAGAGAATATTTTCTTGTGGTGCCAACACTTCTACCAGAATCTCCCAAAGTCTCGAGCTTGGAGCTCTTATTCCGCGCCAAAGCTTTCTTCTTTCAGCCTCAGCATTTTCGGATCCACTCCAACGTCCGAAGGTGTGAATGGTGAGTGGTAACCCCTCCCAGACCTGGCGTTGTAAGCATTATCATCTCTTTTTTATACTTGAGCATCGCGGTCCCGCCTAGTCAAGCTTCTACGAACAGTGCGAGCGTCTTATCCTCTCATTGGAACCTAAAACTACCATAAAAAATGGCAGTAGAAAGTCCATTGCTTGCCTCACCTGTCAACGTCATGTCAGCCATCTCCCCTTATACAGATTTCTCTCTATCACCATGTTCTCCTCCAATTCAAAGATCTCCATATTATCGATCGCTGTATGTAGCACCGTTTTAACAGCCGACCATGCTAATAATATTATACAGTCCCACACGAAACTATCCAGGTTCCAATCTCCAGCCAACTCCTGTCGAGGACGGCCTCTCCTCTTCCAGCGCGCATCTACTCAGTCCAATGAGTGACACGGTGGGACCTTCGCCAGTGACCTCGAATGGCACTACAACCACAGATATTGAGGATGATATGGCAGATGAAGCAGTCAACCATGAGGACATACCCAGAGCCGATTCGCAAATTACCGTTGGTACTCTGCCAAAGCTTGGAAGCATTGTTACTGACACTGAAATAGCTGAAAAGGCTTAGCACAAACTTACCAGATGAGTTTCGTGCTTCCCTTGAGGATGAATCTGTCTCGGTCATTCACGCCCCAGAGGGCTACACAAAATTTGTGAGGCAATAGAGCTACATGGTGAAGAATCAATGGCTGATGCATTACAGCTGTTCAATGATGCGAGCCCGGTACAATCGGCAAAAGCACTTTTGGATCGCTCGACTCCAACTCCATACCAACAGCCTACAAGCTCAAGAAGTAGCCCAAGAAGTAGCCCTCGCACTAGTCCTCAATTCAACCAAAAGACAAGCCCGAGAACCAGTCCAGAAACGAGCCCTAAAGTCAGTCCTAAAGCAAGTCCTAATACAAGCCCCAGGATGAGTCCAGATCGGCTTCAGATTGCTGAGCATGCGAATAAAGTAAAACTACCTTCCATCATAAGAGATTTTTAAGGCTAACTATTGGCATAGTCTATTGAGCCTGGTCCAGTTTCCCCTCCGCCGATTTCTACAGATATAAGACCGATCAGATTCGGTTTAGAGAATCAAACACCCCGAGCGCAAACTCGCCAAGAGGTCGAATTATTTTCGGAAGAAAGACGACCCTCTCGGCCAAGCAGTCTTGAAGGTATAGTCGAAGAAGAAGCTATGAAGATGTTTTACTCACTAGACATAGGGATCCCAGAAGAACTATCCAGAGGCTATTCGGAAGATGATTTCGATGCTAACACAGTTCACAATGCGGACGAGGAAATATTGGCTTTGAAGACGGCACTCAATGAATGTTGGACTCTTTGCAATACACTCGCTAGTCTTAGCTCCATTCATCGTGAGAGGATATTTAGCTTTTCTGGATCGGGCGATGCTCATGAAAAAGCCTGGAAATGTTGTTGGAAACTGTGCAAGAAATTATACGACAGCCGTGATGAAGATCATGAATATCATGTTAGACCTACGCTCGATCTATGTAGAGACTTCTGTCAATCTCTATTTGATGTTCGTCAAAAGAAAGATGAGGTAGCCGATTCAGTATTGCGGGTGAGCTTCGAACTAAACAACCACTTATACAACACACACGATCGCAATCTCCCTGAAGCTTTCCGAGAAAGAACTCTGGATTTCTACATAACTTTGTGTCATCGTCTCATGAAACAAAGAAGTGAACTTGCCGAGGAGACAGATGCTCTGCTTAGAGCTTGTTGGGGCTTGGCTGAAATGCTTTTTAGCCTTCGACAAAACAAAAGGGAAGGAAAAATGGCAGATGAAGAGCTCCTTGGATCTGCTGTTCAAGCTTGCTGGGAATTATGTGATCTTTTCCGAGAAGGTTGGACACAAGTCCGTCCAGATCGGGGTACACCTCGTCCATCACAAACGACTTTCAGAGCATCATCCGATGAAATGTCTCGTTCTTCACATACCAAGTCTAGTAGTCTAGCTTCACTATCAGAAAACCTTGAGGAGCACACACCTACAAGATATGTCATCCTACCTGAAACCCCAACAACCGACTTTGAAGACACCCCTATCACACCCGAGGAGCTCTCGCCGAACATTCCAAACATAATGGTTCTAGGTTCGGACAGACCCCCAAGATGGTCATCCGGTGCTTCTTCGCTTTCCGGCTATTCTCAGGAAAGCGGTACTAGCACGGTCACAAACGGGAATCAACCTGAAGATCTCAACTTGACACGGCTTAAAATTTTAATTTTAAAAGCTTCGATGAATGTGGGATATTCAAGAACTGCAATCTCTTCCAAAGGGTCACCCTTGACACTTCAGAACTTTGTCAAAGCTTTACCGACTGGTTCTTTTGGCTCATTACCAGCGCATGCGACTCTACTTACATCGTATCGAAATCTAGTACTGAGCGATCCTACTTTTAGAAATCCAAGCTCGCTGCCTCCTCCAGGGAAGAAGGTCTCGGCGCCTGATGTCGCTAAGAGTGTTAGCTGGATGATGAGATCTGGGCAATACACATTTTTGAAAGATTTGTTCAGAATGGTGTTTGGCTTCCGTGTTGATGAAGCTGATTCTCGAAAGAATGTCAGTATCTCAGTATGAAGAGGTCATTTTGATTACAGAATATGACGGGGCTGCTTTCTCTCGCCGTACTCACCTCTATGCTTGCCAAGTGGAACTTTACTTTGAGGTGGCTTTAGCTTCCATGTTAGATATCTGATGTAACATGCTATAAGCCCACAGACAATGCACGGAATGCTATTCTTTCGAATAATGGGATTGTCTCAGATGGCGAGGTGGTCTCACAAGGTTTATAGAGTTTGTTTATGAGAACTTTGGATATAACCCGGAACCTTCATCTTTTTGGTACGCCTCATTCTCTCAATGAGCATAATGACGGCTTGTACGAAAAAGAAAATGAGGTTCATAATGTTGGGATTTGTGTATTTGGGTGGCTGTTTTATCTCTTTTTTTTGATACCCTTGCTGTAAGGTGTTGCGGCGCGAAAAGGAAATGTCTATTCTTAGCCTCATTGATTTCATATATGATTATTATAGTTTCTTTTTATATATTGACTTTTTATAAACTTCAAAAAATTTATATTATATCCACACCCATGCTTTTCTCGATCGTTTCGGAATTTTCTTTTTATTCTTTATAAGATTATATTCATATTAAGTATTTTAATTATTCACTTCTGTTATAAAGCATAGGTAGAATATCATGAGCTCTAATAGCATCTACCTTTGTATTAATCAACTCTGACACTGACAATGTGTAGGTAGTTGCCGTTAGAAATCATATATAAGTACCTAGGTAGCGTAGCTTCGTCTCGTTATTCTGTGTTTAGCTTGGCTGGGACTGGGACTGGGACTGGGACTGTGACTGGAATTGGGATGTTATTAGGATGTTATTGGGATGTTATTTCTTTTTTTGGATGGCTAGGAATAATTAGATATTATTGGCGATTTGTGAGAGAGTGGTTTTTGGGTTGGGTGTATATCTAGGTACCTACCTAGTGACTGTGGAATTTTCTGGAGGTGTTTGTGCGGTTATTTTGGGAGTGAGGGGAGTGAGGGTTGGTTTTGGGATAATGGTTGATGGTTCATATAAGATAGATTGTTGTGTCACGTGGATGCAGGGAATAGGAATTTTTAAAGTTGGTTGCTTGGTAGGTTGGTTGGTGGGTAGGTAAGTGAATATTGAGTACTCCGTATAGGTACCAGACCGGAGTTTGAGGTTGGGTGGCATGGAGTGGTGGTGAGATTTCAGGTGAGGTTGCAGGTAGAAGGTGGAGTCACGTTGTGGTTTTTTGTTTTCAGGAAGGTTTGAGGAGGATCCTAGGGTTGATTGAGCGGTAAAAGAAGCGAGCGAGAGGAAGGGGGTTATTAAGAATAGATGGTTATGTTATCGAGGAGTAACTTGAGGTTGGGGATATTGTTTTATATTAGTAGGTATGTATTATAAGATTATTATGTTATCTTATCAGGCATTTCGTCTTATAATATATAGGTACTTATCCTTTCGCCGTTGTATATGGGGATTGGTGGATATAAATGCGTTTGTTTTCTTTCACTTTACTGGAGTGTATTCACTATTCACTATTCTTTATTCATTCTTTTCATTATTGTTTTAGATCTTCATACAATATTCATATTCATATTCATATTTGATTAATTTACCTTCGCAAGCTACTTTTTCATCTACCTGAAGTCAAATCTGAGTCAAACCAAATATCCCGCACTCGCCATGTAGCTCTGAGATATGATATACCACGAAATTATCCTGGGTGATGCTCAATATAGCGCAGGTCTGGTTCTCATCCACCAGTTCTTATTGTGGGTTCCATATGAAGGGTTCACTCCATCTGGTTACCTAGCCATGAATTTCGACACTGGGATACTTTAGCTGGAAGGCTTAGAGATGGAGTAGAATACCAGACGAGGTCCATATCTACCGCCATTGAAGTTTCTGCTGTGGTATCTAGAAGATGATAAGATTGTGGTGTGTAATTAGAAGCTCGGGCGCGGCATTTGGTTCTCGTGGTGTGTCAACAGATCATCGGATAGGTCACTGCTTCCAGGGGAATGGGAAGATTAAGCGAATTCTACGGTACGGCTTCCAACACTGCGTGGATAATCTCTACTCCTATTGCGTCGAAAGTGGAAAATACGCGAATAGGAAACACCTTCATCGGTAAATAACCTCCACATCTCCCTTTGGAAATTTACGCAACCTTTCCATGATTTTCGCCTCTCCAATATTCAGCTCCGTAGTAATTTGATCAAAACAATGGCAGCCATTCGTATACCTCTGTAGCGCACGATCTCTTGCTTCAAAAGGCATCGCGTGTCGGGAAAGGATTGATGTTAAGTATCGTGAAGATACGGCATATCTATGTACGCGGTAGATGAGACCTTTGATTACACCAAATTGAATGAATCGACGGATATCGGCGTAATTTAGCACGTTGAGACCTTGATCCATATGTAGTTTGAGCCATTCTTTTAGGGTTCTGGATGTACAAAGGGTGGTGAAGAGTCGACAGAGTATGAAATTACTAAGACGGGGACCGTTGATGTATACATAATTGGCGCATTCATCTTGCATGCCATCCTTATTGGCTACAAAATCATTCATTTCCGATGTGGGTGCGTAGATATTGCTGAAGAGGAAGATATCGAGCATGAGGATGGAATCATAGTACAGAAGATGTTGTAAGGCTATTTTGGTGAGATCGAGTGCCACATTTGCGTCGTGAGCGATTCTCCTGACGTCTTTGATGCCGTCGATGTGTTTGATTACTTTCCTCATGGTAAGATCCCAAGTATCATCCACGATCTCGGCGAATTTGATCTTGGAGATTGGGACGTGCCATGATTTTATCGGGGGCGGATGTTTGTGGATTGGGAAAAGTTTCATATTGATCGTGTTGGCATCATCTACATATATTAGTTTACTCTCCTTGTCAAGAAGATTTCAATGAATACATACCAACAGGAATCATACACTCATTATAATTATTTAAATCCTCCTTGATAATTTCTAACAATGCAGCAATCGATCTCCGATCCTGAGAGAATACCGTGTCCTCCTGACTCAAAAATTCATTCTGAATCTCCATTTCCGTAAACGTCGAAGCCAAACGTTTAACGACAGCTTCATAAGGAATCTTATCCACCTCGACTCTGGTCACAATGCAAAAATTAAACATAAACTCATTGCGTTCATATTTCTCATTCTTGATGCACACCGGGTGACCTAATATGCGATACTTGTTTTCTGGATCGCATACTGTAACGTAACGATTGCAGAATGCCTGACGGGGAATGATATATTCGGCGAGTTTCTCAAAGTCGAATAGACGGGGTTTGTCTACATCTGGTTCCGGAACTATACATCCTGGGGGACTTTGATGGACGACTTTTGTACCTGGGAGGGATGTTAGTAGGGATAAATAGTTGTATGGATCGAGACGGGATGTATATGCCTTTTTGGGGAAGGAAACGTGCGAAGAATATTCCTTCGATCATGATGAGTTCTTGTGGAATAATTGGGTAAAACTATTTATTGTAGGTTGATTTACGCGAACTCTTTTCTGATAGCCTTGATCTCGTTCTAAAGAAGCTTGAAATATACACTATTCGAGTGTCGCAAACGATGATGAATCAACGGATACTATCTGAGGGGTGGAAGTCACATTTACAAGATTGGGAGGCTAAATCAGCTGTTCAGCCACATTGTTCAGCCACATTGTTTGACCGCCGAATCCAATGACAGCACTGCTGTATATATAACTAGGTGTATATACATGTTTCTATCATATCTCTATTGTTTACTTGGAAAGCTTTTACAAACCTTAATAAATATAAGCTAATTCAAGTCAGCGAGACTTGTTGCCGTTGGAGATGATTATAGTTAGATGTTGTTGTTCTAGTCTGAGCTTAATTCCCTGGTAGAGCTGAGTGGAGCCGCTTCAACTCAATTTTCAGCGTATGATTGGAGAACAGTCAATACTCCGTAGTGTTTGACGTTCGATGACGATTAGATAACCCACTCACTCAGGAAATGTATCTACAAACCAACCTCAGAGATACCAATCATTCTTAAATCTGTCATCGGGAACCCTACAAAAGCTTTGTTTTTCTCTCATATATTCATTGTAACTCTGGTCAAGATGCGGGTCTAAATTGGTGAGTCTGTAAAAAGTGCTGTAGTGCTTATACAGCCCACTTTCGGTCAAAATTTGGAAGTAAGCACGTATACCACTTATCGAAGTACGGCGGGATCTTGATCTGTGGTGGGAAGAGCCTCGATTGTCAGACATCCTTAGAATAGTAAAAGTAAGGTGCTTCTAGGCTCTTTGATACATGCATCGGGGATAAAGAAATAGTGAACCAATTGGGGCTCGGTGACGCTGACGTCGACCTTGCGATCCGAAGCGAGGGTGAAGAGCACAGAGGCTGTTACAGTCTCCTGACTTGACTGGGTATCATCAATTTCACGCCTGCTAGGTTTGGATCTCGTAAGTCTGTATTGAGCATTCCCTCCTGACTTTTGACTTCCTGCAAACGGATTCACACCAAACGTGTTGTGTGTTGCGTGTTGTATCTCTGCCCATTGTGGTTGCTACCGCTCTCGGCATGCCTTCCGATGAGTCCCTAAATGACTCAGCCACAAATGGCAACAAATCTATTCACTGTCAGTTTGTCATTCCACCAGTCGACATTGTCGAATAGTCCGACTGTTACTAACATGACATCTTCCACACCATAGCCTTGGATCTACCACAACTTTACAAACGCCCATCATTCTTGGAGCTATTGCAAGTACTGGAACTACTAAAGCTTCCACCCCCATCTTGGAATTCGAAATCTAGGAAGCCCCAAGAACCCAATGATGCTCAAGGCATATCTTGTTACCTGACTAAAATCATTGGAAGCGGACTTGATTGGCTGTCTATAGGGGTATCTGAAGAGGAATGGGAACAAAGATGTGAACTCATTCATGAGCTTGCTAGCAAGAGACTCGCCGAACGCTGTGGGCGCTCAGGTAAGACATCCCATCTTTGCTGATGGCCAATTTTGATTTTACACCACAATTAACAAATGATCTGACTGAACGTAGCCATGCCGGAGATGGTTCGTACTTGGGTCATCCCAACATCTGAACATCCAACTGACCTCACTATTGAACTGTGTGAGCCTCCACTCACCGGTGATAGCTTGGGTCTCAAAACCTGGGGTACTTCCTTTGTGATGGCTAAGAAGCTTGAAGAACTGGGGAATCTGTATTTTGGAAATATACTTTCCAATGGCCGGTTGATTGAACAAGGATTCGTAACGTCCCAAAACGTTCTAGCCGTGGAAAGCGGAATGACAGTGAGGATTGAGTTGACAATGGGGAGTGACGAAATGATGAGTAACAACGCAGCGATAAGTAGCAGTCCGACAAAGAAAGGGAACAAGGCATTGGTTCGTAGATTGATGGACAAAATTGATCCAATGCAAAATGAACAGCTCTCGTGTAATTGCTCGTGTAATAAAGGCAAAATCTTGGAGCTCGGGTCAGGGACTGGGCTTCTTGGGCTGACAGCTGCTATGCTTTGGAACAGGACCACAATCTTGACTGATCTTCCAGATATCGTTCCAAACCTGGATGTTAACCTCAGGAGAAACGGGTTTGGTCAAACTCCTGAAACCAATGCCACTGCAGCGATCCTAGATTGGAGCGATGCAGAACACTCTGTAGTTTTCAGCCAGAATCCGAACGATAAATTTGAGGTATGATAAGTATCTTTTATCAATCCCATACTTTTATAATCTAAAGTCCTGATCATAATCGTAGATGATTCTTGTTGCCGATCCCTTCTATGACTCTCATCACCCTGCTCTTCTGGCCGGGACTATACCAAAATTCCTGAAGAACAGTAGAGATAGTCGTGTGTTGGTGTCGGTTCCGCTCAGGGACAATGCAACAAGAGCGATGAAGAGTGACTTTGAGGGATTGATGTCGACTCGAGGGTACCAAGTAGTGGCTAGTGGGACGGAACGCTGTTTCGATGATTGGGAGGAATCAGAACAGGACGACATCGATGGTGTTTACTGCTGGTGGGGTATCTGGAAGCATGCTGTGGCAACGTCTGCTCCTATATGCCCCTAATTTCAGATCGTCAGCTTTACTGATTGACCTCCATTTCCTGGTAAATAAGACAAACTGTGAATCTAAATAGTAGCAAAGCAAAGTTAATGTGGTTGACATGATGATGGCAAATCATGCCTCAACAGAATGTGCTTTGGAGATTGATTCAAACCTTTTCAAATTTGCAAATGTTCAAATTCTCTTCGTTGCCCTTGGTACTTAGAAGTATCTTTGTGACTTTTTGGGGATGCAGCTCAAACCTTATTGTGGGTTATGTAAAGCATATCAGTATTTTCCAAGCAACTCTTCCTATCGTTATATAAGGATATATAGCACCAGGTTGTTATCCGGCATTTCATGACTGCAGTTTTCAATATTTTTTGCTCTATCTCTTCTTAGATGACATCTAGGCCTAAGTTTCATCTTATTTCCCTCTTGACGGCTCAATATGGATGTGGATTTGCGGATCAAAGAGGAAGGATTGGTTCATCGCCAACAGTAGATACCTAAGAAGCCATCTGACATTAAGCTTCATCCTACACCCTTAATCTTCCAATTACATCGTTCTCAACTTCTAACCCTAAGCTCCAAGCTTAGCGTTGTGTAGTCCCTTTTCTTCCCGACAATATCCCGGGATTCACTCGCGTACAAAAAACGAGATCGGATCTCTACTTTATTCACATTTGAACCAGTCCGCATAATTTTTATCAATTCTTATTCACATTTTTACCAGACCGACCCTCTCCTATATAACCAACTGGTGGGAGATGATACATATACAGCTCAAGATCGAGAACTTCATTTTAACATAAAAAACATACATAGACGTTATTTAAAGTTCGAAAAGATGGTAGGTGTGAAGACATGGACCGATGATGAAGCTTGGTTTGTTCTAAAAGCATCGGAAATCACAAAACCAAACATTTCGTCTACACAAAGGAACCCCAGACCAATTAGGTACTTCACCGACAAGGAAATTGCAACCCTTTGCAAGAAGAATGTCCCGAACATACGCCACACCCCAGATGCAAAGGGTGTCAAATACATCCGTGGTAATAAGAAAGCGCAGTAAGTGCCTTTAGATTTCATCTCATCCCCTATGTATAATTTACAGCTTGGTACTTTCCCTGTTGTCACTACCGAGGACACAGTTCTATGTCAGATCGTATTCTTTCTCCCTATTTATTGGCCAATCCAGTAAATTCATGAGGCTGATTTTTTGTATTATAGGTTTTTATCCCCGAGGTAGGTCAACTAGTTCAATATCCAGCTGCGATTATCTGCCAATGCCTATCCCTACAATTACACATGTCCTTCTTCCCTTTTTAAGCATTATTTTCTAATTTCGCAGTGCACCAAGACCTTCTCAGGCAGTTCTAGCAGCTATTGAACGACTACGCCATCAATGCAATACCTCTTCTCAACACCAGGACAGCACGAGCGGAAACAAGTTCACAACTCCGTCAAATAGAAGCCGCGGCAAGCTTCCACAGGTACAAGGAATGGGGGCCTTTGCCGGTCCAGCTCCACCTGGGGGCCCGTCCGGGCTGGAGCATCCTGACTTATTGATATCAAGAACTATGAATAATCAGAACGGGAGCAGAGTTGGACAAATCGTCCCCCAGCAATTCCAGACTATGAGTGCTATGAACCCGTCAGATTTTGCAAGTTCGCACCAAAAGATGGAAGGAAGAGGATTCCATGGTCCTACAAATATGTTTGCGGATGAGCACATCAGCCGCGATCGATGTTATGCCCTGTACAATATGGAGCCGCTGTACTTCGACAGGTCATATCAACAATATGGAATACATGGAAATGCGTATGTACATATGCTGCGCAGAGAGCCCACAAAGTTACTAACGTCAACACAGTGCTATTTCAGATTCTGGTAGCCAACAACAACATGGACAGGCACACCGCGAGAGAGCTCTACCAACAAATGTTCCGAATAATTCTTGTGCTAGAATGCACCCTCAGTTGGAACAAACAATGAATTACGGGCAGCAAATGGGTACTCCAATGCAGAATGACAATGGCAGTCCTCGAATTCCACAACAAATGCATCCGACTACCATGTGCCCGCTCCGAGGCAATCAGATGGGCTCCGAAGCTTCGATTTTTGAGCCACAAATGCAAGCTTACAACTATGGAGTCCCTGCACAGCCGCCATACCCACCGAACTACAAAGGCTATACACCAGGCCTACAAAATCTGGGCGGGAACGAAATGATGATACCACCAGGTCCAACTGATGTTGGAAGATTTACTAGTCCCAATGGTATGCCTTCATATGCGCAAAGTAACGGAGGTATAATGTCGCATGGTGGACAGTACCATGGAAAAGACCAGCTTCTGGCACAACAGGCCGATGTGCAATTTCGAGGCGCTCCAGGTGCAACTTTGGAAGCTATGCTGGACTCCAAGTTCAAGCCTCCGACATCTCATGGACTTTCACAAACCACAATTAACAATCCTAATTTCACTACTTCTGATGGACTTCAGCAAACCACAATGAACACTCCTGGTTCTGCTAATGATCCAGCTGATTACTTTGGTACTCCGGCGGCCATGACCCCCGATAGTACAGAACATGCTTCACTTGCCATGGATGATTCCTGGGATCTCTCTGAGTCTGATTTTAATGATCTTGTCGATTTAAACTTTTAGTAATAAGAAATTCTTTGGAAGGTTTGAATATGAATTAATATCTTTAGCAGAATTCAATGTTTGAATATATTTTAATATCCAAATACAATCCAATATTTCAAATAAATTCAAGAAATCAAAGTTTTCATTTTAGACTAAAGTCCGGACTATTGAATACCCTGATCAGATATTATTAACCTGTGATAGTAGGTAGAAGTATTCTTTTCTCTTGATAGGAGGTCAATCGATGATTTCCTTTATGATTGAGGTATTTTCGTGGTTTATATGTATGAAGTTGGGATTTGGTTGTGAATGTGAACACTAATTCAATATCTATAAGGATATCAATGTAAAGGGATTGCAACCCCCAGCTATTGCCAAGGAGAGGCTGAAACTTGACGATGAAGAATTCGATCATTTAACCAATTGATCCATCCAAAGAAAAACACTAGATGCTGCGCGTAGCAGGGCTTAATTTTATGCCTGCTCACCTATCTACGTAGAATGTAAGCACTAAGAGATTCCCCCAGGTAGGAAATTTGCCATGGGATTTCCCATAAGAAGCTATCGATTTCCCTGAACACTGATCTAGAACATTGCTCCACTAAACATACTTCGAGCTTCAATATATATGTATGTATATATAGATGGCAAACATGGCCAAGTCTTTATACCAGCCACTTACGTCGAAACAATTTCGACTCGTCACACTTCTCCCCGGCCCAGATTCGACACCAATAAAAACTACATTACGAATTGTCAATCTTGAGGAGAAACCAAGGTTCGATGCTCTATCTTATGAATGGGGTCCGGAGTCATCTAACGATCCTCAAATTCATGTCGACAATATACCATTTACAATTCGTCGCAATCTATGTCTCTTTCTAAAGAGACTCCGGCGAGCATCCAGTCAGAATGCTCAAGTGATTTATGCAGATGCTATCTGTATCAACCAGCAAGATGTCGAAGAAAAAGGACATCAAGTCGCCTTGATGAGTGAAATTTATATGCGCGCTAAGAAGGTGTTGGTTTGGTTAGGTGAACATGATCAAAATAGCGAGATGGTATTCGGAACCAGTCTTGGAGATTACGTGGAAACCATGCCAGCGGGCTTACGAGTACTACCTTGTCTTTTTCCCGTGATTATACCACTTCATTTCATAAGAAGTGCAAAAAGACTAGGTCGGCGCATGCAATCTGGCACCGATCCTCGAATCTCCGCCTGGACTGCCTTACTATCACGATCATATTGGAATCGAACTTGGATTGTACAGGAATTTCTTTTATCGCGTTCGGTGGTCATTTATTGTGGCCCGGATCATATGGATGGGAATTTGATATTTAGCAAGCCGTTGCAAGATTACTTCTCGCGTAAGATACAGAAAAATAAGGGGGGATTAGAAGGGATTCCTCGATCATTTTTGCTGTTTTTCTGGAAAATGAATCAAAAGCGTCATGGGACTTTTGGCAGGGGAAAACCTTATTTTGCTGGTGCAGATATTTTTGAGCTGGCTTTCAACTATCAATATACCGAGTGCCAGAATATCTTGGACCACGTGTTTGGGTTACTGGCGCTGGAAGATCCAAGGAAGAGTCCTCCGATTATACCGGATTATAATGACTCGGCTCAGACACTATTTGTCAAAATCTGCCTCTTGAAACTTCCAAAGGTTGCAGGCAGCATGGATAAAGTCACTGATAATGGGGTAGTTCGCGTAGCAATGCTGTTTCGAGGTTTAAGGATGACTTTCGATGATGCGGAGAGAATTTTAGATATCTTGCTCGACAACAACCAATCCAATGCACGAAACATATCTGTGATTGCAACCATAGCGAAATCTTTCGATTCATTTGGATTTCTAAAGCCAGAAAGAAAACAATGGATTCTACCGCAGACAACAAAAGTCTCACAAACAACAGAACAAATCCTCTCTACCATAAAACAATGGCAAAGCACCCAGAAGAAAAATGCGAATTGGTATAACATTTCTCATACAGTCCAGAAACACGAGCCGCCCGGTCTGCAATATCTCCAGCTGGATGAACCGCTCTGGAGTCGCTATAGCGTTCTTATAGCGACGGCCGCGAGCGCAGCAGCGGCGGGAAATATTAATGCTCAGAATATTAATAATTTGAATAATTTTAATATGAATAATATGAACAATATGAATATCAATAACATGAATATGAATATTAATAATGCGATGATGATGGGGAATCCTGCAGCGATGGGATTTGTAGGGGGACTTCCGCCGGGGATGTGAGGGATATGAGGAGGTATTTGGGGGTTGAGGATGTTTGAGGGGGCTTTTTGGTTTTATTTTTTTCTCGGACCTGATTTGATATGAATGGGTTTGATTTGTCCTTTTGGTAGATGCTGTTGTAGAATATAATAATAGTTGAAGAATACATACATATGGGCAATTAGTGTGTCGAGAGCTAGCAAATTCGCTTGTTGATTATTAGGCTGAGACTGAGATGAAAAGGAGATTTGAGATGATGCGATGCGATGAATATTTTAGCGAGAAGCGAATTTTGTCAGGAGTAGCATGCTTTTCCATTGAATTGAAATAAAAATTAGCGGATGATAGTTCTGAAGAACTGTGAATTAAAGACTCGAAGACGAGATGAGAGCTTGGGAGACTACCGGATAGAAGATATCTCTTTAAGTAATATATTTTGATTAAGATATTCTATTTCTGACTCCTACCCCACAAATGAGGATAAAAAAACGATGCAATCAATTATCCGCCTAGGTGTTAATCAACTCATGAACTCCCCATGAGCAACCACCAAATTCTTTCAGTAGCACTTCTAGAATATTTGCCAATATCTAGAATACTTCAGCATTAGCTTTCTACTCCCTAGCCCGAGCTCTTTTCTACGGAGAAAACAAATTCTCCTCTTCGTTATCTTCGGCTTCACGCTTGCAGTTGGCGCGCTTTGAGTGGAGGGAATAGCTCCTACTGTTGGGATTGGTACGTGTCTACCAGGAACTTAGATTAGTAAGGGATGTGATGTTCCCTTGTAACGTAACCGATATGGAATCTTCTAACTTTACTTTTTGATGCGTGTATCATTATGGGTTGGTATGCTAGGGCCAGCAATTGAGGGCTCGGCATTGCTAGGTTCTGACACTTTATTGCGGGGGATTTTTGGGTGTTCGATCTATGATAAGGAATGATTTGAGGATTTCTAGGGATTATATTAGCTGGTAATATGGTGCCAGGAATCATATATGTAAGTCGAACCTTTGGATCGATACTTGAAACTGAAAATTCCAATGCAGCTTTCATCTCTTCCATCGATGAATTCGGTGATGTACCTCAGATGACCGTAAGATTCTTTGTTATTATAAGGTATAAGAGATTCCAATCTATCGGGTAATCAGTAGGCATGCCCTTTGACTTTATTATAGAATGAAGTTACTACGTAGTACCAAGTGACTGGAACTCCTGTCCAATAGTGACTGTTTTCACATGAAGCTCTTCTTCCACCATCATATTCATCTCTGCGACTTAAAGGCCGAATCGGGTTTCCCTGTGACATAAGACCCTGTAATATTTCCCTCATGGAGTGGCATGATGATTTCACCCACCCCTTCGATACATCGAGCATCTCTAATAGCCTTGCTGTAAATCGATTCACGCTCGGCTTGACAATCTCAACACGTGTGGGGTGCGAGCCTGCATAACTTACAGATAGCTAGCTTGGAGAATGAGAAAGGTTTAAAACCTTCTACTCCATTCTCAACACTGTATAGACATCTTGCATGAATCTTCCACCGCCATGACTCTGTGTCAAACAATGTCAAGCTACTTTCATGTACGGTAATTCCATCGATGGTGATTTTCCTAATTAGACAGGGGCCATCATATGCATTTGCGTAGTTTGATCTGTAAGCTTCATTCACCGCAACGTTCACTGCGAATTTCTTGTCGGTGAGTGCCTCGATATACTTAGAAACCGTCTTCGAAGATAACGCTTTCTTTTCTTTCGATGTACTGGGCTCGTTCTTTATATCGTTGTTATCATATTCCACAAGTGGCATGTCATCCACACAAACAGTTATTTCGACAACCGGAAGAAGGTCAGAAATAGCTATAGCTGCGGGTAATTCTTATAGATGCTGTCAAAATCTGGTACACTCATATCGACCATTTCGCTAACTGGAGATCTGCGCGAAGTGAGGAAAGGGGACAACACTGACATGGGACCGGAAGATTGAAAGAGTATTTGATTTCTGAGATCATTTGATTTCAGAAAAGAAATAGAAGTAAGTCTTATAGTTGAGAATACTAATGCGTACTTATGACGGAGTGTGAATTCCAAATCCAGATACGAGAATATCAAACGCGGGATCAGGGGAAAAGCAAATAATACCCCTCATCACCTCAATTTCATATGGCGGGTCGCGCGCAATAATCAAAGTTCTGCATGATATCCAGTGATCTTGATCCCTTATGCTAGAGGCAGCAAGGAACATCCGACGTACGTGTTGATGGAAAAGAACGAAGCTTTATGCTGCTTTCCGTCGAAACTTTTTAGATCCTGAATGAATAATATGTTTACCCAAATTTGGAAGCTACGAGCGGAGTTCTTGAGGTCCTTCGGCGAATCTAGCAATGCAAGTATTGTGTTTGAAAAGAGCAAAAGATTTCGCTGTTCATATCAGTGATTGAAGATGGAAATGAATCTAAGAATCTCAAATCCAGGACCGAAGATCGAGACTTAAAAACTTGTGTATTCCTTTTAGATGACAAATCTAAGCTCGTATGAGTGAACTATCCTTCTAAAGCTTGACCTAAAACTTGAACATCCGATGAAACCGCATTAAAGAAATTCAGATTTAATATCTGAAAACCTTTACAAATAATAATACATTGCTATTATTTCTTGCTATTTATTATCCTTTTCTTCTATTCGATCGATTCCTTCTGCTAGCAGAGATAGACGACTTTGTCACACTCATCGCGTTCTCGCTTAACGAGACAGAAGATCCTGCTAAATCTACCGCATCTTCAGCCACGTCCTCATCGTCACTTTCGAGTTTGATTACAGGTTCACGCTTGGTTTATGCGTTTTCCAGTTGATGAGTATCAAAAATTGCTTTGAGAGATTCTGGGGTAGGTTTAAAGATCAATTTTCACGGGAGTCATAGAAGATGCTACTGTATACCGTCAGATTGATATCTCGACTTGAAAGTCCCATAATGCTCCATAATTCTCCATCTGTTGAAATCCATGCAATTCATCTCACATGTCCAAAAATCCATATTGATGTGTTCAGATAAGTCTAGTCTACTTGGCAAATCAGTACATGCTTATCGCGCGTAGCCCATAGGGATACTAAGATAGGTTATAATTATGGGAAAAGACACACCTCCACGATCAACGTCTTCGCGATGAAATTCTCTATCCAGCTTTTCTTTTGAAGGCGGCGGCTGCGTGAAGCCTGGCTAACACTGAAAGAAATATTTCTTTTTGGATTTTATACGATACAACGTGCTCATCATTTTGTCTGATCCTTTGAGTCGCGATATATACTCCTCACTGCCTTCCTTGGATCTTCATTCTCAACCCTTTCAAGCCTTAGTAGGAAGCAGATGGATGAACTACCGATATTCAGACTGCCACACTCACCGAAGTGTAACTTCAAGAACTTGAGGGCTCACCACTTCTTCACCATCTTCGGTTCTCTAAACACCGATGGCCTTGAACATACACGGAGAATCATGATGATATCCTCCAAATTCTCCTGGAGGAGAATAGGACTTTTAATTTCTATACCATCAACCTTGTTGTGACAGTTATATCAGGACTAGTCCATTATAGCACCCATAGATAGTATTTCTAATGAAATAAGACTCTTACTTCCCTGTCTGGCACCACTCGACATATTCCGCAGTACTGATCCACTGAAGATTCTCATTCCAATAATCCTATTGAGGTAGCGCTTCATCATCAACACGAATACTTACACTCCCGGGAAAAGATTTCAAAGTAGCCATCATTCAACACCTAGGTGAGGCGAATGAAAAACTAAGAACTATCCTGTCATACCAAATATTTGGCGACATCTAGATATCAACAACTAACCGAAGATATTGCAACCTGCAAGCTAAAGCTTAAAAAAAGAATACTTTCATAAAACTTCAACCTCAGGATCAAATCTCTACTAACCTTATAATATCCAGAAAACCACAGTGAAAGTGAATGACAAAACACGAGATTGATCACAGAAGCGAGTAGCTTAAAAAGGCCATGCATGTATGTAGCACAAAACCACCATTGTGTAACAGTAGTGCATAATTAGATATGCAACAATACCTATCTATGCAATAGCAATAGCCGCTTCCTATATCTATCACAGGAATGTATACTAGTCGCATGTCCAGGGTCTTTAGAGTAGATAGATGGACCGAATGAATACGGCGACCGACCTGCGAAAATATCTTTTCAATACCTACGTATCTAATATATCATTATCATTACTTGAAGGCGTCAGTCAGCAAGAGATTTAGACGAATTCGTTTGTGCGTACCTTCTACACGGGAGTTTTGTATACATATCAATAGGGCAGGACTTTAGAAGTCGGATACTCTTGCACTGTAGAGTGTGCTCCAGGTGAGTTCGAAAAAGGGCTAATTCCTTCGATAAATCAAAATGAAAGATACTTTGGAAAGAGAATGAAACGGTGCGTTAAATGATCTATTCGAGATCTCCATCATTGTTCGGTATGTACAGTACAGCCAGCATTACTGCTTGCTAAAACTTAAGAGGCAACTATAGCTAAGATATAATGACAGCATGGATGAACCAGTTGGATTTATAGGAGTGAAATGATAATCGATAACTATCTTATTATACTAATCATACAGATTTCATGAAATCGTTCGTTCGTACGCTCGCAAGACAAAGACCAATCCACGAACACCTTTTCCTTTCCGCTCCCCCTTTCCAACTCTACCGCTAAACATCGATGCTAAAATGACTGATTTGACTATAATACGCATGCACTGCCAATTCTAACACACACACATCTCCAAACACATCCCCACCATCAAAACCTCCTATCACGATGAGTCTGCTGTCGTGAAGCACTGTCCCATGATAACCGCGAGCTTTTATGGGCTCTCCGTAGACTTTCCGCTTATCCCAAGCCATCGTGACGAGGTTTAGGAGAAGTACTTCGTTCGAGTACTCAACGCCATCATGGCCACCTATTACAAAAAGATAACTTCCGACAATCGTAGCTGTATGGCTTAACCGAGGAAATGAAACTGGAATATTGACTGCAGAGAAAGTCGAAGTCTCAATGTCGAATACCCATACATCTCGGAAGCATTCTCCACCATCAGATCCACCAAATATAATAAGCTTAGATCCGACGATGTTTGCGGTATGATATCCACGGGCTTTTGGTTTGGTTTTATCGTCTACAGATGATGGTGTTGGAGGAGAAACGAGTTTCCAAGACATCTTATTGGTATCCGCGACATCTAACCTCCATACGTCATTTAACGCTCGTACTCCATCACCGCCGCCGAAGACATATATGCCATTCTTGTATAAACATGCCGTGTGTGCTCTTCGTTTGCTTGGTATCTTATCCCCGGATATCCGCGGTTTCGACCATCGAAAGTTCAGTGTGTCGAGAACATAAATGTCGTTATAATATGCAGGTCCGTCTCCACCACCAAACACTATAAGCTTCTTTCCCACAGCCGTGCATGTCATTGCTCGTAAAGGGGCAGGTATTTCTCCGCAGACAAAAGGCGTAGACCAATAGAAAGCATCGGCATCTAAGACATATAGTTCGTTGAAACATGAACGTGCATCACATCCGCCAAAGACGTAGATATTGGAACCAATAAGTGTGGAAGTATGTGCCCGTAAAGACGTATGGGACGAACCAGAGACAGGGGCACGAGACCAGTACATTCCTGAAGCTGGTGCAGGAAGAACATTGGGAGCCAATTTAGGGTCTGGTAATGAAGGGTACGGAATGGAAAGTCCACGAGGCGGGCGTTGTACAGGTGGTACAGGAGAAGAAGAGTGTGCAGAGGAAGGAGCTTTTGGTGCTATGGCAGACGTGGAACGAAGATTAACGGGTCTATGGGCATCTTCTTTTGGAAGTTGAGGAACTGGGTTACCACTATCGGGTGGTGACATGATCTCTGAAGGATTGGATGTACTGCTACCATAATGGATAGAAGGTGGTTTCGCGGTCGTTGATTTGATGGATGAAGTGGAGGATTCCTTCTGCGACAATGATTGTGATCTCTGGCGCAATGATAAATCAGACTTTTGTTTCCGCCTATCTTGACTTTTAGTTGATAGATGTCCGGGGGTATGACTGCGCGAAGGAGGCGCATTGTCCCGCGGTGGTAATGATGGCTCTGAATCTTCAGGGATATCTTGTGGTCTTGAATCTGTTGGAGAGGATTGAGTGACTTTTTGCGGACGTACAAGTTTGGTTTTTAAAGGAGAATGAGGACGAGTCTTGTCCTTGGGTGAATCAGCCATTGTATATGCGCCCTGTCTTACTTGCACAACAAAATGGGATTTTCATTGTTTTGCGTATTAGAAGTGTGGAAGTAAAATTAGAATTTGAAGGGATGGCAGTCGTGGCTTGTGAATTTGCGTTGGATTTAAGTGCAGCAAATTTAAACATGCAGTAAACGTCGCAGATTTCGCATGAAGATACGGAGTTTTCCCCCTAGTTGATTAGTTGTCCTTCATTGGCAGTGGGGATTTTTTATATGTTTATGCATATATATCATATATATATATATATATATATATTATATATCAGAATGGAATGGATTGAATGAGTGATCTGAGTGATTGATTGAATAGCTGGGGACGGGTAGTGCTGCAGCCTAAACAATGTAAAAATGCAGTTATAGAGACGGTTGAAAAGCGATTTAGGTAAAAGGATAGAACCGCACTTCTTCCATCCAGCAGAAGATGAATGTATTGTGTTTGTTATTTAACAGGTCCAAAATATTATAAATTCATACAGACAAAGGATACTCGAGTACAATGTACATGGAGGATGACAGGAGTGTGGGGAAGAGAAGTCCAAGAGAGGAATCAAAACCGGACAAGTAATAACTTCGTAACTGGATCCAGGAACAAAACTTTGGTTTCAGAATACGCCAGGGGCTCGATTAACCTACGGGATAGGGAAGTAAATCATTCATCAGCCACTGGTTGATTATATTGACTTATGTTCTAGACGTTGAGCCACATTTCTGTGGCTGTGGATGTGGCTGTGGCTGTGGCTGCAACTCGAGTTAGATCTTAAAAAAACGCTAAGATAAAGCTCCCCTCAATTTTTTATCGACCTTGATTTGATACGAGTACCCCATCTGCTTTGACAAGACGATCAAGAATATATTTTCAGCAGCAAAAATCTATCTTTTTCCACACCATTAAAGCCTCGGAGGTATACACGAGGAGCAACTGAATTATCTAAACTATTTACACAGAATTGAAAATCATCATGACGGACGAGATTCCCAATCCAGTGGAACCTGAAAAGTCTTTAAAACGGCCATTGGATGGAGAACAATTGGAGGAAGCACATCCACCACAACCAATATTACTAGAAGATTCAGCAGTCACAAAGGCAGAGAAAGTGGAGAGAAACGGCGCGAATGGGAATTCTGTGAGCAATGAAGAGCCGGTTGCGAAAAGGATCAAGACTGAAGAGCAAAATCGCAATTCTACCGCGACAGATTCTCGTGACAGGGTCAGAGGCATAGCTCCTATAAAAGCCGAGTAAGTCAATTACATGTCTTTTTCGTAGTTTGAAAATCAAGCCCGAGTAAATCCTCTAGCCTGTGGCCACTAAGTTATTCTAGGTACTTGCTTCATCCAACCGGGAGTCGATCGGCCACAGATGGTCGCAATCCCGCGGCGAACGACGATGCGGCAGAAGAAAAACCTCGCGGTGACAATCGGGACAATGGAGGCAAGAAGAAGAAGAAGGAGAAGGGCCAAAATAAAGATCGTCAATTTGGATCCTGGGGTGACAAAATAAAGTTATGCAATAGCGCGTCAAATTCGCCAGAGTTCTCGCCGAAAGAATGCAGTTTTGGAGAAAGCTGCAAATGTGAACATGATCTTAGGAAATACTTGGCCGAAGGGAAGAGAGAAGACTTGACTACATTCAATTCAAAGTGTCCAGTTTGGGAAGATAATGGCACATGTCTGGCTGGTTGGAAGTGTCGTTTCGTAGGAAGTCATTCCAAGGAGGTGAAAAGGGAGGATGGTCGAATGGAATTGGTTCTCATAGAAGATTTAGATCGTGTGCGTATCACGGCAGCTGGTGATGAAGAGACTCTCGGGGGTGTCGTGAATGTTGTTAGCACTAAGGATAAGCTTGATCTCGCTCGGAGGAGAACACAAATGGAGAAATCTGATCTCTATACAAATTGGTTGGATAAAAATTCGGAGGAAGTTAATAGGCAAAGCAACCTGAAGAAGGATCAGAAAAATGATCAGACTCAGGAAGAAAAGGAAGAGAATCGTGCGCGATATGTGGAGCCACCATTTCTCCCTTCTGAGAAGCGACGAATTTACTTTGGACCCGAGACGCCTGTTCTCGCTCCCCTCACTACTCAAGGCAACCTTCCATTTCGTCGACTCTGTGTGGAACTTGGGGCGCAGCTTACTTACTCGGAAATGGCAATGACGATACCTCTGTTTCAAGGCCAAAAATCTGAGTGGGCATTAATGAAGGCACATGAGAGCGAAATCGCACCACCACGAGTCAATCCAGAAAGAAGTTCGATTGTTCAAAACTATGATAACTCGAAAGACTTGAAGTTCGGTACCCAGATTTCGGCCAGCAAACCATTTCATGCAATTAAAGCTGCCGAGATCCTAAGTCGATTCGTGCCACATCTACGAGTCATTGATTTGAACTGTGGATGCCCAATCGAACTTGTATATAGACAAGGAGCTGGTTCAGCTTTGCTTGATGCACCATCAAAACTGGAGAAAATGATTCGAGGTATGAATGTAGTTTCCGGGGAGGTTCCCATCACAGCCAAGATCCGAATGGGAACCATGACAGGAAAACCTACCGCTCTGAAAACTATTGAACGCTTAGCATTTGGTGGTGTTGAATCACGCGAGAGACTTGGTGCTCCTGGTTGCGCTGCGATTACTCTTCATGGCCGTAGCAGACAACAAAGATACACCAAGAATGCCGATTGGAGTTACATAGCAGAGTGTGCAGCTCTCGTCAAATCATACAACCAAAAGAAGGATGATTTAACAGACACAATCATGGAACCAGATGCCCGCACATTACCAAATGGCCCCGATGGAAAATTACATTTTATTGGAAATGGTGATTGTTATTCTCACGTTGACTATCTAGACCATATACAAAATGCAGGCGTAGATTCCGTCATGGTAGCACGCGGTGCACTCATCAAACCCTGGCTCTTTGAAGAAATCGAAAAGGGACAAACCCTCGACAAATCTGCATCAGAACGTCTACAATACATCGAGAAGTTCGCACGTTACGGACTCGAGGCTTGGGGATCAGATGAGATGGGCGTGGGCCAAACGAGACGATTCTTATTGGAATGGTTGAGCTTTGCTCATCGATACGTTCCGGCTGGAATCTTGGAACATTTACCTCCTAGTTTGCAGGACCGCCCCCCGGCTTACAGGGGAAGAAACGATTTGGAAACTCTGTTGGCTAGTGATAATTACTTGGATTGGATGAAGATTTGGTATGGTTTTACTTCCTCCTTACACGCAAATTTCTTTTTTCGAATAATGACACTAACCAAACCAATAGTGAAATGTTCCTCGGTCCCGCACACGAGGGCTTCAAATTCCAACCTAAACACAAATCAAACAGCTACGAGATTGAAGCAGAAGGATAGTCAAAGTCGTGAGGCGTTCTTGTCTAGTGGGATGAAATGTGGATATAGATATAGATATATAGATGTAGATACTAAAAAACAATCTACATACCTACCTACCTACAACCAGACGTCAAATGGCCACATCAATAAACAGAAGATAATAAACCCCATCCATCCATCCATCCACCACATATGAGATGAGATACTCGGTGCGCATTAGAAGACATACCAAAGAATTACATTAGTAGGCAGTCGATACTCGGTAGCATGAACATATGAGATTCTGAGATATGCTGGATTGGATAGAGGATTACCTGGATGAATCTTTCTATGCACGCTTAATGTCATTTCCCTTAGTCAGATGTGATCCTTTGAACTTGACGGAGCGAGATTGGCGGAGGAGATCAAACTAGGTACTTTATACAAGCAATCTATAAATTGTGCCAGTACACGCAAAAAGTAATCTCAGTGAGAATAATGTTGAAAAAATACGAAGGAGGCATTTTCGATCATACCGAATTAGCATCAAACAACGTGAGCGGCACAAAGGCTTTGTCTTTCGCAGTCAGTCAATTCATATCATATATGCATTTTCCTATCTCATGAATACGCCACTAAAACTCATGAAGCAGGCTTTTCCCACAATAAACCTTCGCAAAAGTCACGCTCCATCTTCACTCCCTACCCATCCCAAAATCATTCACTCACAGCACCACCATATTCATCCCCACCAAGCTCATCCTCTCCCAATACTAATTCATTCGTATAGTCCACCAAAGCGTTCAAAACCATTTAGCTTAGAGAGCATATTATTTCTCCTTTCTGGAACCAGCAGAAGGTTCACCAGCTTGAGCTTTATCAAGAATGTCATCAGAAAATTGCTTGTTTCTGGCCGATTGTTCCTTGAGGGTCTCAATATCTTTTTCCTTTTGAGCCAACAAGTTCTTAAGTCTGCCAATCTCCCCAGCACTTCCGGCACGGTCCAATTTTTCAGAGTCCTTTCCGTTGGTCTTGCCAATACCCTCGTAGCGGTTAACCTTTTCTTCCAAGCGGAGAACTTCGAGGATCATGGTGTAGGTTCGGTTGAGGATTAGGGAGAGGAAAAGTGTGAAACCGCAGAGATACATGTTGCGTTGAGAGTAGAACTTGCGGGCTTGTACTTCCATGCGTTCGTGACCGAGAACCGGGTTACTGCTACTTGTTAGATTTGGTCTAAAATAATGTGGGGACGAAAACATACCCAGCTTGGCTCTTATTGGCTTCTGCCAATTCGACCTGAACCCTATATACTCTGTTTACACTATCGATAAACAGGATCAGGATGAAGATAAATGTAATCTTCATCCCGTACTGTAATTTTGCTACCAGTCGACTTTCGCTTCTAGTGGGGTATCAGTAGCTGCATGAAGAAGAAAAATAATGGGGAACCACGAACATGAAAGTAAACATCTTTCGGCGGATTGTGAAAGGAAGAGGAACGATGAGAAGCATGAAGAGTGCCATCTCTGCTACGAGGAGCACGAAGACCTGTTAAAATGATCATTAGCATGTTGTTTGTTAAACATCGCGGGAGCCTCGGATTGACATGAGGGCGTGGTGAAGTTTTAAAGCCAGATTGCGGAAATGTGTAAACATACAAGACTGTAATAGAGTGTCATCTTCGCTGTATTGATTCCTCCAAATTATGTGTTATGTTGTTGACTCGTGGCCTATTCCAATGTAAATATCAGTAAATGTTCTGCAAGGTTCCCCTCCCACGCCATGCACCTGTAAGGTTTTGAGCTCTATGCCTCTGCCTTAAGTGTCCCCAACATGAGAGATTGTTGATAGATAAACTTACAATAAATGAAAATGCCTTTGATGTACTGAAGTACCGAAATATCGAGGCAAGTTGTGTTGTTGATGAGGGAGGAAGTGTGATGAAAAATCAACAAACCACCTTGATACTATAATGGTTAATGTATCCTGTAGCTTGGAGCTTCAACGTCATCCCATTTATTTTGTGCTGAGAAGAACCGAGCGAATTCGCTTCCAAGGAAAATCCACGCTAAACCTGGAACAGCTCAAACCACACGAGCACACGTGATCTATATCGTCTTCTTTTCCTTCAAGCCATCAATGTTTTCGATTCAAGTGCTGTAAAAGAACACAGTGTTGAGATAATAAGTGAGTTTTTATTTAATCTCTAGAACTTTCTGTGTAGTGTGCTCCCTAAAGTCATTATTTGATTATTCTCACTATCTTCCATCTACAAGCTGGTGAGCTCAGCTCTGAAATCCTTAAAATGATTATAAAGTCCATTCCATAACTGTGATAGTCCATCGCCATTTCAGACTTCCCTTTGTTTTCTCATGAGTTTCTTCTTTCATGGTATATCAGCCTCTTCTCCTAAGAATCGGTGCTTAAAATCGTCGTTGTAAAGACATGTACTTTTGTCTCCCCTAGCCTTTACCTCCATCATCCATACGTATCTTTAAAAGCCTTGCAGACTACCAAGCTATCAAACGTCCATTATTCCTTCATTCTAATTCCGCAATACCGATATATGTTCTTGTTCTTCCATTGTTATGAATACTCATGCTCGATTATCCCGAACAAATAAATTATCGTCGTCGTCATAATCATCATCATCCTCCACCAATTCATTGGACCTTAGTCCCTCGTCATCACTCGACACCCTTGGAGATTTCGCCCCTTCATCCTCGCTATCGCCCGTCAAGTCCACTGTGATCTTTCCTTTGCCTTTCTCAGCTCTGCGGCGCTTGACTAATTTTTGACTGCCTCCAGGCTTATCATCTTCTTCTCTCTTGATTCTCTTTCGACTGCTCGATTGGTCACCTCTACCTACCGAATTTGTAGATGATCTCTGTAAACTCGCCATCTGCTCCGCGAGTTCCCTTCGCATCTGTTCTATCTCAGCCATCTGTCTTGCCAAGCTTGCGTGAGTAGCTGTAGAGTCACTGCTGCCATGATCAATGATTTCTGGTGAGCTGGAGCGAGATGGAGTAGGCGTACGTTCAATGATGTGCATAGCTTTCAGTGCCTCTACATCAGGTGTGTTAGGTTAGTAACCAATTATTCATTATCACTTTGGACTAGACAAACCTTCGGAACGATATAGAAAGACAAAGACGACCATTGGGCGTTCATCATGTTTTTGGGCGTTTGAGAGAACAGTTCCTCGGCTCGTCTTTCGGGCCTCGCCCAACCTAATTGGACACTCATCCGTAAGAATTCTCAAACATGGTGAAGAACATACTCACGCAGTACCGTGACTCTTTGCCTCAGCTCCCTTTAATGCTTTTTCAGGAACGTTTATGTTGTGTTTGTTCCGAAAGGCTTTCTTGTTATTCATGACATCTCCGCCTAATTTTCCATACTTCGTTTTATAGACCCTGATCTCAATCTTGCCAATCTTACTCATGGAAGCCTTGATACGTTGTAAAACGGTGGAGTTTAGCCTCTCATCGTCTGTAGAGTCTCATTAGTATCTCATACAGTTATCACATCGATTCACGGGGTTTCCTTTTGCTCCCCCATGGCTAGAAAACAAACTTCATCCACCCGCGCTTCAAGCCCGAAGCCAAGCCAAAAGTTTTCACCAAAAGAAAAGAATTTGGCAATAACTCACTGGTCTTAATAGCACTAAACCTAAAACCGCTGACCTCACAACTCCGTCCTTTTCCCACCTTCATCCCATCGACAGTAGACTCCCACACCCCCTTTCCATGTCTCTGATAATCAGGTCTCGAACACCACTCATTCCAGACAAATTCCCCATCCACAAAAATCTCAAATTGCAAACGAGAGCAATCCATTGTCTTCGGATAGGGTCTATCGACCTTGAGATGAATGGAGAACGATGCGTTATTGGTCACTGCAATGTACTTCGTGATGGTATGAAGTCTATAGTATTCAGAGTCTTCATTGCCTGCAATCATAGGCTCTTTTTCTCGAGCGTCATGGTTTGGGAAGGCTTCCCTGCTCTTGGAGATGATTTGTGCTGTAATACCCGGAACCCAGGGGTGATGAATTCCTTTGGCTAACTTGTGGTTAGGAGGTGTGGGTTCGGGTCTGGGGGCATTTTTGTGTCTGGGCATGATGGGCGAGGTGATAACAAGTTAATGTTAATGCAAAGCTGATGAATATATGAGATAAATGTATTTGAAAAGTGAAGTTTTCGAGGATGAAGATATCCGTGAAACCAGATCTTCTCTCAGAAACAAATGCAAAATCAAGAAGCATCAGCAATGCAAAGTACTCTCGATACGCGTCAATGTATCTGGCGATCAAGGAACTTAAAGCGGACTTTCGAAAGCAAAGTCAGAGAAATTGAATTTCGAACTCAAAAAATGAAGCAGATTCCAAAGGCTCAAGCTTAACACCTTTCATCCGAACGAGGACGAAGTGCAATTTCAATAATAATCGCAAGCTGTAGAGAAGACTGAGTGTTGTTGGTAAGTTTTGGGAGGGTTAATAACGATAGAGGAGCCTAGAGGAGGAAGCCTGAAAAACGAAACTTGGAGAATATATCTCCAAGCTCCAGTCAAGAGCAAGAGCGGGGTAATCAACGATAAATTTGAGCTAGAAATTTTGTAGATTTCCGGCAAACTGTCACCGGATCAGGAGTGAATTATTATATCTTTCTCGTTAGGGATATTACGTGGTTGTACGGGTTCTTATTCTTGTTATGAATAGTTTAGATGAAATCTTTGTCTGAATACCGCAAAACTTCGAAGCCTTGGCACATATTCATGGGAATTAACCGCATACCTGCCAGGAAAATGAAGTAGTGCTGTATTTGTAGGATTCTCTCATATACTTTTGATGGCTTATATTGCCAGAAGTCCTGCAAGGCTATGAATATACGTAGCAACCTCTGTTTCTCGCTCGGATGCATACCCATTGACCTAATAATAATGCCCAATCATGTATGGGCCCCCTCCAAACTTTGATGAACGGCATAATTCCCCTTGGAGATAATAATAGCACTAGATAGAGTGAAGTCATTAAGAGCTAGAAGAACTAGAGAACGCTCCGGGACCATCTCAGACGCTCCAACGTAAAGACCGGAAGTCGATACTCAAGGACCTCAAGGAAATTCCGGAGGCTCAATCTGAATCAAGATCGATCACAATATTATCGTCGGAATCATCCTCTGTAAGGTCAATTGTGACTTTTCCCCTTGGCTTGCGACGTCTCTTGCGATCTCTACTCCCGCTTTGTTCTCGCTCACGCTTGATTGGTGGATCTGAAGTACTCACATTGACACCACTACTGCTGCTAGCGGATACTGGTGGAGTTGGAGTAGCTGCTGCAGTATTATTTGCTCGGAATGACGCAGGTGTATGGGCAAGTACTTGTGCAGGCTGCCCAACTTGGCCTTGCAATAATTGCAAGGGCTGGCCAATTTGACCAATCAGTTGACCAGTCTGTGTCGGATTCAAAGTTTGAATGTTTAAGTTTTCAGGATTCGGTGGCGATAAGTGATTAGGAGAGATAACGGGTTGCGTGGGAGCTGTTCTTGCGGGATTTCGTCTATCAGCCTCTTGAAGCTCTTGCTTGAGTGGTGAACAGACGAATGTGTCTACTGGTGTACTTGAGGTTGATTCGGCATGAGAAGTCTTCTGTAACAGCTCCCTCTCTACCTTTATGTCTAACAATGGCATTTTTGGAGTTTGAGGCTCGCTGATCGGCTTGAGTACCGACTCAAGGTCAGAACAAAAGCAAAACTCTGGCTCAATCTTTGGCTCCGGACATCTTTTAATAACTCCTAGTGATTCGAGATCCTCTGCGTAGTTCAATCATTAGTCGTACTTAATGGATATAAAGGAGGTTCTGTGAAACAACTCCAACCTTTCGAACCATATTGAAATTTGAATATTGCAATAGGATAGTCCACTCCACCACCACAGAATTCCGCGTCCGCATAGTTGCGTGGTTCTATAACCTCTCCCTTTCCAAACCTATTCGCAAGGTCAGTCAGAGCCAATCATAATTCAATCATAAAGTAGTAAGTGGAAGATCAAGAGGCTTACAATGTACTATGCGATTTTGCTTCTCCCTTCAACATTCTCTCAGGAACATCGACCTGAGTAGTCAATGACGTATTGTTGGGTCTTCCAGCATATCCTATGAACAACATTCGAAAGACTCGAACCTCGATTTTCCCCATCAAACATGTTCTTTCATAGGGATCAGTAGCCTCTGAGATTGGATTGTCATCGACTGGTGTCATCTCAGTATGCTTCTTAAAGTCACGCGGCTCTCGCACTCTTACTCATGCGCGTCTTGATAAATTGAAACCTTTGCAGCAGTTCCTGTCCTTGCTCCTGATATATGTTTCCCATAATCACGTCATTGTAGCTAAACCCATACTCCTCGTATTCATCTTTGCTCATGGAAATGCCCCCAGTCACAATCTCGCCATCGACGAGACATTCGAATGTAATATGGGTACAAGCGCCTGTATATCTGTAGGGATCCTTGGCGGCGCACCTGATTGAAAATAATTTGCCCGCCTCAGATTCGACAAACTTCTTGACAGTCACAGAACGTTGATGTTTGACGACTTCAAACTTCTCATCGAGTGCTTCTGGCTCCACCAACATTGCTTCATGTTCATTGTTCTCGTATTCCTTCAATGATTCTCCATCGACGCACATAGTAACCTCGATTCCAGGCAAAGAGTCAAGAACGGCCATTCTGTCAAGTTGTCCAAGGACCTCTAGATGTTTTTGGTTGTTAGTATTGGAGTCCAAGATTTGTAGGTTGGAAGGAATTCCCAAATGCGAAGGTCTTGAATCTTGAAGATGAAGTGGGGTAAACGGAAGGGGCGAGGTGAATTTGCCAGGTATTCCTGAAAACAACAAAAGTAGGATTGACAGGTGAATTTGTGAAATTGTAGGTGGAAGTGAAAGTGAAGAATACCGACAGACAATATCTCTCGAGGTATCTAGCATGTTCAACGATTCTAACCCAGGTTCACAAACGAACTGGCTACTAAACTTGTCGAGGAGAAAAGAAAGGTAGATCTTCCAAAAAGAAGCTTCTAGTATCGAACAGGTTGTCTTGATGGAAAGCGTGAGAGGAATGGTAGATGCCGGTGCTAGAATAACGAAGCCCGGGGAAGTGCACCCTAGGAATGACAAAATCGTCTAGGAGATGATGCTAACTTTCAAGTATCACATACATAGCGTCGACATAGTTGGAAGTAGTGGGGATACAAAAGGTCGCGGGTAAAGGGACGGCGATTAGGTTCCCATCGAAATGGATCGCCACCACCCGGATTTGATTCCTGGCTAACGCAATATCATTTTTTCATGGTATTTCTACCTCTGGAAAGTGTCCCCACAATGAATAATGGATTTTTAGTAGATTTATAGTGACTTTTTGAAGTCGTAGCTGGTGAGGGAGGGTGAAGTCACAGGGAAATCTTGATTTGAAAGGAAGTACCGCTAAGTTCTTCGCTCATCAATATACATAATTGGACCATAAATATATGCGGCTGAAGCGTATGGAGAGCCAATATAATTATCTCCATTTTCCGCGGCAACTCAGATAGGATTTTCATTTGAATAGAGGTATTCATTGGGCCTCAAGCCAAGACTTTGGATTCTCCTCAAGACTATCAATCGGCATTCCCGAATCCACGAGATCTTACGCTTCAAAAAGAAAGCCGATCATGAGTAAAGACCCGGAAAATACGGAATCATAAGGCAGATATAGAGAGAATGAAGATATCGGCCCAAGGACGATCAATGGAGCACTTACCACCGCTTCAGAGATCAATAGTATCAGGCCGTGCTAACCGAGCCCGGGGGGATTTTCGAAAGTAGGTACCTAGGTAATCAAAGACTTTCTATTTCGAGAAGATCTGTTTATTTTCGGAATGTATAAAAGCTTATTCCTACCCCACGACCACGACGATCCGGATCTGCACTAACGAACATCAGGTCAAAGCCTCGCATCATTATTCCCGGAATCATCGTGTTGGGCTAACCTAACATATGTTGGCGTCATAGGGCAATAATATTTGTCCACCTCTCTGCATATATAGATAGGAGATTGAGAAGTTGGTCTGGATCATGATTGAGATGTTGTAACCATTCCCATCCGCGGAAAATGCTTTGACCGCTTGGGGTTAATCTTCTTGAATGTGGATAGATTGATCCGAGTGATATCACTGGTAAGGATGCGGGTGGGTAAGGCCCAATTCCACGGCTAACTTGATGTGAGGGGGATGGAGGGAATAGATTCCGAAGAGAAATGAAATTTTACGTGCTCGCTCGCAAATGAGTAGACGTGGCGAGAACATTCGAGAAGATGGGCGAGCAGATAAGTTTCGTGGAATATTTGGTTGGGGTAGGAAGATAGGATTCTGGAGACGGCCGGCGCCGTTAGATGTGATATGGGATAACGGAAGTTAAATTTAGTTCCCGTAGTCGGTAGTGCCTTGAAAATCAGTAATGATTAGAAATGGACATGAAGGTATTTTGAGACGGCTTGGAAAAGAGCGCAATGATCGCGGCGGCAGAAAGTTTAGGTCTGTGGGATTAGTGCGCTATATAGATATATATACTTGTGCAGACAGAAAGTATAAACGGACACTAGAGAATAATCGTTCTTATTAGTGATCAGACTACCCCATTTTCAAGGGTTCCCTCTCTTCTTAACACCGATTAAGCGTTTGGGTGTTTATAGTTTCTGGCCTTATGATTAGTATTTGGTGCTTTGGTCTAGATCTGTGCAGTGATGAGGTCACCGATTGACTCTCTGGCCAGAGGTGGACAAGTGAGCATTGAAAAGTTCAGTAACTACACTTGGAAGAATGTTGCGATCAACAATCTAGACCGTAGAACCGATGCTTGAACTGCAGCATTGCATCGTTTGCGATAAACTAACAGGTAAATGCTTTGATAGTGAAGAGATATAATCACAACTTGGCATTTTTTCAATTATCTAGAGTTTTTGAAGCAATGAGTTGAGAAGAAGCCATTGAACTTCTGTCTTGAAGTAGTATCTAGTATTGTGCACTCGTCTGGGTGTAAATATATATATATATCTCTCTCTGTGTATATGCATATATATATATTTCCGTATATATCCGTGTGTGTGTGTATGTATGTATGTCTTTGTGTCTGTGCGTATACATATATCTCTGTATATATGCGTATATACGTATATCCCTATAAACGTATATATATACCCTCGAGTATACAGAGCGCAGGCACTGGCGAAGCAAGATGACATCAACATCCCAAAGAGGATATTTTTGCGGGGTGCAGGAGATCATGATGCAAGAGGGGAAGACAAAACAAAATGTAACCCAAACGGGAGCCTGGTGGGGCTGTACCCTTACCAAGTACACATGTACCTGCGAATTAGTACCTTGGGCACCCATTCTATTTGCCATACATCCAGATGCCAAGATATTGAATGGAAGGCTAAGTGAGACAGAAATAAGCATTGTGCGCTGGGTTCTGTGTAACCCTATGCCAAAGTTACAGGTTACTCACTGACTCGGTATCCCTGTATTGTCTGTTCATTGCCCTATATCATGAATCGATACAATTGATGAGAGCTGAGCTTTATTATTAGAGTTTAGTGTTTACAGAGTTTGGATAGAGTTAAATTCCTTTTTCTCTCCTGGAGCAGGTTTTGGCGCAGACGGCAACGACGTCTGCTTGTTTCACGGACTGGGCCGGTTTGCCAATTAGGGGAATTTTGTATACGAAAATAAGCTGCGCCAAACAGGTCCCTTCCCTACCTATAGTATCGGCTTCAATATTTGAATAGCCTCATCTCGTCCCTATCGCACCATCTCATACGTATACCGCCCAGCTCGGTTCAGCCGGCATGAGGACAACAACGAAACATGGGATTAATTGCACCGAAAGGAAATTACCGAATGCAAAGTTCTAGACTTCCAAGTCCCAGGGTCTTTACTATACTCTACAACTGTGGGATAATGGTTTATCTACCTTGGAATACTCTGAATGCGGAATGAGACTTCACAATTTAAAGATCACGCCACCATCTAATCCTGATTACTTGCAAGTTTTTGATTATACGTTGCTATATCGACGTCCCTTGTTAATAAAGCCCAACTAAATACTCTTTTAGTGATATGATGCGCCTTGCGGTTCCAATCGTCCGCATCTAGAACTAAAACGTCTATATTTTTTAAGAGAACAATATGAGGCTGTTTCGCGCAGATGATCCTTGATCATCTTGATGAGAGGGACAGGGCACGCCATCCATATCTGGACATCTGGAGAACGTACACATGCTCCTAGGTTCATATCGTCAATTCGGCAATCGGGGTTTTGTCGCATTACTGGGCGCGGTAGTTGACCGCAGCTTATCCTCTCATAAACCTTGTTGGGCGTTTCTGATGTGCAAAGGGTGAAATTGGGCAGGTATATTATGATCTCCACATTGATTCCTCATATCATACTCGAAGGACGGCTACCGGGCTTGAGTCGCTGATAAACTCTCGGTTCGTTCCTTGACGCGCATTGATGGACGCATCTTTGGCAGATCAACGGTGCGCAACTGAGTTCTTGAGAAAAGTGGGATTTATTGGCCTTTGTTTCATATCATCCAAGGCATTGCTGATGCATAAAAAAGAGTTGCGGATGAATTCGTCCACTGGGTACCTGCTATTGATAATAGAATCACACAAGTGGGAACTCCTTCTCGCTCTCATTCTGACGTGTCTATTTTCGGTCATGTCAGTCAGTGGGCAAAGTTTGGTTTGGTTTCTAGTATAGTAGGCGTTGGGGGCGAAATTTGGGAGATAGGAAGAGAGCGAGAAAAGCGTCGAGTCAGTACTGAATCTCAGAAATCACATAATTCAGGTTTCATGCATGTCCGATTCCATTTGAATGTATGTATGTCACCGTAACGTCGGCGGCTCATGATGATGCCAATGCTATCCTGATACTTTTTGAGTAGGGATCAAAAATGAAACTCGTAAGGTAGGTCACATTACCATTATTCGAGTCGAGTACCTGCTAATAGAGTCCAGGCACTCTCAGCAAGGCTAGATTTTGCAGCTGTCGAAGGATATTTAGGAATATTTAGGGATGGAAGTCTCAACTTATTAGGCGTTTATCTTTCTATATTCCATATGATAGGGTAAGATAGGGTTTAACCGATAACTATTCATTTTGGGGGTGAAGTCAGAAGTCATCCAGCTAAAATTGCAGGTTCCAAGAAAGTTTAAAAATCTTCCTAGTTGCGTAAGTACAAAATTATTAATTTCCATCTCAGCTGGTCTGTCCTAGTCCATTCAAAATCTCTCAGGGCGATTTGGCAAGCCGGGCGGTGCCGCATGGCATTGTAAGAATCTCCACTTATAAAGTCTTCTAGCTTGATCATCCTTGCGGGTCTACAAACAAAATACTCCGAAATTTATTAGAGTATTAGTGATCCAAACAGATTTTCAATTCCCTAGTACAGTAGATGTAGATGTAGATGTAGATGTAGATGTAAATGTAAATGTAAATGTAAATGTAAATGTAAATGTAAATGTAAATCACTATTCTGTTTGCAGGTTCATGCTTAGTTATAGACGATTAAACGATGGCGGCTGAGGGACGGGAATAATAATACACCGATACATTTGACTTTCACCCTCATCCTCCGTATATTATACAACAGATAAGAACCTGGACCCAACTCTTGGACCCTTCGATGGAACGATGGAACGATAGAACGTTCTATCCAACTTTTGACCTCTCGATTACTCTACTACCCGATACAAATGAGAAACAATAAATTGCCCACCACGCTAATCTTCTGGGTTTGATGCCGCTGATGGACCTTCATTAGTGCCTGACCCTAACACCTACATGCATGCTTGTTACAGTGCCCGTAAGTCCATGCCATGCCATGCCATGCCACGACATCTTTATCCTTTGCGAACTTACGGGCAACTTCAGGGTAGGCAACGCTAGGAGTTAATGTAAGCCCTTGATCGGCTTATTTGTGAGCATTTTGATCTCCGATCAGCATGTAACTACCGACAGGAAAATACTTGGCTACGGCAAGGCTACTGCGCCGCTGCTCAGACTCTCAAGCGGAACTTGGACTTCCTACCTAGAGATGCAGTGGTTAAACGCCCAAAGTCCTCTTGCACATCGACGATAGAGAATAAACGATGTGTGCAGACTGCAGAATGTTCACCATTTTCTCTGGGAAACCACAATGAGATTTGTTGCCTCTCAACTGCCACCTTTATGCAGTTGGCTCCTCTAGGGTCCAAAGGCCGATATTGTTACGGGGTCTTAAGACCCAGCAATATGGTAATGGCCCGACATATCCTCTCCACACCCTAGCAAAGGAAAATTTTCCAACTTGAATGCTGCCAGAAAGAGAACGCGGAACCCTTCCGCATCGTAAGATCTTACCTCTAAACCTCTTGTTCGATTAAATTCTCGATGTGGAAGTGGACTTCGCAACAATATCCCATGACAAATCTTAGGCTACGATTGCCTTGTGGGATATTCCTGAATCCTGACTCTTGTCTTGCGGCTTTCTGCTTACCACAACAATTCAGATCTCATATCGGTTGAATTCACCCGAGGGCGCTTGAAGATTAGATTGTTTGTGTGTTTGGCAAGATACCCACTTCGAGTCTTCAACAGACCAAGCAAGCGACCTTGAGGTTTGAACCCTCCCGAGTCCTTAGGTCATGAGTCCTGAGGTCTTGCACGCGTCCACCCATCCGTCCATCCACTCGTCACTACTGGAATCTCAGCACAAAGGTATAATTATTTTCTAGGAGAATTTATCTGATACTCAGCGCTTGCAGTGTCACCCCCAAAATCGCTCGAGGAGGATCCATTTTCCTAACAGAGAAATGTCTGAAAATGGGGCCTCGACGCCAATGCCAAATGAAAAATATCCACTTCCTACCTATTCTGAGACAAGGCCAAAGACAAACGATTCTCAAGGCTCAAGGGCATACTGTCCTCTATAGCTAGTAGTATTTAGCATTGTTCGGTTAGTGCTATACGACGTAAATCCATCATCCATGCTGCTGTAGTTAATTACTACGGTTAGCTAAGGATTCCACGTGTTATGAAAATCACTAGATCGACCTACCAGAAGATTTAACCAGTAGAATCATCATATTCACCTCTTGGCTGTACTGAACCCCCTTGAGGTTCTGGTGTCGACCCGGCATTCGCTCGTCCCCTGCAGACTATCTCATAATATATCTGTGCCTACGCCTACTATTGTTCTCAAACCCTGTTCTACCACTTTTGACTCTTGAGACTTGAGAGAGAAGGAAAAAATAAGTCGAAAAAAGCCACTCGTGTTACCTTGTCGTTTTTTCCATATTAATTAACCGTCATTTAAAAATAACAAAGAGGCTTCTTCTGGAATAATACTCGATCAAGTTAGGACTAATAATATAATCAATTAACCAAAAAACTAAATCACAAGAGGACTATCCTAGCACTCCCTTACAATATCGAACCTACCCCGGAGGACCACACGGTGTGAAGTGAATCTTTTTTGAACCTAATGGCCCGAATCAACCGGGTGGAACCTCTAGATCGAGGGGTGCATGTTTTGGTGAGCTATTTGTACATATGTATTCGCTCCTCGTTCTCGACCTAGGAAACCTTTTATTAGAAAGAAAAAAGTCCCATCGGTTTTCCTCTACATCAAACATCAAACCCAACTTTACTTCCCCTCCTCAACCCACCTCCACTATCGACAACTACCTACATAACACACGAGATATCCTGTCAACCTTCTACTCAACTCATCAACCAAGGACAGGACAACTTCACAGACTCGAGTTCGAACCCTTCGGTCATTCGTTTCTTTCCTACTCCGATCACAATACTCGATAAGGGAAAAGGCACATCCTGGTCCGAGGCTAAGATAAATCTTTCAACTATATCCTCCACTCGAAGCATCTTCATTTTTCAACGGTAAAAATGTGCGACTATACCCAGGTTGAATTTCGTTGTGGTTAGTGGTGATTTTTTCTTTGCTTGTAGGAATTCTATGTATGTATTGACGAACATAGACTAACAAAGTTTCGATTGCTTAATAGGTCACGTTCGATATACGGTGCGGGCATGGTGTATCAATTATGAGACGACACATCGCCGCTGTCCACCTAATGTTGTGGCCGTAGAGTTTAGGTACGCATTTCAGTTCTTGTGTCTTTCAACAAACATCGTGTCCCAATTTTCTCCGAATCATTTATACTAATTGTGGATATTTATAGGTTGGGCGAATCAGAAATGTGTGGTTAGTAGAACCCCTCCTTCACTTCCTGGACGGAACTTCCTTCGAGTCCAGACCGTTGGGATCGAACACGAATTAATATGATATATCTTCCACTTACTAACACCATTCTAGGAGACTGTAAACATGTGGGAGAGATGCCAGAATGGTACTCCAGAATCACGAAGAAAACGGCTCGAATTCATGTATGATGAATCATTGACTCGCTCACATTCGGACTTGGCCCTCATCCACCTATTATGTATGACGACGAAAACCGGGAACAACGAAAGAATAAACAGAACAGAACAGAAAAGAACGAAAATAAAAGGAATAATATCGGATTAATTGGAACTGGGAGCGAAAGGGGCGAAGAATTTTCTGGATTATTTACTGACCCGGCATACTTCTTACCCTTACATATGTTTGTATAGTATGTTGGACACAAAGGTCTCTAGCGCATGGTTTATTGGGAAATGCAAAGAATAACAATGATATGGAGCAAAGGGAATGGAAGGCATAGGAAATGGAAATCGGGTATGGAGTAGGAAATCTTTTATACATTACATATCCAGCAACGGACGGGAAATTGGGAAATCATTAGGAAAGGCAGAGCAGGCAAGGAAATTGGAAGGCGTTCTATCAAATGAATGGTGCAATGCATGTTGGAAAGGAAGGAACTTCTTACAGGGAAATCACTCGCAGGATTAGGGAGTTTTCATTTATTTTTTGTGTTTCTTTTCTTTCGACAGATATGAAAGGTTTATTGTTGGGATGATAATGGATCATGGAGAATGAGATGTATGTATTCCGCATACAAACATTTTAAACAAAACAAAAAACGCATCCGCAAAAACACAGATGTATTACTATCTTTCTTTCTCCCACTCCCACTCCCACTTTCAGCACTCGGGAATTACCCACTCCGAGAAATCTTTCTATAAATCAGAACTTTCCCATCTCCCGGCCCAAGCGCAAGAAAGCCAAAAAAAAATTAAAAAATAAAGGCAAACGAGCACAAAGCTCCTTCTATCCGTTAGGCATTAGGCATTAGGCTTCCTAGATTTTCAATATATCTCGGGAAGTCAATCTACCTACTCCACTTCATCATGGTAACACACATCTCACATCTCACATCACGCATCACACCTCAGATATTTACCAGCAGCAGCAGCAACAACAGCAGTATCATCCACAACCCAGAGCAAAAGTAATCGTAAAAACCCAAAGTTGCCGCAAGAGCCGAACCCATCCAATCTCTCTCCCAAACCCCAAGTCTGGAACCCCCAAATACCGGGCCGGCCGCATTCAAGACAGATAGATGAAGAAAGACTGCCTGCACGAAAAGAAAAGAAAAGAAAAAGATTGGATGATGGGGAGATACAGTGTATGCAGCAGAGGACTATCTACATGACTCTGCTTGTCCTTGGATGGATGCATGGGGTGGGTGGAGCTGGGGTTTACTCTGCTTGCGTAGTGAAACGGTTATCTACTGTTTACTCCTGTGCGTAGCCGTCGCGACCGCTTCGATTTTGTTGCTTGTTGCGTTTTGTTTCTCGAGTCAGTGGGTTGGTCAGTTAGTCGGTTGGTTAGTCATGTCATGGCATGAGATGATATGAGAATTTTCGACGCGTCATTGCAGTGCATTGCAGCACAATGAATATTCAGAATGCACGGGAAAATATATATGAAGATATGAATAACCTTACATCTGAATATATCTCGGATAAAGGTACCACGAAAAAAGGCTTCACTAATTTACCAAAACCTCGGGTCTCTCCGACGACAAGACTCGGAAGATAGAAAATTCTTTTGGTTTGGTGTATCCATCCATCCATCCATCCATCTAAGTATTTACAATATGTTCATAACTGATCATTACGAAAAAAAAAAAGATGGCAGGATATCCAAGTCCACCATCGACCAATTCGGACATCGATGCGAAAGTAGAAGGAAGATGTTTCGGAAGGCACTCTGCATACAAAAATATGCTATTTCGTGTACCCATTGGTTGCGGAGTCGAATGTGCTACATATACATACATAGTCTATCTTTTATGCATGGAGAATGAAGGAGATGTAACTGATGGATTCATATTGGATTGATTTCATTCTATGCGTTTCATTTGTTTGTACGGTTGGTTTACGAACTTACGATGGTTTCCTTTGTCTGGGCGATAATGGATGAGCTGGGTTTTGCGCTACAGTGTGTAGCGCATGTTGCGCGCCAAGGAATGGGGAGGGGGATCTGTTAGGATTTTTGGGGATTTTTTAGTGGAAGGTCTTGCGGGTTTGCTGGATGCGGTTTATGGCTTTTCACTTGGTTTTTTGTATGTGTATATACATATGTATGTATATATGCGCTGGCTGCCGGTGTGATACGCAGATAGAAGAGGTCTTGTGCTGATGATCATATCAAAATTGAGGATTCCCCGATAGCCGGGTCAGGGGACGGTGAGAGTTCTGGAAGGAATTGCGGAGGATAGTGATGGGGAATCTTGATGGATATCATCATGCAAGATACGGACTTGTAAGAAAGCAAAAGGACAGGAAAGGGAAAATGTGACAAGTGATCAAAATAAGGAGGTTAGGAAAAAGTTTCGTGGACGGTGAAGGGCAATGCTGATTAGGTTGGTGGGTAGGCACCCTGAGTTCATAGGTAGGTAACCTAGACACATGATTTATGCCGAGATCGAATCGAATCGAGTCGTGACGGGATAGGTAATCTTACCTAGTACAGTAGGTGAACAATTGCCGGGTTCGGGTATGCATTGATTGTACAGAGGATATGTAAGGTGGCAATGGGATAGGCTTCGGCATTGGGCATTAGCATTGACATACATTTGCATAGAAAGGTGCAATGCGATGAGGTGGAATATATCCCACATCCACATCCATATCCATATCCATATCCATATCCATATCCATATCCATATCCATATCCATGCAATGATGAGAAAAGACGCGGTGCGAAATAGCATAGCATGAGTCCTGCCTGCATCGCATATCGCACATCATCAAGATGCGATGCGATGCGAGGCGTTGTTTGTTGTGCGGCGTCTGCGTGCTTGTGTGCGGGCTCCAAGGTATCGATTTGCATTTGCGGGAGTTGGAGTTGAAGTTGGAGTTGATGAGGGACGGAGGGAAGTACCATATGTACTCTGTGTCTAGGTATGATATGCCATGCTATGATGGCTGTGTCTGGGGTACGGATACAAACATTTGGTTGGAATTTTTCATGAAAGTAAGAATTTAGATATTTTTGTCTACTCTGTGGTGTTATTGGGTATTGGGTATTGGGTGTTGGGTGTTGGGTGTCGTTACTAGGGATGGTGGTAGGTAGGTGGCGTAGATGGTTTTTTGGACGACTTTGCGGTGAAGGGGTTTGAGGATGTGGTGATATGTTGGGGATGGAATAGTGGGGAATTACTCGAGTCGATAGGATGGACATGACTATTACGGTGGGTGGCGTTGGCTTGAGATGTATATACTAGATACCAGGTGTATATTACTGAGGATGCATTTCCAAATGCCTAGGTAGTTAGTTATGTGTATTTACTCATACTTCCCTTTCTTCTGCAATTTTCTGTAATTTGCTATCCAGTAACCGTACAGCTACCTAGCTACCTTACCATCGGCATATTCATCTGCAGGCGATTTGCCCTACTGAGGTTGGATTACGTCTCATCCAGGGGAAGATATTAGGTAGTCGCAGAAATTATCTTTTCCAATATATCGCTCGAATACGAATATATTTTGTTATTCTTAGCCTTTTAGGTTACTTGGAGCCATTACACAATACAATACTACATTGATCATATACACAATATTCCAAACCCTTGCTCCTTGCTCCTTGCTCCTTGCTCCTTGCAACTGTAAGACTGTTTTCCCCTCCAGTCAATAAATGTCCCATCTGATCTTCCTTGCTTATATTATTGTTAATTGGAAACCACGATGAGCACGACGAGCATGATTATCTCCAGACGCTGTTCTGGCTGACGAGTAAAGTAAGAAGTTACCCAACAGACAACAGACAACAGACAAGCTATGTTCTGTTGCACCGCAGAGACTCCAGTCTTCATATTTCGGTGACATCACTATAAGCTTATACAATAGAAACCAGGTCTTCGGGCTCTCAGGCTCCATATCCAAATTTGAAGATAAAAAGGGCGGGGTGTTAAACATTCGGTACCGAAAAGTAAAATGGAATGGGTTTTATTTATATTTGTTGATTGATCATATTTCTATTTTCGATATTTCGATCTTTGTTTCTTTTAACTCCCGTCCGTTTGGCACCTTTGAATGCGATGATCAGCTCTTAGCCACACACGATGGAGAGGTTAATTGTTCAATTGTACTAGTGAACAAAAGTCTCCGATGTATCATATCTAGGTACCCTCGTGGAAACTCTGAAAAGATACCGAGTCGAAATTCTAGATTCGGATCATCTGGTGCTAGACAGGGTAGTCCATCCTGATTAACCTTTCAAACGGTCGAGGAAGCCGTGGGGTTGGTGGGGTGGACTTGTCTGCTGCAGCTGTCGTTCAATCATTGTCGGGAAGAGGATGAGAATCCATGAGAAGGACGACATCTGAACAAGCCTTACTTTGTCACAGGTTGACCTGATTAGGCAACTCACTATCAAATTACCTCATGTTCATAATATCTTCAACGGCCCCGAGAAATCTGCACACTACTTACTACACAAGGCTCGGTAGGTACTCTGTCTACTTTTATGGAAGAATGTCAGGGGGAGAAATGGCAAGGGACTGTGAACGGAGTAAGCTAATCGAGTATTCTAACGGCGTCGGAGGGTAAGCATTACTTTCCAGAAATTAAAGCGGTACATGTCAATAACCCAAGACATACGATACCAGCGGAATATTATATTACAACCTTCCCTTCCTCCTATCGCAAGTATTCCTTTCTTTTCCGTCCCGTCCGAGACAAGACAAAAACGGCTGCCGCTGCAATGGCATCTCCCGTATGCATGAAAAGTAAAAGTGATTTCGAAAACAATGCACACTTCCCGTCGGGATGCGAATGGGCAGGAGGAAAATAAACCAAAACCAAAAATTAGAAATAAGGATAGATGAGGGCTGACGGGAAATAATCCTGTTTGTAGCACCTTACGGGGATTTGCGGACTCGGGAGATGGGGAATTTTGGTAGATGAGATGAGCGAGATGGAAGAGATTTTGATAGGTGATAGATATCTCGTACCATGAATCCATGAATAAAAAGAAAATATGTTATGCTGTGCTGTGCTGTGCTGTGCAAGGGTTAAATATGGACGATTGGGTGGAGATTTTTTGATTTGATTTTTCTTATTTTTCGGGGTGCTGATGCTGGTGCTGTTTGGGATAACCTGGAAAGATTGGATGGAGAGAATGAGAGGAAATTCAGATATCTGCAAAGACGGGAAGGAAAAAAACAAGAAAAAGTGCGATCTGGGCGGATGGTAAGGCGACATCTTGGCATATGGTCAAGGTCTAGTAATTCATCAGCCGGTGTTGCATCTTGTTGATTTCTGGCTTCTGCCAGCTACTTCACCAATGAAAGGTAAGGTCTTTCTGGGAATGTTTATAAGTACATAGATTACTACCTAGGTCGGTAGAACAGCGAGGGAAAGAAAATTGATTAGGGTCCTATATATCACAACATACGCGCTTGTGTTGTGCTGGTGCTGATGCTGATGTTGATGTTGATGTTGATGTTGATCATGAGTACAGCATGAAGATCCGATCCTTCCTAAACCTCGGAGACGCTTCTACCGATCTCCAATTCCTTAGAATAAGAATGCGTATTTCTGTACAGCACTTCAAGAATATTACAGCAGTCAGTCTTCAAATCAAGCAAATAAACAATCTAACTCGAGAAAATTCAAAATGTGAGGGAAATCGGATAATTATAGCGTGATCCTGTCTTATCCACAATATATACATATATCTATTTAGACAATAACATTCCAATCCCTTTCAGCCCGTCGAGGCTGTAGGTTAATAGTTTTCTCCTTCCGAAACCTAGTATGACTGATTAATTCTATGACGCAGAGGAGAAACATAATGATCTTTAATATAAATAAATATATAACTATAATAATATTATTATTTAACAAGTCTTATATTTTTATTGAATTTTCACTTGTTGTAATAGATTAATCTTAAGTCTTATATATTTATATATATTTTTTATAATCTTTAATTTTTTTTATTAATTTATTAATCAATAAAATAATCAATTTTAATTTTTCAATTTCAATAATAAATCTCGTTGAACTTTTTCTTTTTTCTTTTATTCTAGGCTTAATTATATTATATGAATATAATATTGTATAAATAATAACTTATAAATCCTTTAACTGATTATTAAATTCTTACTTGATTTCATCCTCTTACTACATACTAGTCAGCCCACCAACTATATAGATGTATATCAATAACCCCCATACCCCCACCTGCTCTATTCATCCTTTCGACCATTGAAGCTGACATTGATAATATTCTTACCTCTATACCATCAATTAATAACAGATGGAAAAATGCAAAGGTACAGTATCTGAAATAAGGTCACACGCTCACCTACCTAATCAATTTTGCTGAATAAGGAAGTGAAGCGAAGTAAAGCTGTCTGAATTCTCACCCCATCTCTCTTCATCCAATATCTTATTTGAGCAATACATGCATATATATATACATATACACATACATACATACTATATACAGAATACAACAATAAACCCTCCCATTCATCTACTCACACATCTCCCAAACAAAACAAGCAATAAACAAAAGACCTACCCCTCACTCCACCATCCAACCAAACAACCCTTCACTATTCCCCTTCCGCCCAATGCAACCCCAAATATGCACCGTCTATCATCCCATTGCCAGCTAGTCATGCATTTACATATGTACATTCGGTACCAAACTCCTACGATGCATTCAACGACTTCTATGTTCCATGTTCCATGTTCTTATTCCCTGGTATGACATTCACGGATCTAATGCCTTGTTATGATTATCGCTGAATCAGATAGGTAGTGATGCTGCAGAATTAATCTATCATGCGAATGTGTATTGTATTGGTATTGTCATTATGGGAATTCTTGCTTGCTTGGGTGGCTGATGATATATTAGGGGTTTTTTTTTCGGTGAGGCTTGGGATTTATTGATAGGTTGTGTGGTATGTACATATACATATACACAGAATCTGACATACATACAATATACAACTGACCCTTCATCCCTTCATTCATTCATTTAAGCCTTACAATAAGGTTAAACAATCAACAAACCATATCGATATCCAGCACCATCCAAATAGGTAAGTAACTCCATCAATCTCACCCTCCACCCTCCAACCTCCCAATCTTCATTCGAAGCTCCATTTCCTCCGACATCTAAAACAACCCCCGCAATCCCACACCGTTAACGTTTAAAATCTCAATTCTCCAAAATACCCGTGCCGCATCTCACCCTAACATACGACGCTACCAAAACAACAACAACAACAACAACAACAAAAACTTTATCATGTGCCAACCAGCATTTCACAAACATTCACATATCCAATCCATATACGGAGTAATCACTTACTCATACACTGTATTCATTTCCGCTAACCCCAAGATTTTCCTCTCCCTGTTAATGTTTCTTCACCCTAAACCTTATCCTTACCAATGTCAGACCGTTGTATAATGCACTGCGATGCTATGCGATGCGATGTGACGTTCTGCACTGCGATCAGCTCACATGCTCACTCACCTGTTAACCTTATTTTTACTAGGATTTTTATATTCTAAGATTGACGTTGTTGATTATTTCTCTTGTGACTATAAGTAATATAATTTTGATATCTAAGAAAGGCTTTTTTAAAAGAGGAGGGGGGGAGAGAGTGTATAGAATTTTAAAAAATTCTTAATTTAATACAACAATAAAAAATTATTAAATACAAGTATATACATACTTTTTAATATTTTTATAAATTAATATTATTATAATAAAAATAATAAATTTTAAATTTTATATTTTATATATTGTCAATATTCTTATTAAATCCTATATATTAAATATATGTAAAACCTATTATAAAAAGAATACAAAATCTAAAACTCTCATCCATCCTATCTCAACAAATACCCTCCCCAAAACCCCTTCAAAAACCAAGCCAAAACAAACACATACATATCCAAACATATCCAAACATATCCAAACATCCATAATACACACATATGCACACACATATACACATACATCATCAACCGCAAGCCATGTAATACGAAGCGTAACACAACATCCAACATCCAACAACCAACATCCAACATCCAACAGCCCACCCACTCACCATTACCAAATCCCAGGGTATCTTTCTTTCATATGTGAGTGTCAAGGTTCAATTGCAAAACTTAGCAATTCACAATATCCCATTTCTATTTAATGCATGCTTCTTTACAAAAAGAGAAAGATTCTTTTCACTCCGTGGTATCATCACTACGCAGCAAGCAAGTAAGCAATCAAGGAACATAACATCCATCCATGACTTAAAAATACGTACGTATATTTACGCACATGACTTCTCCTCAAACAGATGCGATGCGCTTCGTACAGTAAAGTACAATATAGTACAATCATAACCAGCCACGACCATGCATACAGAACACAGCATGTGAGCATAATCTCATTTCGCCTCATTCTCGCATTCGCCTCGCCTCTTCTACGGCGACAAATAAAACCCCTTACATGCACCAAGACAGAGGATGCCACCCCAACCATAAGAAAAATACCAAGCACGACCATGAACACCGTTTGATCAATGCCAAATAAGCCTTTCCTTTCCTTTCCTTTTCGCCATCTGCCCAAACCATCTCAATACCTGTCCTATCCTTGGCTGATTAAATATATGATTTACATATTCTTAATGTTTTGATATGTTTTGTCGTGCCTACGAAAAATTTGTAATCAGTACCTTGGAAACGGAACGTAAGCAATACGTTTGAAGATCTTACCTTCATTAGCTCAATTTTTGCCTTCAAAGCACTTGTGACCTCGGCAGCCCTCTTCCAGCTCTCCACTCCGGTTCCATTGCCACTAACAACACCACCAGCTCTAGACATGCGGTCACTTGAGTAAGAAAGTGGTGCTGGACTAGCCCTGCCACTACCGCTGGCAGCACTTGATCTTCCATTACTCGTTGGTTCCAAATCGGGACTTAACATGTTGCGGCCATAAGCGCCAGCCCCATTTTCTTTCTCTTCTCCAAGTGATGATGCTATAGACATGCGAGGACGGCTTCTATAATCTTGGCGGCCCCCATCTGAAGGAGCACCATACATAGAATCACGATATATTCCCGCTTCATCATGGGCACCATCACGTCCAGGGCTTGGAAATCCTCTCGATGGGCTATGACTGTTAGCTCTTTCAGCTGCTGATAAAGCATGCTTTAACCTGTTCTGCTCCCTCCTTAACTGCGCACACATTGCTTCCGCTGTTTCGGCATCTGCTCTGGAGCGAACAAGCTGGGTTTCCTTTGCTTTGATAGATAAAACATCTCGTGTATGATCCTCAATTAGCTGTGCATTTTGATTCTTCAATTCTTGAATTTCTGAATTGAGTCGTGAACGTTCTTGGCGTAATTCATCAGCTTGGCGTAATAATCGATCTTTGTCCAGTCGCAATTCTTCCAGCTCAGCTCTTTCCTGAGCAGTCAAACCGGCATTCGGTGGAGGCGACATCGAGGACATACGAGGAGCTGCATTAGCGGCAGGTGCTTTTGCTAACGATCGACCAGCCAAGCCACGGCCTAGACCTACACGAGGTGGAGGTGGAGCCTCTTCTTCCGCCGGAACTGGTGACGGGATGGCACGTTTGGGCGACGCAAGTGCTGGCGGTACTACTTTTTTTCCAGGTTGTTTCAATCCGAGACCAGATGGCTTCTTCAATCCAGCGGCACTTTTTGCTGTTGGCTGAGGCTCTAACGGAGCTTGTTGGGCATATGGACTTGGGGCTGGAGGTGGTTTCTTTGCGGCTACCTTCTTTACCATCTTCTTTGGTGCGGCCGCCGGCGCGGCTTTAGGTGCTACAGGAGCCGGTGGAGGCTTTGGCTTATCCTTTGCCTTGACGTCTGCGGTATCGAAAAACTCCTTGATCTTTGTTTTCCGGATATCGTCAAGTCCTTCGAGATGTGGTCCCATTGCACGCTCTCCCATAATCTTCATGACTGTACCCAAGACTTCAGCTCCACTAGATCTCAATACCTCACTCGACTCGGCAAGTAACTTCTTTGCTGCTTCTGAAATCTGTCCAACTTCTGCTTTGGAAGGAGCTTCTCGAGTTGTCCTGAGCGATCTAATCAAAAACTTGACAGTTCCCTCTTTGACTTGTGGATTCTTATGTTTCAAGAACTCTAGAGTTTCCTCCAAGCATTCGGTTAGACTGGTTGCTGCAAATACTTGATCTAGTGCTGCCCCGAGGGCATCGGAGACGGATGCCTTCTTCTCCTTCATTCTTTCCATGATAGGGCTCTGAATAACGGATCTGTATTTGGAAAATCCCTTTCGTAGACCTTGAGCCAAAACTTCAACACATTGTGCAGCTTGGGTGACTACTGCAATATTGGCGTCCTTCATACACTTTGCTAGACCATGAACTATTAAACCGTAGTCGGCGTCCTTGATTCTGGGAACATTAAAACAGGCGTATAAAGCCTCTAGCGCTTCCTTTCGTTCTTTCCATTTCGACGAGGCCAACTGTTCGTGGAAATTTGCAGGGACCTTGGATAAAACATCTTGCGGTTCGGCTAAGTCAAATGCATCAATTTCGACTGGCTCAGCCTCCAATTCATCCTCCTCTTCTGCACCACCTTCACCTGGGGGAGGCGCGTTAGCCATCGCTGCTTGTTGTGATCTGAGAAATCGTTCCTGTTTCGGTGCCGGTTCCCCTTTGATTTTTTCGAAATGGGTTTCCATATCCGCTTGTTGCGTTGGCTTGAGGTCTCCCCAAAACATTGGTTTCATAGCTTCTCGTAACCATCTATAGAACTCGGCAGCCAATTTTGTAGCTTCCCCACGTACATTTTTATCTGCATGACTGAATGGTTTTGGAAGAATTTTGAGGACTGGTTTAGGATCCACTGTCTTGCATCCATAGTTGTGATATATCTCAGTCAATGCGGCCACTGTTGCTGCAACGACTTTTGGTTGTTTATGCGATATAGCGGGAAGAAGTTCTTCAATGACAGGAGCAGCTACGTCCAATTCGACATATAATAACAGAGCTTCAAGAGAAGATGCTTTGGTAGCAGCTCTTGTTGAACTCAAACCCTTCTCAACCAACGAATTTAATGTATGACTTCGTGTTCTGGTACAATGCTCGCGTCCACCGAATTTGAGAAAGGCGCATAGTGCCGCGATACCATCTTGTTGTGCCGCAACGTTCGAATCTGCCACCGCTCCCTTCCATAATGAGGGATCGTTGAGGAATGGCCTAAAGACTGGGTCATTTTCATCTGGTGTGACTTCGAATTGCTTTGCTGCGTCTTCATATGCTGCTTTCCTAACTTTCCATATCTATTATCAGGTGTAAAGATTAGCCTATGCGTGTGACCAGTTAAAAAGGATGGATGGCGCAAACGGGAGAGTTAGTGCGATAATACCTTATGCTGAAATCTATCTGGGAGGGGTAAAGAACTGAAATCTTCTTCTTGCTCTGCCATCTTAGCTGCCGTAAACTTTGAAGGGGTCTGCGATAACTTTCCAGTGGCTATCCGTTTGGTTAGCTTTAGCTTTGGTAAAGACATCGACAGTGGAGAGGCTTGGAATGCTTCTCCATTCCCAAGCATACAATGGGAGAAGTAAATTGAAGGCGTCGCATATTATGGAGGTCCATCATTATGGCATATAGGAAAGAGCAAAGGAGGTACCTACCAAACTGAAGTTGTGCGCAAAAATGAGAAGAAGTTTATGGTCGTGGGGTAAAATTTCAAGGGAGGAAAAGGAAGTATTTTGGGGATTTTTTATTGAATGATATGATATGATATGATATGATCTGGGTGGGATATCGTAGAATTCTCTATGTGGATGGAAAGAAGTTCTTGATTTTGATAAAAAAATATCTCTTGTAATATCAAAGCAGTAAATAGTAAATTCTACCCATGAAATTTGAATTTATAAATCAAATCCAAGTACCGTACTATTGTTTAGTTTGTGGCTCAAGCAACAGGAATGATCAAATGATAATTGACAATTGATGCGTTGTGTTGTGTTGTTGACTTTCCGCCAAATTTAAGAAAGGGCAGTCCTGTCACCGTAACGACCGTAACGACCGCGATTTGTATTGGATTGGCTAGTGCACTCCTCTCCATGATGTGTCAGCCAGTCAGGGTGAAAAGAGGAACATTAAAATATTTCCAAAATATTCAACTCAACTCGTTGTCGTTTGAATGATATCAAAAACATCATAAATCTAAGGCTTGACAAATTAATGAACAATACCTACACACATATACCTACCTACTGTTTCATCATCGACCTTCACGAAGGTTCTTCTTATATCTACCAATATATGGAATATACTCATTTTGATTCAGTTGTGCTCCGTAAAGAAAGAACTTCTGCCCTACCTACCGCCTATCGTCAAAACAAAAAGTTGTGGACACCCCGCGCTTCCAAGCATAAATAAAGTGTAGCCCATACATACCCATACCCTTAACCTTACCCCTACGTGAGAAGGACGTGTGCAAAAGCGTGTGCAGACGTGTAAATCGAGAAGCTAAAAGGCATAAAAATCACAACAGATTACATATCTACGCCAGAAAAAAGAAGGAAAAAAGAAAAAAAAAGATCATTATCACATATCGGAGACAAGAAACGAACTTTAACATTTCGCTTGCCAGGCGCATGCTTCGCCTCGGAAGAAGTCAACATCATTTTCGCATTCAACTTCATGTATCGCATACAATAATTCAACATGAGCCAACTTCTGACGTCGCGGCAGGCCGAGGAGCTGTGAGTTGATCTTATCTTCATCACATTCTCTAGATGGCTAATATTACTCCGCAGGCACAAGTCCATGATAGCATACCTTAACTCAGCGAACCTTCTACACAGTGCCGCGACGTTACGAGAAGAACTTGATATCGGTGAAGGCTTCGATTCTGCCACGAGTAAGAAATATGAAGGTTTACTGGAGAAGAAATGGACAAGTGTGGTGCGGTTACAAAAGAAGGTGGGGATACGTGATACCAAGCTCAGCAAGAGTTCTTTACTGATTATGGGGAAATAGATAATGGATCTTGAATCGAGAAACGCGGCTTTACAAAGTGAAATCGACAATGCTACCCCTACGTCTTTATCAAACCGAAATACCGATCCTACAGCTTGGCTACCAAAATCACCAGCGAGGCATAACCTTCAATCGCACAGGGAAGCAATTACATGTGTAGCGTTTCATCCAGTATTTTCATCATTGGCATCAGGTTCGGAGGATTGCACAATCAAAATTTGGGATTGGGAGCTTGGAGAATTAGAACTCACTGTCAAAGGACACACAAGAGCGGTATTGGATGTTGATTTTGGTGGCCCTAGAGGAGGAACATTGCTGGCATCATGCTCCAGTGATCTTACCATCAAATTATGGGATCCAAGCGATCAGTATAAAAATATCCGCACATTGCCTGGACACGATCATTCCGTTTCAGCCGTACGATTCATACCTAGTGGAGCAGCTGGATCACCTTCATCAGGAAACCTTTTGGTATCAGCAAGTCGAGACAAAACTCTACGGATATGGGATGTTTCTACAGGATATTGTGTCAAAACCGTTCGAGGACATGCGGATTGGGTTCGTGATGTAGCACCTTCTTATGATGGTCGATGGCTTTTATCCGCTGGAGTGGATCAGACTGCAAGAATTTGGGATGCTTCAACAGGAGAACCAAAGGCAACTTTGTTAGGTCATGAGAATACGATCGAATGTTGTGTATTTGCACCACCGGCAAGTTACCCTCATCTCGCCGCAATGGCAGGATTAAAGAAACCACCTGCAGCCAGCAGTTCTGCCGAATATATCGCTACGGGAGCTCGAGACAAGAGTATTCGAATATGGGATGCTCGTGGTACATTGATCAAAACACTAATTGGTCATGACAATTGGATTAGAGCTCTGGTTTTCCATCCTGGTGGAAAATACTTGCTAAGTGTAGCAGATGATAGAACATTGAGGTGTTGGGATCTTGCTCAGGAAGGAAAATGTGTAAAGACGATAAGTGATGCGCATGGACATTTCGTTAGTTGTATGAGATGGGCTCCAAGTGTTATTAAGGATGCTCCTCTCCTGAATGGGGAAAATGGAGTAGGAACTCCAATCAAGAATGGGAATGGGGCTGCAAAGAAGGAGGATGCAAAAGTAAGCATCAGGTGTGTTATTGCGACGGGATGTGTGGACCAAGTTGTTCGAGTGTTCGCATCATGACCACATGTAGAGCATGTGCTATCAATAGGAGAATCATCAAGAGAGTCCTTTGATATCGGAGCAGGAGTTGATGGAGTTCGCTCATACCAGAAGAATAAATTCCTTGCTCCGACTTGGCTATTGAAGGAATATTTCACGAACTTTATGCTTAAAATATGTATATTGAGGAGCCGCGTTGGCTTCTCTCAATTACAATTCCATTTAATATAAAGAATAAATAGCTTCAAAACAGAGAACCTTTGCTCAAATAAAATTATGTTCCGAAAGGATGAGGTGAATGAAAAAGTAGAATTCTGCGTTTGGGTTTTTCATACGCAAGTACGGAATACCTAAGTATCTGATATTGTCCTCACTGCTCGTAAGCGCATAATATCTATAATATGAATGGTCAGTTCGTAGTCGGTAAATTTCAAGTAGACATGTATGTAAGGTGATAGGTACTTACTTGTACTCCCGTATACGCACTACGACCTACGACAACAATTTTGAATTGATGATGGCCTCTACTCAGCAATGCAATCAGTCAATCAATCAATCAATCAGTCAATCAGTCAATCAATCAATCAATCAGTCAATCAATCAACCTCCCAAAATCTCAATTCGATACTCCTTACAGCGCGAGATCAGCCGCCAGCTTTCTGGTGCCTAAATATTTAATCCGATGGAGTACGCATGCACGAGTGTGATGATTATGATTTCTCTGGGGCGGGCTAAAATCTTATTGTTGGAAGTCTAGATAGCTAGCTACAGGTAGGCTAGATAGGTATCAGATTTTGTATCTATTTACAGTCCGAGAGTGGTAACTTGGTGAAAAGATTAGGTATCAGTATTTCTATATTGAAGATTCAAGTTGTGCCGCCGGGAATATACGTAAATATGGAGTTATGTATGTGAAATACTAGTAAGTAGCTAGGTATGTATATACACGAGCCGAGTTGTGGTCAGAGTGCAGGGGATGTTATGTTATTTATGTTGTTCTGATCTATAGCTAGGTACCGTACCTACCTGCTTCACACGACCATCAACATGCATATGTCAGCGCCAACAAAAGATCTAGATGGGGTTTTGAAAGGATTTCTATCATCGCATTGCCGGATGGGGATATCTTCTGCTTGGTTCTGTTTGCCCTTAGCTTGGCGTGTAAAATCGGTTTGTGACACCAGGAGGGCGCACTCACGTTACGCCACGCTCCTTGGTGGGATTCGCAAGGCTTTGTTCTTTCAACCCCATTCCTAGGTATGCATAGTACATACAGTAAAGGAATATATTTTCTCTCTTCTCTCCTATTTCAAATATAGGATGGATGTCTCCTGTAGGTTAAATAGTTTTGAAATCTTTCAGCTATATCATATCATATCATATGAAATGTCTTTTGTAATCGATATCCTTCCGAATCGTATTCATAGTACATACTAGCTGGCATGTTTCTATCCATCTCTCACATTCCAATCATTCGCATGGTCTGCATCTCCAATTCTGCAGTAGTTTAAATTTGCAAATATGCCAATTACTTTACGCCAGCGCTATATGCTACTTGGTGTATTTGTAGCCTCGACCATACTACTCAGTGGCTTTTATCTACGGAATAATCTAAGGTCACTCACATCCCTTGTTTCATCCAAGCGCATCGAACCTGGACCCAAGCATCCAAAATACAAAGCCTACAAGCTACCGAAAAACCATCCTATAGTCGATAATTTCCCTCTTGCTTTGAATGCTCATTCAGCTTCAGATCTTCCTACAATCCCAAAATGGAATCAACCTCCAAATCCACATGTTCCCGAGAAAACCCCTCTTCTTATTGGATTTACGAGAAATTGGCGTCTTCTTCAACAAGTGGTTGTTTCGTATATTACAGCAGGATGGCCTCCGGAGGATATATACGTGGTTGAGAATACAGGTGTTATGAATTCAAATAAGGATGGAGAAATATCTCTTCAAAACCCATTCTTCCTTAATCATACCCGACTAAATATGCTTGGGGTGAATATCCTCATAACACCCACTCTACTCACTTTCGCCCAAGTGCAAAATTATTTCTTATGGACAGCCATTGAAAATAAATGGCCGGCTTATTTTTGGAGTCATATGGATATCGTCGTTCTCTCATATGAAGATCGATGGTTAGATGCCCATCCAGATGATCTCAACCCTTCACCTACAAATTTCCAATCTCTATACGATCACTGCATCTCTGCTCTCCGCAACGTCACAGCTCCCAATCCGGAAACAGGAGTTGTAAAACCATGGGCCCTCGAATTTTTCTCCTACGATCGTCTCGCGCTCGTTAACACGGATTCATATCAAAAAGTTGGAGGTTGGGATACCTTGATCCCTTTCTACGGTACCGATTGCGATATGCATGAAAGACTCGCCATGGAAGGATTTGAAATGGGAGATTGGGCCGCGGGTGCCATCTGGGATGTCGCGAGTAGTTTAGATGATCTGGAAGTTTTATATCGAAAAAAGGACGGGCCGGATCCTTCATTTATTGATCCTAATATTGTAGAAGAAGAACCCGCTCAACAAACCAAGAAATCACTCAATCCCACTTCTAATAGTAGGAATTCAAAGCATCAATCCCGCGATCTAGGACTCACAAAGCTCTTCTCGGATAATAATAAAAAACAATGGATCGATGAACCCATCGGCCAAGCATCGTGGAAAAAACTCCTAGAAGTCCTCGATCATATGGGATGGTCGAAAACGGCGAATAAAAATGGGAGGAATACGTGGCAGGGGAGACAGACGGGTGGTCATGATGATCCGTATTATAGGGATTCGGAGGGCTTTGAACGCGGTATTCAATTGTGGATTGATTATGGGAGGAGGGTTTTTGCGGAGAAATGGGGTCATAGGGATTGTGATTTGAGGGCGCAGGGGTTGGTGGCTTTGGATGCTTGGAGGGTGGAGAGGGATTGGTAGGTTATGGGAGAGGAGGGGGTGAAGTAGGGTTTGGTGGGCTTAGAGGGATTAGAGGTTGTGTGTGCGGTGGGAACTTCGAATGTGAACCTTCGCCATCGACCGCACCAAAACCACAATCCAGATTCCAAATTCCATCCTAGCTATAGACACCATCTCTATCCCCAGCAACCCTCAATCAAAATTAGGAACTGGTGATCATGAATCAACAAGGAGTAAGGAACACCATCCATATCCATGCTTTCTTCATCTTTAGCGTATCTTCCTATACAGTTGTTATTACATTCGTATTATATGGATTTTGGTATGTATATAAGGTTATTGTTTGATATTGGGAATGGGTGCTGTGTGGATGGTGGATGGGAACTGTATTTTACGGTTCTTGTATGTAGATGTGTGTACATACATGACTAGGGCGGATTGAGAGGATGGGAAGAATATTATAGAAAAAATATACTTTGTAATATCTAACAACTTCATTTTCTTATAAAGATTTAAGATTTTACAAACTAATGATATAGTAGTGTAAAACAGTGTCAATATCGTTGATACCCCTCCCTCCCTCCCCCCCTCCCTATCTTAAGTCTTGAGAACTTAATTTTATCTTCGATGTTTACAAATAGATAATACTTATAATTAAGGAATGTTGGATTAATGCGAGACCAAATGTTACAAATAGAATGTTCTGGTTTTCAATTCATTTATTATTATGCAATTATACAAAGCAATCTTACTTGCGCCAACTGGTTTCTATCTGTCTATCTCAACAATACCTTCCTTCACTGATGCTTCTACAGCAACGACTCGGAAAAATCCAAGAGAAATTGTCATGTATATGGATATCAAGCACTCAGTGCTTATTAGGGATACAAATTGTTTTTACACAATGGATTGAAATAGGCAGGATCTGAAATGATTAAATAGATGGATGAATGGATATGTGCCTCTTGGATGGAATCGGATGTAAATAAGCAGCTGAAAGGGTAGAAAAACGGAGTTTCTTCAGGACACCACCCCTAGCTTCTCGGAGCATTTTCAGACCATGAATTAATTGAGAATGGTATGTATGATACGAGTTTTCATTGTCTATTGATGATGGCTATGAAGAAGCTGAGAATGTTGTAGCATACCGCGTGTTCTTTTGAGTGAACAGAGCACATTTCCATCAGCTTCATTCAGTGGCGCATCTCCCCATCAGTGATTTAGTAGTTAGTCTATTGTGCAAAGATTGACAAGCTATTGATTCCATCAAATCAATAGGCTCAAACAGAATAAACAGAATCAATGTCATCTCAGTCACTAAGCACAATCACAAAAAGGTATTCTTCTTCAAGCCCCAGCTGAAAAGCCAAGTAAAACTCAATGAAAAATGTAAAAAACCCGAAGGATGCAATCAAAAATTCCCCCGATGGGGACCCCGAAGGATACCCAATGATTCTCGTCGCCCCGATGTGCAATGGAGGACTCGTATCATAGCATTCTCAATTCATGATCTGAAAATGCTCCGAGAAGGTAAGTATGAAGAGAAAAAAAAGAAGAGGAATGGGGGGACCGAAAGGTTTATTATATAGAGGAATTGGATTGGTCTGTGCGCGCTAAGAAAGAGGCCAGTTGGTGCAAATAGAACAAACTCGTCTTGATCGGGGTTAGTGGGAAAATGTGGGACTTGGATGTGGTGGTGTTGTTGGAATGTTTGTGATTACTTTGTTGGATTTTTTGAAAATTGTACAGTGGTTCTTTTTTTTTGCTATGGAGATTCTTCGAATATTAGCGAAGTGATCTTATTTATACTTCCCGTCCTGTATTTGGTAATTGAAATGGCGAAGAGTTGACCTCCTCAATAGAAATCCGGAATAAGTAAATCGTCGACTCAACACAACGTCACATCAACTGGGAGTATTACATTCTCTTTACACTCATATATCGATCTTGAAGATCAAAGTCTGCAACTAGTTCATTACATACTCGTCATTGTACATTTTCCTTTACTGATTTTTATAATCATCCCATTATATTTCAGTACGAAAAGTCGATGACGTTGAAGGCATTGTTGTCGTATCACTTGTACTTGTTCAGTTGTATTTATCAATCTTCAATTCCCGATCTTTTTACTCGCATGTAATGTCATACATAGCCACATGTTTTGTGTGGGAATTTGAAGCCGCATGTGCTTTAATCCCACACAATGAAGACCTCATACCACTCGTTCGTGCTTAGTGGTGTCTCTTTCTATACTCAAGCCATTGGATCCATGAGAGCGCGAAGAAAGATTGCTTTTTATATTTTTCATGGGGTAGCATTTCTCTGCATTGTTTTTCTTACATTGCTTTTTCTGCTTATGGCTCAAGAGCATTTTATTGATTTTGATCTAGAGTTTCCCTTAAGTTTTCGTCTCCACCACAGATGATACAGTGGATGAGGAGTTCGAGGATGCCTTCGAAGTGAGGCTGCGGAGGATAGAAAATTCCACATCACCTTCATATAGTTAGTTATTCGAATGTGTGTTGATTGTCTAGTTTATCACCTATCGAACCATAATATTAGTCCAAAAGATATTATGTATGACATTGGGTATGACGAGACGGCGTCTATCCTAAAGATCTAATACATCTGTTTTCTCCATCAAATGACTTTCCAATAAGCACAATGTTAAGCCCAAGATAATTTGTGAGATCTGAAAACACCAAATATGCTAACACTTTGAAGTTCAGGTTACAATACCACGGATTATTTTCATATTTGTTCATTGGGTGTTCGTCCGAGGCGTGTTTCCACTTCTGGTTCTTCATCTTCCAGTTCATATGCATAATTGAATAAGATGTTAATAATTCTCCTGGTCCGAATATGTTCACTAAAATGTGTGCATGCATGTCTGATATCTGCGTAAGGACAATGCTACCCTAGAGTTGGATAAGTTGGGAGTTCCAAATGTCCGAGCCGCCTTGGAACGATCAAAAGGGCCAATATTTTCAACTTCAGTCAATTTTAAAGATTATTTCTTTCATATCTGTGAGTTGTGATGTTTCAAAGAACTTGGAGTAGATGCAGCATATTGCCTTGATCACAGTTATACAAGCAACTCAATATCACCAAAATCCCTGTGGTGAACAAAATGCTGATGACGAAGAATCTCACTCTCGTCCATCACGTCGTCTTTGCATTTTGCATGGAAAGGCTGCAGATCTGTACCATATGCTGCACCTTGGTAATAGCTGACGTTAGGATAATTTTCTTTCTCAAACACTTGAGTTAACGATTGGTCCAGATTTCTTTCTGCAGAAACGTTACAATTACAAGATGGTTCAGCGTACGTTATGTTGGCTGGAAAGAAGGGTCTCTTTATAATGACCGAATGATAAATCGTCGGATGTTAGATGATGTTCAATCACACTCAACCAAACTACTTAACTATATTGCGGAACCCGCAACCTCACAAGCTGTGTCGGTTATTTGATGAAGTATTCCCTGTAGGCATTTGTTTTAACGCTATCATCCTTGGCCTACAGTTGCTCAGCATATACATGACGAGGTCCAGATAGGATTACCCTATAAGACTTTGTAAGTTTTCAAGATGCATTTCGGGTTAAGCTTCCGTGTAGATCATGAAGCGAATCTGATGCTCAGATATGGATTATTAAAACAAGTTTATATTGGAATTTAAGACTGCACAAAGTTACTGTTGAGATCAGACATTGAGTTCTGAGCAAGATTGGAGCTTAAAAGCCAAATTTTTTGTAAGTCAACGATGGGTCCTCTAGCTCAAGCATGGAACTTGTCAAAAAAAACTTTACTACATTGAGAGGATGTAAGACAGTCAATGCCTGTAGTTCGGCATGGAGCTTTATCAAACGATGACTGCATTGAGAGGACGTAAGATAGTATCGAGTGCCTCTATCTCAGGTACATTAGAGTTGCCTCTTCTCGTTTGAAAACCAAAAAGGCTTGTGTATAGACATTCTATTCGCATCGAAGCCTTTGACAAAAACAAGAGTCGTCTCTGTACCAACTATATGATTGAAGATCATGTCTCCATCACTCCAATGAAAGCGACTAAGCCCAAGTCCCAAGTCCAAGTCCGAGTTCAAAAGTCAGTAACCAAAACCCAGCATATCAGATTCCTCAACCAACCGACAAACCATCATCTCCAGTAACCCTAGAACATCCAATTAATCTCAAATTCAGACTCTAATTATTAGTTAAAGAGTTAAAGAATTAAACCCACATCACTAAACCATTAATGACTTCTCTTCTCTTCTCTCTCTTCTTTCTCATGTATACACATATAACATCGATATCATAGACTTTTAGTTCCAATTCCAAATCTAAACTTCCTCGCAACTAATTAAATTCCAACCAATTAACTAATTAATACCACCCACCATACACACCTTAGACCTAGAGTAAATCATAGCACGAGTATACCACATACATACGTACGTATGTATCCTAGCAGAAACACAGAAATACAGAAATACTTGGTGTAATCTCACCTCTAAATATTCATACCAGATGAATTTTTATTCCTTGATGGTTTTTTATATGTTATGTTAATTATATAGTGTATATTATAATATATCCTCAGCTTATAAGCTAGATTTGATCCCCCACTGCATCTTTCCTGGAGTTAAAGGTGAGGGAAAAGAGGAGAAGTGGGAGGTGCGAGGTGGGGATAATGGTTAGATTGAGAATATACCTATGTATGAACTTGTAGATATTTATATGTGAATTGGAGATATCAATACCTACCTACGTAGGTAGCTTGTGATCTCTAGCATTGCTATCTCTTCACATTGCACACTAGCAATCAATCAATCACATATAAATCGTCATGTCAACTGTACAAGTGAGCGTATAAAAGTAAGCAAGCGTAATTATAAAGCAGATAGATTCAATCATTACTAGTAAGTGACTAGACAAGACAGACTATATACTCCACTCCAAACCTTCTTCCCTCCTTCGAGTCTCGAGTCTCCAACTGAATGAACACTAACACCTAGTAGCTTCATATCACACCCCAAACCACATATGCCAAAACTCCACCCACAGCCCACCATTCCAATCATCATCATAAACATAAACATAAAGGTAAAGTAAAGCTAGGTAGGTAGATAGGTACTCGTGAGGTGAAGCAAAATAGAATAAAATAAATAAAATAAATAAAAAGTAAAAGAAAAAGAAATTGAAAGAAATTGCTAGGGTATCCTGCCTGATGATTCATCATACCATCCATTCATATCCAACGCTCGCGAGTCTTTACAACAAAAGGAAAGAAAGGGGAATAGAAGGGAAAGAAAAAATCATCGTTTCGTATCTTCCAATCTCGGTTCCGTTCATCTGAATGTCATCGTCTCAACTCATTAATCGTGAAGTGCGTATTGCGTCGTGTTCGTGTGTCGCGTTTGCTCCCTTTTCCGTCCTCCGATATTCTTTGATGAACTAGAGGATTCATACTTCTCCCTCTTTGATTCGTCATTTCCCACTTCATTGGTCTTCCACCTCCCCCCTACAACCAAACAAAGTCCCTTTCCTCCACCCTCGTACACGTCAAATACCCCACTGCCAACCCCTCCCCTTCCAATCCACACCTCATCAATGGTTCCACCACCCTTCTAGCCATCTCCTTCATTTCATCCATCCTCCTCTCAAACCTCTTTAATCCCTCCCTACTATAATGCTCTGGAGTCAACTTCAAAAACCTCTTGCAGTCTTCATGTCCCAGATAGGCACCATTCGATGCATTGCCCAACAACTTAAATGTCCTGCCGATTTGTTGATTTTGCGATATAGTTGATGGAGGAGGTTGTTGATGTTGAGTGATTGTTAAAGAAGATGCGCGCGAATGGTGTGTATTGTGAGAACCACTTGTATGCCGAGGAGATCTAGGTAGTGGTTGAGGAGGCGCGGGAGGCGGTGATGTATTCTCAGCTAGCCATTGCCTGAATAAACTTACGACCAACCAATCCGCATATGCATTACCCGGATTGACTCTCTCGCCCCTCGCGGTCAATAGCGTTAATCGAAATAATTGCCCTTCAACACTCCCAACCATATCCCTCAAATCCTCTACTTTATCCTCGATAATCTCCAGTACTTGGTCAGGCAATTGATTTCTAATGTGTCTCTCACCAGCAGGCCAGGCGCCTACGACATGTATGAGTGCTTCCCCAAATATCGTTTTCGATTGAGAGAGATAACCGAGTTTGAGATACGAAGATGGATATTTAGCGATTTGTTTCCAGAGACGTCCTTGGAATTGTAGAAGATGGTGATCAATGCGCGGTCCAACAACCGTAAGAGCATCGTAGAGATCTGCGAGTGTAAGAAGTGATTTGCATTGTATGTATGCGGTAGCTATATCGATCGAATCGAGAAGTGGAGAATGATTATAGAAGATTCGAAACAAATTATCGTAATCGTTGAGCAAATCTTGATCTTCTTGTGTTATTTGTGGAGGCGCAGGAGTGGAATGCGAGGTGATGGATAGGTTTGCAACGGAGCGAAAGAAGGATGGGTTGGATGAAGGAGGTTTGTTTCGAACAGGTGGTGGTGGCCGAGTATCGTTTGCGCCGAAAAGGGAAAGAGATGATTCCGGCTTCTGAACCAACATTGGTATATCGTCATTATTAGGCCCGCTATCCAATTCATACCTCCATCTTCTTTTCGGTCCTGCTTCATTCCTTCCCGCATCACTCCCCGATTCTTCACCTATCCTAGCCAATTCCCCTACACCCGAACTTCCAACCTCAGTAGCCCTCGACCATTCTTGACTTGTGCTCGCCTCGAAGAATCCGGAACAATTCGTCAAGATGAGTCGGTGTAATAAATACCGATTCGTTTTCGCGCCAGCTTTTACAATAATTTCCACATCCCCCGTATGCGTGAAGACGGGAAAATCATTCTGTGGTATGTATGATGAAGTTCCCGTATGACTACGTCCATGGCGACGATGATGCCTCGATGTACTCGCTCTTGAAACAACCGACGAAGGACCTCGAATAGAGAGCGAATTGGTCGGTTCTGCCTGCGAAACCATTGCGTGTTTCCTATGCAAAAGAAATATCAATCAGTATTCGTATACTGGGGGGTGAAGAATCCATTCCAATGACCCCGGCTTGTTTTCGTCGCATAAGCAAAAACATATAAATCTGGACCACGCAAAGAACGTACCAAAATATCCAGCCTTCACTTCACCTTACACCGAGCTGACACAAGGCTGATGAAATGATAGCGATCAAGAAGCTCATATACTCATCCAATATCTGCTACGCACAGCGCGCAATTCTTTGTTCTTTGTTCCTCGTTCTTCGTCCTTCAAGTAGGAATAGAATAATAAATTCTTTCGGACCAAACCCAAAATTCTCTCGCAAGAATATCCACAGCCCCGAGCTTCCAGAAAATGTCTCAAACCCACCTCGAAGCTCAAATCTCGAAGCTCACAAGTCTTCCTCTAGATAACTCTGTGTTCTTCCCTTCTCTTCCTTCAACTCTCTCTTTCCCTCTACTGAGAACTAGAATCGTGAATCACGAAAATTGCGCGTAGGATCTCTTTAACTTCTTTATTCTTCAAAGGAAGTCTCGTGTATATACGTAGGTACACTCGTGTAAGTAAATAAGAAGAAAGCGAAGAGGGAAGGAAAAAACAATATGAATTCAGTTAGAGTATATCAAAATCAAAATCAAAATCAAGATCAAAATCAATCTCAATATCAAACGCATCTTATTATCTCTTGTTTATTATCTACTCTCGATCTATCCTCTCAATCTATCAATCAATCAACAAACATGTATGTATGTACACGGTAAATTGTAAATCCCCCAGGGCCATCCAAGCAAGTTCTCAGCCCAGGAACCACCATGACCATGCAGTCGAAAAGGCTCGGTACCCATTTTTACAATTCTACCCACCTCTCTCACCCATTCATATGAAGGAAAGCGAAAGATGATAACATGAACCATGCCTGCCTGCTCCGTACTTGATTGCCTTGCTTCTCCCTCGCCTTGCTAAAAGCTTTCCCACTGTATCCACCAGCGCCCAGCCAACCCGCGAATTGTCACCCAGCCATCTCCCATGAAACCTGGAAACCATCCGTTCATTCGTTTCAACGCGCTTTGGCCCACTTTACTAACAATAATACAATAATACAATAATACACAATTCTTCATACATTTTCATACATTTTCATACATTTTCATAACTAAATTATGCCCATTCTTGGACGCGTTACTGGTTTATCATCCAACCTTTTTTGTACAATGCCATGCCAACCTATCACCTATCATCACCCTATACCTTCCTGCTCTAGAAGTTTTACATCCATCATCTACATCCATCACCTATATCTATAACGCGTCTCCATCTACCACCATGCCTATCAACGGAGTGGACTTTCACACTGCATATTCCCCTTCTCTCCTCATATTTTCTGATTCCATCGCAGATTTTCCTTTTAACTTTTACCGCTCTCTTTCTTGCAACCTACCCAGAGTCCTAACAGGCTGTTGCGAACACAAGTGATCTTGTGTGGCAGAATGCCTCACCTGCCTGACTTCAAGGCATGGCTCCATTTGAAAAATCCTTTTTCGAGGCTTTTTGCAAAATTGCCGTCTGGGCGCTTCTCCGTCACACCATCTGGTTGGACGAGCAACCTTGGATGAGTAACCTTAGGCCCCGAATTTCCCAAGCTCACCATTGTTGCGCCCACAAGTTCGTATCAGTTCGCTTCATTTTAAAGGATAAAATATTTCAGGATACAACAGACTTTTGTATTTAAGATTTGTGCGACAGCTTGCTCTCATGTTAGGCTTTGACTACTAAACTCGTGCCAACGAAAGCAAAAACGTCTTGCAAAGTATGCAAAGCCAGCGAACCCATGACCTACCTCCCTCCTATTCTATGTTACAAATTTAGGCTAGACCTAGCCAGGTAGCCTTGTGGATGATCCTAATTCCAAAATCCCATATGCAAATTCGAATGCAGTGAAACTAGCAAAACTCCGTGTCCTGTAACTTTAGGAATACCCATTTCATTTTGTACATTGGTGCCCAAGGCCGTAAATCGCATTTAACTCATATCCATCTCAACCTCCACAACATGGTTTGGGAGATCAGTCGTAGGATTTTCATCCGTCATCATTTCTTCAACGTGTGCATTTGTCATAGCATTGATAATTGGACTGCTAGCCTTTGGTGTTTCGCTAGCCTCAATCACCATATCACCCTCAAATATAGGAACTGGTCCTCGGAGGTTTTCAAAAGTCTTCTCCAAGCTGGTGCTCACCAATCTTCCTTGTTTGAGGTCATCTCCAAATAAAAAGTAGCCTTCTTGGGCTTCGACGAGATAACTAGCTAGACCTCTACTTTGCAATCGAATGATCGCATTGTTGACAGGATAGTGATTCTCGATATATTTTGTCCAGCCACGAACCGCAGCCTGAATATCTTCGTCGGGGCTTAGCTTTGACCAGCCGATACCCAAGTGTCGAGTGTACTCATCGATAGAAGGCTGGACGGGGCCAACACCTCCAGCTTGGAGTTGTGTTGAGAGTAAACTATTTGCAACCTTTATCTCTTCGGTGATTGATGGTGTGGAGCCCAGATCAATTCTTTGACTCTTTGCCGAACGTAATATTGGTCTTTCTGGGCTGGCCGCGCGCAACGCTGCTTGTGCCTTAATTTCGGCTTCTTCCTCTTCCAACCATGTACCAGTTTGACTATCTGCAGACAAGATGTAGCCCTTGCTTGGTTTGATAAGTGTCATTCCTGGTCCATATTCCCATTCCTCTTCGTTCTCAACAATTACTGGCTCGACGGGTGCCTGTGAAAAATATTCCTCGTCTTCAAAATCAGCCTCGTCGCGTGAACGTTTGCGACCTGCGGCTGATTGAGGTGCGGACGTCGGAGTGAGCCAAGAACTTTGAGGTGCTGATGACAGAGGGGCCTTTACGAAAGGTGAGGTAAACGATGGTCTATTGAAAGAAGGCTGAGGCGGTAGTTGCGGTGTCATAGCAAGAACGGGGGAAGATTGAGAGAAGGATTGATGAGAGAAGGAACCCATGATGAATAAAAAAGAGGATGGTTTATAATTGTTGAATAGATGGCGAGATGATCAAAAGAAGACGCGACTTTAAGGTAACTATTTTATCATCAATTGATCGATGCTATTGGATAGATAATAGATGGATAGGATTGATGTTGGAGATAAAGATGGACGGTGGAAGGAAGTATGTTTTGAGTTGGTGATGGGGAAAGGATGGGAAGTATCAAAGTATAGATGGAAGAAGATGGAAGAAGGATAAGAGGAAGAGATAAAAGTCAAGAATCAAGAGAAGGGGAAAGGTGAAATACTTATTTTTCGGGGTGGGAACTGGGAAAGGACAGAAAGGAAAGAAAAGAAAGATGAGAGAAAGGACGGCATCTTTGACGTGAATGTAGGAAGGCAAGACCTTGGGGTACTTTTTCGGAAAGCTCCAATTGGGTTGTCACAGTGAAAGCTTGCATTTGCGCGACAACCTTTTTGAGACTAGATCAGATGGAGGTTAGAGTCTTTATTGCAGACTTGCCTTGCCTGGCCTTGCGGTGTGTGTGGGTCTTCTCTGCCCAGCTATGTTCTGATCAGTCAGTCAACGTAGGTTTTAATTGGTTAGATAAAGAAACTCATTCAGAGACATTTTGGGGAAAAGTTGCTTGTTGCTTTGAACAGGGATTAAAATGACGGAAGGTCGGTCGATGGGCAAGTGGATGGAGAAAGCCATTCATTAGCCTAGTCGACCAACCAAATTGAACGTTGATGATTCTATTGAGATTCTTCTAGGCCGATTATAGTTGACCAATCAACTTAAGCTTGCTGGCCGATCCTTCTAACTCCGTACATACGGAGTACATTCTTCTTAGTCGGTCGTAGGGTATTCCGTACCCACTTTAGCCTGCCAATCAAATTAAACAACTGTCCATCCATCCTTTTTAATTATCCTTTCCTCTTCTGGACACTGTGAGGTGAGTGTGAGCTGAAAAGGATTTTACCCATGGTGGCCTAATTTATTAGGTACGCACCACGATTACATCCAAATTATCCAATGCAACACCTCGGGCCACTCGGGTTTAGCGACTGATCCATCCAATAGGACCCTTGTCGGGTATGAATCGTAAGATCCTTTTTTTAGCTTTTGATCGCTTTCAAAATACCCAAAAAAGGTTTCTCATGTGGAGCTCGAGCTCGAAGGAAGGAAAGTCGAAAGTCTTCACACTCATACTCATCACTCACTATTGACCCTTCCTTGAATGTGCTGTCACATGATTATGTATATGTATGCATGTGTTATCTTGTGAAAAGAATCCACTTTCTTTCAAAAGCTATGCACTTACATCAAAATGTCATCATTGAGAATTAATCATAATCCTACTCCGTACATACAACGTTAACAACAATAATAACAATTTTCCATCATCTCAAACATCACATGCTTACCAACATATTTTAATGTGAAATTTTTGTAATGACATTCCAGGATCAGCCTTGCCCATCCCTAGCGCCGGCCATCGTTTGTCATTTAACCGTTTTGCAAATGTGCCTTATGAATTGGATTGTGCTTATAGATTTGAGATTGCGATTTCATTTCATAACAAAAAGGAGTCGCATCCTAATACCAGATCAGAAATCACTCCTAGGTCTACATACAAATCGACTACTATGGCTTCGGTAACAAATCTCGACAATGACGTTAATAGCAAGCGGGGTGATAGAGTCACCCCAGCTACTGTGAACGAAGTGAGGAATTTCATTGAGGAGTCACTCGGAGAGAAATTACCTGATGTTGGAGATGATCCCCGATTTGGCACATACAATATACTTGCCGCACTGAAAGATGGTGTCGCGCTTTGCAAGTACGTTCATATTCTTCCTTCGGAGAAATCCAAATTTGCTAACATATCAATAGGCTCGCAGCTCTGATTGATCCTGCAAAAGTCCGCGGGTTCAAACCAAAAGCAACGATGCCTTTTATACAAAGAGAGAATATCGCTTTGTTTCTTGCCGCATGTGAGAAGCCGCCCTTGGGCTTACATGCGCATGATAGGTTTCTCACAGTGGATCTCTACGATGGAAAAGATCCTGCGCAAGTACTTCAATGTCTCGCGACTTTTAGCAGAGCAGCAAACCGAGTCGAGCCTTCGAAATTTCCTAATCCTATCGGCGCGAAATCTCGTGGGGGTGTTGTAAGCCCGCAGGTGACTGGGCAATATCTTGGAACTGGTTACGGTAACAGGGCCAGAGAGGCTTCAACTGCCAGCACTGCATCATCGAGTAACAAGCCTGCTTCTACTTTGACTGCTTCGAGAACCGGTGGTTCGGACAGCGGTAGAAAAAGTCCTAGCAGATTCGGTCGGCCTACATCACCTGGTTCAGTCAGTACTTGGAGTAAGAAGTCCGACGAGGGTGCCACAGCCCCGGCCTGGAACATCGCGCAATATGGGTACATGGGAGGTGCAAGTCAAGGCAGTATGGGAGTTTCATTTGGTGGCAGGAGACAGATTACAAACGCTGGCCCGAGTGTTCCGAGTCTTGCTGAAAAGGAGAAGAAAAGGAGAGAAAAAGAAGCAGAAGATGCACGACTGAAGCTTGAAGCAGAGCAACAAGCGAAACAAAGAGTTGCGGCAGAGGAGGAAAAGGCTCGTATCCAAGAGGAAAAAAGATTCGCTGAAGAAACCGAGAAGTTGCGACAAAAAACACTAAACGAGAAACGGGAATGGGAGGAACAAGAACGCAAATGGAAGGCAGAAGAGGATCGCCGAAAGCAAGATGAAGCGGAGGCCGAAAATAGAGCAGCGGATGAGCGAAAGAGATTGAGAGGTACTAGCGACGCTCGATTACAAGGACAATTCCTCAGTCAATATCAAGCTGAAAATGATTTGAGTAAGAAGGGCCGCAGAACCAATTCTACTGAGGCCGACAGGATTAGGCAATTGGAACATGAATTGGCAGAAGCTCGTGACCGAGAGCGTCGTTATCAGGCTGAAAGAGTTTCAAAACACAAAACTGGCGATCGTGAAGCCATTGAAGATCATGATTTGACACTGCGATTGAAGGAAGAGACATCAAAAGCTCGTCCAGAATCCGGCAGTCCCCCCAGTCTACCACCACGAAAGGATAGCGATGAAACATGGAGAAAAGATGAACGAGACTATCTCCGCAAACAATGGAGCTCGCAAAATACCAGTGAGGATACACCACCACCAATTAAATCTGCTCGTCCATTGCCAGAACCTACTGTAGCTGCCATCAATCCCGAACACACCGGTGGAGCAAGAACTCTACCAGATCCAGTAAACTACACATCCCCAACCTCCAAAGTCCCAAATCGTACTGATCGCTTCCTTTCCTCAAACCCTCCACCAACCCCACCAAGGCCAACCACAACTTATTCAAATGAAATAGGAACATTCTCTGGGAATGCGGAACGCGATGCAGAAGATCGTCGTCGTGTCGAATCTCAAACTAAGACCAAAGCCGCCGAATGGGCTTCCAAATCTCTACTGGAAAAGGAAATGGAGATGGAGAGGCAAAGACAACAGGAATGGGAAGAAAGTCAGAAGGAGGTTAAGAGTAAGGTTCCTGTCGGGGATGGAGTTGATGGCATTGGTGGCGGTATTGGAGGAAAGTGGGATGTTAATCAGTGGACGGGTTATACTGGTGGTGATGGGCAGAATAAGGGAACTCAGGGAATTGGAGCTGGTAGACGCCAAATTGTGGGGCAAGCGTCTAACGTGGGGAGATAGATGCGAAATGTGAGTTGCATCTTAATCATCATATGGAGATGCGGTGATTGATTGTTGAGATTGTCAAGCGTGGATGCGAATAAAGTCGTTGTGCATTTCTTGGGGCGGATGGATGGATGGGCATATCGCGCGTTTTGGGATGGATATTTGGGGATCTTGCGTGAGGGCGGATTCTTGGGGGCTAGGATGGACTGGCCTGGATTGTCCTGGATTGGGTGGGATAGGGAGGAAACATTCACGCGTTGAGTTAAATATCAATATTAATAATACAATACCTTGTAGGAGGGAAGAGAAATAGTCGGTCTAATAGCATACAATAAATTCAGTACATTTATGTCCTAGGGACATTAATAAAGATGAAAGTATCTAGCTACCTAGTAGTCATTGATATTTACTATTGACGGCGATGATGATAGTGATGATGATAAAAGCAGGCTTGCTCTACGCCTACCAAAGAACTAACATACGCATCTGTCTTTGAAGACCTACCTATCTCGTAGCCCCTAAATAAAAGATAAATTTAGATTGCTAGTTAAAAGCTCCAATAGTTCTATATTGAAATAGATATGCATGCAGGTAAGATTAGGATCATCAAAGCACATCATATGATTCACATGATTCACATCAAGATAGAAATAGATCAAGCAAGATACAAAATACCAGTATACATATACATTGACATTGGCATAAACATAGATGACTACTTGCTATGCTATGCAATGATATATGTATGTAATATGATGTATTATCACTATATGTACCATGCTGACCCATATAATCACACTTTATCTATGTAACCTTAAGTTTCATTACAAAAAAAAAAGAAGAAGAAAAGAAAAAGGTATCCAAAGATTCCGCTATCCCAACCAACTCCATAGAACTCCATCTCTTTCTTCAATATCCAAAGCCCAAAATGTAGCTTCGTCGACTACTCATTCCATCATATCATATCACGTCGAATCCCGTCCCATCCTATCCCAATGTCCATCCCATCCACTGAAACCTCACTCCCCCGTCAAATCCAACACCTCTACCTCCTCTACTCTCCAAGCTCTACTCCTCCCCTCAATCAATTCCTCTCTGCCAACTTCTCTCCACGAACCCGGTAATGATTCTCGTAACATGATGTATCTCTTTGAATTCTTCTTTTGTTTCTTCTCATCGAACGACTCTTCGAGAATTTGCGTTTCTATAGTTTGTTTTCTTATTGTTTTTATTTGTTCCGATTTCGATCGTTTAGAGAGTTTAGAAGATTTAAAGGGGGAAGGTGAGGGGGATTGAGTAATATTGTAGATGGTTGTGTGCACGTTGATTGTGGTATGATATGTTGGTGTACAGGCATCGTGATTGTGATCGTGATCCTCAAATTGTGCTTGATATTGTGGGCTATTTTTCATTATGACGGGTGAACTGGATGGGAGGACGAGCTTGGGGTATCCGGGTGAGTCATCATAATCTCTGCCCAAAGGCTCAGGATCGTAAGAAGGTACGGGGATTCCTGGAGGCGAAGAAGTAAGATCGATGATTCTCCCTGGTGAATAGTTGTAGGAAGCGGCTGTTTTATATGAGGACCTGGAGATGGATGAGCAGCCTGAGGAAGAAGATTTATTGCCCGGGGATTGCAGTGAGGAGTCGATTTTGCGATTTATGGGTTGGGGAGTGAGTGGTGCACGAGCACATGCTGTATCGAGGGCTAGCAGAGGTGAAGAGAGCCCTGATTTTGTGTTTGTTTGAGGTGGGGAGCGCTTTTTCCTAAGGGACGGGTGATCATTGTAGACGAGAGTTCTAGTAGTTGGAAGGGATGGTTCGTCGTCTTCGTTATCAGACTGCTGATGCTTTCGTGTAGATAATGGTGTAAAAATAGATTCAGGTTCGGGACTTGGACTCAAAGAGGCGTGAGTCTGAAATGTTTTAATCGGGGTCGTAGGTCTTCGAAGACGTGAAGGCTTCGTTATTTGAGGCAGCGACTGAGAAGAGGATGACTGAGAGATAGCCCATGGGTTGAGCTTGGTCTTTGCTTTTTCTTTGGTAGTCGTTGGTTTACGGCCGCGGATAAGTCGCTTTCTCACCATTGTTGCTTCTGGCGATTTAGGGCTTCGAAGGTTTAGAGCTAGGAAATGAGGTGGTAATTCCTCTCCCGGTATGTCGAAATTTTGGACAGGCTGACTTGATACTTTAGATGTAGTTCTGGTACCTTTTTCTGAAATCTCGACAAAACGATCTAATGCACCCTCAGGCATTCCACCAGTAGCTTTAGTACTCGTTTTGGACTTAGTAGTTTTAGTTTCTGCTCTTTTGGCCGCAGCCTTTTGTTTCAAGGCCTTTTTAGGGTCTCGAAGAGCTTCTTCATAGTCCTCTACGGTGAGCGGTACTCCAACTTTGACTATGGTCTCGAATATCCATAGTTTGTCTGCTTTCGTCGGATCATATGGAGAAGGTCCACGTCTTCGTGGACTATCACTTGGTGCTGCATCATCCGAAGCATATGCTTGTATCTGGTCATCCTCAAGAAGAGGAGCCAGGCCATCTCTTCCATAATCTTCGATCTCATCATCTTCCTCATCTAGATTAATATCAACTATTTCCAGGGGTTGATAGGTGACTCTCATCTCTGGAACTTCATCCGTAGTGACATGTTTTCTTTGGCCACAGATAGCCTTTACCAGTTTCATCTCATTAAGCTTAGTGAGCATAGGGTCATCATATCCAGAATTTCGACGATCTCCACGTTGACGGAGTTTCGCTAACAATAAAACAGGTGCTAAACCTCGCACGAACTTTTTGGCCCCTTCTTTCCCCTTCCATTCAAATGCATCGGCCACGAAATGTCGAAGTTTCGGAACATTAATATCAGCCTCCCATATAATTTGATCTCGAAGTCTCTCCACCTTCGCTAACGAGGAAACAACTGGATGTGTATACCAGCCCAAAACTTTCCTATCCGGGAAATCCTCAGGAATCTGTAGTGCCTTTCGCTTGGTTCGAAAAAATTTGCTTTCGTTTGTGAATAGTTCATGAGCCAAATCCGCCCTCCATTCATCATATGCTGTGGTATCCTCCCTACGAATCTGACACAATCTCTTTCCAAAACCAGCTCTAGCAGCTTCACAAGCAACTTTGACACCACATCCAGGAATCCCTTCGGTCTTATAATCACCACCACTCATCAGAGCCACCAAAATCATACCTTCACGGTCCAATCCCGATCTACCAGCCTTGGTCGCTTTGGCGTCATAAACATTAACATGCGTTGGTGAACCGGCACCACTCTTCTTTTCTGATGACCAGCTTCGAAAAGTCAAGCCGCTTCCAAACATGAGGGTATCAACATCTTCACTCAGAACAGCATCTACGACACCTTCACGCTGTAGAAGGGCGCACTCTGCTTCGGCTTCTCCCGGGGCAATATGGTATGCAAATCCAAATAGTTTGAGCAGCTCTTTAGTCATCAAATCCGGGATAGAAGCACCACCTCGACCTGTTTGCTTGTTACGCTTGACGGGTGGTTTGTGAGGCCCATCGAAGACAAACAGTGGTTGTACAGAAATTGAAACGAGTCTGAGAAGTCGATAGTATAGCGTTCGCAATGCCGGATTGGTACCACCTTATGCTAGATAAGTTTGGTGTTTCATGATCATGTGCTGGACAGCTTACCTTGACCAGCCTGGACCTGGAAATTCCAAATTGATATATCTATCGCAATTCTCAAAGGAATCCCATTTTTCTCAAATTTCTCAATAGAGATCTTGGAAAGGGCAACCCTTTCCCCGGGTCCAATTTCCCCGTAAATTCTGTAAATTCTATCAATACATGAAGCTTGTAGGTTGGAAAATTATTGTCACTTACCCTTTAATACCCATGATGCACGAGTAAATACACCAGCAAATTGAAATGTAGCAAACGCAGTTCTTCAGTTCTAATTCCAAAAGCCGTACATAATAATAGCACTGCTATTAAAGAGCAATATATCTACAAGGTTAAAAACAAATAGCTATGAGTGAATGGAAATGCTAGTGAATGATGTAAAAGAAAATTGACAAGAATCAATTTCGCCAACCATCCATCCTTGTTGACATTTTTGGTTGCTACAGCAATAAGTTCAAAATCTCAAAACCACCAGCACAAAATGGTTAATTGTGAATACGAACCCCGGTAAACGTAAGTACCGGATTATCATGGACTCATAATAATAATGTCACATTCAACCGGTCCTGCTCATCGCAGCGTATCGAACATTCGCCCATCCATTAATCCTCAAGCTGGTAGTGGCACTCCGTCAACTCCGCATACCCACCTTCGACAAATCTCGAATTCATTTGGCTCGCCATCCACTCTGCGCGCAGAGGAAGAGTGTATAGTTATTGAGATCGGATGTCGATATGTGCAAGTCGGCTTCGCAGGCGATGCAGCACCTAAAGCGGTGACTGATTTTGGGCCAGAGGAACAGAGGAGAGCGGGGGATTTTAGAAGATGGCAGCCGGGATATGATAAAGCTTGGAGAGAGAGGATACACGGAAATCAATGGGGTGAGGCTCATGAATTGTGGAAGTTGGATTTGAGGGATGTGGATTTGGGGTTGGTGGGAGATAAGATTGAAAGGGCCGTGAGAGATGCTTATACAAAGTTTGTAGAGCCTCCTTTCTAGTATTGGTATATACAGGGAACAGTGCTGATTATGGTTCTGCAGATACCTACTTATTGATTCAAGGCCGAGAAAAGTGGCTCTGGCTCTCCCGTCTACATTACCGTTACCGCTTCTTTCTACAATTTTAGATACGATGTTTGCCAATTTCCAATCTCCGAATATATCTTTGCATTCTGCACCAGCACTCACGGCAGTGGCCGCCGGTCTTCGAGCTGCCATGATTGTGGATATCGGATGGAGTGAAACTATCGTGACTGGAATATATGAGTTCCGAGAAGTACTCAGCAACAGGTCTATAAGGGCGACGAAGTTGTTAGGACAAGAGATGCGGAAATTGTTGGCCACCTCTTGTGACCCGAAGATATTACAGCAGGAATCATCAGACGGCCGGCCAAACGTGGCATTGGAAGAGTTCATGAGTTTTGAGGAGTGTGAGGAAATAGTGAATCGAATGGCATGGTGCAAACCATCTATACATTCCGCAGTGAGAACTACAACTAGAAGCGGTCTTGCGCCCCTAGATGAAGAAGCCGAATTACAAGCCAGTATGCAGTCCCTAAACATCGTTGCGGACTCGAACCCCGATGCTATAGCCACAGTACCACTTAAGTCTACCCTCCCACCACGCACTCTACGCTTCCCATTTTCCAAACTTGCTCAACCCTGCGAGGAAGCCCTCCTGGCAACCCATTTACCAGCCTCTGAACTCGATGATGAAGAACTTCCGATCCATATTCTCCTTTACCAAGCTCTCCTCCGTCTCCCAGTGGACCTGCGTTCTGTTTGTATGTCAAGAATCGTTTTTGTTGGCGGTGGCTCAAACGTCCTTGGATTGAAAGCGAGGGTTTTAGATGAAGTAAATGCGCTCATCGACCAACAAGGTTGGGATCCCGTGCGGGGAAAAGCAGTCTCTCAATACAGATCCAATCCTAAACTTACTCGGCCCCGACAATCTGCGTCTTCACCTACAGAAATCCCATCACCCCCTCCAGAGTCACCATCCTCTCCGACGTCGCCGACCTCGCCGACCACACCACGCCCCCCTGTCCATATACCCGCGGGTCGTCGATCCCCCGAACCTGACTCGATAGCAGCTACTATCCATGCCAAATCGGGGAGAAACAATATCCAGGAGGAACGGGGAACTATCAGAGCAGTAGAAAGTTTAGGAGCATGGTGTGGTGCGAGTTTATTATCACAGCTGAGAATCCCGGCTGTGAGTTCTGTCGATAGAGAGGTCTGGATGCAGTATGGTATGGCTGGGGCAAATAGGAATGCAGAAGTTAGTGTTGCTGCAGGAGCGGGAGGGAGGGGTAGTATGGGGCCAGGAACGTTTAAAAGTGGAGTTGGGGAAAGAGGAAGTTGGACATTGGGTTTGTGGGGGTCATAAATTTAAGGGAAGACGTTAAGTACCAGTAACTATTAGCGGACTAGTGACGGTTCAAGCAAGTCTCGGAATAAATTAACAGTAAAGTTGGCTTGCTCGCTCGCTTCCTTGCTTGCTTACTTGCTTGACATACATGCACAATATCCATATACTCTGAACTCATCACCAAACATCAAATATCTTACTCAAATAGCCTTTACACTAAATTCGGCTACTGCGCTGACCATCTTCAAATAGTTGTGATATTGCAAAACTAACATCTATCTCAAATCTAAAGCTGCCATAAAATCCCACATTCGGCGGATCTTCCTAGTTACATTCCTATGCACCGCCCCTTGTGATCTCTAGAAAGAGAGTCCATGGGGAAATAATAAATGAATGAATTGAGTGATTTAATTGTCTTGGCTTTTTAATTTCTTCTCATGTCATGGATCGTGTATGTGGGCTTTACTCGTCATAATGTCGCTTCAGATGGGTATTTGACGGGAATGGGAAAGTGGGAATACAAGAAGTTGGATTGATGTCTAGACTCTAGATGTTGGGTTAGCTTGCTGGATGCTGCTTTTGTGTGTTCGTATGTCTGTATGTATATAATATATAGAACATTGGTGATTCGCCTAGGATTGAAGGATCTAACTTGACTGTAGAAGATTGAGGTAAGATAGACAAGCAAATGCCTGAGACTTTGGTTCCCGGAGTGAGTACACTCGTTACTGTGAAAGTTATGTTAGTATAAATACCAGCAGCACTCTGCCCCTTGTCGCCAAAAAGTTCAAAATATCTCCACCACTCATTTCCCCCTTTCTTACTGATTACCTCATTGCTATCATTCACACCCCCACCGTGAATAGTGACCTGAAGAGCAGCGGCAGGCTGAAGGATCTGATAGGAACTAGTTTATGAATTTGTTTCCGCTTTTGATAAAATGTGCCATCGAAATTACCTAATGTGTAACTATATCGACACTAAGATTATCCGAGAAAGCTTGAGTTTGCCGTACATCAACCGTACCCGCGGAGACAAGGGTGGGTGGCAATGCCATCAAAATTACCTAATGTGGCAATATGCAGGGAAAGCTTGACTGTTCAGTTCAGTGGAGGCCAACCGTAAACGTAAACGTGGAAACTGATAGGCGATGACTCCTCGCTTGTAACATGAGGGGATGTTGGAGGTGTAAAATGCCAAAGGCGCTGTGCCGCTAGTGATGGTGGCATGTATAGTCGTGGTATTCGAATGTAAATGTAACCTCTCATTCTGCGCACGAACTAGCCCATGGAATACAGTCAGATCGAAGGTCGTCTCCGGCTCGTTTCTCAAAGCAAAGCCGGAAGCGAACATGAAAGCCCCCCAGCTGGTAGTACAAGATATTGGGCTGCGAGTGTGAGAAGTCAGATTTGAGGTAGCACAGGACAAGTGTAGTTGATAATGATGAGTCTGATATCTTATGTAAGAAACAATTTCTCTTCAGCGGCGCGTTGATGCTGGCAAAAAAGTCGTGCAAAATGAAACGTCAAATTATTCAACGACCGGAACACGGATACTTATGTTGTGTGATAGGTAGATAAACCCGATCTCGACCAGTATATGCAAGGTTGCTTGAATCGATTGTCGCACGCATTAGCATGCTATGATAGTGACACAACATATCGCCACACCCGTTGACGTGGACGTGGACGTGGACGTGGACGTGGACGACGAAATATTCAAAGACTTCGTGGTACTGCAGATTTCGGGCTCCTGATTTCTGAAAGGTATTAAGGGAGAAAGGGATAAGGGGATAACTACGTATTTAAGAAGAACCTCGAAGCAATCTGCATTTATGAGGACATACGATACCGGTCCCCTAGATTTGGGTTTCGGCCGGTGTAAATAAGTGTCTAATTGATAGGCCCGTTGGATTTTCAAACTACGCCGTAAGCTCTTATGTCGGATATGCTTGACATATTTGGCATATGCAACTATATTCTTAGCACACACTCACACAGACCTTGTTCCAATGGACCATAGTTCGCGCAACCGGGGATGAGTTCCGGGAAAGCAGTCATACCATTGGTTCTTTACCGTACCCAAATATAAATTGATGGATTTATGTTCATTGCTCATTGACGTCGAACTCACGCCCCTCAGTAATTTGCTGTGCGGCGCCTGCGGTCAGTGGATACGGGAAGTGGCCTCAAATCCGGTTGGATGACACCAGCAATGCCAGAGCACGAGACGAGTATCTTTCCTTAACCTTACAGGGAACTAATGTGTGTAGTGGTGGGCGAGATTGGCGCCCGAAGTGGTTCAAAAATGCTTTCGCGCAATCAGTCAATGACGCGAAGATGAGAAGAAAAATACCATTGGAAATTGAGAATCCCCCGAACATTTTTCGACAACGCATCCTTTCTTGCATATTGAAGATGATCGCGTGATAAGGCGAGGACGAGCGTATGGATTGGAATGTGACCGCGGCCATGAACTGTCATCTGGGAATGTGACTGAAATGTAAAGAAGTAAGTGTTGTGACTTCCCTGTGCTGCATGCAATTAACGATATGCAATCGACCTCTCCTTTTATGATCGCTTGGTACGGAGTATGCAGTACATGCAATGCATTGGTAATTGTTTGATATCCCGTCGCCGACAAACCCTCGAGGAAGATCCCCCGATAGAAGCGGGTGGAGAAGGTGGGTGGTGTTGTAATTTTGGCATTCGCATTTGAAACTTATCGATTTCATCAACCCCTATCTCTCAAAGCAACTTGCATCGTAATCACTAATGTGTAGCGCCCTCTTCTCCATTCACTGAAACAAAGTTGACAGAGGATCAGACCAGGGGGTTTCCTTCCCAAAACGCTATGGTCGGCTCCCTCTATGTTAGATGCCCATGCAAGTCAGATATTGCCGCTATGTATTTGGTTTAGGAATAATAGAACTAATGGCCCAGATGGATATGAACAATTCCCGGGAGACCTCTCCCGCTGCACGTCGTCCGATGCGGCAGTCAGTAATAGAGGTTTTACAATTGGCGTAAAGCATTGTTGAAGTCTCACATCAAAAGCATCTGAAGGTAGGGTTAGGGGTTGTAGAAATGACATTGGCAAAAATCTTCAATACTATCTATATACGTAACCTACACTTCAAGACGACTATCCCTCTACATATTAAACGCATGATGTTATTTTTCAATGGATATATATTGTGACAGTAAAGTTATACTATCGCATTGATACATTGCAACTGCTTTTCGTTTACAATTCCTTTAAATTTGTATTGTTTTTGAAATTTGAAAAGAAAGCGAGAACTAATAGGTTAACCAGACGAAAGCAGTAACATCTAGGCTCTATCCTTTTATTCCATGAGGAGACCGCCCCAGTGGAGGGTGCCCCCGGCCCTGCAGACTCCCTGACAAGATTACTATCTTTACCTCGTAACTTCCCGGCGATTCACCTCGTCGAGTTGAGAACTTGAGGGTTATTGCATGAGCCAACGGCCAAGATGTAACCTTACGCTACCGTATATCTATTCTCTTTGAAAAAGAAAAGGGCTCCAAAGTCCAAAGACAGCCCCTACACATTTTGTCATTGTCAACCTTACTAGACCAACTCGGAAACTCGGAAACTTTTATTGAGATGAATCAGAGTGATCGAGACGTGCACACACCTCAGAGATATCCAAGGTATCTTGACTAACCGATATCTGCCGAGGTCGATCACAATAAGACTCGCTATACGGTTCCTAAAATAGCAAAGTAAAAAATAAACACGGGAGCTGGGGAAAGATAGGGCATATCTTTACGTAGCTGATCTGGATACCATCTATCATCTGATGACGACGGCGATGATGTTGATGATGTTGATGATGAGATGATCTGCAATACAGAAGGTGATGCGCCTTGCGATTTGACCTTGGAAGGTTATTGTAAGCGAGGATTATCCTGTGGGCGCAAAGGGCGTGTATTTTTAAAAAAAATCAGACCAAAGTATGTTCGGGGATGCCGGAAAGTTGTATCTCCATCTTAGACAATTGCAAGGTGGTACGGTTAGGCCAGGGAAGTTTCGTAAAGTCCATGTACTTGTTCATTTGCAGTAATTGGAACTTCCAGCCCTTGGTCCCTTGCTGACATGTGTTTCCCACATGGTTTTTATCTCAAACGTCTGCGCAGCAGTGTATTCGCCCGTAGTTGCATGGGCTCGAGGCCTCAAATGCAGGTGACCTTGAGAAGAGGGTTGAAGTTGGTCGAATGGGACGATCTATATCCAAAAACGGTTTCGGTTCGAAATATTAGGGTCGTATCGGCGGGCACATATTGAACGTTTGTGCCACCGAGTTCTTCTACCCGATCCGAATAAGTTTAAAGGTGCCGCAACTCGACACGGATGGCACAGCAGTTTTAGTCTATATCACATCCATTATTGCATTTCTTAAGCGCCTTGATAATACGTTCAATGGTTTGGATGCTTGGCACGGACCTAAGGTGATGAAGGAAGGTGTTGATGCAAAGATCAACTGATTAATTGTCCTGCTTCCAGTGACAGACATGATACTCCCCATCCTCAGACATCCTGGGACCTACGATATCCGAAAGAAGAATGTCGACATGCTAAAAGATTACGACGGGGTTTTGAATGGTAGGTTTTGGGGGGATGAACCAAGAGCTGAAAGATTTGACTACCGGCATCGATGTGATTTGATATCAACTAAACCCTACATGCCTCGACCTTCGGATCTACTTCCACATTAGGATCCTTAGTATGTAAAACGTTAGCTGACAGAAAGAGCTGATTTATTCTAAGACGTGAAAGTCTTACAGCCTCAGCAGCCGGGAACGGGGTACATATATCAGGGAATCGACTTTGCGCTGTAAACAGTCTTTAGCTGCAACAGGACGGACAGCGGGCTCATTATCGGAAATTAACCCGAAAGATCCGGTCATACACTATTTGCCTCTCTCACCACCTGAACAGCCACATAAATTCCCATTGAGTGGTCAAAACGTCACGACTCAAACTTTAAGCGGAATAGCCGATTCGAAAAAGTCTAAAGGTTTAACGACAAACGGTTTCGATTTCCATATTCGAATATCCATCAACCCTGGCCAAATGCTTGTCGACTAATCAAAACATTGAGTTTCCCCCTACTTGCCCCTTTCTTAACTTTGTGGCTGATAGCCAAGACCGTTTAAGCACAATATATACGTAGTTAAGATTTCTCAAAGCCTTGATACACATTTGCAGCTCAGCCAGTCAAACAAATATCCGAACGATATATTAAAGACAAATCCGTTCCACTCCATCATATTTCGGCCCTCATACCTTGACCAACTACCCCTGTTCCGCTTCCAATCTCGATGCCGCTACAGGCGGGGAAGCAAAAGGATCTACCGGGTGAGCAAAAAGGAAAAGAACCAGCTTCCCAACGTCAACCGCATTTCTTTGCAATCAGGACTCTTCACCGCTTCCGTGTCACAGCTGGAGGAGCACCCCCACGCTCTAATTGGCCCCAAGAAGATGACTTGATCTCAATTTGACCCAAAATCTATCATTTTTAACTAAATACGCCAACTGCCGTGAACTATTCCACTACTTTGGGTCTTCAAGGTACCCGATACCGTGGATATGGTATATGTATCTTTCTACAAGGTTTTTGAATAGTCTTCAGGGCCGTCTGTGCTATTTTTTGTAACATCGTCCGAGGTTACTCTTCCCCCCTCCACGTATATGCAAGCCACTCCAGTTTCGTCAATCGGTGTCCATATTGATTGGTAGGTGCCTAAGCGGGTAATCATTTTTCTCAATTCTGCTATGTGACTAGGATCTAATATGTTTCCGTCCTGTTGGCCATCGCTTATTCCTTGTCGTGGTATCAAGAAGAACATGTCTTGCCTTATAGGCTTGCCCTGCCTGTGTCTTACCGGGAAGTTCCATCTCCGCTTCTGGTGTTCAAGGGCTCTTCACATATTAATATCGCCTTGCCACTCGAAGCTTGAGTTAGTTCCTTCTCATCAAACCTTTTCTACCGTTGACACTAGCACTTCACTACTACTACCTACTACAACTATCATCAAGTACCAACTATCAACTCAACTATCAAACTTTGAAAAGAGAATGGAGACTCAAACTATCGAGTTCACTGTTGAACAACTTCTCGATCTACATAGATATTGGATTACAGAACTGTTTATCATGGATAAAAAGTCTGAAGAGGAAATCGTCAATTTGCTTCACCATCACAAGATTGATGTCACGTGCGTACAACATTCAACGTTACTTGCTCATTTACTAACAATGCCTTCACAGTCCGAGCACTCTTCATTCCTATCTCTCAAATTGGAATCTGCTTACTCCACGTTCGTACCTACCAGAATATGCGGATCATCGTTCACGGTACTGACCAACTTTGTCTATTCAGGAAAGAAATGATGATCGCTCTATCGTTATCTCACAAGCTCGCAATTAGTACCTGAGAGCTAGAAGTCTTCGTCTCTCCGCCTCATCATCCTGCCATAACATCATTTGCAATTGATCATGCTCAATGCAATTACCACTACATCCACGTCCCGAAAATCTTTCTCCACGACCAGACTCGAAAGAGTTAGACCATTTTTGATCGACAAACAGCCATCGATTCTCCTCGCTCGATCTTCAAGACCACGAACTCAGAGCCTTAGATCCTAGAAAGGTAATTGTGGATCAGAATGGAAGAAAAACGACAAAACGAGCTTGAAAGTTCCAGTACCAAGGGGAACCAAGGGTGTGTGTTACTATGATGAGTCGGAAAAGTGGAGAAGAGTAATTTGTTTTCTTTTTATGCTTCATTCTAAATTGTTTGCTTTTTCTGCGGTTATACAAAATGGGATTGGTAGTGGGCAATGGGGTTTCCTTTTCTTTCTCATTTTATTGGCGTGTGTTGTATATTCCATGGCTAGCGATGGGCGATAGCGATGGGTTTAATGACTGCAAAAGGTTGGGCAATTGGGATATGCGGGATACACATGGTTCGCAGATGCCATGGCGATGGCAGGAGTACTGCAGTCTGGAGTTTTCTTTATGAGGTTGTCATAGTAACAAATCTGGTTTGGTACATCTATATCCGAAGTTTCCTATTCGTGCGGCGGAATTGTATAGATAGATATCACCCCCATCTCTTTTCCATGTTGTAGCATAGTACACGAGGCTCCTCTATTTTAGTTTACAATAGTCCGCTGCAATGCCAAATGGAATCGGTTCACATCCGCAGATTGAGGAGGCCCCAACTGCCGTGTAACAATACTATCTACTGGAATCTAGACACCAGTAGCACTACATGTCCCACCGCTCTTCCCATACCCGTAACTCTGACAAACACAATATAACATATGCATGCGAAACCTTTTCCATAAAGCCGTGCCTTAACGATTTCTCCTAGCCCCCACTCGCCTCCGTCTTTACCTCGCTCCGTCCATCTCTACATACAATCTACACCAGTTCTCTTCAACCCTCAAGTTTCAACTCCCGCCACCCCAAAATTGATCCACCATCCCCAAAAGGAGTTCGGTCCCATTGATATGCTGTCTCTCCTTATCCTCCACTTTTTAAGATTCACTCCCATACCCAACCAACCACCAACTCAGCATAACTAACTTCAAAATGTAACTCTATTCCTCTATTCCTCCATTTATCCACCCCACTATCACATGCATGCATGCATATGCAACCCCCATCTGATACCTACTTACCCCCCTAAAATCCATGCCCAAGCTTCTCCCCAACCTTCAAAGATACCCGAATCCACGTCATCCAGAGGCAACCTTTCCCAACCCAAAAAATTATTGACTCCCGGATGCATTTTCCGAGAGTTGTCAGTTTTGAGGCTTTTTTCTCGCTTTCGATTTCGATTTCGATTTCGATTTATTCGATGATTATCTTTTTTTTCTCTTGCAATGGTTGTGGTTTTCCTCTAATCTATTCATCTATCAATTTCTGAGTTTCTTGGTAATATTACATACCAACTACAAAGAATTCTCTGAGTAAGCAAGCCGTGGTAATTTATAATGCGATATGATAAAAGCATCGAAAGATAAGGTTTTAAGAAATACATTACAGTATACTCCGTACATATGATGATTAGAGTTGGGAAGCTGGGAAGCGAAGAATGCGATTGGAGGGATTGTGGGAGAAGAAAGGGATGATGTGATGAAGGGGTGGAGCTAGAGCGGATAACCGAGACACGCAGGGATTAGTGATGGGTTATGTGGAGCGGATGGTGCGGATGGTGGGTTTATTGGCGCGGGCTGGTTACACAGCGTTAAGATGGGGGTCTGGCAGTGGGCACATCCTTTTTTGGTGTTTCTAGTATCTACGGAGTATAGCTAGATGGGGTTCGTTTAAGGTTTTGCCAAAAAGAAAGATGTTGGGAGATAGATGTTGGGTTTATGGAGATTTTACGGACATTCGAAAGGAAAGGGGAAGGGGAAGGGGAAGGTATGCAGAGAATTCTGACGAGGAATTCGAAATTGCGAGATTCCGAAAGGTTTCTTCGATTTTCGATCGTTTGGCTTAGCAATCAACGGTTAATAGTATGAGTAAATCTGCCAATAATTGGGCAGTGCTCAATCAAAGGTGCTGCTGTTGATTGCCATTATTCTATTTGGCCATGCATCTGGCAGCATTTGCATTCTGCAGAGCACCCTCTTTCTCATCCGACGAGGTCGTTAATATATTTCACACAACTCCGCTCAGGTCAAGGCCCATGATCTAGACCCAAGGTCTGGATGGAGAACCCTTTGAGGGAATTGTCTTTGAAAACTTTCACAGAAACTGCATCGAGCTCATGATCATGAGAGTCGCGTGCCTTTTCATTTTGGGCGCCATGACTGCACGCGGACGATGGTCTGTTCCACTATTCCTTTCTTCGCATTGACGAACAGCTCAATTCGGTCATTGCATTCCTCGATTCGGGAGCTTTCAATAGCTTTTTAACTTTTGATACAACACTACCTGTCTGGCGTGATTATTAATCCGCGGAGCAAAAGCATGTGTCTGGGATCCAGAGATGAGCTGAGCTGGAAGCAATGCATAGATAAGATGCATGATGAGTATTTGGATAAACGGCCGAAACTTTGATTTTGAAGTCGAACAGTCTTTTAAGTTTTAAATCAGTCATTCAAGTGGCTGGAAAGCTGAAGGCGCAGCATACAAGCCTAAAAACCATCGCCATGTTTCTTCAACACGGCTTTGCCGTACGATCTAGCTTTCTTTTCGTTTCATATCTGTTCGGACTTCCTCCCCTATTTACTTTTGCTGCGTTTCACTGCTTAGGTGTAGCTCATAGCTCATGGCTCATACCATTGCTTAATGATTTGAGAGAGTGGCAACATATTCTAGGTATATATCATATAACGAAGCAACTACATGATAGCCGTGTACACAGGTAGACATAGAGGCTTTACATTCGAATCGTCTTTACCCATTACACCTAAAAGTTTGCTCTTCTCGGGGTGTTTCGCTGCCATGCATTAATAAAACAACCGACAAACATCTTCTTGGGCAGATGAGCTGCTGCTCTCTTGGTAAGTTTGCGTGCAGGGTCAGGAAGGCTGGGAAACTTTAGAGAAGTTTCGACAATACTGAGCCAAATTCCCCTGCAAATTTGCCTTGCAGTCCCAAATATTTCACGAGAAGCTACGGCTGCCATATTTTATTCATTTTTTCTCTTTTCATAGACATCTCTTTACAAAGGAATGTGCTGTGAATAGTGACTAGCATGCTAAATGTATCATCCGCGGTAAGGTTGGACATTCAGGCTACAACGAAGTAGTTGTTGCAACTTAGCTGATTAGTATACTGTACTGGATATGTGATACGGGAGACTTGGTGCGGCTTTATGGTTTTGCTCAGTTTCCTATACTTGAGATTTAGTTTGTGTTGAATGTCTCGGAGTAGTCTCCGAACGGGGTGGACAAGCAGTCCACATTAGTATGTATTAATTTTAAAGGCTTCTCGGAATCAGGCAATAACACGCAATGAAAACTCTAAATTACTTGTCCAGTTACAGCTTTTTTGTCTTCTCCGGGAAGGAATCATTCTCTGAGAGAATATTGATACACAAAATTTACTAGTAGTCAGTTCTAGATGATCTAGAGACCTCAATGAATCATTCATTGCTTTAACATCTGAAGTACTGAACAATGTTTCACACTGTATTCTCTCTAAAAATTTCCCAAGAAAGTATCGATCCATAGCCTCTCCAAATAAATCTACGAACTATGTCCAGCGCATGGAAGGCTATTCGTATGAACATGGAAATTGCACAGGGTTTCCTGCTAGGCATCGCCCTCGTCCATTGACCATGTATCTGCTTCAGGGAAACTTCCACCAACTCTTACTCTCAAGTTGCCGGTAAAAAACCCCATCCCTGTGCACTCGAAGAGCTTTCTGTAGCTGCTTGGGACGACCGAGAAAATAGCTGAAGAATAAGCTCTGCATGACTCTCCCCGTTTACCTAGTAGCAAGGTTGCAGAGTCTATACATTGACCAGTCACCCATTATCAAGCTTCCAATGTAGATCTAGATCCGTGTATTGATATGTCACTTGATCCATTGCTATATTTTGTAGATTTTCGCACTTGAATAAGTCACTCATGACGTATGATCAATAGCTCGTATTGCCGCACGTTAGCCGAGTTATGTATAAAGATAGGCGTTCCCTCGAATAACGTAAAAGCACGCTCGGCTTCTGTATCGAGGGATATTGGTTATCCTTCTATGGTTGTGTCCTGGCCAAGAGGAGCTTGACGAGTAGATATCTTACCTTGAGTTAAGTAGGTGATTGATGCTAAGATCGTAGAATCTGCATGATGCTAGCGAGTTCCTTGCTTTCTACCTCGAAGGTAAGCATTAATTATTCATTTTGTCAGCAGTATATAAACCGGCCATGTGCACTTGATCATGAATATTCACAATCATAACAAGGACAAATTCCACCATGGCATCAATCTCCAGAAGACCAATAGCTCAACACACATTCCATAATCGAGAATACATTAAATTCATTAAATTCACTCCCCACAACAACTCAAGATCCACAATTCCGGAATTCTCAAACAGTCTCAAATACTAGAAACTGTAGAAGGTTTAACTTTTAGTTCTTCGAGATCTTGGACACCGTGCATCTACAGGATGCAATAGTAAGAATAGGAGCCCCGAAATGGAACGGACGCTCTTGGTGGCCTACTAGGTATGTATGCAGCCTTATATGACAACATGGTAAGGTCAAGATCTTACGTTCTTGGCTTTCCCCGCATGTTTATTGATATCAATGGTGGTAATGGAGATGGTATCTATAGATTGCAAGGTATTTGAAAGAGGATGTTTTGAGTTACTTGAGGAATTGAGAGGTGTGGAATCTGTAGGTATGGGTATAAGGATATAAGTTGTGATTTTTCAGTGATGTGTGGTTTTACTAGATCTAAGTTTATCGTCTATTTCTGAGATTATGTGATGCGGAGTTGAGTAAGTAGTTGAAAGTATACTTTGCTACTAGTTACTTAACAGTAGATTAGCTTGCTTAGGGGCATATCTGGTGTAGCCGGGTACTGCACATAAACACCCGGTGATCGGCTTGATATTCAGTGTATAACAGCAGTAGATACTTCGAGGAAGCTTTGAGAGATAGATAGTATCTTCGGAGGGAAGAATGAAAGGGTAGAAGATCCTAAATTAATACCACTGAGAGCAAATGTCGAATAATTGAACATTTTATATCGATGAATAAATACATGGGAATCTATCTTTCTTGTTCTGATTTATAAATATCCAGGCCGTGTTATATTCAATAGTCTCCTGCACCCTTATCTCGACTAGGAGTCTTTTGGGAAAACTCTAGGCCATCGAGTCCGCCATGCGTTCGACTAGAAGATCTTACTACCATTTTTAATACTTGAAATATTTGACCACCCATAATGAATCCAAAAACGGAATGAACGGCAAACACACATGTTGAAAACAATCTTGCCCAAAATAGACTATCATCTACCTTCATTCTCAACCTCCCATTTCTTCATCAACATCTAATTTATAATATTTGAACCTTATGCTTATTAAAAATATGCTCCAGCTTCGGCATCAAACCACGTCGCTCTTTTTAACCCACAACTTTCAAAGAGACTTCACAGAGCCAGTAAATTCCCCACGTATTCCCCTCCTTCAATAAGTCTTTATACCATGATGCTTTTGCTAAGACATCATTAAATTGGTTATAAAATACCATGTCTGAAGTTTGGAATGGAGTATCGTGTGCAAGACGTGCGTGGAGTCATCGTACACACCCGGACAAACGAACATTTCTTCCTCTTGGCTAGGGAAGCTCGAAGCTTGGCGGTACCAGCCATAACGAATTGAACTTGATTTATGCCACTGCGAATCACATTTTGAAGGAATTAAAATGTGTTTTCTTTTACAAGAAAAAGAAAATGCATCATTGTTACTGACATCACCCGCGAAGACGGCCGTGGTGTTTCTGATGCGTGGGGCGCGTTGGGAAAGGGGAAAAATATAAAAGCCGAATATAAAATTGGATGTTCGGATATAGGACGACAACCCAAATCGCAAGATTCATAATCATGTATCCACTCGGAGAACGCGGCAAATGCTTGACGGGAAGCTCGATCACCATAAAATCATTCAGCACGTAAGCTGCCCTAGCTGTGTGAAACCCGTCATAAAAGAACTCTACCGGTGTGTATCCCACTAAGTTTTTCGATAACCGCCGAAAAGCTCATGTACTCCATTCATATCTTCAAATAACCATCTTGCTCGGAAAGGTGATCATTAAACAGTTGCTTCACCTCAAGAACTTTCTTTCATTTTCCCGCAGGTAGAGCAAGTCCACCATTGATTTTCCATTTTAGTACTGCACCATCGACAAGTCCACATTTGTGGTTCTGGTGGAGCAGGCTTTCTAGCGGCTTTCCTATCGACATTCTGACTAACATGTTTCGTGATACTTTCTGGCCTTTCGCTAGTGCAGGCATCACAGCACAAGAAGTCGACTGGATTGTGAAGCGTACATATAGGGCACGTCCATCCTGTCAATACAGGTGCCGAGTATATTGGCCCTTGTGCAGGCTCGTTTTCAGGAGCTTTTGGCTTCACGGACTTCTTTGACTCGTTGTTCGAACTTTTGGAGACCAGGCGGCTTACATGGCCCAAAGGTTGTCTAGGTCTTCTAAATCCAACCGAGGTCGAACCCGAGGTTGAGGGCTGTCTACGTGAAGGTTGTTCAGGCAAGGATTTAGGCTTTCCATCCGATGCGCGTCCCCCGGTATTATCACCGCCATTTCCTGCTGAATTCTGGGCTGAAGGAGGGACATTAAGTTCCCCATCCTCCTTTTTCTGATCTTCTTGAACAAGCTCCCACATGGCTTGTGCAATGGCTGCCTCATTAGCCGCATCTTTCTCTGCAAGTGTTTTGAATCCATTATTCGTAGCTTCATCGGCCAAATCTTTAATCTCGATTGGATTCATCCTGCTCTCTCCACAACCTTTGAGGACTTTGTTTCGACGTTCGATCGCATCGACGATTACCTTTCGAATATCGCTGCCGTATGGTACTGGTCGACCTCCTAGTTTTTGATCGGACCCTACCAATGATTTCTGCCTTTTCTCCGCGGCTGTGCGAGCAAGACGTCCAGCTTCGTGTCGTGGTACTCTTCGTCCACCCAAGCTCCTCCCCTCTGACAAGAAACCCTCGCCAGTATATCCTTTATTTGTCAAGCCTTCATGTTCCTTCCGGAGTTGATCCCATAGAGCATGAAATTGCTGATTGTGAGGTCCAATTTCGTTGTGGCATAATTCGTGAAGCATTGTATCTACGACCTCTTCCATCGGCAGAAATTGGTTCTGATCTCCCGCATATCTCAATCGTAGACATATTTTTTCTCCGTTGTTTACGTTAAGACCTAGTCCTGAAAGTTAGATATAACTGCTATGGATTTGAAGAGCGAGTTAGAATACCTAGTAGACTCCGTTGATCTGGGTAGAATTCAGTCAAAGTACCTACACGCCAATGACGTGCTCTCATGATAGGTTTGACCAGAGATGCAATCTTCTTAAGAGAATGAAGAGCTTCAGCTTCTCTTTTTCCCTTTTAAATGTGAGTATGCCGAGACAAGTGCATCGTGTTCGGTATTAGCAGACATCCTCAAGTATTAGATAGCAAAAAAAATAACGGATCAAGTTGAATATTGCAATCGTGGGTTCAGAATGCGGTATTGATCGTATTGATCTGCTCAGAACTGTTCCAGATTGCTAGTAAATGGTTTATTGTTGTACAGACACAAACGAATGGGTGTATAAACTAGAAGAAGGTCAATATTTTTGTAATGTGACAGAAAGTTCAACAGTGGTCTTTTGCCATGCCGTGAATTGTAATAAGGACAAGGCTGACGCGCCAACGTACTTGTCCACGTTGAGTTTTTGGAAGCAAGCACTTAACATAAGCGGCATTGGCGGCCGCAGTCCTGACTTGACGATAAGATAAGGCAAACGAGGCTGGAGATTGATGAAATCGACCCCGAGCTTTTTGCCCCACACTTCAAGCAAGTTTCCATGCTAAGTAGATATCAAACATCAACAAGACCTTTAAAGTAAGTCTCACATTTCATCAGGAAGTTACAAAATGTCTGCGGACGATCAAGTATTCTTGGATATCGTATGTACTCTGTCTACTCGAAGTCTTATGGCGTCTACTGATAATCTGATGTTGGTAGCTATCCTCCGTACCGAACGATATTAAGAAGTATAGCAACGATGTTGCAGATTATATTGAAAGACATATTGAAAAAGTAGCTGCATCAATAAGAGTATCCCTTGCCTCTGCAGAATGGATCCCTCCATCTGCGCGTCCCAGACCACCTCCGCCAACTCGAACTTTTGTGGTACCTCAATCATTATACACCCGGATTGAACAATGGGTGTCAAGGAACAAGCTTCTTACTGGGGCTATTGTGATAGTGGTCGGTGGAATAACGTATCATGTTATTAGGAACAGGTCAAACTACCGTAAGAAGCGGAGAGCTAAGCGTGCTGCGACTGGCGCTAGACAAGAAGTTGTGGTGGTTGCAGGATCTCCGTCGGAACCAATAACGAGGTCGATTTCCTTGGACTTGGAGCGCAGGGGCTTCATTGTTTATGTCGTATGCAATACGATAGAGGATGAAGTTTTAGTGCAGAATGAATCTAGGCAGGATATCAAGCCTCTAATGATCGATATTGTTGATGTGAGTTTAGAACAATAGTCCCGTGAGATATGTAAACTGATCTCGTTGTAGCCGTCAAGTGCTTCCGCCGCAATCGATAGATTTGCAGCCCATCTAAGAGCACCACATTCCCCTTTTCAAGGTGGCAAAACTCACCATCTAATATTCCGATCTCTTATTCTCATCCCTTCACTTACTTATCCCTCTTCCCCAATCGCCACCCTATCCGCATCAACAGTATCTGACCTCCTCAATACTCGTCTTTTGAATCCCATCCTTATCCTTCAAAACTTTCTTCCTCTCCTCACGCAGTTACCATTTCATGGATCCCACAGCGGCGACATTGTTCCAAAGCCTTCCATTCTCGTCCTAACCCCCAACATTATACCCTCCCTGTCCCCCGCATTCCACGCGCCCGAGTCGTCCACCACATCTTTCCTCAAGACCTTCACCCAAATCCTCACATCTGAGCTCTCTCCGCTATCTATCCCTGTGATCAACCTACAACTTGGAACTTTCGATTTCTCCTTCTTTGGGCCTAAGAACCAACTCCAATCGTACCGGGGCCGCTCTCCTCCCTCCAACCCAGATTGGGACCCAACATCCCGACACGTATATTCACGAAATTATGCCGCCATCAATCGTTCAAACGTGGGAATAGCAATGGGATGTGGATCACTTGGTGGAGGCTACGGGAAAGGAAGCAGTCTCCGAGAACTAAACAACGCAGTCTTCGACGCTATGGAAAGGAAAAAGGGCGGCATCATCAGAGTGGGCATGGGAAGTAACATATATGGATTTATTGGAGCATGGGTACCTCGCGGGCTAATAGCGTGGATGATGGGAGTTAGAAAGTTCAATGCGGAAAGCGCAGGAGATGATTCTCATGCGTATGCCCCCGGCAGTTCAAGTTCAAGTACGTCTAGTTTTGAGGGTAAAGCTTTCACGCCCGAGAGTAGTGAGACGAGTGGGGGACCTGGGTTAGCGGGAGGTGAATATATTTCGGTTAGTGATTTGGACAGTAATTAGGACAATAGGGGTTCTGGGTCTTGGAATTCTATATAGGGGATACTACCTGTGAGGTGTCTTTCTGCTTTTGGTATGATAACTTAAGTTACCAAATATGGCGTTTCGGGAAATTTTGATACGGACTGGCGCAGGAAGGCATTGGAGGTAACTCAGCTCATGAATATAGTCAAGCTATGCGTAGTTATTACACAATGACATCGATTTGAACTCATCTTTCATAGGACTAGAGATTTAGAAAGAGTAGCACATACATCTATGCTTGGCTGTGACTACTTAGGAGATACTTTGCATTGCACTATTGACATACTCAAATCTGATGTGAGTCAGCCCTGAGACTCCGAAACCCAGATCGACATATTCTAGGCCGTCGCCGTTCTTGTGCCTGGTGGTGCTATCGTGTTCCAGACCCATGATTCTTTTAATGGCTGGAATAATTTATCCCAACGTAGAATCACAAATGATTGAAAAGGAACTGATCAACAACATGGCGCCACCAAAAGTCTTCCACGTATTTGCTTGGACTCATCTAACCCTATTGGTCGAAGCTATTTATACCCTTGTCAAAAGGTGGCTGGAATATGTCCAAGTCCTAGGTCTTGTCTCAGCCTTATTGTGATGAAGACGGCTTGCTTGCATAATTTGCGGGACGGTGGCTTGCCTCGTATGATAGACCAGTTTTCTTAAGGTTCTGTTAATACTGGCGTGACAGTTAGGGTAGCGTGACACCAATGGGTCGTGAAGTGAAGATGAAGGCACTTATGGAACCCGCAATTTGCACTTTGAAAACATTGCATCCTGATGGAAGGTAGCCGTATTCCATGCATGTGTACTCCATCATCAGGGTTCCCCTCATCAAATGCATAAAATTTCGAATATTGGTTTCGCATCCTTAATGTCCGCGTCCCCGTTGGCCCCTCTCCCCTCCACCGCCCCTTCCACGAAAGCTAAAACCACCTCTCCATCTCTGTCTCGGCCGCCCTTCAGGGAATCCTCTTTCCCTATCCGCCTCTCTCTCAGCGTTCTCTCTAATTCTCGCTTGTTCTTCGGCAACTTCTTCCGGGTCTTTCTCAACCTTGATAGTTGGCTTGGGTAAGTCAGAAGGCCATCTTGGATGTGCCCTTTTACATTTTGGTCCATCGGGACAAAATCCTGCTAGGTAGAATTCGCAGATAGCCTTGCGAATATGCTTTTTAGAGCACCTGGGACCAAGTGGGCAAAACCCTTTATCGTAGTGGGGGCAGTTTCCAACCTTAGAGGCAGGATCAACATGTAGATATAGGCATTCATCTGGACTGGTTAGTGGATCCCTTAAAGCATTAGACGGTTCTTAAACGTACCTCCATTGGAGCAATAGCCGTTCTTCACAAAAAAGTTACATTCTGGCATCTTCCTTAAGTTGAACTCATGAAGAAACTCGCAGGTTTCACCCTTCTTACAAAGGCCTCTCAGCCAATGTTTGCATACCATGTTGTTAAAGTTCCATGTATTATTGGGATTGGTAGCATGCTTATCAGGGCAATTGGTACCCAAAGGGCAGTGTCCTTGAAGATATGCTTTACATGTGGGCCGATCGGGAGAAATACCCATGCGGAAGTTATTAAACAAAAATGGTGTGAATGAAAACTTGTACTCTGGGGCTTTATGTTCTAGAATCTGCTGAGCTGCTGAAGCTGAAGCCTGTGCTGCGAAAGCACTGTGTTTTCGTTGTAGTATTTCAGCCATGTTCGGTGTTGTCTGAGTTAATTAAGAATTGGCGTGGTCAGTGTTGTCTGAAGGATTTCACAAGGCGAACTGCCGGAGGGAGCAGAGCATATGGTCATGTAGGTGCTTGTGAATGTAGTGAAGCTCGATGAAGTGTCGAACCTTTTTGTAAGACGGGCTAAAATGTGCCTTGCATTTTACGTGGAGAATGGAGTGTGTACTATAGTTTGAAAACGAAATCCGTATCAGATAGATCAATCTCCGCAGCTTAACTTGGGTGTGGTTGTACAAAGATTGATTGATTAAAAGTGTTTTGGATGTCGCCCAAAGGATTGAATTCTCGACAGCCTCGCGTATTAGTAATCAGATTCAAAAAGGCATTATCACTAATAGGGTTAGTGCAAAGCCAATCATAAGCAGTACTCCGTACTAACTTTTAGGTACAGATATCACTGCATCTACTCCGTAGAGCTGCCAACCTGCACAGCCAACCTGCAGAACTTGAGTGGATTTGCAGCTACATCAGGCATGGCATTCTACCCTGCTTGTTTTTCCGAAGAGACAGGGTAATTGTAGGTACATTTACCCCGTTATCGAATCATGAAATGCCTAGTCCAGCTGTTTACCTGCACCGACAGTACATCAATTTGATGCCGGTTGTTGAGATTTCAGTGGATATCTTTTACCTAAGAATCCTTGTCTCTGTGATGCATCATTGCACAGTACAGTACATACATAAGGAGTTGTACTCACCCCACCATTTATCTTCAACAAGTAGGTACCTACTCACGGTTCTCGAAGTGAAGTGGATCAAAATATAGGACTATTTGATCGCTATCCTCTAGTGTACCGTAAGGAGCACAGCGTATAAGATGGTGAGGACACAGGGTGATGAGAACACAAGATAGAGAGTGTGCTAGATGGAGATCATGAAACATCCCCCCTGAGTATTGATATATTGTGCGATTTCTACCTGTGCTTGTTTATTCTGATCTACAGTGAATACATGTTAATATACGTAGAAAATGCATGCCACTCGGCTCCTCATGCACGTCAGTGAAATACCTAGTGAAGTTGGCTTTCAATATTTCGGCATCTTCACGGACGGGTAGAAAGCTATGGCCGTTGATCATTTTTCTTACCGATCCACCATGCCATGCTTGTCGGTATAATATTTTTCACACCAAGCTACATTTCTATCACGTTTTTATATTAGACCGTTCGAAGTATGTATTTCTCAAAATGAACACAGACATGAATAGAAAGTAACAAAATACCCGTGATACTTATACTTACACTTAGCATATTTTCCATTTTCTTGAATACTTGCCACTTGCCAGTTGTCCTTAGCAAACAAAAAGATCCACAAAAAGATCATGATCCCCTCGTCCCCTTCGCCCCACAATCCAATGAATGAGGGAGGGGTTAAAGAACATAAAATCCTTCGAAACAAATCGTTCGGAAGTTTTAACTAATCATTGAAATCATTCAAATCATTCAAATTATTCAATTCATTCAACTCTATTCATTCAATTCATCTTATTATTATTATTATTATTATTTTGAGTTGAATAAGATGAATTTAATGAATAGAGTTGAATTGAATGAATAGAGTTGAATGAATTGAATAATTTGAATGATTTGAATGATTTCAGAGTTAAATGATTTCAATAGAGTTGAAAAAAGTTCCAAGTCAGATTTGCCTGAGGTTATAAGGCTTGCTTATGCCAAGCTTTTTGTTAGATTATTTACCGGGGTATTTTAGACCAATCAGATTGTCAAGATCGCGACTCACTTAAGCGAGTTTCTCATTTTCTATCACCCACCAGATAAACCTCGCATACAACAAGATTATAGTATCGGCAAGCCGACAATAAAATGAAAAGAATTTAGTTTTGATTTTTATTGTTATTTGATGGATTACTAAAAAAATAATATCTTTATCGGTTTTCGTTAATAATGATTAATAAATTTTTCTAATCTTTTAAGTTTGTTAACTTTGACTGTTAAATAAGATATATACTTTTATATCAATCGATTTTCAAAGGATAACTAACGAGATATATATAAGTGAACGGCTGAGTAGATCTGATAGTTACCAACTTGTCAATAAGCATTCGAGCTTTAGATATCTCTTATGATGCTGATGGAAAGTAGGGATACGGTTAGTAACAATTGATGACGGTGAATACAAAAGATTGGTTGCCGATGCCTGGAGGTGCATTTGGCCCTGCCGACTTGTAGGTAGTAGGTAGGTAGGCTGGTGGCAGTAACAAGTAACTTAGGGTCGTCATTGGCATCGATATCATGGTGCATGCAGGACGATGAACGAGTCAGAACATAAACTTTGCACGTTGATCTTGGTAATTGGAACCTTCAAAACCCACATTCCCTTGGTAACATCATACCGGTGTCCATATAACATTCGGAGAGAGTATCACTTGATTCTTAACTTCTTCATTTGGCCCCTCTAGTTTCTAGGGTTTTAGCCGATGAGCACTGCATTAGATTGCTGTAACGTAGTGGATGCGAGGTGAGAAGAATGGATGAAATGCTAATACTGATGCTAATGCATTAAAGAAAGCGCATCGAAGGAAAGGGGAAAAATTCCAAATACGGTATTTTTTGTCTGTCTGTCTGGTCAATAACGTGGCAAACGGAATATCACATTCACATTGATAACGATACTCGGAAGGATATTGGCTAATTAGCGGACGCTTTCTTCACACCAAACTTTCTCCTCTTCATGAAAAGCAGCTACACTCAGCTCGCCGAATAATGTTTCATCACTCTTCCGTTGCCCCTACGTCGATACCGCATTCCATTTCTCTCATTCGAGGTAAATCCTCTGATTTTAATTCGATCTGTTTTACAAAGCGCCACATATACAACCACATATTGATATTGGTTTGTGTGCTGCGGATCTACCTTCGGCACACTAGCCTATAGATACCTATATGAGTGTATATACGACACTCATAGCTGTCTCTTTTTGTATCAAAGGAAAAGGGACTACTTAGCTGTTACCTTCGCGGCATCACAACTCATTCAACTCACTCTAACTTGGTTAATCGTTGTCCGTGGCTCGGATCTTCCCTCATTAGTCGTCTCGTTGGTGACTTTGGATCCAGGTGTAACTGGGAACTTCCTTACAGACTTATCATCCCCACACACCTAATTCTTCATCGATCCACTGTCACAAGCTCCCGCAAATCAGCTATATGCTAGTCGGCTGGTTGATTTATCAGTGAATATGTATAATTGATCTCCGTCATTTCCCCATGCATATGTACCGCCAGAGTACCGACCCTTTTGAATATCAATCTTCAAGAGTTGTACTCAAGTCTTGCCGGTGATTCATCTGTGCCGAAGTTCATATATTAACGCTTTTCTTGGCCAAAAGAGGTGCTTCCAAGTTCTCAGCTTTCTCCCCCTCCTCCAAATCAGTCATTCATCGACTTTTTTCTTCTTCTTTTATTTCCTCTTTACCGTGGACTTGAAATAAGGCAAAGGGCTCCTGCAGTTCTTCATTCACTCATATTCATTCTTCCTCGTCTTCTAAGATGTCACATCCATACGGGCCTCCTCCTATACCATGGAGCTCGAGACCGCGAGTGGACAATCGCAGGCCCTCTCAGCCATCAATCGCAGCGAGTATTTCTAACATCATGTACAAAAATGCCGTGTATTATCCCAACTATCGGGTCTATCGTGGCGAGACACCTGCGTCGTTGAACTTTAGTTGTATCAGCCATGTTTTCTATGCTTTTGCTCATGTTGGCCCGGATGGTGGAGTTTTTGTGAGCTTCTCCCTTTTTTGAACAAGGTTCCAAATCGTTGCTAACTACATAAGCTGAGCGATGATTGGGCAGATATGCAAATGCCCGTTGATGGTGCTACCGGATGCCTAGGATCATTTATGCGTTTGAAACAACAGCATGAACATCTCCAGCTCATTATCTCTATAGGTGGTGGCGCAGCTAGCCAAAACTTTGCACAGGTCGCTGCTTCAGCTGCCACAAGAGATCACTTCGGAAAGTCGGTCCGAGGTCTGGTTGATGCAACAGGTTTCAATGGTATCGATAGTAAGTTTTTCCCCCCTATGGCGGATAATACTCATCTGACGAGCCTAGTCGATTGGGAACATCCTTCAGATCCCGAACAAGGTCGAAATTTTCTCGCCCTTCTTGCTGCTGTTCGGCTTCATTTGCCCGATGAACGATATTTGCTGACGGCTGCTTTGCCCGCCGGCCGATGGGCTTTGCAAAACATCGATCTTTATAAAGCTCAAGATTATCTGTAAGGACAATTGTTGATTACACAGCCCCCAAAAATGAAACTTTAATTTCTTGGTTATCCACTTCCTAGTCCGATCAGTCTTTTATAGTCTATCAGTACTGACCATTCTTTTGCTTTAGAGATCTAATCAATCTTATGGCTTACGACTTTTCTGGTTCATGGTCACACAGGTCAGGACACCACGCCCAGCTTTACCCCGGAAACATGCCGGATGCAGCAAACGGGAGTGCTGCTGTCGATTATCTTATATCGACCGGGTTCCCGGCTTCAAAGATATTACTTGGTGTGCCAGTGTACGGGAGGTCGTTCTTGAACTCCAGAGGACCGGGACACCCATATCATGGTTGTGGCGGCGATGAAGGAACATTCGAGTACAAGTTATTGCCAAGGCCTGGAACTCAAGAGGTGGTGGATACTACCACCGTTTCAGCTTCCTGCTATGGGGGCGATGGAGGATGGGTCTCTTATGACAACCCACAGACTGTTAAGATAAAGGCTGAATATTGCAGGCAAAGGCGTCTTGGAGTGGGTTAGCTCTTTCCTGTCAGTCATACGTGTTTGCTAATCAAATTTAGGGTTTATTTTATTGGACAGGGACAGCAGATGCATCTGGTCCGAGAAGTTTGATATCATCTGGTTTTAAAGCTCTACATGACGCATGAGCTGTGAATATCGACTTGTACGGGGGGGCATTGAAAGTGCTAATTTGATGGCTGGGAAGAGTAAGACATTTGAAGCTATGTCGAGGAAGGTCTGATAAGACTGATCTGGAAAACGTAATTTTTCGAGTGGTCTAACATGTTTTCAACATTGGGAAGTGCTGGCTCTCTCGTTCCCTTTATGGATTTATTATGATTTATGATGAAATGACCAAGGAAATAGCATTGGGTGGTTGGTCTGAAAATACTCGGGGGGTTAGACAAGTATACTCAAAATGGTAGCTACATCAGCTCAATGTATAATAAGGCGATTTTAAATTTCATACTTAGATACATGTGTTTTAGAGACCCGAATTATCAAGGATATCTAAAATCAATCCTGCTTCTTGGATTGAAAGTTTTAGTTTAGTAGATATCTGAGTAATCGTTGTCGTGTGGCTGACGAGGCTGACGGAGTTTGGGGATGCACGCATAGGTTATGCATAGGTAAACTAATGTTAGAGATTATTAACACATTTCTACAACTACACATCAATAATTACTTATTAGTTTATTCACACATGCTTTGTCATTAGTGTATTGAGTACTATTCTCAATACTTTATTTTATTTCATATCATCCATTGCAGCATGAATGGCGCATCGATACCTTCATCACTGGATGCATGTAAGTCCCAAACCCTCACTTTCACCATAGTCAAAATCCCCACTGATCTCACACCCCCGCAGCCGATTATGACCCTATCGACCATTTAAACACGATATTTTCCCATCCTTCGACTCTAGGCTCTATAAATCAGACAGCTGTTGCATTGCAAGCTCATCAAGATGAGCTCTCAAGTAATATCGCCGATCTCGTGGCCACTCAAGCATACAATGACGATTCCTCACTCAAACGTATGCAAGCCGCAAAGTCGGAACTGGCAGACCTCTTTAAGAAGATCGAATCTGTACGGACACGGGCTATACAGACGGAGCAAACAATCACCTCGATGACCGCAGATATTAAGAGGCTGGATGGCACAAAGAAGAACTTAACTTTGAGCATGACAGCTCTAAAAAGATTACAAATGCTTACGACTGCTTATGAACAACTAAGAGGTCTGGCAAAAACAAGACAATATCGAGAATGTGCGAGCTTGCTACAGGCTGTGCTGCAGCTTATGAAGCATTTCAATAGTTACAGGAGCATAGACCAGATTGCTACCTTGAGTAGGGGCGTCTCGGAGTTACAGAGAGAGTTATTGGAACAAGTCTGCGAGGATTTTGAGATGGCATTTGCCAAAGGCGAGGTGGGAAATAAGAAAGCAGTGCTGGCAGAGTCATGTCTGGTGATGGATGCATTGGGAGATAATGCTCGAGCAAGATTGGTGACCTGGTATGTCAATACACAATTGAGGGAGTATAGGCAGGTTTTCAGGGGAAATGACGAAGCAGGGAGCTTGGATAATATCGGCAGAAGGTACAGTTGGTTCAGGAGAATGCTGAAGACATTCGAAGATGAGCACGCCGGAATATTTCCTGCTGGATGGAGAGTTAATGAGGTCCTGGCAAATGCATTTTGCGAAGGTACCAGGGATGATTTCAAGGGAATCTTAGAGAGGAGCATGCGACGAACAGACGGAATTAAAATTGACGTCAATTTGCTCTTGAGTTGTCTTCAGGAGACTATGGATTTCGAGCAAAGTCTTGAGAAGAGATTCGCGACAGAGACAAGAGCAAGTATCGATACTCTTAGCTCTCTCGAAGATAAACCCCTGACATTTCATGGGTCTATTTCCGAAGCCTTCGAACCATATCTCAGTCTTTGGGTTGAGTCACAAGACAAACAACTCGCCACGATGATACCCAAATATCGTATCCAACCAATGTTAGCAGCTGATGAAGAATTCTCCCCACAGGCTGTGATACCGTCATCTATTGAGCTCTTTCATTTTTATAAGACATCCCTGGCTCAATGCGCCAAATTATCAACTAGTGAACGGCTCCTAGACTTCTCGAAGATCCTAGCCAAATATCTCGATCAATATGCTCAGCAAGTTCTATTATTTTTCTTACAAGGGGCAGGAGGGCCCAGCCTTGAAAATACTATCCTTGTTCTCAACACGGCAGACTATTGGCATGCTAATACTCAGCAATTGGAAGACAATTTGAAAAGAAGAATAGACAGTGATTTGGCAACAAAGGTGGACTTGTCATCACAGTCTGATGCGTTTATGGGCGTTGCAAGCGCAGCAGTTTTATCATTGGTGAACCGAGTAGAGGTTGATTGCGAAGGATCATGGCGTGAGATGAAGAATACGAATTGGAGCAAAATGGAAAGTGTAGGGGATCAGAGCAGCTATGTTGCAGAGTTGTTGAAACATGTCAATGATCGAGCAGCGGAAATATTACCTTTGGTTGGGAAGCAGCAATATGCCCGCGCGTTTTGTGATAAAGTTGTTGAACATTTGGCCAATACGTATATCGCAAACATCGTTCAGTGTCGACCTGTGTCCGAGGTAGGCGCCGAACAGGTATGTATAAATCTTCAAGTACATGGTATTCACTTCTAGTTCGTATTTTCTAACGTCCTCTTCAGATGTTGCTAGACAAATATGTCTTAACTAAAGGATTGACAACTTTGCTCACTCATTCCCCTACTCCCTCCTCAGCCACTGCAAATACTGCATTTCAAAAACGTGTAAATAATATAATGACTCGTCTGGACCCGCTTCTCAAAACGCTACAAGTCCGTCCGTCACCGCCAGAAGGGCTGGTTCAAGCATACCTCATTCACATCGGCGACCGTAGTGATACGAACTTTCGGAAAATACTAGAATTGAAGGGTGTTAGAAAGCAAGATCAAACTGCATTGGTTGAAATGTTTGGTATGCATAGAGATGGCAAGGCTAATGAGCAACTGGTACAAAATTCACCTCTTCTCACGCCACTCATGAATGTTGCGGGACTTGGTAGCACAGGTTTAGGGATTGGAACACCTAGTGGCATGCCAGGTTTACAGACACGATTTGACCCCGGTGGTTTCGGAGAAAAGCTATTTAGTGCGGCCAGGGATAGTATAGGAACTGGAGGGGTTGGTGATAGAGGGATCAGTCCTTTGGGCGAGGATGCAAAGGCTACCGTGGAGGGAAATTTGAAGAGTATTGGAAAGTTCTTCAGAAGAGATATGACTGGGTTTGGTGGAATGAATATAGGGGGAAGGTTTGGTGCTAAAAGAGACGGTAGTGTAGATGATTATACCAAGTAGTAGATAGGAAAGTGATGGATCGGATTTAGAATATAATCAGTCAGTCCTATGATGATGTCAATACATCGTCACATGCTGAAAAATATGTTCCCCTGGAACTCGGGTCCGGAGAGAGGTACGGATAAGTCATGTGAATTTACGCTCAGGAGGCCAGAGAATGACCTTGCGAAATGAAACAGAAGAGATGGATAACCTGAGGAGAGAGAGCGCCGCAGATCTATTATACTATTTTCCGACGAAATGTGGTATGGTAATTGGGACTCAAGCCATAACTGCACCTTTGTTGATATCAAATGATTATGATGAGGCAGTTGGATGATGTTTAGAGGATATTACACGATGAGGGAGTAGACGAGGGAGTACTGTAATGATCAAGCTATTTTGTATCTACGTAGTTAGTGTTCAATACATCGGAAATTGCCCTTTGATTGGGTCCTTTCCGGATTATATCGGATGGATTCCTAGGGATTCCTAGGGATTGGTTTGAATTCGCACGAAACGTAAGACTAGATGCTGTTGATTTGATACTATTCGGTAGGTGTAATACCATCCGGTGAACCTTCTAGATACAAGTATACTACATATTTGTCACATCGAGAATTGAAAACTTTTATCTAATCTGATCGGATCTGAATTATCTCAAACAAAACCTTGCAAAAATACTCGTATATCAAATAACAAATACAAATCATCTAGGCCTAATGTGTAGATCAATACGTGTTTAGTAGGTAACTGCTTACTGATGGCAGGCGAGAAACAAAGACGGTCCAGATTCCTTGAGACGGTCCATCACGAAATTTTGGCGGGGAAGCAAGGAACATTGTTTGAAATCAAATCTTTTCGAATTTCCCTCTGTGAAGTAAATAAATAAGAAATTCCACACGCACCACACCACGATACATTATCTTTTTTCTTTTCGAGAATTTTATATTGGTCTTTTTCGGCGCATAGACTTTAGATCGGTTTTTACCTACCTTTCTTCACATATTAGAAGTATCCGTTACAGTCAAAAATACAAAAAGGGGGGCTCCAGTCTTAAATCGACAAACTGTTTTCTTCAGCTGTCAAACGTACCTTAAGGGCAAGTGGTTCGGGTGTTTCGATTGCGGCGGCGGCGTGTTTTCAACAGAAAAACACCGTCAAGGGAAATAGCGCGAGTTTGCTTGGAAGAAATATAGAAAGGAGGATGCATAGTAAGGTTGTTGGTGAGTATTCCCTTCTTTTATGGTGGGGTGAACTGGGAGGGGTGATGGATGGGAATTGAAGAAAGAAAGGTGTCTGCGAATAAGGTACTGACTTCAAGGAATAGTTATTGGCTCAGGCCCGGCGGCTCACACTGCTGCCGTATATCTTGCGCGTGCAGAATTAAAACGTGAGTCCACATTCTGGGGATAGGAAATCGAGAGTTGGTGGAAGGGGGTTGGCTGACATTCATTGTTTAGCTGTACTTTATGAAGGTTTCTTAGCAAATGGAATTGCTGCTGGTGGACAATTGACTACTACCACCGATGTAGAGAATTTTCCTGGTTTCCCTAAAGGGATTGGTGGACAAGAACTTATGGTAATTTCACCTCGTTTCCAGAAATTGGCAGAACGACAGCTAAAGAATTTTGTGAAAAGGATAATATGCGCGCACAATCCGAACGATTCGGTACTCAAATCATCACCGAAACAGTTGCAAAAGTTGATCTCTCCAAACGCCCTTTCAAATACTGGACCGAATGGGATGACAAAACCGAACACACAGCGGATTCCATCATCATCGCTACCGGTGCATCAGCTCGCAGACTCGGTCTTCCAGGTGAGGAGAAATACTGGCAAAATGGTATTTCCGCTTGTGCAGTTTGCGATGGAGCCGTACCAATTTTCAGAAATAAGCCCCTGGTAGTTATTGGTGGTGGAGATAGTGCTGCGGAAGAAGCCATGTTCCTCACGAAATACGGATCTCATGTTACGGTTTTGGTCCGAAAAGATCATCTACGTGCGTCGAAAACGATGGCTAAGAGATTACTTGCCAACAAGAAAGTTACTGTTAAATTCAACACCGTCGGAGGTGAAATTACTGGTGATGATAAGGGATTGATGACGCATATGATTTTTAAGAACGTCGTTACTGGAGAGGAAGAGAAAGCCGAAGCCAATGGGTTATTCTATGCCGTAGGACATGATCCAGCTACTGCATTGTTCAAAGAGCAAATCGAGACTGATTCCGAGGGATATATTGTAACCAAGCCCGGAACGAGTTACACGAATGTGGAGGGGGTTTTTGCCGCGGGTGATGTTCAGGATAAGAGATACAGACAGGCTATTACTAGTGCCGGTACGTTTTGCATCTTCATCTTTGAATCTGTAACGAGAAACTAATCATGTCAATAGGATCTGGATGTATAGCAGCTCTGGAGGCAGAAAAATTCCTCGCTGAGCAAGAGGATGCGGAAAATGATTTGGAGAAGACGGATGCTGAAAAGGGTAGCAATGTTGTGGTTCCTGAGTATAGATCTAACCCTTTGCTTTAAGTTTTTTTCTTTGTCATTGGTCATTTTAGATGTTTTTACATGGCATTTAGTGAGATAGGTTGGATTCCTTGCATGCTTGCACGGATATCCTTATAGTTAGTTATTATACCTTGATAGAAAGAAGGAAGGAAGAAAGAAAATAAATAAATAAATAAATAGATATAGCAAAACCTCTTTTTTATCATAACTAGTGTTCTCTTTCCTTCTTGTCTGTTCTGTCCTATTGTTTTTATAGACTATTGAGAAGATTGTGGCGTGTATATATATACACATACACATGTATCTATCTATTTATCAAGCAGCCAGGTAGATAGATAGGCAGATAGGTGGATTATAGGAAGTATTTCTATTGATCTGACTCGCTTGATCTGATCTGATCTAATTTCATCTAATTAGTCGCTACAAATAGATTAAAGCAAAAATATCCAACGCTGGACTGCAGTCAACTTACGGGCGTATTTTTAAATGCATACATACATACGCTTCTTTGGCGAAATTTTTCAATGTCATGACTCATTTACCCTTTTTTTCCCCAAAAATCAGACTTCGCGAGTGCGGACAGGTATTGTGAGGAGAGCTCCCTTTCTTGGATGGTTTTGTATTGTTGTATTGTAAACGGATTTATGTGAGATTATAAGTTTGGGACGGAGCTTACTCTGACGTGGGAGATTGAGTAGCTACAGTTGGATGGAGATGCTGTATTGTTAGGGAGACTTGCTTGCGAATGAGACTTGCTAATGAGGCTTGCTAATGGTAATGAATAAAAGAAAGATATATGGGTGTCTTTTTTGGAAACTTGGGTGATCGGGATATCTATGGAATGAATGCATGGCTTTGGAATCGTATGGATGTGATGAGTATGTTTAGATGATTTGATAAATAAGTGGGAAGGAGAGGTGATTGTGGTTTAATCTAGTGGTGCGACTCCGATCCGTGATGACTTAAAGTTCAAGTATAAAGTTAAGTAAGGAATTCGAATGAAACTTGTGAGGATATGCGTTCGTTAGATATAGGTAGGGATTTTATTAGTTTGCTACGTTTGGATTGTAGAGCGGGCTCATAACTTCCAGGTCGTTTCGAAGTTGAATTCGAGCAGAATGCAACAGCATCTGACTTTAACGATCGGAGCCGTTGTGGATTGCTGAAATTAAAAGGCAAATGTTTAATCATAGTAAGACTAGACCCGAGAATTTTTGTTTCTAGAACCGAGGAAGGGTATGGATATGGGATCAAAAAATTAAAGGAGAGGATTTTGAGCATAGTTTTGCGGATATTACTCAGGAGAGATGAAAGTTAAGGGGTGGTTTATTATATATATAGTTATACTAGAACTAGGGTGATCTATTCCTTTGCTCCCGCCTTTGAAGGAAAGAAGATACAGTTCTGTGTGCTGCAAGTAGTATGGCTATGCTATACCTAATAGTAATTACATGCAGATATTGCTAATTTCTCTTGCACTGGAGAGACTAGCCATAGCTCTAAAAACCTACTCAAATCATTAGATTCTTTTCTAATTAATGAGCAAGTGCTGAGATTTGAAAAGCGGCATAACGAAGATGAATCGAATATTAATTCACAAATTACTATGCGGTGGGAGTAAATATGAGATGGTTTCTTTAACATTGCGATGAATTCTCTAAAAGCGAATCAAAATCCCAGAATTCTGATGACTATTTCGATTTCAATTTCGATTTCGTCAAGTCTATATGATTGTTTCCATATAAATTACTATTCAAAGCGTAATATCAAATTATTCTCTGTGGTATAATATTGAAGAGTGCATCGTACTGCAAAGGCTATATGCTCTCTCTCTTCCTCTATATACGAGTCTGATTCCAATGAAATTGGGATAAGAGGGAGGACTTTGAAAAAGCTGGGAAAGCTGAGGAGGTAAAGTATGGTGTTTGGAAGGTAGAAGGTGGAGGGTTGGTGTTTGCTGGTGAAAGATAGTGAGGTATAGGAAGACTAGTCTCGAGAAGAGAGGAGAAGCAGCGAGAAGAAGAAAGTAAGAGGAGTCAAGTGAAGGAACAAAGTAGTTTTGTTTAATCGAAGATTTGAAGATCATATACGAATTGTGTTGAGCTTGAAGGTTTTGAAATAGATAATAGTATGCTAAGGAAGCGGGTTATTTGATTAGAAGCAATCAAGAGAAAGAAGAAAGGGGATCGATCCTTTTATTAGTATATCGAAAATCCCCATCTAAACAGCCTTGAATATCCAAATATCCCGCTATCCCGCCAGATTCTAAGCCACGCAACATGCAGGCCTCCCATTAAAAAACATACTTAGGTAATTCCACCGCCAACCCCTCACCCCTAAAGACTCACATGCGGAGGCACCGGCCAAAACTTCCCATACTCATGATAGCCACCATCATCCGACCTTAAAAGAAATGCATCATTCCGATTATGATTCGTCCCATTTGTATAAATCAAATTGTTAAACCACCCCTTACATAAATCCCTCAATCGATATCTGCAGCTCTCGCATAAAGTTAAGGGACACCCATCGCAGAGGAAAATAGATTGTGCTGGACACACCATGCAGAATTTGGAGATGGGTCCGTGAGGTTTCCCGTTCATGTGGATGCTGTGGTTGTGGGTTTGTATGGAGTTTGGAGGTGAGGATGTGAGGGGTTGTAGGGGGAAAGTAGCGGAGGACGTGGTATTCCCGCCGGATTGGTCCCAGGACAATTCCGTGTTGCTCGCCGTGCAGTCCATGTCGATGTTCACGATGGAGTTCATGCTGGGATTTACTCCCCAATCCATATCCGGTTGCATAACCCCCGTAGATATCCCACCAGAATTCATACCGCCTGCTTTCAATCCTTGATCCACAATAGAATTAATATCATCCAAAGTAACACTACCATCCATCAAATCCGCACCAACATCAAAACTAAAACCATGGATATCCAACCCAATATTCAAATCCCCAGATCCATCCATCTGGCTCGGATCCTGCAGTCCGCGACTATAGCCTAGCTGCCATTGTCCATCTGTATTCAACGCAACGATATGACTAAACTCGTCATGACAACCATGAGTAATAATCTGCAACTTTCTCATCTTGCAGCTTTCGCAAATCTTGGTCTTGCTCATGTCGATTTGTCGATGATCGGATCCTCGACACATGAGATTGTGCATGAAGGGATTGATTAAGATATTATCGATTGCAGAGAATATCTCTTGGGGGTCACCGAAAACATTGGATTCCTCAGACATGGGTGCATAGCGATCATAGCTAGTCGAAGTAGCAGAAACAGATAATCGAGATCCTTCCATTGACGAGCGACTGCATGATGACTGAGTTGATTTTTTGGGTGATGGACCGGAACCAGCTGAATCTTTCGCTGGTCTCTTTCCTCTCCGTTTTTCCTTGTGATCCATCTTCTCCAGAACAGCAGCACGAACAATATGTTTCCCGGATTTCTGGCATTCCCTACACCAATCACAACCAGCGGGACCCCATATTTCATTGAAATTATGGCTGTATGGACCAATTCCATAAGAATTTGGCTTCCCGGTACAAAAGTCGCATTCAAAGTTCTCTCCAATGGTCAACTGGTTAATAGCTAATTGCTTTCCCTCTACATCAATAGTCTTCTTTAGTCGAGGCTCCATGACTAGATGCTCCCAGAGTGGAGCAGATCGTTTTCCATCAAAAGGCATAGGACTATTAAGATCATAATATTGAAGTGAAGTACTAATTTCATTAGCAACTTGCAAGCGACGAAGATGTCCGGTGGACCGCGCAGTGAGAGGTTGATGGGTTTCAAATAAATTGAGACGCTGGCGTAACATATTATTCCAACCGGAACCTGGAGGTGAGCATGGTGGAGTGGGAGCTGGTACTGGGTTTTCCTGGTTCGGGCGTTCACTTGCTTGATTTTCAAGTGCTGTTTGAGTCATTATATTTTGAACTTGGCCATGACACTGCTGCTGCATTTGCACATTTTGCTCACCTCCTGCATTAATATTATATTGGGATTGTAGACCCGATTGGAGAGAAACCGGGGATTGGGTATGCATACTCATATCCATATTTACATTCATATCTCCTTGAGAGTTAAAGATTTGACCCGGTTGAAAGTAGCCCGGAATACTACCCCATTCGGCAGGATTTGGAGGAATCGGGACATGGAAGGTTGGCCATACGGCACGAGGCGTAGGGTGATGAAAACTTGGCGGGTGAAGAGGATTGGGTGATGTAAGAAGAGGTGTATTTGGCTGACTACGAGGAGAGTCGCGATGAAAGCTGGCGGGATGCAAAGGATTCGGGGATACCTCTTCAAAGGAAATATTAGGAGCTGCCAATACTATGGAATTCGACCTTGTTGATCTAGCTGGAGTATTTGCTACTGCTGGCGAGGCCACATGAGTAGGGTTAATAATTGATTGGTTAGGCGTAGCGGATCTGCGTAAATCGATACCTAATCGAGCAGGAAGATTGGTTGAATTTAATGATGGCGAGCTCATTTGACCAAGTTTCGAAATTGAGTTATTTGGAGTATGTCCATAGACAGGAGTACCATTCTGAATTATAGCTGGTCGAGGGGAAGGCATTTGTAAAGCTTGTGTATCTGGTCCAACCTTAGTTGCAAAAGTGTCGCTCCTCATATTTGGCACAAAAGACATGTTATATCCACCTCGTACACTTAAAGTATTCCGCGGGTTACTACCAGTGAATGATTCAGTCGGATAACCGCCAGCATTTGTCGAGGGTGCTTGATTTGACGACCCAGGCATGTTTGTCTTCGAATTCGCTTGAATTATTGGTGAAGCTTCAACAATACTTGCTCCTGGATTTTCTTGAGCTGAGAATCCATCCACATTTGCTGTTGACCATACACTTTTTGTGGAACCAGATTCCCACGGCGATACTCGAAATGGATCTGTAGGTGATATATCACGCTCTCGACTGATACGACAACCGCTGATGTTCGCTATATTTCCTTTACCACTAGATTGAGATCTATGTGTACCTTTTTGTAGGTCAACACCGAGAGAAGCGTCGGCCATATTTTGACCTCTTGATGATATCTCCTCAGCCTGATTACCACTATTCTTCATAATCTGCTGAGTTGTAGAGTGGTTCATAGATTGCATCGATGTTTGAAAACCAGAATCCATTTGAGATACAGAAGAAAGATCCTGTGTGCTCACCTCCATTCTTGAAGATGCCATTCTGCCAGTTTGGTTTCCAGAGCTCATAAGATTTGCCTCCCTCATAGAATTATTTATAGATCGAGTGGAGGTTTCGGAATCAGAATCCATATGGTATCCATTAGGAGATAGATTTCGGAAACCTTGCCGCATTTGCGTACTCATCTTCGATGATTGTGTAGATTTATGACCACCTGTATTCCTCGCATCAGTTGACCCGTCAGGTATAGAATTCTCCAAAGTTGCCATCATCTCAGCAAAATTAGCATCGAAATTTGGATCCATATCCACAGTCACAGGCGGTCCAGAAAATGGATTTTTAACAACAGTCATTGTAGTAGATCCACCCAAAATTATCAAACTTCCTTGACTTTCAACTTTGTTTGCCTTTTCCACAGTTTCAACCATGCGCTTATAAGCGTTTGCGGAATTCGATAGAGCCATTTCGTCAAAATGACTGTCTTTCGACAACATTCCACTGTTTTCTAGGCTTGGATTGCGGCGATGTACTCGATCTGGAATACTCAAGTTGAAGGGATTAGAAGTTGGATGATTTGCTTTGACAGCAGCTTTCCATTGTTGTTTATCTGCATCGGTGTTTGCAGGAAATTCGGAATTAGTTGTAGGCAAGGCTTCTCCTGCAGGCGTTGCTGGACTTTGTGCATATGGTACTTGCTTGCCCCCCATATTGGTATTGTAGTTAATAGATGTGCCAAATTTGGACTTGGTTGGATTTGACACCGAAATTGTTTGTGCGGCAGTAGCAACAGTTGGGCTTATCGGTGGTAAATTAGAAGCTTCTCTTTGCAAGTTGGCTCCAAATTTGTTCCAGTCGTCAACAGATGAATTGATCCCTTGTGTAGCTGCTGGTGGCTCACCAGCTACCATCGTTGCTATACTTGATAGGGCGCGACGTGGTGTTGTAACGGCCGCAAATAGAGGTGGATTTGCAGATAAAGGTAAAGACGATATATCTCCAAGTGCGCGGTTTGTATGATTCACTGTTGTTCGCCGCCGTTCAAGCGATGGAAGCTTGGATCGAGGGGTCGGTGACTTTGGAGAATGCCGACCTTCAATGTTTGAGGATGAATTAACTAGTGTTGTGCGAACCAATTTTCCAGTCGAGCATCCAAGAACTAATTGCGAAGGTGAAGTTAATGAGGCTGCTCCTAAGCCCCGTGATGATAAATTTCCAATATTGGATGTAGAAAAGGAGATAACACTCTTGCGTTGTCGACGTGGCGGTCCATCTGAAGCCATATTTGTAGGTTGTAGGATTGGGGAGAATGAGGTTGTGACAGCGAGATAATCACAGAAGGCGTCGTTGTTTGACTAGTTTGGGAAAATAATTGTTCTCTCTTGCATGAATTAAAACTCGGCTCGAGAGTCCAATGGAAGAGTATCATCCCGTCTTGTTTTAAGGAGTTTCCAAATTCTGAGACTGAAAGAAACATATTTTGTCATTGTCCAATGTCAACTAAGATATTCACAGTTACTATAGCTTGGGAATAAAAAGTACTTACCCATGATGCTTACCTAGAAGACTATAGCTTGAATTGTCCTCTAGACTCTTCCATATATCTATCATGTTATACTGAGGATCATCTTGAATAGCTACTCGCTACCAAATTATAGTATTGGATGAAGTGATGTTGATTCACAACATCTTTAAATTGAGACATCAAAAGAACCAAACACTCATCTAATCTGGGAATTAATATATGATGTGATACCCAGCTACCTAGTAGCTGAGGATTATAAATTAATCCATCACAAGGGGGGCTTGATTGTATACTTACTCACTCACTTACTCTCTCATTCATCATCCTTCCTTTATTACCTACGTACCTAGTACGTACCGTATTTTTAAACTTGGTTTGATTCCTACTATTCCGTTTCCGTTTGATCTATTTCATCTATCCCATCCCATCTCATCATTCACCTCATCCCATCCCACTATGCCATTCCATCCACCAACCTATCAGTTCCAAATCACCACCATGAACCCAACTCCCAACACAATATCATACTATACATACCTAGCAACACAAATTCCAAAAAAATAAAAATAGATAGAAAAGTATTCCAATTCACCCTATACCTTCCTATCCCTATCCCTATCTCTCCCATTCCTACTTCTATTCATATTCCTATAATCCTGGGTATCATATCTATCATATCCATCCCATTTACAAAAAATCAAATTAAATCAATATCAATCACTATCCTTAGGTAGGTATCAAAATGAAAATCCTTCCATTCCATTCCGTTCCGTTCATTCCATCTCACCCCTATACTTCCCTCCAAGTTTTAAACCCACAAACCACAACCCATAAATGTTCCATCCATCCTCCTCCACCACTTATCCCCACCCTTCCCGACGGACCCCCGTCCCTTCAAACTCTCCATAGCCATATTTTCTTCTTCTTCATTTCTCTTCCCTCTTTTCTTCTCCAGTATTATTCTCTTTTCTTTTTCTTTTCTTTCCTTTAGATATGGATTTCTCATTGATCCTCTCTTGATTCCCTTTCTTCATCTTCTTTCTCTCCATTGCGCATCTCTATGAATCCACTCTTTTCCCATCGTCCGCATCCGCACCAGCACCAACACCAGCACCAACACCAACATCGCCACCATCCTCCCTCACACCACCAACCCTATACTCCTTCAAACTCTCCTGAATCGCCCTCGCAAGTTGTACCTCATGCTCCCTATCCTCCTCCTCCCTCCTCCCACCTCTCCCCTCCTGCTCCTGACTAGCCAAAACACTAGCCCTAATCGCACGATCCATAACCTCCTGATCGCTCAACCCCGCACTCTGACCACCCTGAAGTTCCACCACACTAGCTCGAATAGCCCTCTCAATCATAAGGTCTTCTTCTATGTTACCACGCGAAGTAGCCGCTACTGATGCTTGAATTGCTTCTTCAAAATCTGGATGGGTGTCCCCGCTGGCATAATCAGTAGGAGGATCAATGTTAATAACTGTTGAATCCTGGACCCCATGAGACAAATCATTATGAGGTGTTGATCTTCCGAAAAGCCCTGATTGCTGACGTGTCTGTAGATTATTGCTCCCTTTCTTATTTTCCTCATCACGCTTGGCTTTTCGTTCCTCCTGAAGCTTTTTCCTTTCATCAAAAGTAAGATGTCTTGTTTGGAAGAAGCCTCGTGGTGAAAGTTGTCCAGTATCCTGACCAGCAGGACCTTTATCATGAACTCTCTGCCTGGCATTTTGATATTCCTGTTTGTGTTCATTCCAAAGCTTGATGATATCTAGACGTTCTTCTATGCTGCAATTCTGGGCGTCTTCAAACCCTTGAGCTGTTCTGGCTGCGATGATATAATTAAGTGCGCTTGAGCCGAAAAGTTTCCGTACTTCTTTATGAATACCCATAAATGTGTAACCAGGAAGTCCCCATATAGCTTAATGATGTTAGAAGTGCATGGATGATTTCGATAGAATCTAACTTACCAGCTCCCGGTTTGAGAACTACCCCAGCAATACCTTTTCCTATGCCTTTGATCAATCCAGCAGCACCTTCCTTCTCAGCGCCACGTAAAGGTTGTGTAACCAGACCAGTGATTCCATCAAACATTCCATAACCAAATTCCTTTCCAGCCGCCTTTAATCCACTTTGAAAATCGGTTACCTTTTCTTGAGGCCTAACCGTATCATCACCATATAATTTAGGTGCGTTATGAAATCCTCGTGCTAAGCCTAGTGTGAAATCCATAGGTGACTTTAAGCCCGCCCCAACAATACGCGAAATGCCCTTCCCGGCTCCTATAGCATTTTCAATCGTCAACTTAGAAGGATCAAACTCCTTAGGAGTTTCGATGCCCGAATTATGGCGACTATGAGAAGATTCCATGCCACCTCGCAGTACTTGCCGCGTCGAATTTGCATGCTTGATACCAGGGCTTGTTGTATGTGACATGGAACTTTGAGTAGTAGTTGGTGTTAAAGGAGTAGGTATATCATCCAAAGACCGTTGAGTACTCTCGTAAGAAGTTTTTGCCGATGATTCCGATGCTTGCAGCAGACTAGCGTCTACTGATCTGAGTGATTTTTCATCTAACAGCATATGATCTTGAGATCGATTTTGCACCGAAGACTTTGGTGTAGCAGAAGCAGAGTTTGAGGATGCTTTGGTAGCAGCATTAGCATCCTTCTCCCTCTTCACCTTCCTGAAAATTTCTATGGGGAAATCTGCTACACCCATACTGAGACTCGCAATAGTCCCAAGCAGTGCAGTTGCTCCTCCAGATATTGGATCCCATGGACCATCATCAGTCTCATATTCTTTTGAACGATATCTAATTTTATCAGCCACGGGCTGGATGATAAGATATGAAAAACAACTTACAATTTCAAATCTGCAAAGTTGATGAGATTCTCACTAGCAAGAACATTGGCCGCCAAAGCACTAAGTTTAGTCTGAGTACGCTTCACTCTCCAGACTGCCACTCTATGTGGTGCCAGTGAACATCTCAAATTGTCAACATCTAGATGATCATGAAAGCTTTTCCCACCCTCTTCAGTGCCTTTTTCCTCTTTGATTCTAGCTCCTAGCTCTTGTGCCTTTGCCAAAGTTTCAGGCTTGAGAGCATCAGTAATAGCTGCGGCAAGTTTATCAGCAGTAAGTTGTTTATAAGGAATTGGCAGTGGACCAGCTCCAGCTCTAGCGGTCATGGCTCCCCAAAATGGTTGATCACCGAAAAATGGTACGACTACAGTAGGCTTTCCTGTAGCGATACCAGCAGCAGTGGTTCCAGCACCTCCATGATGGACCACGCAAGATACGTGTTGGAAAAGCCAATCGTGAGGAACATTACCCAACATGAAAACCCCCTCAGGTACATCAAGTGCATCACCACCAAGACCTCCCCATCCTTTGGAAACTAAGGCTCGGACACCTGTTTTTTTGACTGCTTCAAAAATGAGACTAGTCATCGCATTAGGATCATCAACGACAATTGATCCAAATCCAATATAAACAGGTGGCGGACCATCAGCGAGAAAAGCTGCTAAATCAGGTTCGGGAGTATATGATGACGCTAAAGAAAGGAAATAAAATCCAGATATCGAGATATGCTTTCCCCAATCTTTTGGTTTTGGGATGAGTGCTGGTGACCAGCAATAGGTATATGGAACACGAAGGCGACTTAACATTCCAGGTGCCCAAATCAAACTAATGGGTTCAAGGCCAAGAGCCCTTTCTCTGAATCGATTGATTACATCTCCAAGTCCTTGCCAAGTCATCATTTCGACAAGTGCATAAGAAATGAAGTTGGTCATGTTCACATCCGCATTGGACGATTGGATATTTGCCAATGGATGAGGAAAAGACTGAGTGGGCGACCATGGCATCCTGTATGGAAGTAAGCAAAGTGATAGTATATTGATTCATAAAAACATACGTGAACATCATATGTAATGGTATACCCAACTTTTCCGCAATATGTATATGAGCAAAACTTGGAGGGTTAGCGATAATCGCATCCGCAACGAACGGCTTATCCGATGGATTAGTATCCATATTAATACCAGCTTCGAGACCCAAAGATGACGGCGATCCAGATGTAACAGGAGCCGAACCTAAACCATCTCCAGCTTCGATACACGATCTCCAACAACCTAGGACAATTTCTTCCATACCCTTTCTTCGTTTACCAACATCACCGCTTTTCAACGAATCGATACCAGGCATCAGACCTGGATTCTTTACCATGAATGCCATCAATTCAGAGGGATCACCACCAATGCTGAAGAATTCCAATCCATTTTCCTCGACGAACCCTTTGAACGTTGGATGTGTTGCTAGACGCACACGATGTCCATATGTAGATTTTAAAGTTTTACCCAAAGCAACGAATGGTTGTACATCACCCCGAGAGCCAACGACGTGTATAACGACATTTAATTTTGGTGGTGGAGTCTGACCAGGCAATCCTCCCAGTGCAGGTGGTATATACCCTGGGGGTAGCGGAATCGCATCTTCCTGTGCATTAATAGAAAGCTGGTTTCGTAGGGCAGGAATAAGGAGGTCGGACAATTTTCGAGTTTTCTGATTGATATTTATATTGATTCGACCATCGTCCGAGACCTTGGCCCGGGTATCAAATCCATCCTGACTGAGTTCTAGTTCATTATGCTTGTTTCCATATGCGGGGGGAGGTTCTCTAGGGTAATAATGAGACTCTGTATTTGGGACATCTAAATGTGAAGGATGATGGGTACTGATTGAGAGGAGGTAATTAGTAGATATTCAGATTCGAGAGAAGAGTTATGTACGAACGATGATGTAGGAAGATTATCCACAGAAGACCTCACTGTCTCCTCCTGATGCCTAGAATGACTTCTCTCATGTTGTGATAAGTCATCATCCTCGATATTGCCATAGATGGCAGCTTCAGCTTGTGCGATTAGAGCAGAAGGTACAGCTTCACCTGCGGGCTTGTTCGATTCGGACGTCATATCGATATGCTTCTATGCTGATGCAGTGAAGTGTATGGACTGCAGGTGAGTGTCCCGAATTGATAGTCCACAGCTTTCAACGAAGAGCTGAGTATGTGTGGATAACAGATGTAAGAAAGCATGTGAATAGTTTTAGAATACTTTCTTGCTGTACGTGATTACTTTGGAGCATACTAGACGAGGCTACAAGACACCCCGCGGAGGCGCAGGGAGTAGCGATGACGATGGAGGTGGAGGTTGCAAGGGACACCACAACATATCTGAATTGGTCACACCATGAATGCATATGGATAAGAAATAGGAAAAGAGCGATATTCTTCAATCTCGATAAAACTTCCCTTCCCATTTTCCCACTTTCACGAACCCTCGAATCACTCACTCTTCAGCAGCTTTACCTACCTACCTACAAACACAATAATATCCATCAATGTTCCGCTCAGTAAAGCTCATACGCTACTCTGAGAAGTAACTGGATCTTTGTCGCGGTTCTACAATTTTACTAGTGATTGTAATCTTACAAGTACGTAGAGTAGCCTTACTCTTTGAGGTGAAGTATGGGGCTAAGTTAGAAATCAAGATGTGGCAGTTTTGACGCTGTTGTGGCGGTGTTTTTCTAAAATATATCTCTGGAATCGCACAATACTGCCTAGAGGAGCTCAATATCCGTCAATTACTACCATATATAGAACGTTGCACTATATTAAATTACGCTTTCTTAAATGAAATATAACAGCAAAGTGAGATAATTGCGCTAAATCTCCTTCATTAAACCATAACTACGCCATATCCACCATCAAGAACATCACAAGCTGGCAGTAGAGCCCGAAAGTAAATGCCCATCAATTCTTTTGATCCCTTGAAGACTGCTTATAATACAAAGGCACCGTAAATGCCCCCCTTTACTTCACCCAACATAAAACTTCCTAAGCATCATTTTTGACGCTTCCCCCCACCAAAGTCCATCGATGGCGCTCCTATGTTCTCTGCTCCAACGTTTTAAAGACCAAATTTAAGAAGAGAATTTGCGAGTGACCTTTGCAATAACTGGATATGACGTTAGTAAAAGATCATAACTGGGAGCAGATTTGGGAATATCTTACTGTGAAGGGCAACAACGCTGAAAATGAAGACGAGAGACAGAACCAAGACAACGACAGGGTCGACCTTTAATCCTGGAGATTCATCGGTGTAAAGTCCTGTTTTCATTTCATGTCAGTATGATTGTCGAACATAAAATTATTACCACCATAATCTATAATCCTAAATCGTAGAACCACAACCCTACTCGTGCACCCGATTCAAAGCGACTCGCACAAGTGCTGGAAGAATTCTGATCAAGGCTTGAGACTCTCTGCAGTGGCTTGCAATCCCAATATTGAGATAATTGGATCGGACGAACGAGAGAAGTATTCGGGAAAATTCGAGTATGCGCCACGCCTGAAGTTACAAATTATACTTCTCTCTGAAAGTATAACCATAACTCCAAACAAGACACCCATTCTCTCCCTTTTAACTCACACCTCCACCCACAGCCCCATATCACGCACCTTCTCTCCTCTCGCTCCTCATTCCCACGTACGCATCATCATCCTCTATTTCTCGTCTTCCATCTGCCATCTTCCCTATTCCTAACGGAAAGAAAATCACTCACTCAACATAGTACTCGAGCTACCGCCCGCACCCGCCGCCCTCGTACTACTCGGCCTAGCATTCGCAACCTTATCCTTCTGATCCGCCGCCGCCCGTCTTCTAATTGCCGTCTTTGGGCCACCAGGAGGTGTTGGGCTGGAAGGTCTACCCGAAGCTGCTGCTACTGGGCTGTTGGCTGGGGATGCCGATCTTGGGGATGACTAGTTTGCATATTTGTTAGTAGCTGCAGTAATGTATTGGCTGGTGTCGCGGCACGGGGATATAGATAGGAATAAGGAAGGGAAGTTTTGTGGTATTGTGGGATGGTTATGACACAAAAGAACTCGGAATAAAAGAACATACCATTGTGAAGAAGAAAGTAGTGTAATTGATCTACACGCGACTCTGAATAATTCAAAAGAGAGTTATGAAGTTTGAAATATTGAATTGAGTTAAGATGTTGAAATAGAAAAGTCGCAATGATAAGGTAGACCTGGCCTTTGGTGTGTTGGTCCAAAATCGTCAAAGGACAGATCCTAAAAGCAGCCCATGCTTAGTGCACCAAAAGGACGCTAGAGGAACCCCAGACCTGACTTTAGCCCCATCTCACTGGTAGGACAGACAACTTATTTTACTTCCTCGAGAGAATGCAACTTTTTATTCACTTCACAAACAATAAATCATTGAGATCACACCAGTGCATGCCTCAGAAATGCATCAAAGTATTATTATTAAGTTTTTATTTACCCAGTAATTATTTACAAGAAAGGTGTAATTGGAGTGTAAGTAAAGTTAGAGGTCGTATGGAATCGTTTCATTTTTGGTATTTGTTGATGAGTGCTATCTCCAAAGCATTCACAGAAGGTGGATAGTGTGTTTGATACATGAAGAGTCTGCGCCATGCGCAAAGCCCTGAGAAGTTTTTGATAAAGTAAAAAAGAAAAGAAAAGGTGGACAAATGAAAAATGTCGGATATGCGTCTGCCCAAAGTGCCTCAGATCTTGCTGGGCAGGAAAAGAAAATGTGACAGGCGGATCTGTCGTTGTAAGTTGTGCATGATTTAATGCTCGCTGGTCGCTGCTCGGACCGGTTAATGTGATTTTCCCCCTATCCCAAATCGTGGAAATTCTGACCCATTATCGTGACATGGTCTCACTTTCTAACAACTTCCCCTCGTCTCTCCCACTCGCATACCTTCCTGCACCAAGGCTGAGCCAGCACGCTGGCCCGTTATATAGATTAAACAGTACATTCTACAACGAAACCAAAGGTATCTATCAACCGAACGCCTTTCGCTGTATATCAAGCGAATTGCATGAAGATTTTGCACCTTTTAGAGCGCAACATCAAGAACTAAACTGACATCTCGGACCTGCGAGCCGGCCAAGTCCTCGAGGACTGGGATTAGATCTAGAAGCTCATTGTCGTGAGCATCTGAGAACCAACTGCTGATAGGGACAGCATGTTGCGGGTGGAAGATATAAGATGTTGGAGAATTGTCGATGATGATGGTTTCTCTTAAATCGCGGCCAACTTGAGAAAGATCCTTGACGTAATTCCCTTGATGATTGTAGCAACTTTCACGGAACAATCTATGATGGACGACGTGATGGATGTCAAGTTGGTCGAGAAGTGGATCACCATACTATAATCTATTAGTAAAGATTCGCGAATATGAATATTGTGCCGTCTATGCATACCTTGGAAACAGAAGCTGTGAAGACAACCACCTCGTAGAGCTCCCCGACTCGTTTCATGAATTGATCAACACCGGGTCGCTTGATCACATACACATTATGAAACTGGCCTTCAATTTCCACGGGGATGGTGAAATCTGCTTGATGTAAGATCTAATAATCACAGTGGTTAGTTTTTGAATACTCTTTACACTTGGCTAGGGGCTCACCTTAAAACTGCTATGTACCAAAGTCTCGTCGAGATCAAGAACCAGACATTTTTTCCCTTTGAACCTTGGTGCAATTGGTGGTAAAAGCCATTGTTGCTTTTGCTCCAATAAATCCAACTCGATAACCTCTTCAGATGTTGGAATTTGAGGTACTGGTGGTGGAGGTGGAATAGTTTGCTGGCCAGTCATTGGCTCATCCTTTGGAATTGGTAATGGGGCTTCTTCAATTTCTGTAGTGCCTGGATCCAAGTTTGCCATCTTCTCATCTCCTCCATCCTGTTGTCCCAGATCACCATCATCCGGGGAAACTGTTCCTACTGCCGTTTCAGATTGCGCTGGAGCATCAATAGACACTGTTGGCTTTGTCATCTCAGGTTGTGTAGGTTCGGCTTCGACGACTGTGGGCAAATCTGGTAGAGGCTGGTCGCGTGCGTTCCCAATTGGACGGCTCTGTTCTTCATTTGCATTCGACGAAGAGGCGATGACTTCCGCGGTTCCCTGAGGGCTGATCGTATCATGCTTCTCATCTCCAGCTTCAACTTGCGGCACCTGTTGTTGTGGCTGCTGCACAGTTTCCTTCTCAACTTGTGGTACCGCGGGAACACTATTTTGTTGTCCCATTTTGCTCGAGTCGGGCTGCTTAGCTGTCGTAGGACGACTCAAATTGAATTTGGACACTTTATTGGCTGGAACAGGTCCATCCAAAGAATTGGCGTGGTCTGGAGTACCGCAGCAGAGAAGAGAAAGAAAGCTCTTCTTCTTTTTTGGCTGACGAACTAAAGGTGCGTCGGGGACTGCAGGCTGCGAAGGACCTGAAGCGCCCGTAGGATGACCAGGTGATTTTATCGACATTTTGCTACTTGCTGCACTCCCATTCCGCCTCCGCCCAAGAAAGCTGCCCTTCGATTCCTTAGATCGCCCACCTATGCTCCCTCTTCCCTCACCTGCAGTCGCTCCGCTTAGACCAGTAGAAGTTGGCGATGGTTGTATTTTGTTGGAAGATGATCTCGATGGAACTTTGAGCAGGTCGCTGTTCTTCTTGGAGGTTTCAGTCAATGCTTCGCCAGTTCTCCCTTGATCCTTATCGACGTTTGTAGTTGAATTAAAAGCGTTGTCGGTATCTTCTGTCAAGGTATTTTGAGTTGTTGAGTGTTGTGTAGATGAGCTGGGTGGTTGGGAATCTGCGGTGACTAGAATTATTTGTTAGCAACGTGCACTGGCATTGTAGTAATCAGCGCATCTGAAGTCGGAACGATAAAAAAGTAGAGTTCGTGGGAGAAAGAAGGTACATACAGTTGGAAGTGTCGAGCGCGGGTGGTTTAACTCCTTTCGTTCCTTCCAATGAAGTCGAGCGGCTAGGATCTTGCTCAGTCGGCTGAGCTACCTCATTACTCATAGAGGGCAATTCGGGATTATTAAGAGGCAACAATATTATCGAAGACCAAATCAATGTTTACAAAGATCTATCGAACGTAAGGACTTTTATCTTCGAAACGGGTCGGATGATTCAGTTGATGTCCCTAAACGCTATTTAATTAGTCTCTTTAGTCTCCTATCTAAGCATTTAAGGATCTTGAGGTTATCGCGCGATAAAAAAAAATCCAAATGCGATGATGTTTTTATAAGGATGAAAGTGAGGCGAGAATTGGGCGCAGTTTGATTTTTGAAAATAGTTGGATTAAATTGAAGATATATGGGATGAAACTTACAATCAACAAATCTCGACGCTCCTGAAGGAGAGAAATTGAATGAACGACTTTTGGATGAGATTGGGCGAGATGAATGTCGATAATAGGATGGGACATTCAGGACCTTTAATTAGCGAGATTGGATTGCGCTAACAAGCTTCAGCAGCTGCTATAATAAATAATAAATCAAATAAAATCAAGTCACTTTTTTTTTTATTTTTTCTACTTCACACTTCACTTCTTTTGTACCAGTGCTTGGTAGAAATATAATGAAAGTAATCCGTTCTGGTGATGGTAGATCTAGAAAGAAGAGATGATGAGATGATGGTGATGCAGCGGATGACAGGCCCGAGAGTTATTAGTTTCCCAGTGAAATCAAAGTCTTGTACTGGTAGGTATGTACTGGTATCTTTTTTGTATGCTTTATGTATCCTTTTTGTGTCTAGAAATACAAATAAATGGATGGGGGCCCGGTAACGCTCTTTTTCCGTTTTATAAGATATAACCTGATAGCATTGGTAATGATCGTGGCAATTATTTTCGTAATTGAAAGGCTGTGGTATGGGACCTATGTATGGTGTGTGGTTTAGGTGCACCAATATGTATGTATATGTGCAGTATAGGTCGGGAGGTGGAGAAACTGATGATGAGTGGAAAAGGAAGGATGGTTTGAATATCTTCCTCTAATCCGAAAGAATACCGGCAGTAGGGTATTTTACTGGTGATGCTGATTGATGATAGAAACAAAATAAAAATAGAAACAAAAAATACAACAATCAAAAAGAAGACCTGGCCGTGGCTGTGGTGAAGAGAGTACGGAGTCAAGATGGAATTGAGTTTTATCAGTGTTATACCAAATCAATCAAAGATGTACGAAAATAACGGTCTGGTAACGAGGGAGACGATGGGGGAATCGGTACGGAGTAATGAAGCAAAATCTTATGGGAGTAAAATTAAGACGCTGTTGATTCGATGGAAGCTTGAACCTTCAGTAAGGGTACTTACTTGGAACCTGCAGAAAGGGAAAAGATGAAAAGATTGGATTGGGAGGGCCCATTCCCATCCCAATTCTATATGAGGTAGCTGACATGACCCGACCCGGTTGGCGATACGATACAGGGCAATTGGCTCGAAATCCACGGCCGGTACGAGGGAATGGAGGGTATGGAGGGTATGGAGGGTATGGAGGGTATGGAGACTATGAAAATTATATGCTTACCCGTCCGTCCCCAGGTATAAAATTTTATACTTTCCCGTGAGGCTTTCCAATCAGACCAACTCTCTTCTTCCTACTTGAACTCGGACAAGGCCCCAAGAGGTAGCATGCATCTACAAGCATGCAAGCATTCAGCATTCAGCATTCAGCATTCAGCATTCAGCATTCAGCATTCAGCATCCAGGCATTCATATATTGTTACTGACTCCTCTACCTACTAGAAGGTTGTCGACGTTGAGGTTGTGTGTTCTATCGATAGTATAATCCATATCCATCCCTCCCTCTGTCTTACCGTGTAACAATGCCTTGGCCCTCGTTACTCTTCACATCCATTGTAGTTTTTGTACAGCACCTACCTACCTACCTACCTACCTACCTATTCACTACCAACCCTATCCATCTATCCTATCGAGCTTAGCAAATGAGCAAAACCTCTTCTGAATCAAGTTCTGGCCCCCCCAAATCCAAAGTCTAATCATCAGTCCGGGACTTGGCTACTACTCTGTAACTTCATCCAAATGGATCATTTCAATCATAATCTTACCAGGGCCAAAATAAAATTAGGCGCCAAATTTTACCGCCCACAGTCTAACCTATCAAACACGGGAACTCCCTTTTTGAAGAATCAGTAATCATCCTAATTGGTCGGGCGATTCCACTCGATGGATGCAAGGCCTAGTAGAGGTACGACCTAGGTAAGGTAAGGTATGAGGAGGTAGGTAAATAGGTAGCGATGTTACTAACTATGGAGTAGTACTTAGCAGAATGTTTTATTAGTGTCATTACATAAACTTTGATCATCAATTGATCCCTCGACTTTTATAAAACTGAAGATCTTACATTAGAATTACCACTTGGATACCTTACTTTATTAATCCCCGAGGCCCTTGGTCAATCTTTCCTCTTTAATGGAAGAGTGTATGTATCCTTACGAGTATCTCGTCTCATTTCCATTCAACATTAGGATCCTCAATGACTTCCGATATATGGTCACAGAAAGAGAAAATCAAGGATTTTTCCCTCTTTTGAAGAATGTCTTCATGTACCTTCTGCAGGCAATCAGTCATGTTATCAATACTTACAGATGCCGTGCCTCGATCAAAGACACTGCAGCTCCTCTTTTATGATGCTAATGCGGATATCTCGTTGCACGTAGCCTGCCTAGCAACCTGTGGTAACTTGTAAGCTCATAGAAAAGTGTCCACCCCGAAGATGTAGCCTATGTAGGGAGTAGGAGAGTAGCTGTTAGACTCGGACATATATCCTAAACCGAAGCCTGGAAGAGCAAATGTTCCAAAGATGGTCGTAACCATGATACTTAAACAGGTCGGGTATGTATATCCATGATGCCGACATTACTTCACGGACACAAGATTTCGTACTCTGCGTGCAGGTGGTCTTGTGAAGAATGATCCTCGACTTTGCTAGGGGCTCACTCCACTTCAGCGGTTATGCTATGACCTATCAACCCGGCCTAGCATTATGAAGCTTGAGGCTATCACCAAACCAGGATTTAAGCTTTTTATGCCCAGGTGATGTCCAGTTTAACTATCATTTCCCGCTGTTCAAGTCTCTTTCGTTTCCTCTCCAACTCCAGAACTGCCCTTGTTCTTCTGCCTATCACCAATCACCAAATCACAGCATTGATGATGGTCTCTCTTCGGACCTGACTGGATCACCAGATGAAGATGTCCGAAGGGGATGCTCTCCAGTCAGGGCCAGTCCAGATTTTCTTCCCGCTCGCCTTATAATATTGGTGTAATATCAATAATAAGCATCAGCCCAGGTACTTAGTAGACATCTTATCGTAACAAACATTATCGATGGCAATAAATAGTTTCGCTCGACGCTTGGAGGCAGTGAGTATATTACTTATCAAAGTGCTATTTTGGTAAACAAGCATTGTGGTGTAGTATTTGGGTCATTTTTGTTCTATTTAATCTATTTTCTGAAATGTTCTAAATTTCCCTTTTTCCTTTTCCTTTTTCCTTTTTCTCTTCAAAAACCGATTGCGGGGAAGCGAGCTTGGAATTGCGGGTTTGTCCCTGCAGGTTCCAGCAGCAGCCTCGGTTTACTTTCCTCTTCATTCACATGTCAACAATCGCATCATGATCATCAATCAAATCTTTGACCTGAGTATCAGCCATATGCATGTATCATAATACTACCAGAACACACGATATAGCCATCTTACTATCATCTTGGTATTGATATGACATAACAGGAGGTTCGCTGAATGGCCAGCGACTTAGTCTCTCGTTGAATCCTTTGGGAATGCAACACCTCCAACTGCATACCTTATTCTAGCGCGAGGAAATGGAGCCTAAGTAGCACCGCATTCGATATCGCTGAGTCTCGACTTCTATCAAATACAGAAAATGGCTTCGCAGTCGACGTTACGGTATTCCGATCCCATCGGCGCCCTTTATCAAAGATATGCGAATCTCATTCGTAGTCGGATCCAGGGAGCCTCAAAAACAACAAAGCTTCTGGCAACATTATTCCTTACACTTTCTATCATCTGCGGAGGAACTTTTGGCCATGGATGGTGGCAAAAACGAGCAGCAGAAAAAGAGCAAGGGAAAAGATTACATCGCCGGAATTCCGGGCTCAAGAATAAAGATGGATCGAGGGTGGTATTCGTACCATATAAAGATACCACTTCCAAAGTCACCATAAATCCTACGAAGCCTTTGACTTTCGACGCTCATAGAAGGCTTTTCCTGAATCCACCTCGAGCTTCTGGACTCACAGATGGCCAAACTCCGCAGATTCCGCCTCCACAAACGAAACCGGGTTTGAATTTGGCCTTTTTACATCAGTTCCTGAGTCTTTTGAGTATAATGATACCGAGATGGTCAAGCAAAGAGACTGGTTTACTCGTAAGCCATGGTGTCTTTTTGTTGCTTCGAACATACTTGTCATTGGTCGTGGCACGGTTGGATGGTGTGATTGTTCGAGATTTGGTTGCAGGTAATGGAAAAGCCTTCACTTGGGGCATCATAAAGGTAAGGCTAGAGTCCAGTATTCCCATATGGCGGATGTTCCTGTTTTGTTCTTTTTTCTCGTCTTCATTAACTTGTCTCCTTGTTGCTATTCAACTCCAACGACAACACCCTTCAATCTTCAAATGGCTAACTGTTTAAAAGTGGTGTGGCATTGGTGGCTTGGCTTCTTACACAAATGCTATGATTAAATTTCTCCAATCCAAAGTCTCAATCGCTTTCCGTACACGCCTGACTAGATATATTCACGATTTGTACCTCAATGATAACCTCAACTACTACAAACTTTCAAATCTTGATGGTGGCGTTGGGCAAGGCGCGGATCAATTTATTACACAGGATCTGACCCTCTTCTGTGAATCGGCAGCTAGTCTATACTCATCGCTAGGGAAACCTTTCGTTGATCTTTGTGTTTTCAACTATCAGTTATATCGATCCTTAGGACCATTAGCTTTAACCGGTTTAATGACAAATTACTTTCTGACGGCCTCGATACTTCGACGACTTTCACCACCATTTGGAAAATTAAAGGCCGTTGAAGGACGTAAAGAAGGAGATTTCCGAGGACTTCATGCTCGCCTCATTGCAAATGCGGAAGAAGTGGCATTCTATGGAGGGGCAGATATGGAGAAAATTTTCCTAGATAGAGAGTTCAAAAGTCTTAAAAAGTGGATGGAAGGGATATACACCCTCAAAATCCGCTACAACATACTTGAAGATTTTGTTCTCAAGTATAGTTGGAGCGCATATGGCTACCTGCTGAGCTCATTACCAGTATTTCTTCCCGCGTGGGGTGGTCTTGGTGGAGTTCAGGAATTGGCCGACATTTCTGTAGTTGGTGGTCGAGAAAGAGGTCGGATGAGAGAGTTCATCACAAACAAAAGACTCATGTTATCATTAGCGGATGCTGGTGGTCGTATGATGTATTCAATCAAGGATCTTTCAGAATTAGCGGGATACACTAGTCGAGTCTATACGCTCATATCAACTCTTCATCGAGTTCATGCAAACGCATACTTTCCTCCTCGAAATACCCAAGCTGAACTTTACTCTCTCTCTGACGTACAAGGAACGATACAGAAAGGTTTTGATGGTGTACGGTTGGAGAATGTACCAGTGGTAGCCCCTTCAGTGTACCCTCATGGTGGAGAAGAGCTGGTAGATTCCCTGTCCATGGTCGTTCACTCTGGAGAGCATTTACTTGTGAGAACCTCCCCCTTTTACCTCTTCTCAAAATTGGATATACTAACAAACTAGATCTCCGGCTCAAACGGTGTAGGTAAAAGCGCCATCTCCCGTATTGTCGCTGGACTCTGGCCCGTCTACCGAGGCCTCGTCTCTCGACCTCGAACAACTGGCACAGATGGAATTATGTTCCTTCCCCAGCGCCCATACCTCAGCGTCGGCACTCTACGTGATCAAGTCATTTATCCTGACGGTGAACTCGAGATGCGCTCCAAAGGCCGTCGCGACATCGAACTAAAACATATTCTTGAGGAAGCACGTCTAGGCTACCTCCCCGATCGAGAAGGTGGATGGGATACGAGGAAAGAATGGAAAGATGTACTAAGTGGAGGCGAAAAACAACGTATGGCTATCGCAAGATTGCTATACCATGAGCCAAGATACGCATTTATAGATGAAGGCACCAGTGCCGTATCAAGCGACGTTGAGGGTTTGCTGTACGAAACTTGTAAAGGAAAAGGCATCACGTTGATTACGATATCAACAAGAGCAAGTTTGAAGAGATATCATACTTTTAATCTCACGCTAGGATTAGGAGATGAAGGTACGGAGTGGGAATACGAGAGGATTGGGACGGAAAGAGAAAAAATGGGGGTTGAGAGGGAATTGCAGGAGTTGAGGGAGAGGATGGAAATGGAAAGAGCGTGGGAGGAAAGGATGGAGAAGATTGAGAGGGAATTGGAGGAGGTTTGGGTGGAGGGTGGTGAGAGGTTGGATGGACCGAAGTATAGCGAGGTGGAGATTGGACATGAACATGAACATGGGGATAAGGATAAAGACGAGGAAGAGAAAGAAGCTGGGACTTTAGAGGTTGAAGTCAAAGATGGTGGGTTAGTGTAGGGGTAGTAAGTCATGAATAAATGAATGAATATATAAGGATTTGATGAGGGAGATATGTAGGATCTGGGATACCTGTTTCTGATTTTCTCATGACATGTAAGAAATACGAATTAGTTAGTACTCCGTAAAGAGATGGATGTGTATGTGTGTACAAGGGTCACTTTTAGAAATTTATTTACTTTGCTAACTTATTTACCTATTTATCCATTTATTTTAGTGTCATTTGAGGCATGTATGTGTATGGGTAGTGAGTGATACGTAGTAATACGATTGAGATATATATTGAGATAGGGTGTTGTGAGCACGGGGAGAGAGGAAGAAAAGGAGAGGAGAAAGGAGGGGATGGAAAGAAGTTAATAAGATGAGAATTATAGATTCTTTGTATTGTGAGGGAGCCCAGAACTTGTTTGGAAAGGCGTCTCAAGCGAAGGGGAGTTGTTAATATGTGCTAGTGAGAGTGTTCGAATCAATTTGATATCTTTATTAGGATGAACTTTATTGGTAATTGCACTTTCGTTGTGCAGATGTAATATCCTAAGGAACGTGAATAATGACTGGCGCATTGAAGTACCGAAATACTTTCATGGCAAAGTGACTTTCACAAATACATGAATTCAAGAATTGAAAACTGCACAAAAAACCATTTATCATGTCAATATTGTTGTTTGCTACTCGTGATCCCATTCATTGAGCTTAAGCTAAAACACCTCTCCGAGATGCATGTAAAAACACCAATATTTGAAACCCCAACCCAGACTTATGCCACGAAACACTTAGTAGAAAGTTGATGGTCTCTTTGAGGCGAAGAGGTTGGCGGTCATGGATTTGGAAACACGATGAGGAAGGGGGAATTTGAGGTCCTTTTCGAGGAGTTGCTTGATGTATGGGCGCTTGACGTCTTCCGTCTTCTCGATCTCAACAACCTTGAGGATCTATTTACAGAATCAGTAAATGATGATTCATTTCGGCAGAGTAAAGTCTAAACTTACGTGGATCGACCTGAAACGGGAACGATGTCTAGCAGCCATATCTTGGTACAAAGCCTCAACAGCATCGGTTCTTGACATCTCACGGTACTCCTTGTACATGTTGTGAGTTCCGGAACGAGAATCATATCTGATCCAGATACCAAAGTTCTTGACCTTCATTGGGCGCTTCTCAGAGATCTGTAGAAGTAAAAATTAGGATTTGTGAACTTTTGAATGTTATTGTACTATCGCATACCTCGTTCAAGCTGACGATCTCTCCGTTTGCCTTCTTGACCTTTCTCAACTTCATCAAGAAGTACCAGAAACGAGACTTTGCAACAACGGTGTTTGGTGCAAAAATTCTCATGCGGTACAACTTTGGGGCTGGGTTTGCCTCGGATGGCAAATGGCGGCCAATGACCTGGTATTCTCTAAGGCGACCTAAAGGAAACCAAGTTAGCTTCCAGATTTTCCAAGTCTCAATCTCGAATCCATGCTGAATCAACTGGTAGGTCCAAAAGTGCAATTCGTGACTGGTATCATAACTGAGTGACATGGTAATTGTTGACTTGGTTGTATTGTATGTCGAGTTGGAACAGTATGAAAATGCGAATCTTTCGTATCATGCAGAGAACAATCTGCATGTGATATTTCAAGAAGCTGGATAGTGGTGCCTTAATTCTTGGATTTCTTTTCGTGCCATTCGTAAATGTTCCCGGCCCACATCTGCAACCAACCAAACATCCAATTTACTCAATTCTAGTCGCTCCAAATACTCAAATCGAATGCAGATTTCTGCCTTATGCCAATCATTACATTGTCGAGAGGTTCGCAGAGAAAAAGAGTCGAGGGATGCGCAATTGTCTTATCGATTGTTTCGAGGGTCTAGTCCATCGGATTGAAGCAAAAAAATCTGTATCTTACCCATCTGGAGGGAATTAGCTGAGCTCGTTGATTTCTTCACAATGGGGTGTAACGTACTGTGAAATTGTGTGGCCGTGGTTGTTGTCGTGATTGTCGCTGCAAATTTTGAGATTGATGGCTTCACGCTTCTCCCAAATTGAAATTCTCGGTTGAAAATCAAAGCTAAGGGTTTCAATTTCTGGCAGCCCTAGAGATTATGACCTTACCGTATTTGGCCTCGCGCATCAATGAGCACGGGAATTGTGGAACAGCAGTGTGTCATTATCATACTTTTGATGATAATTATTAAATTTGATCATTATCAACCTCAAAGAAAGAGGTGAATGATGAATGGAATTCTTTGAAAGTTAGGTATTTTACATGACAGTACTTCGGCGCCTCATTGATACAGTAATTGCGATAGCATAACAATTCATTTCTTGTTCTACGTTTTCTTTTACACAGATTCATGATACCCTAGTCAGCATTTTGAAGATTTTCTGTTTTCTCCTCTTCACAACAAATCAAACTGTAAAGCGTCAAACTAGCTTACTGTTTGCTCTCACAACATATCAAAATTCATAGCTACTTACAAGAGGTGAAAATCCTCAGAATTGAAGATGGATCCATTTCTGAAAGAGTTCAAGGCCGCATACAATGAAGGGAATGGCTACAATCTATCCATGACCCTTCACCCAGCCGCCCCTGCCTCGGATCCAAACAGACTTAAAGATTTCTACCGAAGTACAAATTACGAGCATGTCAAGAAGGATATTGACTATCGACTCCTTTATGATGATCGATCTCCATTGAATTGTCCAATAGAAGAGGCCAGGGCGTGGGTGGACGTTTGCTGCGCGTTTTGGAAATTTATTGGGTTGATGTACAATGCAGACGTTGCTCCTGAAGACAACTCAAAGGTATGTTTTTTGATATTTCCGATGATTGATACATGTCGATATTGCTTAATCAAAAGTGCTGGTCAAACACGTGACTGTGTTGCAAATACTTTTTCCGCATTTACCAGACTTGTCATCTTCACAGCCAAAAAATCAGCTAACAAAAGTTTAGGATGCATGGACGAAGGTATATGAATCATGGAAAGAAGTAACAAATGCTCTTCATCGTGGTTACAGTGCCTGCGGGTTTGAAGCTTGGACAGTACCTTGCTTATACGTAGCTGGCAAATATTTACGAATCTTTGCTATTAAGGCTGATGAGGCAACTGGTACCGTGATGAACGCTGCTATGAACTACCAGGACGACTTAAACCCAGAGTCAGAAAAGAATGAGAAACTGGAAGATGCAGCCCGACAGCTCAACCGCATTTTCACCTTATGTCTCAGTGACCGAGCATCCCTTGAAGAGTCTAGAAAATGGGCTACTTACAATATAATCAATTTATTGTTCAAGACTTATTTCAAGCTAAACTCTATCGGATTGTCGAGAAACATTCTCAACGCGATTCAGGCATATAGAGGTGATATGCCTAGCCTTGAATCTTTCCCAATGTCTCATCAAGTGACGTTCAAATATTATTGTGGAGTCATATACTTTCTTGAGGAACATTACGAAGAAGTGAGTTCATTCAATCACAGTGTCTCATCATGCAGTTTTCACTAATTTTTTTAGGCAGAGAAATATCTCACCGAAGCATGGAAACTATGTCACAAGAGTGCTGTTAAAAACAAGGAGTATGTTTACCTCCATATACCAGCATCAAATTCCCACTAACCACAACAACCAGGCTCATTCTTACATATCTAATTCCCTGTCATCTCCTAACAACTCACACTCTTCCTACACCAGCCCTCCTTCAGCCGTACCCCAAACTCCAAAAACTTTTCGCTCCCCTCTCACGTTGCATCAAGAAAGGCGATCTCGTCGGTTTCGACACCGCACTCTTAGCCGGTGAAAATGAATTCGTCAAACGTCGTATCTACCTAACTCTAGAACGTGGCCGCGACATCGCTTTACGCAATCTCCTACGTAAAGTCTTCATCGCAGGTGGTTATGAAGAAGCCAAGGAACCAACCGCTGCACCAGTAAGAAAGACGCGAATTCCAGTTGATGAATTTGCTGCTGCGATTAGTATTGGTAGTAAAGAGACAATGGAAAATGATGAGGTGGAATGTTTACTTGCTAATATGATTTATAAGGCAAGTTATATGTTTTATTTCTCATTTGCTACAGAATTCTGTGATTGGAGTGAGTCAAAATTTGCTAACAGTGACTCTTTAGAGCTTGATGAAAGGTTACATAGCACGAGAAAGAGGAATCGTGGTATTGAGCAAGGGTGGCGCATTTCCTGGAACAGGCGTATAGATGTTTATTAAAGAAGAGGCAGCACAATGATATTGATTATATTATTTCTAACAAGGTAGTATGTTGTGGTATCATCTTAGTTCGGCGATATTCACAATAAATACATATACGAGATTAGTACCAAGGACGTTTGCCTCGTAGGCAACACTCATTTCACATGCATTTACCTACAATCGGCCCATTTTAGATTCAGTCAGACATAAATATTGATTTACTCGGTAAATATTCAGATGATCGATTCATTATCATCTTATGGTTCATTCATTTATTCATTTATTTGTCTTGATACCTACCCATACCTACTCAACATCCATCTCAACCATCTCAACCTCATCAATCACAAGAATCTTTAAACCTCAAATTTCAATCCTTAACTCTTGATCCTTAAATCCATAAAATAAACCATTCTATAGAATTTACCACTTCACAAACAAGTAAAATATCACACAAGTGAGTATTAGATACTAAATAACAATTACTAGACTATCAAAAAAATCAACAAATCAACAAATCAACAAATCAACAAATCAACAAATCAACAAAATACAAACAAATTATAACAAAACAAATTCTCAATAAAACAAATCCTCAAAATAATTAATAAATCAATCCAAATCCAAATCTCAATCTCAATCTCAACCTCACTTTTCAACTCTCTATTTCTATAGTTTCTCCAGTTTCTTCGGTTTCTACAAATTAGACTACTATTCGCTATTATTTATTTGCTCTCTTTTTGTATTGATTCATCCATCCATCTATTTATCTAATATTTTATTGTATAGTATTGTATCTGTATCATATCTGTATCCTTTCATTCAATAATTCATTAAGTGGGGCGGGGTGGATAGAAGGAGAGGGAGGGAATAATGAGAATGATGAGAACAAGAGTATGAATAAATAATAAATATTACATTCCATCCCGAGGTCCTAACCTATACCCCTTCATCCCATCCAACCTATGTCATCTATCTTGTTGGTTCATGAATCTGTCCATTCATCCATACATCCATTCATACAATTTAATATAATAACCCACTTCTCCTTCCCAATCCCTAATTATCCCTATCCATTTCCATTCCCCTTGAAGAATAATAACGCAATACCCTCCCCCATCTCCAACTCTCCAAATCCCCAAAAATAAAAATGAAAATGAAAATCAAGAAATAACCCAGTCATGAAAACATTTAAAGCAAGAATCATAATTATACATGCGAAGCTCAAGCTTAAGCTGAAGCTGGAGTTGAAGTTACCATCTCTTCTCTTTTCCATTCGTTTCCATAACATCCCATCTCATACCTTCATTTTGATTTCGTTGTGCAGTGCCAGATAGAAAATGAAGTTTAAATCCCTAAAATCAAGCGGAAAAGAGAAAAAGGTAAAGGTAAAGATAAAGTCAAAGTTAAGATCAAATCCCGAAGCGAGGATAAAATGTGAAGATAGTGAAGCTAGTAGAGAAGGTAGAGAAGGTAGAGGAAAAAAAGCAAATTTAACGGCAGGTGGTATCAAAAGGCGAGGAATTTAATATTTGTGGTGAAAAGTAAATGAAGTAAGTGGTGCGTGATAGAATCTAATTCTGTGATGAGATCCGACTCGAGTCGACTTGAGACGCGGACCAAAGTTGTATGAGCGGTTGGAAAATGAAAACGCTCTTGTGAAAGTTGGTGAGTGAAAGTAGAGAAGCGAATCAGGTGGATTAAAAAGAAGTTGATAGAGGAAGAAATAGCCAAAGAGAATTGTCGTATCATGAAGAAAAGCTCGCAGAGATCCTGAAGTATTGAGTTGAGTTCAGATGAGATGAAAGTTGCGCCTTCTGCCCCATCATTCAATGAGTCCTGTTACTTTTTGGAGAAGCCCTATTCTCATGGTTAGCCATCATTCATACATGATATCATACGATAAGTGGATATAAAAAACTTACGCAACAACATCATCGATATGATTAGCTAGCGCGACGAATAAATCGAAAAATAAAGGTGATCCTCCTTGCAACATCTCCAATTGCATCGTTCCACTTCTTTTGAACGTGCTTCGATTTTTAATGATGAGAGCTAGGTAATGAGCTCTCAATTTCGAATCTGTATCGGGTGTATTTGCATATGCATAGCGAGCTGATGAGAGAATAGTGCTGCATTGAATACCGGATTCTTTTGCACGTCAGTTAGCAAAGCTATGATATGGGGTAAATGAATAAACTTATGAAAAAGTACATACGAAGACCCTGTTTCCTCAATGCCACACGTTTAAGTTCCTCCAAGCCATATTTCTCCGCTGCACAATAAAGAACAGTATCTTTCAATAATTCTCCCTCAAGAGAATGATGATGAATAGTCGATTCCCTTCCTTCTCCATTGCCACTTTCCAACTCCCAAGTATTTTTTCGCTGGTTATGTATCAGTCGTGGATAGTAATCTCCTTTATATAAGTATTCGAGAACGGAGGAGAAGATCTCGGGTTCTTCGTCTGGAAGTGAGATGCGTTTGTTGGTTGTTTCCATATGTTGATTTCGACAGGCGGATTGAAAGTAGGGAGATAGACAGAGTACATCTTCGTGCCCTGCGAACAAACGTTGATCACGACCGACGACTATGGTGATTATGGAGGAGGTTAATGTGCTAGATATGAGTTAGTTATCATGATAATAAAGGTGATGTGTACAACATACTTCGGAGAAGGAATTTCTTCGGTCGGAGGTTTACGAGTAGTTCTCTCATAACGATGTTTTGATACTGCATGCTCTCTGAATGAAGATTTTCCTTTATGACGACGATCTCTTGAAAAGCTCTCCGTTGTTTGTGATTTATTGAGATTTCTCGTAAACATTCTCGGTCGCTGAAATGAAGTCTGTGAGGAATTTGATAGAAAATTAGACGTTGAATTCTTTCACACAAATACAAAATGAATGTTAGTAATATCTGGCGATGAATTACTCGACTTGATGAATTGACCGAGTCTCATTGATTGAAAGAAAGAATTGTTCTGGAGAGAAGTGGGTGGTAAGTTTATATATGTATTCTCATGCAAAACGAGCTGACGCGCCTTTGGGGCCGGAGAGACGCGATTAGAGTACGAACACCTCACCAAAGCAGGTGACTCTCAATTTAATGGCCTTAATTCTGCCTCATTTTGGTCTGATTGTGTAATTGGAAGCCTTTTCGCCCCAATAAAGCCAGGGAAGCTGCATGAGGTCCAAGCGAATTTTTCGGTGTGAAACTTTTGGTATGGCTTGGATGGGGAAGCAAGGATTAACGGGCTTTCTAAGTTTTCTAATAGGTGTCCTATGAACATCATCTCGCCGTCTAATGACAGTTGGCCGTGATAAAAAAGAAAATAGGGCTGTTGAGCTTTAAAATCTTTTTGCATGAGCTCTGCTGGAAGTAATGAAGTTTATTAAAATCAACTGATTTGTATCTATTCTACACTGGTAGAATGCTTCATTCCTCGAAGTCGAACGAGCAAATTAGTATAAAAATTCATCATGGAAGATATTGATGTATGGTGAAAAAAGTTGAAGCTTTGAAGGAATGGATGCAAGGAGGTGGATGCAGTAACCTTGAAAGCTGGAAAGCACATGCAACGCTAAATCTACTGGCATATTACTGTGTGTGACCCGATTGTTCGGAATTGCCTGTATGGAATATATGAAACTTGTGAGGGTGTTGGGAAAATATTCTATTTACAAGGCCCAGGAAGGTTTGAGCAATGAGTATGGAAAAGGGGCAAAGGATAATGTAGAGGATGGAAGAGACTGATGGAAAAGTCGTCTCGTCTCTCGAAAACTCTTTGCTTCGAGATCAGACGAAATATATGCTGTGATATGTCACATCGGCAACCGTGCTACTCTGTTGCCTCCCGGTTCTCGGTCAGTTTCACTACATTAATATGAACGTAGGTAGGTATATTTCATATATTATCACAAACTACCTTTTAATTCCATCTCGATCTTGACCAAAATCCCTTATAGCCTCCGCAATAATCCTACTTCCACCTCCACGAACCAAAACCTCATTATGCAAGGCGCTTTGAATAACTTCTCGTCTTACCTCGAACCGAAGATCCAAACACCTCTTTTCTAGTAATTCTCCATGAGATGCCGGCACCAACTCGTCTTTCCCAGCTTGCAAAATTAGAATCTGCGGTGCTTTTAATCTGGATCTTTCAGTGCGATCATGTAGTCCGCCTAGAGCTTTCCAACTATCAAGATGGTTTCTTAGAAATGGGTGAAGATGTCTATATGGAAGCCATTTCTGCGGATAGAGTGTTTCTAGCATTGCTTTACTGTGCCGCACTGGTTAATCTCAGACGTCCAAAATATCCTAGTGATAAGATACTTACATGCCCAGAAATGGTGTCTCCAGAATCAATTTCTGTAAACGTAACTCATTTGAAAATATTCCATCTTTTGCTGCCAAACCAGTGGCAACTCCAGCGCCAATACTTTGACCCCAGAGAATAACCTCACATCCATCGAAGTCTGGTCGTGATTCAAAATCTTTCTTAACCCATTGCATTGTAGCTTCTGCATCCATCATGATACCCTTTTCTGATGGTCTACCTCGAGATGTCCAATATCCTCTATAACTGCAACATACGAACAAATATTGCGCAGGACCATTATGAGCAGATGGTAACTTTTTCAAATTTCGCGGCACATTAGAGAGAAATGGAAGTCTTGGTGGTAATGATGCTGCATTTCCTGCACTGATGTAAATATTCACAGTTGCAAACTAAGAAAGAAGGGAGGAATAACCTTGGAAGTATAAAACATAGACTATCCGTTGTCCCCCCTCAATTTTCGCAGCAGTAGATACTTCTGCAACACATAGACTGATCGACGTACTATCTATAGACTTTATCTTCTCTTCCCTCCATTTTATACCCAGACATTCTTTTTCATAATTCGCGATAGTTTCTTGTCGGGAATTTGGAGGCAATCCAGGCTATTGTTACTGAATGAGATATGTAGGATGGGAAAGTGTGAGAGTGCCCACCATGTAGATAATTTTATTCTGAAATGTTACCATCATACAACATTTCCCTACCTCGACTCAGTATGAGCATTATTTGAGTACCAATGATGACAATAATAAGAGATAGCAAGGCTCGCGGCAACACTGGTCCGGAAAGTGTAAACAATCCTTCACCAAGGATTTATTTTCAATAAGTACTGAGCTTTCAATACTCTCATATGATGCAAACACTGATTCTATAAAGGAGAGAAGTGACAATCGAAATCCTACTCACAAGTCCACATCGCAATCCCTAATCCTAGAAAATACATAGGTGGGATAAGAAACATGGGCACCTCCAAGAATGCACGACGTTGATGTTGTCCATATCCATGTCGAGGCTTTCGTAAAACACACCTTGCACTCGCCCGAAACATTCTGACTCAATCTTTTCTTCAATATTTCTTTGAGTCATAGGAGGTTTCATGGACTATTGAAGCCTCTCATTCGCATTGTAATTATTGTGGTCACTAATTTGTATAGATCGATTGAACACAATCAATCAAAGGTTGTCCATTCATTCATTGACTTAGCCACATATCAAGCTCCAAGGGGCGGGCCAAAACCACTCAGCGGGCGTCATTGTCAGGCTACTGTGACCAAAATTGAAACTCGAACTTCACATAACCATTTCTTCGAAGTCACATTAGAAATTCCAAGACCACGTAAAGTAGATTCTATATATCAAATCTACAGAAGAACGTTCTGAAATTTCTAATCGCTGTCAAAAACAAGAGTAGTAGCACTCCAAAAACTAGCAAATATTCGAAGTTATAAGAAGTCTCTGGATACCAATTCCGGCCACCAGAACCAGAAACAAATCTCTGGCGTCCCCGTGCGACAAAACAAACAAACAAATAAATATATCCTTACCCCTCCATACCAGCGGCAAATATTATTACAAAAAACACACCACAGCACACTTCACCAAGCAAACGAAATACAAACCATCACTATGTCGAGCGAAGAAGATAAAACGGTGGCCAATCTCTCACATGTCTCGATCAATGGGGATGACGTCGAAGGTCATGATGAATCTATTGCGCCCCGTAGCGACAGTGGGTGGGATGGAAAACTACGTATAGAGAAGGAGAATGGCAAGAAGTTAGAGCTTGTCAATCCAGAAGCTTTATCTGATCCCGAGTATTCGGATGAAGAGAATGTTGTCCCGGGGGAAATTATAAATGCAGACGAAGGTACACAACGCTTTCGTTCCTTCTCCCTGCCCAAAGATATCTAGCAGTACCATATTAACATGACCCAGATCTCCTCGACGACTATCCCCTTGACACCGAAGAAATAGACCTAGTACATGCGCGAATTTCCTCCATCCCATCTCTCAGACTCTCCCGTTTCTCCCAAGTTCAACGACTTTGCCTCCGCCAAAACACTATCACCACAATCGAAGAACTCTCCCCTCTCGCATCTACCATCACCGAACTCGATCTATACGACAACCTAATCGCGCACGTCCGCGGACTAGAAGATCTCATCCATCTGACCTCCCTCGACCTCTCCTTCAACAAACTAAAACACATCAAGAAGATAAACCACCTCACCTCCCTCACGGACCTCTACTTCGTCCAGAACAAAATAACCACCATCGAGAACCTAGAAGGTCTAACCAAACTACGCAATCTAGAACTAGCCGCGAATAGGATCCGCGAGATCCAGGGCTTAGACACATTAGTAGGATTAGAAGAATTATGGCTGGGCAAGAACAAAATCACCGAGATGAAAAATCTCGACGCCTTGCAAAATCTCAAGATCCTAAGTATCCAGAGTAATCGCATCCGCTCCATAAGCGGCCTGGATAAACTTTCCTCGCTGGAAGAACTATACATCTCGCACAATGCGTTAACATCACTCGCGGGTCTGGAATCATCTTCTCAACTTCGCGTTTTGGATATTTCGAATAATCAAATATCGTCTCTGGCGGGCATCAAGGGTTTAAAGGAGTTAGAGGAGGTATGGGCGAGTTATAATCAAATTGCCGATTTTAATGATGTCGAGGAACATTTGAGAGATAAGGAGAAGTTGACTACGGTCTATTTTGAGGGGAATCCTTTGCAGTTGAGGGCTCCGGCTTTGTATAGGAATAAGGTGCGCTTGACGTTGCCGCAGCTTATGCAGATTGATGCTAGTAAGTTTAGTTTTTTGTGCTGTAGGTATCGGTTTCTTGACTAACAATATGACAGCTTTTGTTAGGGTTTCATAGAATGCGTATTTACAATGAGAGAGTTGGCATGTGGAAATGGGAAGTGCTCAGAAGGGTAGACATAATCGGCATACATGTCATGAAGATATTATAGCATTGCAATGGAGTTCTTGGTGGGAATTGGATGGGTTTCATGGAAATCACAGCATACACATGGCAATTATAAATGTTGCATTGCAAAGTGAATGGAAGACTATAATAAGAGTTCTAGACACTACTCAGCGTACACGAAATCACATTAATATTGACGATTTTTCATCCTTTTAAATCTTGATTATATATATAAAATATTAGAATTATTTTATTAAAATTTGATATTTTTATACAAGTCAATAATCGAGATTTGATAGAAACTAAATAAATAAATAAATTTGTTTTTAGTTTTTGTTTTAATATTATATATTTAAAATTTCAAAATAATTTTATTTTTTTAAAATATATATTATATAATAAAGATTTTTGAATTTTTAAAATTAAAATTGTTATAATTTTTAATAAATTTATTCCAAAAAAAGATTATATATTTTATATAAAAAAAGATTTTATAAATAATTAATTATATTATATATAAAAAATTGAAATTGTAAATCTATTTATGTCACAGACGCTCCCAGGGTATAGACTGAAAACCTGTAACTATTACAGGTCATAGGTTTATTTATATAACCCTAACGTTCTATTGATTAAATATTAAGTTATTAGTTTGTAAAACTTTACAAAAATCTTTTATTAGCATTCATATATCGGATTGTATTCAATCTGAAATTACTTTTTCGTTTGTTTATAAAAAGAGATGGTTTATTTAATTTAGAAAGAACAATGAAAAGCTTTGATGCTATTTTAAGACTAATTGATTCTTTGCTATGTGTGACTCTTATAATTTATTTAACCATTCAATCACATCACGTGACATCTCGTGGTTCAATATTGGAAAGTGTTCGTTTCTTCTTTCTTACCATAGATTAATCAATCCTTTATAATATATACTTCTGTATTTATACAACCTCAACTCTAAACCCATTATGAAATCTATCATTCTTATAGATAACGTCTTACAATACCTATAATCTAATTGGCTTTCTTCCCCATTCCCTCTTATAATATACTAGTATCGGGACGCATGTATCTCGACCTACATACTACCTCTTTTTACAATATTTGGAAATTTAAAATTGATTTTATTCAAGAAGATAGTTGATATCTAATTTCTACGAGAAAGTACGGTTTTTGCAGAGGGATTTTGTCACGAATTCAAAGGGTGCGCCGTGAGTAGATTCTAGAATTCTTAGTACTGGTGTTATAATTGTTTTTGTTCAATATTACGTTGAATATCTAGCTAGGTATCATCTCAAGCCATAAAGCGAAACGAAAACGTAGTAAAACTAAGAAAACTAAGGTTATCCTCAACCGCTATCATCTTTATAAGCCCATGCTTATGCGAAAATGTGTAAGGTGTTGACATACTAATGGGTAAATTGTTAGTTAAGAGATTATTCGTTAGAACATCTAAATGTTCAAACATAGAGTTCGAAGGAAGAATTTTAACTCACATCAGTAGGGTTGTTAAACCTCAAATTTCGGTCCAATTTACTAAGCGAATCTAAATCCTCCTTCTCCATATCGAAATCGGTGACGTGTAAGTTTTGTTCCAGACGGGCTTGGTTGTTGGATTTGGGAATGACGGCAAGGCCGCGTTGGGTTGCCCAGCTGCACAGGGTTAGTATTTGGGTTAGGGGATAGGGAAATGAGATACTCGAATGGGGAAGTGGACATACCGTAGCAAAACTTGAGCGGGAGTTTTCTTGGTCCTCTCGGAAATCTTTAGGACATCTGGGTGCTCGAAGAGCGGAGGGGTCTTTTGAGCGCGATCCCATCCTAGCTCGATGAATGATTGTGGTCCGAATGATGAGCTGGATATCGAAATCAGTATACTGTTACGTCCAAAGCAGTCCAAAGGAAGAGAAAAACTCACTAAGCAGTGACCGCAATACCCTCACTCTCGGCCAACCTCAATAACGTATTCTGAACCAAATACGGATGATGTTCAATCTGCAAGGTCGCGGGTCTAATCCTCGCATACCTCAACAAATCCATCAACAACGCGCCCTGGAAATTGCTCACACCAATATTCTTCGCCAACCCCTCATCAACCAGCTTCTCCATCGCCTGCCACGTCTCTTGAATAGTTGCCTTACTCTGCTGCACATCCCCTTCCTTGCCGCTGTACTGCCATCCAGGAGGATAACGCACCGATGGATCCACATAGCGCAGCGCAATGGGGAAATGCATAAGATACAGATCGAAATAATCGAGGCCCCAATCGGCAAGCTGTCTGCGCGCAATGGGTCCTACGCGCTCTTGTTCGTGGAAGGGGTTCGAGAGTTTCGAGACGATGAACAATTCTTCGCGTTTTACGAGGCCTTCTTTGATGGCACGTGCTATGCCCTGTCCGGCTTCGACTTCGTTGCCGTAGTCTAGGGAATGGTTAGTCGTTTGTTTTGTTTTGTTGAAAGGTTGTGGGGGAGTAAGATAATAGGATGAGAGGGGTTTTACCGCATGCACCGTCGAATAGACGATATCCGGTTTTGATGGCGTTGTACACTATGTCGGCGCAAGTAGAATTGCCGACTTTCCATAAGCCGAAACCAACTTGTGGCATCTCATGTCCGGAGTTGAGTTTAAGGGTTGGGGAAGCCATGATTGATAATTTGTATGTGTGTGTATGGGGTAATGAAAGAAGATTTGAAAATGGAGAGATGCGAGAAATAAGAGAATGGTTAAAGGTTTTGGATATGATGAAGTGTTCGTCTGTCCTTTGAAAATTATAGAAAGTTTAGATGGTGGGGATGGAGGCGGGGTAATTCTTTGATTTCTAATACAAAGCTTAAGAAGCTTGAAAAGCTTATGAAAAGTTTGAATGGTGGAGATAGAGATGATGCAAATTAGGTAATTTTTTACTTTCCAATGTAAATCTTGTACGGAGGTAGAAGTTATGATGGAGATGGGGGTAGGGATGAGACAATTCTTATGGGGATGGAGCTGGGGCAATTCTTTGATTTATAATCGAAAACTTGAGAAGTCTAGAGAAAGTTTGAATGATGAGGATGATCAGATCATCATGATGATCACTATGAGAACGATGAGGATGAGGGGAACGAAGAGAACGATGACGATGATGATGAAGATGATGGGGATGAGAGATGAGACAATTCTTTTATTTCTAATAGAAAGCTTGAAAAGTTTCAAGAAAGTTTAAATGATGAGGATAAAATTTTAATAAAAACTTATAAAGTATAAATAAAATATAATATTATAATCTATATAAAACTAAAATAAAATCTTAAAATCTTATTATATAAATAATTTTTTCTAATTTATATTAAAGTATTATCATTTTTAATTAATATTAGATTTATTTTTAGATTACAATTTTAGTGTTAAAAGAATCTTTGATTTTTTAGGTTTTTAATCTTTAAATCTTTTAGTCTCTTTAATCTCTTTAAATTTTAAAAAAATATATAATTTTTATAAATAGTAAATAAATTATTTTAATTTTATTAAAATGACGTTCAAAAAAGTACATTTAGAGCATTTTTATTATTTTTATCTAAATAGAATAATTATAGTATATCTTTAAAGATTGAGAACAATGAGACTTTTGTAGAGAAAGAAAAGAGGAGAGAGAGAGAAGGGGGGGGAGGAGAGGAAGGGGAAGGGGAAGGTTGAATTTCAGAAAGCATACAAGAAATTATGACTCATGATTCAATCACTGCCTAATCATCATTTGAAGCTAAGTATTCACACTAATATCTCGTTCCATAGTTTTCACCAGCCACAGTCTGAAAAAGAGTATATTTACTGATACTTCACAGAGCTAGTAAAACTAAATCTCATTTCAAAAGCCGGCCCCGCTTTAAGGCTAAATACGAGAACCTTAAATTATCCTCGAAACCCTTTTGGATTAAGCTTATTTCTTATTTCCTATTTCCAGGTGGATGAATTTGTAAAGTGGATCGAAAACTTTTATTCATCAATCCACTTCTTCTTAATCCACTTGATATTCATTCAAATATATATATATATATATATATATCCAGAACCTTATTTCCGGATGGATCACTTGAGTTTATACGGACGGTAGTTGAGTGAAATTTCGAACCCACCCCGCCCATAACCGTGGTTAAGCGTAACCAATCCATCAGTCCTAACCACCCATTGACTGCTCCTTACTCTGTACACTAGATGAGTTGTGATCTATTGTTTTTTGGGGTTTTTTCTCTTCCTTTTTTCTTTTTTTGGAAAGGCCTCTTTAGCATGAATACATTTTTGTTAGTATTTCCAGAATCCAAGGGAGCGTTTGATCCGAGCTCGATTAGGTTATCTGAAGAGAGGAAGCTGGTGTCGGCAAGGTTGGGTGATGATTCTAAAGTGATGGATTGGGGTAGTACCTGCGGTTGAGCTAGTGTTTGATTCTGCTCGTGTCTGCTTTCGTTCGTTTGGTTGGATCAGCATTGTAGACTCTTATAAGGTATGTCAAATACTCCAATAAGCATTCATCCTTGTACAAATTCGAAGCTTGAGTATGGGTGTAAACTAGTCATAAATTAGAAGTAGTTGCGTTCGATGAGATAGTGTAATGTTTCAATGAAACACTGGTAGTAAAATTGCTAATGCTTATATTATTCAAGCAGATACATAACAAATTTTTAAATCATTTTGATTGTATCTTCAGAAGTCTTTCAAGAACCAGCTCGGATGATACGTTATAGATCTTCAATATTAGATTAGTGGACTAAGAATGATTCGCAAAGTCCGATCAGATTATCTGAAATATCCAAACGGGTTGTTGGAAGGTTAGGGAAAACTTAGATGATCATACCATGGGATTTTAACAATAAACTGGAAGCAATAGAATTAATAATCGATAGAACTAACAAAAGTTCCTCATAGTATACTCTCAAATTCGATAATATACTATGAGATTTAACATAAGAAGACTATTAGTATTTCACAAAAGTCAACGATTTGACAAAACCCCAAAATATTTTCAGAAATAAATGTCATCAGCGTACCTACCTATGCAATATAACCTCTTCACACCAACTCCGAAGAAGAAGAAGAAGTATTATCAAGTCTCAAAGTCTAGACAATCAAGTCATCCATCCATCATCCATCCCTATTTTAATTCGGTTCACGGAGGATCTTCGGTGGGGGGAGGATCTTGAGTTGTGAGATCACATACATAGCCTACTAGACAAAGGGAACAAAAGTTACCTTAGGTACGAAAGCAAAACTTCATTTCAACCTTTATGAAATTCTAGCTATGATAGATAATACATGAACATACTAGGTCATAGATATAAGCCTGATATCTCTAAGCCTTAGATTCCTTCGATGAAATCCAATCCTTCCATCCTTCTGTGCAACAAACTCATCATCCATCTCGAGCTCATCAACCGTCGGATATCGATATCGATGTACCCTCCAAGTTGCAGTTGGCCTCTGAGATTTATCCCGTACCGTTTATACCGAAATCTCCCTCTCTTGCCTGGAAGTTCTTAATATGCATAGCACCAGCCAAACATTAACCATCAGTCATACCGGCGATCTAAACAGCAGCTCTCCAGCTGTAAAAGGTAAGATTACAATTAAGTCTGATATAATATAGCCCTATATTCTCAGACAGGCAGATAATCAGTTCAAAAAACCTGGAAATATCAGAACGATTAAAAGCAAGTAGAGGCCAAGGAAATATGAATACCAAAAACGAAGAACCAGGTGCTAAATCATGACAACAGACTGTACAAAGTCAATTATAAGATCTTACTTTTTCTCTCATATGACAGATTAGAGAGGGAATGTGAGAATTAGATCGGAACGGACTGGAAATTTTGTTCTTTGGATTGGTGAGAAATGTGCTTCTGCGGCATAAATAGATGGATAGTTTTCGAACTCTGTGATTGTATTGTGTGAGAGGCAATTAATGGCCTCGTTGCATTGTATTGCTTATTGTTATACTAATGTTGATGAAACTAGGATAGAAATGTTGACAGTGATGATAGGAATAATAACATATTTGATATAAGGAAAAGTAGAGGTGGACGCGAAATGGCATTGACGCCATGAGAAATACACGGGGGATTGTAGATGTATTAAAATAGACACGACAAAACACTCATTCATTCATCTCTAATCGAGAAGTCATACATGCTAAAATCAATCATAGTGGTATTTTATATAGCAGAAAATATGTACTTTAACCCCACCAGTCTATCACCATCCATTAAATTTGTACCTTCATCCTCCACACGAGATGAGTATAGTAAGTAAGTAGCATACTAAATACACCATCCAGCTAGTACCCAGGTAGGTAGGTATTTAAATATAAAGAACGTCCGAACCAACACGCGGAATCCATGCCAACCAAAAATTCAACTACAAGACATCACGCATATCTTCCAAACCATCCTCTATTACCAACTAAACGTCATCATCTCCGGATTCAACGCCACAGGCAACAACAAATGACTAGCGCACATAACCCCCAGCGGGAAAATAGCGATAAAATCATCAATATTCCAGCTCCATGGTAGAAACGTTGCTTCAGCCATGATAATCATGGCTACGATGCCGAAAATACACATGGCGTATGTGTACTTGAAAGTTCGGAGAATCTTGGGCACTTCGAGGAAGAAATTGGAAAATTCTACTTCTTTGGATGTGGCGCCCCATGACATGTTTATTTCAAACATGTGGCACAGAAGTGCTTGGGACATGTGTAGGGAGACGCCGCCGAAGAATATCATGAACATGAAGCACCATTTTAGATTTTCGAGGACTGGGGGAGAATGGTTAGTTTGAATGCGGTAGTGGAATAAATGCGAGAGATGGTTGTAAGAGTGGAGAGAATGTGAAGGGAGTAAAAACTTACTAGCAGGAAGGAAAGACTTTTCGCCAGATCGATGACGTTGTACCGCAAGACCCACATTACCAGCTCCAGTAAACACTACGGTAATAGCGAGCCAATTCTGCCATGAACCGACATAGGCACGATCGAGATATCCGTTCCAGAGACCAACGAATATATAGTTTGCAACGCAGATTATCCACGCACTGCCTAAAGCATAGTATGTACCAATATACGCGACGATTTGAACTTTCGAACCGATATCGATACCCGAACAGATGAATCTGCGAAAGAGAGGTGTGAATGGAGATTTCCATAGCCAGGTTCTGATGGGGTTAAACATAAGTTCGTTACAGCCGTAAGCTATTTGATGGTTAGCAGGAGCCACGATCGTAGAGAATGGGTTATCTTACCGTATTTTTGCCAGCGGGTCAATTCATCGTACACGGTGAGGGACACGCCTTCTTTGAATCCATCGCCCGCCCATGCAGCCATGCGAATTGTATAGTGCTTAAGTTGTAATCGGAGAGCCATATCAAAGTCCTCTGAGACGCAGGACTCGGACCAGAACCGTTCATGACCATCTTCATCCTCGAAAGCGATCTCCTGGATAGCAGACCATCGAAGAATTGCATTGTGTCCTACGAATGCTGCCACACCACCATTTGCAACACCATAACGAATAGCAGAATAGATAAGGTTGGTAAAAAAGGTAATGCCATTCTCAAAAAAGTTGTGCGATACTTGCATGACGGCAGAAGAGAACTGAATAATGCCTACATCTGGAGATTGTTCCATTTCGCTGGCAGCATCAAGTAAACAGTCTTCTGGAACCTGAGTGTCCGAATCGATGATAAGAATATAATCACCAACCCTGATGTTTCCTTCGGCCCACGCTTCAGGATTCTCGTCAAGAACTTCCGCAAGACAAGATTCAAAAGCAGCAACTTCGTCAACTTGGGTCCAAGTAGCGGGTCTCTCAATAGCTTGAAGTTTCTCTTCGATAGCATTGGATAGCGCAAGTCCATAGTTCATGTTCGAGGCTTTCTTAAATTTTCCTTTGCGCGTGTAACCATTTTGACCGTTGGGAGGACGGGCGGTCCAGCCAATGCCATGATCAGCGTAAAAGTCGATTCTTTGTTGTCGACTGGCTTCATCAAGAAGCTGGAGACCGTCGTCATTGATGAAGATATTTGCGGACCCGCCTTGCAATTCGTAGGTAGAGATCGCTTTCTTGATTGAGGAGATTGTTGGAGCAATAACGGCAGCTAAACCTTCTTTATACACAGGACATTGAATGGTAACATGTGGTAGTGTCGTAGTAAGAAGACGAGGTGGAGCTTTTGCAGAGAAGAACTTCGTGTTCCTGGAAAGCTGCTGGATTGGACCGAAACATTGCATGAGAACACCAATTACCACGCTTGTGAAGAACTACTTAAAGTTAGTAGCCATAGAGATGGTATTTAATATTGCCGATGACATACCAGTGTGAAGAAGCAGTATATTGGGGTCATGACCAGGTAGCAAAGGGATATCCAATGTTTCAAGACGACAACCTCTAGCGCAAGCTGGGCATACCCAAGACCCATAATACACACCAGAATACAGATCGAGCACGCGACCATGAATGAATTGAGATACATAATCGGTCTGTCTTCGACAGGTTGTCCCGACTCTTCATCAACCTCAGTGACATGAGCTCGAGGTAGAGTTTCAATCTTTTCATTGTCAGTGGCACTCCAGATAGTTTGCAGTAAACCATCCTCGATTGCTTTGGCTCTATCAAAAAGGAGTGTTGGGTCATCTTCCCAAACGACAAGGAGGGCCTCTCTAGCAATGAAAGCAGCGTAGTGAGCTCTGCGAGCACGAGGAAGGTCTTCGAGCGTTGGTAGAATTTGAACCCTAAGGCCGTTTGTAAGAGGAACATCAAGAGCGTCAGGCGATCTTGTGAGAAATGGTTGAACAACGGTGGAGTTGATGGTCATAGCAGCCTATGGTCCACATTAGCGTCATATCTTCTTGCTAAATTTAAGGTTAAGGCTAGAGAGGGGCACTTACTGAAACGTTCATGATCTTCATAGCTCTACCAAAGGTGGAGCTAGCTAAGGCTGGAGGACGACAGAGATATTCTGTCCTATCTTTGCGTACCATAACACCCTCATGTTGTCCTGAATTATCCATAATCCACATCAAACCTCTTTGTTTCTGCCAAAGATAATTTAGAATAACTTGATGTCTGATATCATCTAAACGATTGTTGCTGTACAAGCTAACCCTACTCGAGGCAGTTGGTGATGGCTCGGAAAAGCCATGACGAGGTGAATCATTTTCAACGACAGAATTTGGGCCAGCTGGAGATTTCTCTTTGCTTGATTCAGACTTTTCGCCTTTCGAAATCTTGAAATAGCTAAGGACACCCATAGTTAAAAGAGTGGAAGTAAAGTAGCTCAAGTAAAGAAAGCGGTTTGCACGACGATAAGAGAAGAGAAACGGGTAGACACATGAACGAAGACAAACACATAATATACATGTTCACGGAAGCGACGCCGATAACTCACCGTTTTCGGATGCCAGCTCTGAACAGACACAGGGTCAACCTTCAGGCTAAACGGGAAGGTTTCATGAAGGTTGATCGAAGCACCACGTCTAGAATTGAGTGCAAGAGGTGAAAGCACGAACGTGGATTTTGACCCTAGTCAATCGACATCCTCAAAAAATCTCGACATCTTTGAAGGCCTTTGGCCGAACACCCTGAATCCTTGAAGATATCCCTCTACAATTTCCACTTTAATTCCTAGAATATCGCTCAGAATCTCAGCGAGATGCAGAGGTTCCGGTCCGGTCAATGTCCGAAAGGCATGTCGTAGTGTTGAGCTGAGGCCGATCAATACTAAAAGCTATCCTTGAGAAGATCTATCACTTGATAGAGATCTAGGTCCAACCAACAGAGAGCATCTACAATTCTGAGTGCCGATAGGGAGAGATGCTCATGCATTTTGGATCCTGGACGTCGCTTCTGTTGCGACTTGAGAAGAGATTGGCCAAGTCAAAGCGTTCCTGGCCTATAGTGCTGTCGTACATATAGCATGGTGAATCTTGCCTGCATGAAAGTATTGAACCTGCACATCGGCAACATGGGTGAGAAGGATTATTCAGGGTTGCTTATCAGGATACAATCGCATCCACCAGACTCTCAATATCCCACGATGCATGCTCCAACAGATAAACGCAAGTTTCAACGGCATTCAATACATGGCAAGCTTGTGGTACGCACCTAGCTTATTTTGTGAGCCGTTTTCTCTTGATTTTGAGGCTATTGATCTTCGACAGCACTACCGTTCAAGATTTGGGGTCTAAAGTCGGAGAATTTTCCACGTTAAGAAATGATACGCTCAAAATGTTCCATCACATACCAAATCTAGAAAGTTATTGCCAATCACCACAAAAATAGATATCAGAACGAAAGCCAATGATAGATCAAACGTGGCAGCCATATCTTGCTCTGTCACATTCGCTTGCAAATTTTCGTCCGAATAATTTGACATCATTTGTCCTATCGAATCCACCTAGAAGTCTGCATCTGGGTACAACACCCTTCTCATGTTCAGCTGAATGTGAGTTGGATTCTTCTATGCTGTGGCTGGACTGCCAGTTCGAGTGACACTTTGCGAAGGTTGTACGAATAGCTACAGCAGCGGAGACATATGCAATTGTCTTACCGTATTGCCCAACTTATAATGATCCACATATGACCCACATATGACCCACAAATAGCGGTGATGTTCCACAAGGGTTTAGCGACAATCCACACAGAGCCCCTTGTTGGCTTTATTTGGTCATTACGACATGCGCATAATAGATTTCCATGTCTGCGCCGTTGCGAAGAATCGTTTACATTTTGTACACAACATAGACATGGTATTATAGTACATATGCAATTAAGTGATAAGAAAAAGGAAGTTGTCTTGAGCAGGTGGTAATTGCTGCTTCGATGATAAACCTGCGTGAAGGAGGTCCCAACAATTTCTAAACGAAGCATGTTGTGCATTTACATGTGAAAATGACATCTAGGCGTTTATACTACGATGATCAATCTAAGATGATATGATAAGGACATACGACGGTTTGCTGCTGTGTACTAGCGGCTATATAAGTTGTGGTCCCTGAGCCATGCATGCAAAATGCAAATGGAAAATGTAAAAGCCTTCGAAAGGGGAATATTGTTGGCAGCCAGAAATTCTGTAATGATAGTGGTCGACAAGTGGTGGTACTGCAGTAGGATACGAACCAAACGGGAGGGCGTTCCGGAAATTATTCTGGAGTGTTCCTGTACCTATCTCTAATATACCACACTTTAACGGTCGGAAGAGCAAGTAATATCCAAAAGCTTGGTTTTTAAGCGACTTGATGTGACGCTTTCCGGGTTGTTTTCGCTTCGTTGTACATGAAGACGCGACCATCAGTACCATTTACATTAAAAGACATTTCAGTCAATTTTCTGATCTGACACAAGTTGATTTTGATATTGAATGCAACCCAAAGAAACAACGAAGTATCCTTGGCAAGAAAGATCCGGCCCGTGTGTGTTTTTCATTCCGATGCAGGCCCGGCAGCTTAATGAAGCTTGTTTGTTTAGCATTTTCACGTAGATGTGCACTGTGTGCCCGTGAATGAGAATGAGAATGAGAATCAAAATAATATTCCATAACCTAAGATAAACGGTGTTGCTGTGTTGATCCCGACCTCCATCTAATAATAACCACACTTTCATTAAGCTAATCATATCCAAAGAAATCCTCCAAGGTCCAAGCATATCCTGTCTACGCTGATCGCAGCTTGTTTATCCTCTTCCCCTGTCAAGCTTAGTTCAATCACACTGTTGCCACATCTGCACCTGGTCCACAATCATCTGTCCATTCCTCTCCCATGTAGGAAGCCATTCGTTTCGGGCTTTCCAGAAATCAAACTTTGCAGATGGGCTTCCATCAACCCACGGCTTTCCATCTGCGCCATCTAGGAACCAGCCATTCTGCCCCCCCACACCCACGTTCAAGATAAGATAAAATTCTTGATCGAAAGGGGTATTTTTTCGGCCAGTTTGTGACCATGGGTCCACAATCGCTGTCCCATTGGCATCACTCAAGGGGAAATTTCCTTGCTGCCACAATGGCTTCTTAAACGGCCAATACATGACTTGGCGCAGTGTATTATCAACGTATGCAAAAATATACTTCTCGGTCCACTCCAAGCCGTAAAGGTGAAAATCGTCACCGAACTCGGAATGCAAGGCAGCTCTCACGTTAGTAGTTTTTTTGTATGCATCGCTCGCTTCATCAGGACCCCAATGCAAAGAGCTGAATACGAAATTGTTGCCACCGAGACTGTAGGTGTAGTTGTTGCCACGAGATTCCATAATATCGATTTCACCACTCTGTGGCCAGGCTCCATATGTATCCTCAACCGGCAGCATCCAAATGGCCGGCCAGAGCCAATCTCCTTTCGGGAGTTTGGCTTTAACCTCCACTTTCCCGTACTTAATGGTAGCACCAAGCTTGGTATTGATGCGAGCAGACTTGGCTGGTTGTACGATAGTCCCGTTGGTTGTGTTTGTAGAGGTGACACAATTGAGAAAGATATTGGACGTGGTTGTGCACGTTCCATCGGCCGTGAGGTTGATGATACTGTTGGTGGTAATCAACGATGCATCCTGAATTGTAGGCTTAATGTACAGCTGGCCATCTTGAATGAATAGGTTTTCGGCATCTGTCGTTGTCTGCTCAAATTGACCATTTCTGTGTTGATTGATCGTCAGAATTTTGGAGCATGTACGTAAGGGGAGAAACTAACCCAAAACCACCCACTTGAACTTCTGTTGTCCAAATGTTAGGATCCAAAGTACCAGAAGAAAAGTCTTCTGACAGAACTGGACAGTAGTTGTGTCGTGTAATACTAGCTATCTTCAGGTAGATTATGAGGCCAGTTAGACCTAATCCTAGAATCAAGCCGCAGAGGGGGAAAACCCATAAAAGTGCCTCCTTCTTTGACTTCTTGTTGACAGGGAGAGGTACAGCATCTGCTCTGCGAACGCGACGAGATCGAAAATATCCAGTTCCAGGAACTTCGGCATACTGGAACCCAGATCGAGCCCCAATTGTCGAGACAGGTCTTGAGTATGGAGGTGTAGCGAACGGGTTGGAAGTACCCACAGGCGTTTGCGCACGGCTGTTTTCCTCAGATTGAGGGGTACTCTTCGAAACAGTGACTTGAGAAGTAGCTCTCTGCATTTCCGCTGTAGCAAAGAAGAGTAGATGCGAAGATGAAAAGTTGCACTATCAAACTCAGACAAAGCTCGAGGAAATTTCACATTATAGCACAATGCTTCAAGCGATCACCACAACCTTTTTCCTGATAAGATAGAGTATCCTGCAAGCTTTCAATGTACCTGTCCGGCCCGTATCCGTTATGTGATGCTCGCAAAGGTGTGTTGAGGACCCGCAGTGTACATGGGGCCCCTGGTGACGCTAAGATTTTGTCAAATTGGAGGTTCTTTGGTAAATAACCATCTAGCCCTGTCTACATAACACGACTATTGACTCATTAGATTAGCATATTGTTCAGCCTTAACCTTTACCCACACCTTAAGACGTTGAAATGCTCTTTCCATGGCCTCATGGCCATTGACCTTATCCATCAATGTTACATTTGTTGAAAAACAACAAAATGAAAGACTTGGCTTTCCAAGATAGACCTCACTTTGCTTTTTCGAAGTAGCGTTGAGGTATGAGAAAGGGGTTTGATCGATAATCTATCTCCCCATTCAGTCTTCATCTATTTGCTTTTATTGATATGTTGGATGAAATATCGAGCTACATGCGTGAAGTAAAATTTGGCTCGGATTTTCACGTTGTACTCGTGTACTCGGTAGATACATTCATTGATAGAATGGACGTGCACCAACGACCCGTTTTAACAAAACGTGCAATGAGTGCACGCTCCAGGTCTTCCCACTTTGTGAACCTTTGTGGACTTCGCCGTGTTAGACAACCTCTTTTCAGGTCTTCTTAATTTATGTGGCGTCGAAATTATTGCTATTTCATTCGAGGAAATGGATTCAACGGTAGAACGGATCAAAATATGGTCTTATGAAGAGACCTGTCATCTCTCAACCCGTCAGGATAGTATCATTTTAGCCCAAATTACCTCCAGGCTTCCACTTTTGGTTGTCTTGGGTTTCTGTGAGGCGTGAAAATGCCCCTCAATTGAGAACAATTTTGGGGTTGGAATGATGAGAATAGAATTGCTTTTGGTATTTTTGGACGGGCATGTATCGTTTTGGGAGTGACAAGGAAGCTGACTGCGTTCAGCTGGAAATTGAGCACCCAGATAGAATGAGGTGACTGTGGACTTATGGAAAAAGTATAAAGAGCCTCACATCTGTAGATCTCACTAGAAAGGATCAGATCAACACGAGCTTTCAATCTTCACTTCTTTAATATCATCTTTTCTGCAATCAGAACAACAGATTCTCCCAAAATGAAATCAACAATTGCTTTCTCGGCTCTTTTAGCTGTAGCCACCGCCAACCCATTCCTCAAAGCTCGAACACTCGATATATCAGCATATAAAGCCGTTCCCACTGCTCCTGCTAGGGGAGCCCCCGCTGGAAACACCGTGACAGCGAGTATAACATACAATCCAAAATCTGTATCAGATGCTGCTGTTGCAGCAGCTACAGTATCTGTCGCCGTGATCAATCGTAGACATAAGCGCAGCACTTGTCCAAGTACTTGCGCTGCCTTACCTGCCGGAAATGGGCCTAGGGTCAACAGTCCGGACACCGTAGCAGCTTTCGAAGCAGATCTAAATCTTTCCGATGCAGCACTGAACGCGGTGACCCCTCCAGGCTATGTTCGTGTCGATGGCTTTCAAAATGTTCACGCCGCTGCCGAATCCGCCACATACTTGACATATATCTCCGACTCTTTCACGTCTTACGATCCGGCTATTTGTGCCAATGCATGCAATGACATACAGGGCTGCACCTCATTCAATATCTGTAAGTGCTGTTCTAGTAATTTTTGCGGAAAAGCTGACAACCCTAGTTTTCGAGCGAGATCCAACTGTCGCTCCAGACGCGGATGACTGTCCAAATCCTCCATCCCAAACACTTATAAAATGTTCACTATTCGGTGGCTTGTTGGATCCTTCATTGGCTAGAAACAATGGCCAGTTCCAAGCTGATTTCCAAGTTGTGATTGCTGGCTCGAACGCGTATAATGCGGTTGCTCCACCAGCAATCCCGGGATATGGAGGAGTGCAGGATTTTGGAACTGCTACCATTGATGCCCCCGCCAACACTACAACATATAGTACGTACTAAAGAATCCCACAAAGTGGAGCTCGTATGAATTTTACTAATCCATGAATAGTGGGAGTTCAGGCTTTCCCTCAGACTCAGCCTTATGATCCAACTGTCTGTGCGGCCGCATGCACTGCGAAGAGTAACCCTGGTTGTGCGTTCTTCGTGTCTTATATCTTGTACGAGAATGGACGAAATGGAGTATTGTAAGATACCTTTTTTATTACCTGTTCCCATCTCATTTTATTTAGTCTTGCTTCCACATCTTACTTCAAGAGATTTCCTGATTCGCAATTACTGATTTGCCAATGTTACAGTACTTGCACATATTTCACCGTTTCCTACGGATCCGACAGAGCGATTGAGACCGGGCAATACGATGAGCAAGGAAACCATTACACCATCGGGCACAGCTTTGGATTCACCGCCGATGGTTACACAGCCTACTAGTTCAAGTTGGTAGCGGCGTCATAAGTAGCAAGCCATGGTGGCGTTCGAGTCGAACTGATGGGATGAATTAATGAAGACTCTAGTTTGAACAATGGCGTACAGAAGTTATTAGTATATGAATAGATTTCTGTGAATTTCTCGCGATCAAACTATCGATATCCCTGACTGTGATGATTACAACTGAAACCACGGTGATTTTTTTTTAGCTTGTTGTAGCTCTTGATAGTTAAATCGTGCAAGATGATGATGATAGGTTAGCTTCGTAGGGAGCGCCATCGGGATTTCCAATGGCTCAAACAACAGTTCAAACCTTATGACCCAAAAATGTGAGTTAGCAGAACTTGACTTCCAAAATGATTTGATAATCCTATAGCCGTTTGAATATTCTAGATCAATCACAGGTTCAGGAACTGCTAATTTTTTGGACTGCAGTCGGGACTATGGCAACTGATCAAAAGTATCCGGGCATTTAATCAACCGGTTGGAGACATATTTTCGCACATAGATCCAAGAATGGACCTCGGGTTTCGTTTCTGTGTAGGTTGAAGAAGAGCCTGTAAATACATACGGCTTGTTGTTTTAATGCTGGAAACACTCGCCATATAACAGTGTGATGAGTGGTGAGATTTTCGAGGCTATCATGATCCGAAACCGACGGCCCAGCAGTATCAAGATCCGTTTATACGATATATGTTTGAGCGTCGAGACCCATGTTTACAAGCGGCCGGGAGGCGTTCAACAACCAACCCAATTGAGGACACGACTGTCCGACCCGGCCGAAAAATTGACCATCCTGCATCTGTACTTTGATCGCGAACCAATAGGTGTGGAAATAGATGGCTGGACGTTGTGGAGAATATTCATTGTTTATTAGAATCGGTATTGTCAATGTCGATAAAAATCTTTTACTTGATACACCGCTCCAATCTTCAAAACTATTTGAGGAGAAAAGAGCAGCTCTTTATACTTGCCCGCTTAAAGCTTCTAGTTCCCCATTCACTGGGCCACGCTGATCATCGTTTAAGGCTGATGATGTCAGTAGTACCCTCAAGTATCATGAATTCCTCGATGATGTCTCCCAGGGCTTGTGAAATCCTACAATCATTGGTCGACCAACGGGGGTCAAAAAGTCAAATGTTTCCTATTCGGCGAGCAGTATTGACCAAGATTCGGATGAATTAATGGATATGTTTCACAGGCCAACCAAACTAGTAAGATAACACGATAAGACCATGAAAGCAAACCCCTCACATTTCCATAAATAAAAACATTCCGATCCACTAGAAAATGATGTATGTGACTGAGCTACAAGGGAGTTAGTTGAGATTCTGAGCTTTGGTTGGTTAATCGAAGCGCTCAGAAATGCTGCACCACCAATAACAATAGCTGTCACAGTACATGTTGGCGCTAACAAGGTTTTCTTCCCCGCGTACAAAACAATTCGGATCAATCGAATTCGTCGATTTATAGCGGTAAGGCACGCCCGAAATCTATTTCCAGCACGGTTGCAGAATTGATCGTCTCCGGGAACTTTTTATTTTGGGCTGCATGAACTGGGGATTTATGGTGTTGTCAAAAATGAGGTTTTGATGTATATATGTGTAGTTGTCGTGCTCCTATATTCTTGATATGTGTGCCCGGGAGAAAAATTGTATTAAATATCGAAATTGTAATATTGCGAGATTTGTTTCCATTATGTCAGATAAACCAGTCAGTATGGGTTTGCAATTGTTTCCACCTCCACCATCCAAGAAGAAAACTTGGAAAAGTAACAGCGATGAGCGAAACCTTCCAACATCCACATTCGATCCGGGCCCTGCGAATCGTTCACAGTCGCTTGATATGTTCGTCGGTGAAAGGCAATTACCGTTTGGCGGTAGCCAAACTCCCCAAGACGGAAGAGCATTGCCCATGAACATACCCCCTCCAGCCGTGCTTGCATCTGAACGTCCGAGGTCTCACACTTCATTTTCGGAAGCACCTACACTTGTGAGAAGCAACAGTAATTCATCCAGATATAGTCAGCACCACCATCGAGAAGAGCCAGTAATGAGATCCATATTCCCTCGATATAATCCCGAACTTCCACTAGAATATCAACAATATTACCCAACACAGCAGAGCCCCCGACACATTCCACAGAATGCTATCAGTCGACAACCATACTCCCCTGGTATCAACGAGGTAAGCCCAGGTATGGGCAGTCCAATGTCGTTAGGCCCACAATCACCTGGTCAGTTCGGGAGAGGTCTACAAGACGAGACATGGCCTGAACCATCAACCTCCGCCGAATTGAAGGAACTATGGAAAGTTACCAATGGATGGAAAGCATCGGCATCTGAAGGTCGAAAGTTCATTATGAAAATGAATAGCGCAGTAAAAGAGCCTATTCACACTCTTTCTTCAGCTAATCAGCCTTTTTACACCTTGCGTCTTGATCCGACTTCAACTTCAGCTCAGGTAACGATGAAAAGGCAAAACCCTGCGAAATCTCCGAGGAAGTCACAATCCCCAAAGAGTGGGGTATTTCCAAGAGCTGATTCTCAAATGGAAGTATTAATTACAACGCTCGAGGAATATTCGCGCCGCTTGCCACCAAATGACGGCCTGGTAGCACTTCTATACCCCCATGCAGCCTCAAGTATGGCAGTCGATCTGGCTGGACGGTCAAATATGGCAGACGGGGCCCTAGTTTTGGCAGCAGCCGAGCGAGAGTGCGGTAGATTGTTGTGGGACGATGATACTAAGAAATTTTACCTCAGACATCCTGCAGTCAGCACTCCGTTTCTCATAGCGATAAATTCATCACCAGCTTGGTCCAGAGTTGAATATACTCTTGAGCATCCTGAACTACCACACAATCTTGTGCGTTTGGTGAGAGATGGTAGTGGAACAGGATTCTTGGAAATCGATACAGGCGTAGCTGCTAGAATAGATGCTTTCTATATCGTGGATGTAGCGATCGCCGCTGTCATGCTGGCGGCGATGGACGAGGAGAAAAGGATGCATATTGAGAGATTTGATGCACCCCCTGGTGCACCAATACAGCCAGATACTCCAAAATCAAAGAGAAAATCATTTCTGAGAGGGGAACAAATGGAGTTGGATATAGAAAGTCAGGAGAGCCCAAAATACAAGATGGTCCCGACGAAAGAAAAGGCCAAAGACAAGGAAAAGGTGCCAGGGTTTTGCGGCTTGCTCTGGATGATGGTGAAGGCCATGGCTTGGATCGTGAAGATGGCAGTGAAAGCAATCGCAGCTATTATAATTGGGCTCAGCAAATGTTTGACTAGGAAAAAGTAATCGCTCGGATAAGAGGATGAAACTTTGGCGTTTTTGGTATATGATCACGACTATGATATGATTTTGGGATCGGATATGAATGTAATTAATTGCCTTCCTTGGGATATCCCCGGGGTATCTTATTATCGCAGGTCGATGAAGGGATTTCGAACCCAGCATAATTCTCTCGGCCATTATCTTTTCAGCATGCAGCTTTCGCCATGTCTGAAGGCCAGTTAAATAATTTATCTCTTTCGTTCTCGTATCTTGAATTTGACCCCATTTTTGTTGATGCCGCCCATTGTTGATGATTTCGCCATTTTCGCGCGTTGTAGATCCAGAGCCTCCTCGGCGTCGGTCAGAGCTCTGAGCCGCTGGCGTGCAATCAATAATTTGACTTCCAACTTATGCGCCTCCTTTTCCTGAAGCTTTCGAAGATTCTTGGTCGAAACATCCTCTTCGATATTCTCATCTTTCATTGTGTCATCGTGTTCATCGTCCTCGTCGATATCGAAATCCATATCCATGTCAGAAACGTCCTCTCCCACCTTCTCTTTCTGCTCTTCTTCGTCTTCCACAAATACGATTTTCTTTCCACGTCCCTTGATGCCCACGGTTCTTTTTTCTAATTCCTCGACTTCCTTCAATGCCTTGTTCCTCATCGTCCGTACATAACCCAAATCTTGTGTCTTGAACAAGCGCACAGCATCCTGATTCAAAACCTGATTGCCTCGATCTCCATTCACAGTTCCTGTGTATTTCTTGCCGGTTTTTACAGGTCCCTTCTTGTTTACCATTCCAAAGTAAAACTCGTCAGGGTTCTTCTCGAGCACTTTTTGTTTAAGTGCCTTAAGCTTTGCTTTCTTCTTATTGAAATCGCGCGCTCTGGCAGAATAATCCTACAATTTCCATTAGTATTTCGCAGTAGTAATTCACGAATTTCATACCTTGTGCTTTTCAAGAAGTCCCCATCGTTTGCGCTCTTCAGGTTGTGACCGTTCCTTATAGGTACGCCCATCGCGGACGGATTTACTCGCTTTATCCATTGTGTAATTATTGTGCAGGTCAGATTGAAGAGAATATTTGTGATTTAAAATTAATTTGTCTGGTTGTGGTGAAGTTGCGTTGTTCTCTGTTTTAGATGTTTTTCTTGATCGAGATTCCACCGATTTATTAAAATTTCGACAAGGGTTTATCGTTCACGCTAAGATAAACTAGCTCAACTTGGGGAACTACCTCAGGACATTCGATTTTCTCTGAATGAAGAACTAAAGTATAATTCTGCCTCATAAGCCTCGAGTTGTGATTTAATTTTCTTCAATTAATTTCAAATGGCAGCTATGCCTTCACAGAAGGAGGAGGTAGAAAAGGCACCTAGACTACCTATGCCATCACGAAATCCTTTACCGTTATCCGCAGCACAAGAAGCCCAAGTCCAAGAAGTCTACCATACAAGAGTGCGGAGTTATTGTGCGGCAGAGATTAAGAGTTTGTATTTCTATGTATACATTTGACAAGTTATGACTGATGATGGAATCCAGCCTTCGCAGAGTGCGCTCTCGGAAGAACTTTCACTGCTCCATTCAAATGCAGAGAACAAAATCGAGCGATGAACAATTGCATGATAACGCATGCCACACAATCAGAAAAGGATGCAGCCAGAGAAGAGTGGTTTTCACTGAGATTACAGAGACAAAAGGACCGTGAAGCAAAAGAGGCAAGGAGGAAAGAGCAAGAAAAGTTCCATAGGGAATGGTGGGGTTTACCAGCCGAAGATAGAGAAGGCGACAAAGGTAAAGAGATAATGAGGAAGGCAGAAAGAGTTGGTGGATTTCCCAGGAGGGATGAAGGACAGCTTAGCAAAGATCGGCATAGGTGACCATCGTTTTCACCCGGATTCTGGGGCAGCATAGGCGTTGGGGTTTTGCAGCATTTTCGACCAGCGTAGGGAGCGCGCGACTGGGTTTATATGTACGACTATACTGATATGACATGAAACCGCATTTCTGAACCGGACGAGGAATTTAAGTCCGAACTTCATAAGTCAATCAATTGGATGTCAGTGGCTGCTTCTTTTGAACCGTTCCAGGCAAGTGCCATTATTTTTTGACCTTTCTTCGTACTGTTGAGGCAATGCATGCTAGAAGTAGGGCAGGACCGTCCTAAGTTCCAGCTTCCGTTAACTCTGTAATCATCATCCAATTGTGCTTCGAGTGATCTGTTGGAAGCCGAACACAATTACTTTTTCAACTTGCTTTGTTCGGGTTTACAGAGCAATCACAAAAAACCACCCCCGAGAGTCTGAAATCCAGCGAATTTAGACTACATAGTGATGCTCGGGTAAAATGCACCGACTTCGGTGGTTTTCATGTCACATTCTGCTCGCTTCGATTTTTTTGCTGTTGCCAAGGGCAAAGTTTATCGTCTTTACCCGAAATATCACTGCTATGCCATGCCATTTATTGTGTTTGCCTAGTCTCTGCAATCAATAAAGCCACGTATGTCATATTGCAGCGCTTACAAATGCTTGATCACCTATCGCTTAGTGTTATAAGAAAAGTTTTCCAAAAGAATACATCATCTTAAGCCCTACATCATCGAATACAGTATCATTCAGAAATTATATTGTCTAGAACATTGTTTGTATATACTAGCCTTGGAATACCTACTAATAAGTTTTACTTCAGATTCAGATAAGTTCGTGGCGCAATTCCCACCCAAACCCCGCAAGATTGGCGTTCCTACTCCGACATCAACAACTTCTACCGTTTCGGCAACGACACCTAAGCGGAGCCTAGTTGGTGCATCAGCCTCCAAGCCCTTCATGGAAGCCCTTGCCTTCTCAGAAGAACCTCCTCTGCGGGTTCCCGAAACCATTGGCACCCTAATCGAAGTCCGTGCTTCTCCCAAGGGCGGCCTTGGTATCTTTGCTCTCTGTCCCATACCGCCTAACACTCTTCTCTTAAGCGAAAAGCCTCTTGTCATCCTCACCGACACAGGGACGCGTAAAGACCCCCTGGACGCCCTAGTAGACGCCTTATCCCCTTCTCACAAAGCAGCATTCCTCTCACTTCATGCTTATCAGGCAAACCCACGAGAATCCAAAAACCGAAGCATTTTGTACAGTAATGGATTTGGAGTAGGCAAAGTGGAGAGCTTATCTACGGGCGTTTTCGAGACGGCCAGTAGGTTTAATCATGCTTGTGTGGCAAACTCAGGATATAGATGGGAAGAGGATTTGGACAAAAAAGGAAGGATGAAATATTTCAGTATCAGGTATATTGAACTGGGAGAAGAAGTTACTGTGGATTATGGACATGGGGCAAAGGGGCTGAAGAGATTTTACGGCTTTGAGTGTGATTGTAAGAAGTGTCGAGAGGGGGAGATGTGAAGTGAGAGGATGCTTGGAGGAGGGAAATTGTGGAAAATTCAAGGAGGTGGGCTTGGGCATCTTGAGTAATCGCTGAAGGCGCTGGTGTTGGACATTGAGGGAGCTGGGATGGAGTAGAGGCTATATATGACACAAGGCTCTTGACTTTCTGATATTAGATCAAACAACCCGAAGTCCCTATAGGTATAACAAGTCACCTGAGATTATATCAGACGATCAAACTACCTTTGATCCAAATAATGATACTTCCCCATATTCAAGAAGACAGGTCTATCAGAAGAAAGAGCAAAAATTCTTCTTATGTCTTGATTTCATACCATCTCCCTTAGTTCTTGGCACTTCTTACTTTACATCCCACCTAGAGAAACGTTAATGATAGAATTGAGACACAGTACACTTTTTCATAAGATGATATGTGCCTAAGATGTAGTGGATGCGTACTTGAGCTGACTCGACTTTCGAATCAGGTTTATAAATCAGATTTCTCTGTTTGATTTTTCTTTTTGTTTACCAAGGATGAATAATTGTATGTATATCATAGGTACTGTGCATGAAGAGAGACGACCAGAGTGTTGTGCAGTTGAGAGTCAGCATCATGCATCGTGCAGAAATGGGCAGAACACCACCTATGTTGGAAGCCCACGAACAAGATAGATCTCCCCTCTCCACAATCTAAAAGGTTGAAATGCATCTTTTCTACAATTCATATAAGATACGATACGGTAAAGATGAGAGGAGATATCTGATAAATGTGAAATCTGTACTGTATTAGTGCAATGATTCAATATTTACTCTTATGCCAGTCTCGCTGATCATTACGTTGAAGACATGATCAATCATGCATATATGTGGGGTTAGCTCTCAGTAGATTAGCTGACAAATAAATATGCAATGGGACCCAGTGGAAGATAATGAAAGCAGTAAAGCCTAAGATGAGAAATGAAGAGTCATTCACAATCTCTATATAGAGGATAAATCGATTGGACCGCAAAATGCTTGTCGCAATCATCATATATTCCTACTCTCAGAATTCAAAAGCAACGGAAGGGATGTAACAAGAAAGTGAAAAGAGCTTGTGCAGATGAACCATTCGCTCTCCCATCGCTATTCATCTCTTGAACTTGACTATTATCTGCTCTCGGATCATCAAATACGCTTTGGACCATTGCCTCTTTGGACTCTCCTTGTTTCATAGTGCATCGGACACTGGCTATTCATGATTTGAAGGGGAACATGAGAGCTGCCTGTGCATGTGTAACTTGGTACTTATGTTGATTCAAACGAAATTCTTTTACCAGAGGAAACATCCAGGGAATCCCAGGTCGATGATGCTGTATCATGCGATAATATCCATAGTTGTTTTTCGAGTCGATCAACTGATGGGATTGTGGGAAAGTATCTAAAGGAACTTTTGCTTGCTGAAGACCTGCCATTAGAGAGGATGCGGAATTGTAATTGCGCCAGACTAGTAAGTGCTATCAAATGTTAACATACATTACATCAAACGAAGAAAGAACTGTACCTTCGTAACCTCAACAACAGATTTTATATGTCTTTCATCCATTGCGATGTATTCCACCACATTACTACAAAGTGCATCCCATTTGTTACCAATTGATCAGCAGCAAGGTTGATCCGAGGAAAGTATATCCGCAATCTGTAGTTGACCAAAGGATAAGAAATGGTTATTTGTAAGGAATTTAGCTGTCGTTTTCGGATTGTTCTCCTCCATGTGTTTCACGAAAGAGAAATCACAAGAAAATGCTTTCGACCAGTCGATATTAATGCTATAGAAAAGATAGGATATGAAGCCGCATAAGGAGTGATGAGAGATCTAATTCTTGATCTGCAAATACTTTCTTGATTGGATCAAGTACAGAATTAAAAGAATCCCAAGGATTGACAGGCCGTTCGTGATTGTTTAAACTAGTAGATAGTATCCAATGCGCCACAGGATGTCTATGGCGCAACGCCTATTCTACCTATTAGTGTTGGCTTTGTTGCGTTAGTTCCAAGTACTTGCCTTTACAACTTTCATTGCTTTCTCTTCCATCCGAGAATCGAAAAGCTCCCGAAAACTTCTAGACAGATCCTTGCAGGTATTGGAGATTTTCTTAAGCAAGCCTAGTATCACCACATCTTCATAACCAAGCACAAACCAGACCCACACCGTATGAGGGATACTTTTGAAACCAAGACAGATCTCAGCATCAATATTTTCGGCAATTTCATTAATCTCAAGATTAGAAGATAAACCTGAAAGAATAAATTGATCATCCCAATCTAGGCTGGGCAAATTTCTGGTACAGTATCGGATAAGAATCGCTCGTGCCTGTTGTGACGTGTCGTCCTCTTTGCATTTTTTCACAAAGATAAAACGAGGGCGGAGGTGAGGGCCGTGAAGGAAAGTCTGAAACCTAAATAACCAAGCACTTGATCTCATGGAAAGTAATCTGCAAGTATCCTCTTCATCTGGAAAAATGCATTGACAGATACGCCAGATAAGGTTCAAGTCACTTGAGGACAGGAGTGCTTGTCGAGCTCCACTTTCCCACCATTTCTCCTTACCAGATGTAGGGAGAGATGGAAATGCTCAAAGACTGGATGTCTGAGAAGATTCGTACTCTTCACCTGGTATTGTTAGCTTTACATTTTTTAAGGATTTGAGTTTGAGGTACCCAATTTAACAATGGACCGCTTGAAGCCGTCCATTGAATCACCACAAGAACAAACTGTGAAGAAGCTGGTCGAATATTTTTTGGCCTTTCCCTGCTCCGAGTGCACATTGGGTGATTGAGCAAGGTAGTGAGGCAAAGGTAGGCCACATCTTATATCAAGGTTACGTTCAGGTCGACGTAATGATCTTCACAATACGTTCATCAGCCGCTCCTGAAAAGGAAAACATATACATTATTGAAATTCATCTACATGATTTCGTGGCTCATGGCTGCCCTTTCGATCGATCCATATCTGATCTATTGATCTCTGCCTGAAACATTCGAGATTGGAAATATGCATGACTGGGGTAAATGTTCTTCGTACAATCGACTAGCTTTTGACTAGCGTATTTTCCGGCCTGTCACCTGGCAGGGAGTGGTATTGGCGAAAATTCCTTTGGAAATTTTCGCCCCCAATCACTAGAAAATTAACCGAGTTTCATTGAGTGAGGTTGAATATTCTAAAGTCCTTGTTATGATCCTCAACATAAACTCTACAATCAACAATGGGTGGCCTATGCAGTCGACTTGATCCACAGGTTAGTCAAAATACCTTCTTCTTAACACTATGCCACTTAACTAACATCTACAATAGCAGGTAGAGATCTATCAACGGAGTATTTCAGATTTTATTTGTATAATAAAAGAAAAAGATGCGGTAAGTAACTGGTGTTGTCAGGGGCAATCGCAAACTGATGGCTGTTGTTGAGTAGCCATTAGCACAATTGATCGAAGGGCTAGCTCAACAAGACAACATAGAAGTATCTGGACCGAAATTGAAAAAGATATTACGACATGTTGGCCAGACCAAAGTTCACCCAGCTGGTTCAGCACCGTCTCCTGCGCAGCGGAACAAGAAGGTCTCTATTTTTGTGGCCAGTTTCCAAGAATAGCAGTCGTATATTCAGAATTTCATTGAGAAGAGATCTTAGGATTGGTGTAGAGATTACTCCTCCTTTTGGAGGTATAGTCATTGCTTAAAAGGCTTAACACCGATAAGTATCCGCTAGCTCTCGAGATGTATTGATAACTTCGAGGACGAAGAGTACGCGAACCAAATACGACAACGTATATCTTTGGTTATGTTGTCACAGATTCAAAAGCGGATTGAGAATAGGATTCGCGACTTGATCAGACAGTCCCGAAAGAGACTACCATCAAGTGTGACCTATCGAACATTATCAATCTCCATCATCGTCGAAATACGTATGAATCAGAGATAGGCTGCGCAACGGGGCTCCGCGAGGCGGATAGTCCATCTACAAAACAAGTAATTGAAGAATATGAATAGATAACCCACAAATTAATTGCAAATTATTTACAGATATCCATCAATTTGCCGATTATTCATCTATTCACAGATAAATAGATATCTACAAATAATTTACAAATAGTCCATAAATAATCTACAGATACTCCGCAAATTATTTATGAAATAGATATTCGCTTAAATTTTAAAGCTATTCCCACATTTTTTTATATTAGTTTTTATATTAATCTTTATAAATTAACAGACTATTTGCAAATAATCCGCAAATAACCCACATAATATAGGTTATTTTAAAATCCCAATAAGTAACCCGCAGAATGGGTTGTAAGCTTATAACCCACCCCGCGATGCGGATAACTTATGGATATCCGCAACCCACAGGTTATTTTTGCGCAGCCTAATCAGAGAATGTCTCCGATAATGAGAGGTCGTGGATCAGAAGCAAAACAAGTAAAAGGATACGCTTGGGTGAAAGGTACTCTGGGCTACGAGACGATTTGCTTATTAAGCTGGGTAAAGTGCCGGGCGAATTCATGTGAGCACAATCTCTGCCTTGCGCAATGTTCACCAGCTTGAACTGAACTACCAGTGAAAAGTGTTCTGTCGACGAATACGCAATGATTCAAGGGTATCTCAACACGATTCCGACCTCTGGAAGTCACAGTACTCTGGTGGTGGATCTTAAGAATGCATTTGTGGGACTAAAGGGTATCAGCGATACTCAACTGGACGCGATTATTCAGACTGGAAAGTTCTATCCATATTTGAACATTACAGGTTGCCCTGATATTGATAGGTAGGTTTTCCACGATGAACAATCACAAAAAGCTCATTAATATAAATAGTGTGAATGTCCAATCAAGAAAACGAAAAACCTCCGAAGGCCACGCTCCTGCTAAGAAGAGACAATGCGGCGAGAACAACTATGAGCGAGGCTCCAACGCAGAATCTCCTAGTCGAGAAACAAGCTACCAGGATAACGCGAACAGTGGCAGGATGGTTGTGTTGGTCAGCGCAGTCGGTCTTTGCAATCCCCCATCAACACAGAAAGTAATGGCGGTCATCATTGTGATCAAACTTATATTCCCCAACGACATGGCAAAAATCCTGAGACCTCTACGTCAAATCTCAACTATGAAGTCGAAGCATTAGACGTCGCCATTGATCCCGTCTATTGGTGCTATGATCCAGCTTCTACATTCGCACCGCTAGCCATGCAGCAATGGCCATACGATATTGAAAATCTAACATCACTTTTACCAGCTTCTAACGAGCGAAACCTGTTCGCCTTCGAAGTTGAGCCTGACAACCAGCAATAAATAACACCCTTTGAGTTTTGATAAAAATCCCACCACGATTACGATGGAGTGAATGCGAACACAGTCCCAGGTCTTTGTCGCGTTGCAGTTTGATGCCTAGAATAACAGAGCATCACAATAAAATTGAGGGTGATTTGACATTGTTCTCGTTGTTGATGGGTATCCTCCTTCTGTATTCGGCATCCACTTCAGAAATTTACAAATCATATTCACCGATATTAATCAATATTTACCAGACATGCGTTGGAAAGCTATGAGGGCAGTCCATTCCAGCTGCGCTGGTGTTACCACGGAAAGGTGGCGCTTGTTTCAATGTTTAGACTTGGAAAGACATTTCATCAATCCAATTCCACCTCCTCCTGCCATAGGGTACTCTATAACTGTTTCTCCATCCAGAACCAACACTTGACCAGGCTTGAGATGAATTTCTATTGCTTCTGCCTTAAGGAACTCTTCTGGCCTCATACGGTGTGATCCTTCTACCAGTTTGAAGAAGCCATTATGTAGACCAAGCGCTTCTTCAAGCGGTCTATATATGAATACAAGCTCCTTTCCCGCTTTGTATCTGATTAGTTGAGTAGGGTTCTGCATCCAAATGACAACTTTCGATACGTTAATTTTCGAGTTATATGCTCCTTGTAGTAGGTCGTCGATATAGCTGTCACTCCATAACTATTAGGTCAGCGGCGGAAATGTTTTAATAGATCGAAGTTACATCAAGACCATCATGGAAAAGTTTTTCACAGCTGTGACCCCAACCAAGTTGCTCATATCCCAAAGGTGATGTTCTTGACTAGAGCTCTCGCAGTTTGTCCTGAGGAATTTCTGCCTTGGCAGCATTAATCTTATCGATAGTAGGAGGCGTACAGTCCATGATCTTGCATCCCAAATCGTGTGCCATTCTTGTCAGTGATGAAAAAAAATAAGGAAAAGTTGTGGCCACCCTGTCGTCGCAAACCGACAGTTTCCATTCACGATCCATTTACGACCCTATTCTTGCCTACCTTGACCTTGATGATGTTAGAAGTGCCTGAAATACGAGGCTACAATAAGATTCACGTAGTTTGGAATGTCAGCGAGGCAAAACATTTTTGCACATCCTCCATCAGGGTCCTTCCTTCGAGTTCGATGCAAGTGGCCATGATGAAAGTCTTGACCAATTCAAACTTAGCAAGTATGTCGATCCCCAGCTTCCTGGTCGAGAGTAAGGTTAAATAAGGTGTGCGAGATTGCCTCAAACTTCAACTCTATGAAATTTTAATCTGGATACGCCAGAAAATACATTATACAGTAAAAGGGTCTGATGCTTACCGAATACTTGGAAATCCAGGATCACAGCAATACTTCGGCTGTGCTCTATTGTGATAGCAATGGAATGACACAAACTGGGTGTGGAAACAAGGCACAAGGAGAAAGGGTCCGTTAGTACACCCCCTAGAAATAAACGAGCGGAAAGGGCTGCAGCCGAGGAGAGAAGAAGTGGGTTCCATGCTTCCCCACTGTCGATCTTGTCGGCAAGGAAATTGTTTCCTAAAGTCTAGGTTAACCTCAATGATACCTACATTGATACATTGCATGTATCTCTCATTCCGTTTGTTGACTGATATTCAATCTGGGACGACCTTTGTCTGCCGATGACAACAATACTAATCCCGGAAACACTAGCTAGGTCTATCTACTTGCGGTTTGGCCCGTTGGTACCTTCTCTAACGTCTTTTACTTTTTCTTCCTCCGCCATATTCCACATATTCCACATATTGCACAGCCTTCCCTTTGCTAAGGACAGACCCCTGCCGTATACTTCTTTTTATCCTTCCATTGCACTGGCCTAGTATACACCTCTTATCCTGCGATCTTCATTGCAGCAATTAAACCTTTCATACTATAAAAGTGATAGGTCGAGATATATGTGTCCCGATAGCATGTTGTAAGGAAGGAATTAAAAGAGAAAGTTGAATTAGATTATATTGTAATATATCATTTATAGATAAAATAGGGTTTATAATAGATTTAGAATTGATATTATATAAATTCAAATATATATATATAAAAAATTGATTATTATAAAAAAAAGAAATAAAAGACTTTTTTTTTTATATTTAATTATAAAAGGTTATATAATTGATTAACTAAAATTTTTATATATTTGATTTATAATTTCAATTTTCTTATATCTTTTCTTTTCAAGAAATATATATCCTTTTTTGTTTATTAAAGAAAATAATTAATTAGAATATAGAATATATAAAATATTATTATTAACAACTTTTTAAGATAAATATAAAAATTAAATAATAAAAAGAAGATTTATCGAATTTGGAGATAATCTTTTATTTTTTAATAAATAATTCAATAAAAGTTTTATTTTTATCAATATTCTTATTAGTTTTCGAATATTTAAGTTTTAATTTTGAAGGTATATTTAAGAAGAGAAGAGGTTTGTTGGATCTCAAATAGAGATATTTGAAGATTCGGGAAGGTAAGGGCAATTTTTTTTTCGATTTTGAAGATGATATAGGGAAAACTAAACTTTATTGTTTTTAAATAAAGAAAGGAAATAGTTTTTGTATATCAAAAGGATTAACAATAAACTTTTCTTGTTATAAAACTTTTCTTTGTTTCGATTATATTTTAGGAATTAAAGAGAGATCTTTCAATTCAGATTTAATATAATAAATAGGTTCTTTTTCTTTTTAAGATAGTTTCTGAAAAATAGATAAAGGAATTTCTTCTTTTTGGATAAAGATTTTTAAATTGATAATCTTTTATTCTTCTTTTAAGATTCTATCAATAAATTCAGATATTATCAAATTTTTAATTTTAAAGATAATTTATTTTTGTTTATAAATTAGGTTTTGTATAAGAAAAGAATATACTCTTCAGGATTTTTCTTTTTGTTTTAAGATTTCGAAAATTGTTTATATTCTTTTGAATTTATATTCAAAAAGTTTTATATATATATTTATAAAATCTTTAGATTTATAATTGAATAATATATAAATTTTATTTATTATCAATTTCGAATTTTAAAAGATTTTTTTTAGAAGAGTTTGTAAAATAGAAATTAAAAAAGATAATGTTTTTATATCGAAAAAGAATAATTTTGGTATATAAAATTCTTTTTTATTAAATTCTTAAAGAATAAAAGAGACAATTTGATTTTGAAACGATTAAAGAAGGTCTTTTTGAAAAGTATTATCTTTTATTTTATTATTATTAGTATTTATAATAAGATAGATGATTGATATTATAATCGAATTACGATTCTTGATGATATTAATAAATCGAAGGATTATATTGAATGGCAGGATAATTGTATAGGAATCTTTTTTGATTAATATTTGTTAATGAAATTTATTATTTTTTTTTGTTTATTGAAAGATTTTCTTTTGTACAAATCAATCTAGATTATATTAGAGTTGATGAAAGAATAAATATTTCTTAAAAAGTTTCTTGATTAAATAAAAACCCTTATTAGAATTAATTGATATCAATATTTGATATTCTTGATATATTTTAATTAATATTTTGTTAGATTTGAGAAGATCTATTAGGATAATAGTTTTTAAAAACGATTTTATATTTCGATATTTGGATATCAGTTTTGTAAGATTGATAAAAGAATAATATAAAGTTATTTTTCGATTATAATCTAAAAATTGAAAAATAAAAAAAAAAATAGAAATAAAACAAAACTTTTTATTAATATATAAGAGTACAATAATTTATTATAAGATAATATTATTTTTTAAAAATATTTAGATTAGAGAATAATAACAATTTGGAAATAGATTTTTTTCAAATTTATTATAAAAGTTCTATTTATAAATAATAAAGATATCTTCAAAATTAATTTTAAAATTTGAAAAGTTTTTATATTATAAAAAAAGGATAAATTCAAGAATTTCTATAAAGATTTGTTTTTGAAAGAGTATTTTAAAAATAGATTTTTTTTGAACAAATCTAATTTTGAATTTTAGAATTATATAAAAAGAATATATATTTGGTTTTGAATTGAAATAATAAAACCTTTGAATTTGTTTAATTTATTCAATAACCAATTATATATAAAAATAGAATTAAAAATAAAATTAAATAATTAGTTTTATCTTATTAATATAATTTCGATTATAGATTATTATAATTAATCGATTCCGAAATTCTTTAATAAAAATATATTTGATCTTTATATTAAATAATTTAATCAAAGTATATAAATAATATATATAAAAAGCTTTTTCAATAATACTCTTATCAAAAGATATAACAATTATTTATTCTATTTAATTAATAATATAATCTTTATCGATTAATATATATCATTTATCTTCAAATTAAAGGCCAGATTTATAACTACAACTTTTTAGCTTTCAAAAGGAATTTAGAATAATCCTAAAAAGTTCTTTAGAATGATCTTAAAAAATTCTTTGGATATATCATTATCATTATTTGAAACTATTTCTAAAATGAAATCAATTTCTCGATAATAAAGAATAAATTTATCTAAAATAGAAAAATAAAAAAGAGTTTTTTTTGAAAAATCGAATATATAATTTCACTTTATTTATTTATCAATATTTATAATAATAAATTCAGAAATTGATATAATAATTTATTTATAAAAGAAATAGAAAGTTTACAAAAAACTAAGGATATTGATAGTTTTTAATTTCTTTTCAATATCTGGATCTGTTTTTGATTCTTTATTATCAACTTTTTTGATTTTAGTTTTATTAGTTTTTTTGGAGTTTTCAAATATAGATTTTTGAAACAAAATGGAAAAGGTTTTATTAGATTTATATTCTTTTAGAAATCCGAATCTATTGATAATAAATTAATACTTTTTGAAAATTGGATCTTTTTCGAAATCGAAAAATAAAGGTTTCCAATTCTTTTTTGTTTTTGAATCCAAATTTGTAATGAAAATATATATATTATAAAATTTTGTTAAAATATATTTTTTATAATCGTAATTTTTCTTTTTGATAAATCTTTGAATTATAAATCTATTTAAGAATTTAATAAAGATTTGAGGGTTAAATTGTACAATATAAAAGATTATATCGATTTTTATAATACTTCCTTTCAGCTTTTTATCTTAAGATTATAATCTTACAAATTCTTTTCTTTTGAGAATTATTCAGATTTTCTTTAAATATTTAAAACTTTCTTTAATTTTATTATAATATTATTCGATCATTTAAATAATATCATTGTTCTTAACGAAATATATAATTTTAAAGAAATTTGTAGTTTTGTAAAGTTTTGCTTTCTAGATTTTATTTTATATTTCTTTTACAAAATCCCTAATATCTTTTATTAGCTTCAAAATAATATTAAACTATTATTCAAAAATGTTATATTGATTTATAGATTAAAGAGAATTATAAAATATAAGGATTTGTATAATATTAATAAAGAATTTTTCTTTATAATAAAAAAAAACTATTATAAAAATTTCCAAATAAAAGATTACTTCTTCACCTTATTTTTCAATCATTATAGGATTTTCAAATAGATTTGTTTAAAAGAATATATTATTTTTTAAAAAAAAGTAATTGTAATAAAGAAGAAATGAAATAGAATTCAAAATATAAAGGAAAAAATAGATTTATAAAAAGAAAATTGGGATATTAAAGTATTGTTTACGAATTGTTTTTATAATTGTTTAGAAAGGAATTTGAAGAAATTATTATAATTTTTTTGAAAATATATGAATATTTTTCCTTTTCTTAAAACTTAAAACGAAATATTGATTATACTTTTTAATCGATAAATAAAAGTATATAATAAAAACTTCTTTTCGATATCTTATATATTATCTTACATTTTAAAATCTCAATCGATTTGTAATTATATAACAAACAATCCTTAATTAATAATTGATATTTATTTGAAAGAATATAAATATTTTGAAATTTGGCTTTGTTGATTTATTTATTCACAAAAATCCTTTGAATTGTTATCAACAAAAAGATTAGAATATAAGATATACTTTTTCAAACAGATATTTATATAGATTTCATCAAATGAAATATCATCTATTTCTTCAAGTATATAAATGAATAATCCAAGTAATTTTTCAGTAATTCTATAAAATCTATATCATTTGAAAGTTAATTTCTTGTTTTATAATATATCGATTTTTAATTAAGAATTGTAATATAAAACAATATCCTCAACAAATATATTCTTGTTTAGAATCTTATAATTCAAATTATATCAAAACTTTTTATCTTCTTTATAATATTGTTTATATAGAATTGTTTCTTCGATATTATTATCAAATATTTTAATTATTATATTTTTATAATTAACAAATTTTTTTGAATATATATATTTCTTCAATCAAGAATTCTTCAAATAATATATA